ATTGGCCTTTGGTGGGTTCGGGTTGGAACCCTGCAGGAAGTGGTGTATCAGCCATTTTAGCATTTTCCATCCCGCAACGCTTAAGGACTTTGTCAAGGTAGGCGCATTGATCAATATAGATCTTTTTGCCATGACGATTAATCCGCATGCGAAGGAATTCTTTGGCTTCACCAAGATCTCTGCATTCCCAGTGTGACATGAATTTCCCTTTAAGGGACTCTACGAGTTTCTTGTCAGGTCCAGCGAAGAGTGCGTCATCAACGTAGATGATGGCGATGACTAGAGAGCCATCTTTTCCTCGTCGGATAAAAATACCTGCATCAGAGCTCAGGCGTTTGAAGCCGAGTGTTTTCATGTATGAGTCCAGTGTTCGCCACCAGACAAGACCTGCTTGTTTCAGTCCATACAGAGCTTTGCGCAGTAGGAGGACTTTATCCTCTTTGCCTTTGATTCGAAAACCTTCAGGCTGTTCCATGTAGATAGTCTCATGTAAGACGCCATATAGATAGGCATTTCGAACATCGAGTCCGGTGAGATACCAGTTGTTCAGCGCAGTCAAGGCGAGCAACAGTCTAACAGTCTCAAACCGTACTACAGGGGAGAAGACTTGGTCATAATCAAGACCTTCAATTTGTGAGAACCCTTTGACAACAAGGCGTGCCTTCTTACGACCATCAGATTTGATGTCGAAGACCCAGCGGTTCTTAATGACCTTTCGGTCTGCTGGACGATCCATGAGTTCAAAAGTACCACGCCGTTTGAGCGCTTCAAGCTCTTCTTGGCAGGCCTTAAGCCATTCCTCACGCTCAGCCTTAGGTAGGCGAGTAATGTCCTTGTAAGTCCATTCACGGACGTTCTCAGAGCTTTTCAGCTCACCCTCAAAGGGAACGGCCTTAGCCATGAGAAAATATATTAATTCAGCTCCCCCTTCCCGACATAGTCTGATCAGGGTATTAGCTTCGTCACCGGGAGTGACAGAGGGTTGTTCTCCATTTTCAGGAGTAGGATGCTCAGTACTAGGTCCGGGAACCTGTTCTGGCTCAGGACGTTCTTGCTCAGCCGAGGAGCTACCTGGCTGTGGTGCGCGTCTCTGAATATCCCTCTTTGGTCTCTCTACCTGTTGTTCCGTAGGAAGCTTAGTGCTGCTTCTAGGATCACCGGTAAGACGAGTAGGTGGTCTCCGCACATGACCTGAACGTCTCAACTGTTCTTGAGCAGGAGGTTGTTCATTCCGGGGTTGTGGCGGCGGACTAGGATCTCGTGCTGGCTGTTCAGCTGGCACAGGCGGTGCAACGTCTTGCTCCGGATCCTGTCTCATTTGGGGAGTGGTAGGTTGATGAAAGATGGGAACATCATCATCACCAGGTGGAGGAATAGGATCTTTAGGATCTGGGTTGCGATCTGGTAGTCGCGTAGAGCGATGACGCTCTGAGGATTTACAACGAGGAAATAATTTCTCGTCAAACACAGCGTGCGTAGCAGTGAACATGGCATTGTTCGACCGCATGTAGATATTTCCGTATCCACCGTCAGAAACTCCGAGATATGTCATTAGTTCTGACCTAGGCGATTGTTTGTTTGTCCGTATTTCTTCATGAAGATAGACATACGCGCCACAGCCAAAGACACGCAAGTGATCTATGCGCGGAACTTTGTTGTACAAAATCTCATATGGTGTCTTCCATTTGTGACGGCGCATAGGAGTGCGGTTATACACATGCACAGCGTGTGCAACAGAGAATTCCCACCAGGAATCAGGAATACAGGCTTGAAAGCGCTGTGGTTCACTTTTCTCAATAATAGTCCGGATAAACCTTTCGGCTCTTCCATTCTGCTGGTGGATATGAGGAGATGACCATTGTGCTTTGATACCTTCGTTCTTAAAGAACTCATCAAGTGCATTGGATCTAAATTCTCCGCCACCATCAGACATCCATTCCTTGACGTTAGTCTCGTATAGATTTTTGACTGTGGCAATGAATTGCTTTATCACCGGAAGAGCTCCGCTCTTCTTTTTTAAGTGGCAGTAGAACCCATGCGAAGTATAGTCATCTATGAAGAAGATCGTATACTTGTACTTGTGGTACGAAATGGTAGGCCATTCTTTGAGGTCTGAGTGAATAATCTCGAAGGGACGTGATGCCCGACGATTAGTTGGCGGAAATGGACGTAAAGTCATCTTTCCTTTGGCACAACCTTCACATAGATCTTCCTCATGGGGAATGCTAAAGGTGGGAACACCTTCTGCATGTTTCCTCAGTTGAGTGAGTGCTTCGCGCGATGGATGACCCATGCGACGATGCATGGTAGTGTAGTCCACTGAGTGGATCACTAGGTTTACAGCCATAGGCTGTGGCGAATAATCTTTGAGAATGTAGATTGTATCGCTGTGAGTTCGTGGTTCAAATGACAGGAATAAACCGTCTTTGTCCCAGAAGTCAACTTTGTCTGCGTTGCCGCGAACAGTTTTGCCATCTTGTAGGAAGCGTCCTTGTGCTATAAGGCGATGACTCAACTCCTTCATATAGAATACTGGAGCGATTCGTGCCGAATGCATGCGACCTCTAACATCCTTGAAATTTATCAAGACAGTCCCAATGCCAGTAATGTAGGCAGTTGTGGTTGCAGTTGCTATGAGCACTTTTTCCTCAAGGTCTTCATACTCAATGAAGTCACTCAAGTCAAAGGTAGTGTGTTCAGAACAACCAGAGTCGTTCATCCACCATTTAGGTTGATTTCTCTGTTTACCCTTACACTTCTTGCACACAGAGTATGAAACGTCATGTACACAAAAATGTTCATTGGATATATACTTGGCATCGATACGGTAATTATACAAACGGGACAAGAGATCAGGCTCAAAGGCTGACTTGCATGTCTTCGCCACTGCAACCGATGAAGGTGCGTTAGTATATCCCATATGGTCAAGATCAGAGGAGGGTACTGACCCCATGGTGTCCATGAATCCAGTGATTGCCAAAATTTCACGATCCAAGTCGAAGTTCATCAACTCATCAGGGTCGAAAGAGGCAGTTCCTGGGACCTCAAAGTCCATAGGAGGAGATGGAGGAGGCGGCGTAGGAGCCTTACTGCCATTCTCAACATCATCCACAGGAGACATTGCACGAGTGCGCTTTGTTGGAGGATCAAGTTCATCATCACTGTCCAACTCCGAAATATGCCCAGCTGGCTCAAGGGTGCAAATGACTTCGGCAGTCGCACGGACGCCAATGTCACGGGCACGTTTGATGGCCATCCTTGTCTTCTTGTGAAGACGAAGGGAGGTAGCATTAGGAGGAGGATTGTAAGGAGGATGGATGGAGTGCTTGCGCACATCATGAACAGAAGGAGTAAGATCAGTACGTACCGGACCAAAGTCAACAGTACTGCCAATCGGACTGAAGTCCATAGAGTCTGCATCAGCTTGGGCAGCGTTTGCATTCTTCTTAGCCTTCTTGTTCTTCCCACTGCCACGCTTACGCTTCTTCTTGTTGTCATCGTTCCCATTCTGTCCCTTCTGCTGCTGGTTACTACTGTTACCATGCTGCTGTTGGGAGAACTTGGGATCGTTTCCCTTGCGATGAACATTCGAAAACTTGTTCGCGTTCTGCGGTTGGGAGTTGCCAATGGTGTCTCCGCTGAAAGCGTTCATAACTGCGATACGAACTTTAGCAAAGGTCAATTTCTTGAGCTCTGCAGTTTCAAGCTGAGACATGGTTTGGATAACGACAGAGTAACGTGATGGGAGCTTAGATAAAAGAATCAAAGCTTCGAGGTGGTCAGCAAGACCAATGCCAGCTTCATCCATACGGGTGAAGTACATGCCAATCTCCATCATAGAGGACAGCGGATTTTGCTTGTATGGAATTTTAATAGCCATAGCGGCAGCAAAGTCATTAAAGACTGCGCCCAGACTCTTGACATTGTAAGTCTTGGCTAGATAGTTCCAAAGCTTCTTAGCTGTGTCGCTGTATTCCTTGGCAAGGATGCGGATGGAGGGAGAGATACGGAGGCGAATGTTACCAATAGCCTTGGTGTCGATCTCCTTCCAGGCTTTGAAAACAACCTCATAGTTCTTCCAGGCTTCAACACTGGCGGCGTTTGCAGCAACAAGTGGAGATGGTTCACTGGGTTGGTCAGTCGTAATTGCTGATTCAAGCCCTGTAGCCTGAAGGAAGGCTTCCATTTCGGAGGCCCAGGTGTCGTAGTTATCACCTTTGAGGGTGGTGGTAACAGCGGTAAACAGTGCAGAGGACATTGCGATCTGGATAAAATCAACAGAAAATGTCAGCATGCAATTCATAAACGCTCAATGACAACAGATGGAAACAAAATGTCATGAATGTTATTGCCAGTAGTGACAAGCTGCGACATATGTCTAGCAAGCTGTCATCTACAGTGTCAAGCACTCTTGGGCGATGTCATAATCAGCACTGTTAAGTGCGATATTGACTTCAGCACCAGAGGCGACGTTCCAGGTAAAGGTCTGTGTCAGAGACAGCAATCAAATAGATGCGTCAATGACAACAGTAGACCAGAGAGTGCTGCGAGCTTAGAGCTCAGCAAAGCGTTCATCCGGGGCCCATAACCTGTTGAGCAGGCAGGTAGTGCATAGTGGAGCACTCTCCAGCACCTTACCTGGGTAGTAGGGCTTAGAGTCTCAGTGAGGCAATAAAAGTAAGAGAGAAGCGAGTTGGATTCCAGTACAGGATATGGCCTGTTTATATACATAACTGTATGACAGTATTACATAAGGAAGTACAGAGGAATCCGCATATAGTAAATGACTAGATATGACTACATATGACATATTATAACACATGATCATAATAGTGGCATGTGAACAGCATAGCCGCGTTCAACATTTATAGCCTACATGGATAAGTAGTGATTCACAAAAGAATGGATCAAATGAGACAAGCCTGTTCAAGACATGTTAAGCTTAGTAAGCTCAAATAGATGGGCCACAACCAGGCTTTCTAGCTTGTCTAATGCCCGCTGGTATTCTTCTGCTACATACACCCAGAGCGCCATCCACTCACTTTTTTTGGCATATTGAACTAGACAATCCCTCAATGCATTATCCTTCTCGTCGGACTTTTCTTTGTGGGGGTGATCTAGTCCAAAAACATCCTTTCGCTGGATTATTGCAATTTATGCCCTCTTGTGGCTTGTATGTGTGTATCCCTTTTACACTGAGTAAATCTCAGCTAAACCCTCTGTTAACATCTTCCAATTAAAACCTCCAGAGAACATATGTGCATCTTTCCATCACTTCTTCTCAAGAATATGTATAGCTTAGCTGGACAAACACAGTCTTATTTTGAATGTCACCGTTACTTGGTTCCCTCAATGACAACCCTTTCTGATATGCTGCAGTCATTTTTTGACCTTTGAACCACATGTGCACTCCCCTGACACCATCCCACTCGACTCAGTAGATCCCTCACCACAAACACCAGAAGACAACAAATAGACTTTAACTCAAGTCATATTGTGTTCCTATCGCATTCATCCATGCCGAATTTTCAGAATTCAGTTTGGGCCACCACTGCCCCCAGTTAACTGGGTCACGGATAGTTAGAGCTTGGAGGTTCCCTATAAATCAATTTCAGTCACAGAAAATGCAATACTTGCAAATAAGCACATACTCTTTGCAACACAGCGAACTGTTATTCCAAGATCAGACTTAGGCTTCCACAAACTCCCAACTGTCCAACTAGATGGCGGGAGATAACGAGGAGGAATTCGCATGGCATAAACTTGTACCCTTGGAAGTCGCGCAGCAATAATAGTTCTATCCATTGTCTTGTGATATTTCGATAGCATTCTGTCCCATGCCTTATCGTTACTTGGAAAATCCTGCGTCGTCTCATCGACAAGAAACTACTCGTGATACCAAATGCTTTCGGTTTATGAATTATATATACTTGACAAGAATTGAAACTCACCTTTGGGCTTGTCTTGAACTTTTCTGAATCTGCCCAAACCTCACACTGAAGATCGCATGGTCAGTTGAAACCACCCATATCTCAAGGTTCAACATGAGTGATTCATACCACGTAGCGCCCCTCCCATGCACCCAGATTGGGAACCAGATACGCACCCTCCCCCAGCGAGGTATACGAAGCCCTTATGTCTGTCAGAGGTCCTTCTATTACCCAGTTTTTCTCGTCTCCCTCCGCAGGTTCTGCCGGTACAACATTTCCTGCTGCCTTCGCTAGCTTCCTCCCTGCGCGCGCATAAATTAAGACTTTTTCCTGAAGAAAAAAGTCAGTATCCTGTATCAATCTGTTGCATTAGCACCTGCCCGGTCTACGTATCTGAGAGTAATATTTTGGCAATCAAGTTTAAATCGATGATCATGCTATAACATACCTATACCCGAGATGAACTCTGTGAGACTCGTCCCTTGCACCCCAGGTGCTCATTTCCGGACTTGGCTTGGGGGATTCCGGCAGCGGTGAAGCATGACAGCTTATCAACAGTGACAAGGAGGCTAGGAGCAGGAGGAATGACCGCGAGACGTGCATGATTATCAGCAATGAGTAGGCGAAGAAGTATTTTGATCTAAGTTGGTTGAGGTTTTCTTGCTCTTGCTAGAGAACCAGCTCTAGACTTGGGGGCGTGAAGAAAAAACCTTTGCGGGGGCACCAGCTTTTATGTAAAAACGATTAGTTATGTACTTTCATCGCTATTGTACTTACTTGACACGAGTACAACCCTGAAAACAGCGGTTGTACCAAGTCGTACCCTGCTGCGAGCGCACGGAGCGTACCTGACTGACTAGCCTGACCGACGGAAAGGTGTAATATGCGATGCATCTAAATTAAGATACCATCTGATTCCATCTTCAGGTTCGGGCTCGGACGCGGTGTCGATATCGTTGTATCAGACTGTGAGGGAGGTGTTTGATGATTTGAGGATGTCGACAGAGAGGTTCTGGAGACTTTGAAGAATGCAGAGGTGGATATGGTCGAAGGTAGTAGCGACGAAACGGAGACTGAGACTGAGACTGAGACTGAGATAGGTCAAAGACATTGTCCAGCTCTCTTCTAAACGTATCGAGTACCCACAGCGCAAACTCCAACGCAAAATTCTACCTCCATCTCCGTTCCTAATTCCCATCTTGATACCACGACAAATACACCCCTAACCCAAACATCCGACATCTTCGAGAACGAGCACACCACAGATACTGCAGCCAATACGACGACTCTTCAAAGACAAAAAAGCGTGCAAGTATCACTTCAGCCAACTCATTCTGTAACGCCGCTTGTGATCGAGTATGACAACGAGTACGGGAATGATCCATTTTCACTTCGAAGAACCAAAGTAAGGTTATTCAACAGTCAGTCAGGCTTGGAGGGGGCAGATATGCAGATTTGAGACGATTGACGCAAAAAATCAATCTTGGTGAAAATCGGTAGTTGACCTCCTTCGAGCAAATGCTCATGTACGTTCCATCGAATGGGCGAATTTGGATGCTGTTGCATTTGAATGACATGTTCGCGGATGTTCACTAGCGCTGATGAGCAGTGAGAGAGGAACGAGGAGGAAGGCACGCGGCATATCCAGCTCGCGATAAACTTGAGGAGATTACATGTGTATGAAACTCAAATGTCAGCCCAGCAAGCAGTACATGTTTTGCAGGAAGCTCGTACGCATGTACATAGACTGAAGCTGAAGCCTCAAACATGGTAAAAATCCATAAAAAACGCGGAGTCCGGACGTGTATACAAAACACGTGGTTTTACACGCTATGATTGGTCGATGACGGTATTACCTTGAAAAGGCTTTCTTCGATACCCCCATCTCAACTTCTATCTCTCTTCTGGTCCCATCTATCACTGTTATATCTTTTGTTATTTTGTCAGGCGAAGCCCCTTGAACGCCATTCAAGCTCACTGGTATCCTTGCCGACATCTATACCGACCGTCCTAGCTTGAATTCTGTCCTTGTAACAGACGACATGTTCAGCTTTTTTTCGCGTAAACCAGTAGCCGAGCCAACTGGGAAGAGCTCGAACACGAATATTATCAATGAATCTTCGGCCCAACTTGGCAACAACGAACAACTACGGACTCCCTCACCATCTGTAGACTCCGCGATAAGCAAGCACAATCATAATCTATCTCCCTCTCGAGATGCCGTACATGGACCTCCGATAACTCCTTCACCACCCCCGCCAGACGTCAATGCTCCAGATAACATTCTGGACAAAGACCTCGGACTCATTGTTGATCCTTCAGCATTGCATTCTCTCATATCATCTGTACCGTCGAAGACAGTTCACGAGTACATCTTAACACATCTAATACCGCCAGCCCGAAGCTCAACAAAGGCGAACACCAATATCCATCCACCCTCATCTTTAACGCTCACTCATCTCACCTCGTTCTTCTCAAGCCTCACTCCACCACCACAGCTTCACTGCGTTCGGTGTCATAAATTCTACTACGAAGTAGAGAATGCCGAACGTAGCTGTTTAGTCCCGCACGACGATGAAAGTGCTGAGGTTGAGCGTGTGGGACTTGGGAGGGGAGCTGATACGCAATACGAGACACTGTATAATTGTTGTGGGAGAACTGTTGAAGGAGAAGGAGATATGGGTCCCCCGGATGGATGGTGTTACGAAGGTAAACACACGGTGAGCTCATTGTTATTCTTTTCATTTATGAAGATCAACGGGTTAACAATCCGTTTTAGTCTGATACCAAGCGCGCTCGGTTTCGCGCCGACTCCACCATGTACGACGATAAACTAACGTCCTGCGACCGTCTCAAATGTTTCGAGCCGCCGGCGTTAGACGATTCCTCATCTGAGTCTGAATCCCCCTCACGTCGTCCTCGAAAGCGGAAACGCTCTGCTCGTAAACGTGAAGAAGCCGATGCCGAAGAACAATCTATCGGAGATGTCCAAATGCACGAGATAGACGGGAGAGGCGATGATGATGACGATGCCCGAAGTATCACCAGTACCCGCTCACAATCTCGGTTGAAGAAGAAACTCAAATCGGTGCCTACCTCACCCCTAGCTTCCACCTCCGCTTCTATGCCTATTTCCGCTCCCCCTACTTTGACTACCAAATCTACTTCAGCCTCAACATCCAAAATCACGTCCAAACCACGGAAAAAGCGTGCTAAAGCTAAACACGATGATAAACCGTTCAAGCCTGAGGCTTCGCCTTTTGAGGATGACGACGACGAAGATATGGATGTAGACGATTCGGCGTCGATATCCACCAAGCGAAAGGCGAAACGGGTATCGAGGATGACGATTACAGGGAAGGGTAAAGCGAAAGCTTCCGACTCGACGTCTGCCGTTGAGTTCCCTACTGCTGGTGGTGCGACTGGTAGCGCGAGCCCCAGCTCTAGATCTAGCCCTACTCGTCCCGATGCATCTGCATCAGGAGACGAACGACGACAACGAAGACGTAGTCAACACAGTCATAGTGTATCTTTTGCGCCGACTATGGAAGTAGCCTTAGACTCATCAACAAAGACTGCTTCAGGGTCGGTATCAAAACTTGGGTCAAAGAGCGTGTCGAGTTCTAGCAAACAGCGATCCACTAACCCAAGGCCGCAGGCAAAGAAGAAATCGGAGGAGGTATTGACATCGAGCATTGATGGAGGAGAGACTTGAGTGATAAGCCGCGTTGTTATCTTGATATTGCCATTGTCCATGTATAATCGCACTGGTAGCGACTGCATGAGGCACATTCTTCCTATTTTCCCTTGTCGTATATTTAACGAACTCAAACTGACGAGACTATAGACACTCCTTCATATCCAGTTTTCTTTATGTGATTTCCACTATCATTTACTTATGTGAATGCAAATTGCAATTCATCATCCCTTCGCAAGCTATTTGCTTTTGTCCTTTGACTTGCCTGCATCATTGTTCAAGCTAGGTTCATACGAAAAGTCTCAGGAATGAATAGTTTCAAAGCTATCCACTGACAACTATCCTCTGAATAATGAACATTTCCCCTTCACCATATGCTAGCAACTACACCAGAGCTACACACTGATACAGTACATCATTTGTATGCTTATAAATCTAGCTGCCCCGGTTGTCAAGTACCTGTTGAAGCATGTTCTCCAGTTTGGAAAAACGATTTTCGAATGTTTCAAGTCGAACTTCCACGGCTGCGAGCTTCTCTTCCAAGGTAAGTAGCCTTGCATCTACTGTCGGCAGATCCGCTGGCTTAATCGTTTTAGGAATGCGAATCAAATGGTGTTTGTGCTTGTGCAATTTGCCCGGGCCTTTCGGATCCACCGGGTTCATTGCAGTCTCACAAGTATCGCAGATATATGTGTCCCGCGCTGTGTTCGAAAGAGGTCAGCCATAGACGTCATTTGGCTATCATGTATCATGCTCACGGCAATGCAAGCAAATCCAGCATGGAGCGTTCACTTCTTTTGAACAACAACAACAATGCGTTTCTGCTCGTTTAATTTTTTCCACTCTTGAGCTTGATCCCTCGGGCAGGGTTTGATTATACTTGGACCAGAGAAGCTCCCTGATTCGTGCAGCAATGCTCTGAGCTTTAGGTATCGCCCAAGCTAGCTCTCCGTCGTGGATCACACTATCCACCTTGAGCATTGCATGAGTCAAGGTATGAGAAAATGAATCTCTCCTGACTGCTTTATCTCTGCACCCCGAACATAGGTCCAAAGTGTTCGAAAAATTGGGCTCAATGCATGTAAGGCAGATGAACCTCCTTTCAATGATCCCTCTATGACAACCATCACATTCAATACCCCTGTGTATAAAAGATCTAAATAAATATGCAGTCCAAAAGCAAGGGTGAAAGGCACCTCACAGGTGAGTGATAAACTCAACATTTGCCAATGATGGTATTAGAGAGTAGTAGAATCGAGCATCTGTAGGGTGCAGCTTTGCAATCAAAAGACGGAATTCCAGCCTCTCGTCTTTTTTCAGCGGATTTGCAGGGCTGAGGCTCTGAGCCACTTCTCGGCGTAGTACCAAAGCAAGAAAGCGCCTCCTCTCGATATTCCGGCTCTTCAAGTAATTCCAGGAGTATTGTGTTCTTTGTACTTGATCCAAAACAGCTCCAATCGCAAATACCCAGCGCTCTCGAGCACTGTTGCTCCTCTGATCAAGAACAGAGTGGAAGCGCCATGCGAATGCGGGAGTTCTGGTGAAAAAGAAAGTGTTTGTCTCTCCACTGGCTCTATCTCCTGCTTGGTTTGTATGGTGCTCTCCCTCTTTGTTGGCTTCGAGTTCATCTTCATCAACAGCATCGCTATTTTCCTGTTCCCTTCCGTTGTCATTTCCATCACTGTTCTCCGTTTCTTCATCAGTAGAACTGGCTTTACCACTAAGGGTCTCCAATTTCGGATCATACTGCCCTTCACAAGTGAAAGTAGCTTCCCAGTTTTCAAAGGTCAAAATTAAGGTTAGCTTATTATCCAATGAAATGCTTCCAGAAACATTCATGAGCCCGCGGTATGCTTCTGCAACTCCAGTAATCTTCCTGTCTGAATCGATGTCCATGATAAATATTTGTATAAGGCCTTGAACTGAGTAGAATCCCTTAGAATCATGAGCCAAAATGTGTCCAGCCCAGTACCCGGAAAGACTGTGATTTGGAATGTAATCCTGGGGGTGGAATGTTGCCATTGAGTGTTGATATATTTGTGATTCCATTTCATCTCGCACTCCATATTTGAGGATATCAAGTGGAATCTGAACTATTGTCTCTCCGGAGTCGCCTTCAAAATTGGCCGCTGTCCTTTCATCTGCAAAACCTGTCTGTTCGCCAGAGCAAGGGTACTAGCTGGAGAGCACTCTCCAGCACCCAAAGCACCGAGAGCAAAAATTTCAGCTTGCTCTAGGTGCTTTGGCTGCTGGGAAGCGCTCTCAGCTGCTCTCAGAGAAATAGCCGAAAAAACAGGTTTTGCAGATGTTGTTCCTCCTCATTCCATGGGCGAAGTGAACTTTTACTTCGATCCTGTATGCAATCATCATCATATGATAATTGAAGCTACCCAAAGGGAATAAATATGATGCAAATGCATCAGCAAGTTCCTCGATGTATGAAGGGTATAATATGTATAACAGTATTTCTATCATGCTGTATCATACAGGGGATATACTTAATGCCAAGTTAGTTCAGGATACCCATCAGTATAATGCAAATACAGCCAATTATGTTCATTATGCACTCTCCATACGACGCTCATACATGGCCCAATTGAATATATTTTGTGATAGTATCTATGATGCAGGCCCCTCTTGCAACGACGTGAGGGCCTGCTGGAGAAGATGGCTTGTTTTTCGAGCACGCACAGTGTGAAATTCAACTGCTAGCCTCTGCCGATCATCTGTAAGCTCATATTCACTGAGCTTTGTACTATCTTCCTGTATTTTCTTCTCCAACGTCTTCCGCATCTCTGCCTCATCTTTTGAGTTCATCTCTAGCTCCTTGACCTTCAATTTCAACTTGTTAACCTCCACTTCCAACCGTACTGTGTCAGTATAATATTTATTCCGACGACCACAAATATAGTTAAAACGAGTCTCTGCCTCCTGTAACCTGGCCTTGTTTTTGGTCTGTTCCGCTTCGAGGGTCTGTATCCGGGCAATGAAGAGTTGCTCTATATAACTAATGAGTATGAAAACAGTAAAGACTAAATTCTGTACCTCTAGATGTCTCGATATTGGTTGCCTCATCGGTAATTTGGGTTTCCAAATGACTAGTATCAATGCTGCCAGCGTGGTCAGTTTGTGAACCAAGATTTTCAGGCCTACATGGTAAGTTGTGTGAATATAATGCAAAGAATGTAAGATAATAGTACGAACATTTTGTTAGTCAATCGAAGCTTCTTATTTGAGTTGTCTAGTTTTGGATGCAGGTTAGACGTCTCATCTCTAGAGTGTTTGATAGTTCCAGCCCTCGGCACGCATAAAACAACAGGAGAGTGAGGATCTTCAGGCTGATGAGAAGGAGGTGGAGTCACATTATTTGCTCCCATAACCGCGAAACAACACGACCGTAAATGACAGACCAATCTCAATCATGTGATTGACTTTGTTTTCTTGCGAACGAGCCAGCCTGTTATCTGCGGCAGTGGCCAACTACATGGGCATTAAACTAAAAGGTGCTTTCTCATTTCGTTCAATATCTTGCTTTTCTCAATGCCTATTTTCTCTTCACAGGTGCTGGGTATATGTTCTGCCTTGTTAGTTGAAGCATGGATGCCAACATCACAATCAACGCATCATCTCACTTGATGTTCAAATGCGTCCTCAGGCTCTCAAAATCTCACCCTCTCATTCATATTCCCTGAACTCAACATTCAGCACATGCCATCGGTCAATTTCAGTTAGGTTAAAGCAATCGAGGGTCAAATAGGCAGATCTGGTGCGCTCTTCTATCCAAATGCTTGTTACATATACTTAATGGACTCTATGACTTCCCCAGCGCTCACATACATACCATCTTACCCTTGCTCCATCTCTAACTTCCTCTTTTTGCCTCTACACATCAGAATATTAGTAGCTGCGAGTATTCAGTCTGTCCCGAGCTCCCAGCCTGCAATGAGGATGTCTTACGGTACATAACCTCATGAAACCAGTGACCTATTTCCATTCTCAACGTAGTGGCATCATGACTCTTTTCAATAAAATTCAACTCAAGATTTCATTAGCATGATAGTCTGCATATTTGTTTACATAGAACAATTTGAACGCTTGAAGTGACTGATGAAATTGCAACTCTGAAGGCAAGGGATGTGAGCCATATACAGGAATGAGATGGACGGCGCGGATCAACGTATCCAGGTGTATGACTGCGAGACAAGGATTCCGGCCTGCTTGGTCCCTAAATGCAGGCCGAACCATCCAAAGGCCAGTTTTGGAGTCATGTCGCCGGCCGTAGGTGTTATACCAATGTACGAGAGCACAGGGATATGTGATTCCTTCATGCCGAAATGAGAACAAGAGAAGCACATGTGCTGCACTCATGCCCCGAAACCCGGGTTTGTCCTCATCGACAGTAACCAGAACACAGTCCCGTCTTTCAACACCATACCATGACGGAGTACAGCGAATGCGCTCCTGCTTCATTCCTCTAATACCAGAGTCATCACTTGGGGCAAAAAATACAGCAACGGCAGAATGATAGACGTTGATCTTCGAGGTGATTTCGGGAAGATCAGATTCAGAATTAGAGGTGGAAGAAGCACTCGAATCATCTGCCAGTTCCAATTGATCATGTAGAAGTTGCCGTGTTAGGTATTCAAGTGCAGGCTGTTGGATATAGATTGCAAGCTCGGCCATATAACGGGGATACTGAGTTTCTATTGGCTTTGAGTAAATTTAAAATTGCATAATTATGAGAAACGTACCCCGAGTTTTAGCTAGCTTGACATCTGCTTGAGCCCGCCCACTATCTACTGGACCAACGTCTTCATTCTCAGGATCAAATGGTGCAGGTAGAGCTCTTCGAGAGGGAAGTAGAAGGTGATTCTCCACGAGCTGCGAACGTAATGCCGATAATTTGTCAAGGCGTTGGTTTGTCAAAAGCATTTGGCTGAGGGCATTATAGCGATTTGAGCGGCGCCAAGGCTTTTTGACGGCTGTGATATGTCGGGATTCTGTGATGGATGAGCAGAGGCCATTGAGGGAAGCGAATTCCATGATCGAGAAAGGGTAATGAACCATAGAGTGCAATCGCGGGATCGAGAAATGTTCCCGAACACCAGAAGTTTGAAAGATATCACGGTAATGATTGAAGGTTGCAATTGCGTTCTCGATTGATTTTAAAGCTGTTTCATCGATATCGGAGCGCCGAACCAGATAACAGAAGTCCAAAAATGAAGCAATACACTTCGTCATGTCCTCAGGAAGGTATTCAGCAATGGCGGGTAGAAAAATCTTGAAATACATCTTCAAAGAGATACGGAAAGGGAAAGTTGAGGTATTACACACCTTCATTAACGCTTTGGAGTCATCTCCTGTCCACTGTTTGAACCTTCGGCCATGAGGGAAGCGGCGTAACCCAGGGAAAGCAGGAACAGTTGCAAGTCGTCGGTCTATATCATCTAAAATCACATCCGCTTGGGTCTCGCCATGTTCAATTTTCAAGTACTCGATCACCCATTCAACCAACATATCCTTGAAGCATCCTTTAATGATTTGGTGCAAGATGTCAGGCGACAGCATCTCATGAATATCAGCTCTTGGGAAGTATTCTGTGAAAGGCTGTAACAAAATAGAATTATGATTTCAATAAAGCCTGACTAACGAAGAAAGACAAACTTTAACATGTTCATCCATCCCAAAATTGTCCCACAGTGTGCGTCCTTCTCCTCCATATTCTTCTCGCAAAATTTGATCTAATCCTCTGGTTCGACGATTTCCTGGGCCTTTATCGAGTTGATCAAAGAGAGCATCGCATCTGACAAGATTACGTTCAGCTTTGGTAAAGACAGGAGTGATAAGATTAAGCTTACCGTCCACACTATCCTGAGACAATACCAGCCAAATAAACCTGTTCTGGATAGTCCGCTATGAATGCCGCTAGATCATATATTGCACGCCGAAAATGCCCATCTGGGCACCGTATCACAACTGGCACTTTCATACCAGGTTTGAGAGACCGAAGGATAGCGGCTATTGAGATATGATAGAGTTTCTTTCTGAAAATGCGGAAATTATGGTCCTTGTCGTACTTTCGATCAGCTGAGAAATGGTCGAACAATTCAAAATGAGAAGTCATAGATTTCTCAGAAACGCACATTTTGGAATTGCCAAGAAACCAATGGGAATGACAGCATTGCGATGAGCTCGTCGTGCACCATTAGTGACATTACCAACAGAGAGGTAGAGGGGATGATATTCAACATGACCTGTTGCAACAGAGACTGTAGTTTTATCGGCCCCGAGTATTATCGGAACTATCATAGAACCGTTGGTACAGCCTTCAGTGTCCTCCTCATGGATTTGCGTCTGTGGACCAGAATATTGAATAAGCCTTTCATGAAATCAACCATAAACAAAGTGAACGTACTGCATGCCTCCATGCAAAATTCCCAGACATGAAATCAGCCCAACGTCTCGTGCCATTGCTACCCAGGTGAACATAAGGTGCGGGGTTGAAGTCCTGGCTGAATTCTGGATTTCCAAGTATGTTGGCAATAACTGTCTCGGGATCTCGATACCAGACCTGATATGAAGTCTTTTGCCATTCCGGAGCATCTGGTCGTAACTGATCATCTACAACTGTCTGAAAACATCTCCATGAAGCACCCCCATCAACGATTGAGTCGATTATATTGTACATATCATCATGAGTGTCGAAGGGAGCGCCAGTACTATGCGAGTCATCTCCACTTGTTGTTTGACGTTGGTACAGAGTCCAGATATCGAGAAGCTCATTGATATTTCCTTGAGACATCTCAACGTTCTTGAAGAGAAGATCCGCCAATCGGAACTGAGCTTCACCACCAAAGGGAGCCCATGCGTTTTCTTTAGTAGGTTGTGGAGGTGGAGGGGTATTTGAAGGAATGAATTTCCCCTCTTCATCGCATATTTCCCCTGTAGGTTCCAATCAGTACACACCAGTCAAAAGCTAACTCTTCGACTAACCTGTAAGATATGGATGATATTTTTTCTGGCTGATAGGCGGTGGAGGGAGAGATAGCTCAGGTAATGGAGGACTTGTTGGTGCATTAAAGGAGTCAACATCCAGAGACGGAGATGGATTGCGAGAAGTTGTTATAGGTGTGACCAAGTAATTCCGGTGTGCACTATTAACGTGCTTGGTCAAGTCACCAGCCTTTCTAAAGGTCCGAAGACATCCAGGAATTCTACATGGTAGGCGGGACATCATGGTCATTCAGTCAAAAAAATCGTTGAAGTAACGGTCACCTGGAAAAAACCTCTGTCGGGACATGTTTCACGTACTCTGACACTTTTTGACACCTGTATTTTCCTTACAAATTTTCTTCCTTGTAATATGGCCTCACGCATGTCCGACCGTATCCGTTCCAAAAACACTGGAAGTGTTGTACCCAAATCTCTGCTTCCTAAATCTCGAGAGCAGCAAGCGGCACAGCGCAAAGAAAAAGAAGACTGGAAAGTAGCACAACAAGAAGCCGAAAAACAAAAAAAAGAGAATGCCAAAATCCGTGTGGCTAAACAGCTTGATACTCAGGGAGGCGAAGACCTTTCTCTACTTCGCCCTGATCTGCAGCCATTAATCCTACCACTGCAACAATTGCAACAAAAACCCGAACAGGGCTTAACCACACTTCCAGGTACGTTAACCTGTATTACCTTCACTTCTCTTTTGCTGACATGCTGAAGACCATGGGTTGGGCTTGGGACCAGGAGGACCTTCAGTGACTGACTCCCCTGCCAACCTGAAACCGCCAACAACAGACTGTGACAATATGACAACTACGACTGTAAAGGAGGGATACAGAGACCACAGTGATGACAGTGAAGATGATGAAGAATTGAAGCATCTCGAGCAGGAGCTTGTAAAGAAGCGGCAAGAAAAAAAGGTATGTTAGCTTGACGTTATAAGACCTTACTAATTTCAATCATAGGCTCAGAAAACTGCTCTGCGTCGCGCTATTACTGCTGCACGTGTGGAATCACCCAATGAATCTATTACGCCTATCAAACGACCAGCAGTTGGTATTCCTGAAGGCGAAACAGAGTAAGTGAAAGCTTGTGAGCTGTTCAAACAACTTACCATCATTAGGTCCAAGAAACGCTCCAAATTATCAGAGATTGGCGGTCTGGTACCTGCATGGAAAAGCATCCTCTCCGCTCAAGGCAAAATTTCAACTGCTCAGCCACCACTGGATGTAGAGCCCATAGATCTCGGAGAATTTGGTCAAGATGATACTGCAGACACCCTTAAGATTCAGCGTGCTGGAAAGAGTCATCAGAAAGAGCAGAAAATTGCTGCAAAGGTATGGACTTGTTACTTTCAGAACTAAAGATTGATGATACGTGCAGGACATAGTAGAGGTAAAGCTTGAATCAGTCGACGCCGACCTCATTGCAAATGAGGAACGTGTGACTGGGAAACCTGCACAGCCGCCTAAGTCCAGCCGTAGGATGAAGACAGCTGACGTTCCCTTTGTGAATGCTGGCGACCAAGATGTTTGGAATACCCGTATACTTCCTGCTCTCATCGAATGGAGTGGCACTCGACAAAGTCAATTCAATATTAATGCTGATCCCGAGTTGCGCTCTAAAGTCCGGGATCTCTGGAATATTCATCTTGCCACGATTCCTCCACACTGTCTAGACCAAAAGGGTAATACCATATTATGCTGTGACCACCCAGCGATCCTTTCCTATGTCCGCTTTTCACTCTCCTTCCTTGTTGAATACATAATCATTATATTTTCAGGCCCAAAACAAACTGCGGACCTACAGAAGCCATATTGGACGGAATGCAATGCGGATCGTTTCGGACTATGTGGCAAACAATGCCAGTACTGTGCCCGAACGTCAGGAGATTGTTCAAAAGCTTCTCCGGAACAATGCTTTCATTTATGAGAAAGTAGGCGCAACGGTGTGTAACCAAATTGTTATTGCTGGTATCATTCTAACAGCTTCTATAGCGAGACTTGTCATCAGGAGCATGGCGCGGTGAGCTCCTTATGCAAGCATTTGCATTCTACATTACATGGGCTCTGTCTGCTCCGAAGAACGATTTGGATTCCATATCTGATGAGCCACATTTCCCGGTCGGAGCGTTAGCTCTCACTGCGGCTGCCGTATGAACTCCTTCACATCTTCTTTCTGAGCTCGTTTGTTCATTGTAATTTTTATAGGTTAAATGGGCGTTAACACTCTGGGAACCAGGTTATAAGATAACCCAGACTGGTACGGAAGAAGATCAACTCGAAGAATCTGGAGACTCCCCAGAAGCCAAAACCAAAACCAAAAGGAAACATAGCGGTAATCCGAAAGCTCCCCGTAATCATACTCATAGTTTTGGTGAACGCTGGAGTTCCGACTGCAACAAATTTCAGGAATCAACGACGGTCCTAGCTGAACCGAAATGGAACTTAATCTTTGCCGCTGCTGAAGTACATCTGCTCGGGGTCCCGAATGCCGGAGCCGGACCTGGTCTGAAGGAACTGCGGAGGGATGCACAACGAGCGGTAGCTGGAATGTCTGTCACGTCAACAGGAAATTCGGCTAAGATTGAAGAAGAACCAGATGCAATCGTCCTCTCAGACTGAAGCTTATCACGGTCCGTACTAGTACTCTGGGTTCATTATCTCTCTGTCACTGCTAACTTGAACTGCCCTTCAGAAATTCTCATCGCAATTCATTCTAATGGAGCATACTGGTCATTGTTTATCTTCAGTTATATCTACTAGTACTCATACTTTCCCTGTATATATGGATAAATATCGCTATAATACCTCGATTTAACTTGTATGAATATTGTATGAGCATTTCTAGAACCGTATAAGAATGTTATGAGCTGTATATAACTGGGGTATGACTGTGTATGAGAGATGGTATGAGAGATGGTATGAGAGATGGTATGAGAGATAGTATGAGGAGGTATGAGGATATGGTTAGAAGGAAGTATGAGTGATGTATGATATGGTATGATTTGGGTATATTCAATACGTACCCTCCTGGGCTGTCATACAAGCCTGTCAGTGTATGATTATGTATAATCAGTATGATATTATACCGATTATATGGAAAGGAACTTGCTGATGTGATAACCTCAGAAATGCAACTGACCAAACCAAATGCAAAATTACCGAGGCGTTTTAGGACATCGGGCACTGTCTGTTGAAAGATGGCTAAATATGCTCTAGCTGTCAGTCCTATACTTATTATGTCGAAGCAAGGAATAGTCTCTACCTGCCAAGCCTGAAATACGATCATCTAACATGGCGAAGACATTGCACAGTGACATTGTATAGTCCCAAAACTCTCGTTCATCCAAGATATGTGTTCGAGCAAGATAAAAAGCTTTCAGATGTCTCCTCAGAAGGAGATAAATGAGTGGAAGTATAAACTGTAGGAAAATGTATTTAGGTCAGTAGCCTATGAAGTTGCATGGATCTCACCCGCTCAATTCGTCCTGGGCCACATCTGCAAAACCTGTTTTTTCGGCTATTTCTCTGAGAGCAGCTGAGAGCGCTTCCCAGCAGCCAAAGCACCTAGAGCAAGCTGAAATTTTTGCTCTCGGTGCTTTGGGTGCTGGAGAGTGCTCTCCAGCTAGTACCCTTGCTCTGGCGAACAGACAGGTTTTGCAGATGCAGTAACAAGAGCTACTGTTGCCGGAGTATCAATGTCATAAGCCACACGCTCTAGATTTTCCTCCAGCCTTTTCTCCTCCGAACTGGAGTAGGTATCAATGATTTGCTCAAGCCTCACATCGTTGATGTTGTTGTTACCAAGTGGCCGCAATGAGCGAAGAAGCAGATCGATACGATAAAACATCCCCAACTTCAAATACTGGTCAATCTTGGAGCGGTTTGCAGGTAGATTGCGTTTGTTGTTTGGCAATACAGTACGTGTATTGTAATCAATAACTTTGAACATTTCGTGAATTACGGCGTGGATCTTGTCCTTGTATTGGGCTATGACTACATGCCATCCTATGGTGGGACAAAATATTCTGAGAAGAAAACACATTGCAAATGAGATTGACAGAAGACTAACCAGTTGCCCAGTACGCTATCCATACTGGAAGACTGTACAGAAAATTATTTGTCGGCTTATTAGATGGCTCGGAGGTGATTGATATTAGTCTCACCTCCAGCCTTTGGGTTTGGACAGAGCAAAAGTGTTAACTTCCTTGATACTGATGAATCCGGTCCCATCATCATCAATGGCTTCAAGGATTGGTTGTACTTTTGAGATATTGATATACTTGAGAGCCCATCTATCATCTTTTGGGAGAGCTACCACTGGCCAGTTGCTACTGGCTATTGAGGTGGGAGTGATTGGGGATGCAACTCTGCTCAAGCCAGTTAGGTTCTCAATGTAGAAATCCTGCAATGCAAGGACAAAATGTCGGGCCTCCACACTCCCTTTCCAATCCTTGAGTTTCACAGTTAGAATGGTGAGATAGTGCAGAGGACATTACACCTGCATTTTCCTTCCATAGAGCTTGCATATCCTTCAATGAATACTTAATCTTGCACTTCTAATAAGGGAAAATTGCAACTCACTGCATCAATGATTCGGTCATGAGCTCCTGCTTTCAAAGCAGAAACTATGATTAAACCTTCACTGTGAAATGAATCCTTGATAAATGTTTGCATCTGTTTCTCCTGCATATGCATCTTTCTCTCGAACAGTTTTCGATTCATTTGGAAGGTCTTGTCCAAATCTTCATGATAATCTTCACTGAGCTTCTTTCTTGCAGCCTCAAGATTTTTTGCATTGTCACCTGTGCTGATGGATGTGATTGCTGAAATACCCTCTCCACTGATATTAATAAGCATCTGCACAAGCTGATCATCCTGGAGACAAGCCTTTGGTCCACCATGCATATCAATGAAATCTTTAAGATCCTTTTCCCTAGATGTATCCAATTTCTGAAGTAGTGCTGCCATGGCAACCTGGACATGCTCCATTTGCAAAGAGAGAGTATCAAGTTTTGTGTTGGCAGAGTCAACACCAAGAACTGTGTGAATACTTAGAGCAAGTTTAAGCTTTTTATGGTGTTCCGCAAAGATATCTCCATATGCTGCTAGACGGGCCTCATATTTTGAAGACTTCAAAGTTTTAGCTAGCATAGATGAATTATATCACATTACAACATAAATAAGGATGCCAAAGACGCAGTACCCACCAACAAAACTCTTTTTTATATAGTGATCACATGCTGATCCTACTTCGGTGATATCTTCAGCTATTTTCTTCACGAGGGTACCCATTCTGTTTTCCATGGTATTTCCGTCAGGATCCTCCTGATCTGGATCTTTTACATGACGAAGTCTGAATGCCACTGAGCTGAGTGTGTAAGCCACATTCCAAGAACTTACTCAAATAAAATCATCATTGTGTCCTGGATCTGCATCTTGAGTGCAATGACCTTCCAGTTGTTATTTCTCCTGGTGAGATCCATGGTTATCACCAGAGAGAAAGCCTTTGTGGCAACTATTTGAATTAAGCACCTCCTCCAAATGCTGAAACTTGATACACACTGCCAATAAATGGATGAAGCTGACTGAGCGACTCCAGACCCCGGACAACAATTGGACAGTACTCTATAAATGTCGACATTGTTGCTTCGATGTCCTTCAATTCGCCATTGAGGTTGACTAGGGTTGCAGCTGCTGCCGCAAGGGCAGGCTGGTTCTCATTGTAGAACGACATCATGCTATCATATGCAGATTGAGGTCTGGTGATGGCATCCAAAACTTTCTCCGCTGGTAATCAAGGTTCAGTGCCTCATGATAGACAGTTGTCTCAAAATACGCACAGATGGTGTCAGCTCTCTGTTGTGGTTTTGACAATTCATCTTTCTGCAGGGTATCGTTCGTTCTCCAAGCTTGATTCAAGACTTGTCGATGTTGGGCATTTTCATCGTCCGGATTGGGTGCTTGGGGTTCGGTGATGAAGATCTTGGGCAACGGCTTATCAACTCGAGACATGTTTCTTAGAGAGGTTTGGAGTATGGGAGTTTTACCAAAACGTTCAAGATGTGCCTTTGGAAGAACAGACCTTCAAGCTCTAATGATCTCTCTTCTTTTAAATGTGTCCAGTCAGTCGCTTGAGATTTCCCAGGTGCTACGCTCAACTCCACGGCCGGTATCGTGAAGATGTACAAGAAAAGATCTATGTAGCGCTTACCATTAAATTTCATCACAAACTTTATCTAGTAGGCAGAAGGTCAATGAGTTGACGGAAAAAATAGTTGTGTCAAGGCAGGCGCTTGAATAAGTATTGGTGGGAGTGACACTTAACACGGAGAGTCATAAAGAAGGAATATACTTGACCTTGCGCGGTCCAGAACTTGGCGAGGAGCCGAGGAGCGCCAAAAAGACACACATCGAACGGAAGAGATGTTCGTTCTCACGGGTCCGGGTGTTTCCGAATCCTAGGTCGATTCCTCATGTTCAAGTCGTCTGATGCATGCAGAATGACCGATCCTCAATCATATACTTACCCAAAAAAAGCTTTCATGGCTGTCGCTACCTCTACCTTCTCCCAGCGAGATGCATTGGCTCAATACTTTGTACTCAACGGCGCTGCTGCTTTCGATTGCACAACATATGCAACAATCATCCGCTCAATTGGTCCAGATTCCTTCTATAAAATCATTTTCAAGATCTGTTTCCAATTTCGTCGTTGATACCAGTATACAGATTGTCGTTGATGTGGATTTCGCTCACAATTTCACTGGCGGCTTTCCAACTCTGGTTGGATTCGCTCAGACATTCCGTGAAGATCTTATCTCAGTTACGGGATTCAGTAATATTTCCGAGGTGCAGACAGGGAAAGTATCAGCGGATGCTACTACTTCCACGGTGTTCTTGACGCTCGGTCCTTCGAGCTCATCTAATCTGACATTATTCAATGGAAAATCCACTGGAGAAGGATACGAGTTTGAGGTTGCACAGAAGTTGTATACTATCCGAGGTGTCGAGGCAATTGGAGCCTGGTGGGGTATGTTATTCGTTCTATCCGTACGACTACCCTCATTCAAAAAATTGCAGGAACTAGGACGTTTTTGCAACAAGTCGTCCTTTCAATTGTCAATGGATCTAAGCCTGCTATGATTCCTACTGGTTCCGGTGAAGATAATCCCGGATGGGAAATCAGAGGGTTCATGCTTGACGCCGGACGACACTGGTTTGAGATTCCGTTTTTAGGTACTTGACCATTACGTTCCGCCTCCTCGCAGTTCCGGGTTGTTTAACAATTCTTTCAGCCGACCTCTGCGTTTACGCTTCATTCTTCAAGATAAATGAGTTCCATATCCACGCCTCGGATTTCTTTTATGATCCGTCTTTTCTGTATGGTGAAGATTGGCGCGAACTCTACACTGGATTCCGCTTCCAACCTTCTTCAGACTCTCCCATCTTCAACCTTGTTCCAGAATTAAACGAAAGCTGGACCCAAACCCAATTCTCCACGCTCCAAACGACCTGCTCCAACCATGGTGTCACGTTAATTCCCGAAATTGACACTCCAGCTCATTCGTTAGTGATAACCAAATGGAAACCAGAGCTTATGATCTCAGGAACTCCTGACTTGCTCAATCTCTCCTACCCGGAAACCATACCTACTCTCAAATCCATCTGGGACGAAATCCTTCCATGGTTCACATCATCCGAGATATCCATTGGAGCGGATGAATACTCAGCGTCTCTGGCGGATGACTATATCACGTTCGTCAATGAGATGGATGAATACATTTCCGGATCTAGCGGAAAGTCGATTCGGATTTGGGGCACGAGTGAGCCCAGTACGACCGAATCAATCTCTACCAATGTCACTATCCAGCACTGGTGGTTCCCCGGCGGCTCAATCCCTGTCCAACTAATGGATCAAGGCTATAGCATCATCAACTCTGACCAAGTGTTCCTTTACCTCGACGGGAAATTTTCCGATGGTGGCCAATTCCCCTGGACCCTCAACATTACAAAGATGTGGTCTGGTGCACCCGATGGGGAAGGCTGGGCACCGAATATCTTCTCTGCCGATGACCCAACAAATAACACCTCTATTGAGAATCCTCTTCTCCGAGGGTCCATCATGGCGTTATGGAATGATTGGGGGAACAATGCAACGACACCGCTGGAGGTGTATTACCAGCTCGCACAGAGTCTGGCAGTATTTGCTGAGAAGACATGGTCGGGTTCAGGAGTGAGAGCAAGCGCGTTGACCCAGGACGAGTTCCAGGAAGTCTACCCTGTCTTGAACGCTGCTGCACCTGGACAGAACCTTAATCGGGCTACGGGATTAGAGGATGGTTCAGTAGCGTTCAGCTATGACAGAATCTCTCAGTTTCCGCTCGAAACGTCTTTCGAGTCGGTGGGACCGCCATATACGTTATCGTTCAGCGTGAAGCCCCCTCCAACTACCAATACCTCAAGTACTCCTTTATTCCTCGGACTTGACTCTGTTCTATTCCTTGATTCTCTGTCCTTCAAAGACCCATCCACGAATTTGCGATACCCTCTAGGGGTAGATCTTCCTCCAGACGTGTTCACGTCTTTAGAGATTCATGCGACGTTGAATCATACCTACGCCTTGCTGAACGGGTCTTCTTCAGCTCTGTATTGGACGTCAAATCTGGACATATGGGGAGAGTACATGCAAACCGTGAATATGTCGTTCGCCGCTCCGTCATATATCATCGGGTTGGATGGGTTTGAAGGGGAGTTGGTTAATGTTAGTTTGAGGCTAGGAGAGTAAGCTTGACACAAGACACAGGCTCCTTACACATATTATGCCGCCCTCGGTCTACAGAGAAATGAGGAGATTATAGCACAATGGACCCGTAGGATGATTTTCTTCGCAATCGTTGGCATTTCTTTCGCCTTCATTTCTTTCGCCTTGAAGCAATCCTTTCTATTTTAGCAATATTTATGTGCTGAACCGTCCAGCAGCCTTTTGAGCCAACGTCAAACGAGGTGTGTTTTGCTGTGTTATGAAAGAATCGGGGCAGTGTCAGACTGTCAGTTGTACATGTATATCAAAGATCGCAAGCGAGACAATTCCTTTCTACCTCGCACTTATAAGTAGCCCATGTACCTTCTTTTCTTATTACCGGTCGCCTGGAGCGCTCCTTATCCTTCTTACCATACACGTCCCAGTCCACTCCAATTGCTCTCTGACATCGCTATCTACAGACTACGATTCCATTTATATCATCAATACCCAGTAGTACGACTCGGATGGTTCCCCTCCAGTTTTCCATTCTGTTTCTCATTGTCTCACTCTGCCCTGATTTTTTTGTTCCCGTCTATGCCTCTCCAATCAATTCTAGTGCTCTATATGATCGTGGCCTGAAGTATCCTGTCTATCCTAAGTTGGTTTACGAGTCAGGTTATGATCGAGTCTTTTTGGGTTATTGTTATGCTGAAAAGGCAAGTAAATGGAAGCAGTTGTTCATAGTCTAATCTCTGTGCTCTGTGTAGTCGGAAGTTCCCAAAATTACGCATCAAGCATATGGACTCAGAGCACTTGTGAATTCTGGTCGGCCGAAATTAATCAGTCCTGGATATTGGGAAAACCAGATTGGCCGCTTCCATTATCAGTAAGTAGTCTGGTCATTCAATACTGAACGCTGCTCACAAGTTTTGACTACCAAGAAATGAAATGCACAGACACAACGAACACAACAACCACGGCAGTCTGAGTCTGCACAGCGACAGCGACTCGGAACACGACGAGCACAAAGAGAGAAAGAATTATGTCGAGGTGCAGTGGCTGAAATTTTTTCGGAGATTGTCTTTTCGTATCTCATCGAACCTCATAGTTCAAGATAACGGTGAATGTACATGCGTTTTCCAAGCTCAACTTTGTACGTATCATAAGTAACGACTATCTTTTCATAGCCCCGCAGCGGCTGACAATTGATATTAGATATACACGTCGGCACTCCTTCTAGATGATGCAAGCACCATCAACTACCTTCGGTCGAAGGGATTGGACTCAGATAACACTCTCATCTTGTCACCAGGGCCCTACGTGGATACAAAACCGCAATACCTCAACAACCTCACTTTCACTTTTCCACCCAATGTTCTCCTTCGCCAGTCTTCCCCCACGAGAAAGGCTTATCACCGTAATCCTCTGCAAATCAACGCCGAGCCGACTGACGTGGGTGAGTAGCGGGCTGCCGCGTGGCTTTGAGTCTAATCTAATCATTTTCCGCCTTCCGGTTTCGTTAAAGAAAAAGCCACATCTAACGATTTTGCAAACTGGATGAAATGGCCCAAGAAAATCATCGATTTGCCTCCTGATATCAAGCCATGGTTGGACTTCACCATGGGGCCGTGAAACCTCACTTATTTCCTCACTTCACTCGTGCTCAGTGTCCGGACTACTTGCGACATACCATGTATGTAAGGGGAGCTTTAAGGGTGACATGTGTAATTCGATGGTGCGAAATCGAAGAAGTGGTTGCACCCAAAAACAAACAAGGCATTGTCGTAGAGACATTTGCATACGAATGACAAGATACTGTAAGAAAGAATGGAAATCTCCGCAATAAACAAGGACAGCGAGTTTGTTATTTGTTATAGACTGGTTCTCAGAGTACATGGCTAATGAGCTATACGACAAGTAGCGCCACTACTACAACGCCTAAAACCTGAGAATGATAGTCAGTGACCTGCTTCGAATGATGGAAAAGAGACCATGCGGGAAAAGAGATGGAAACAAATCAGAGAACCGGGAATCGACTCGGCAGAAAACAGCGGTTAGGCGTTCCCTGCTTCAGACGGCACTTCCTAAAGCATTCGGTCGAAGATCATCACAGTACAAGAAGAAAAAGGAAAAAAGAGAAGAATATGAAATAATTGAATTCTAGCTGACCTGTTGAGTTCAAATCCTCACAGTTACGCTATTCTCCTGGACCTTCAAGCTAGACACTAGTCTAAGGATATTTTCCTGGTCGCAGATAATTGTGTACAATGTGAGTGTGGTTGTAAGAGAGTCATGAGCTGGTCATGTTAGAAATTTTTTTCGCTGGGAATTTTCTGCGCGGTCACGTGCACTTACTCTTCCGGGCCGTCGTTTCACTTAGCTCAATACTTTACATAGAGTTTACTTCATCGACGGCAACAGTGACGACGAGCTTCTGCCCTGCTTTTACTCAAGCTCAAGCTTTACTTCGAAATAAATCTATTTAACGTTAGAGCTCTAGACTCCCTCTCTTCGTGCTATATAAAGGAAATCCTTGATGTACTTACTCAACTTCTGGTGCATTGAAGCAAAAAGTTGAAAACTCACCTCGAGCACTATGACTCTAGGAACTAGGCAGAATTTGCCAGCACCAAGGCCTTTCCAGGTGTGTTGTTGCCTTTCGGAACTAACTAGTGTCAATTATATCTGGCTTTTAGGAATGTGCACACTCGATGAATCCTGAAAAGTTTTCGTGAGTGTTATAAATAAATTCATTCGCTGAACTTATGTTTGCACACAGCAAACGATATCTGCGCCGCCACTCGTATGACGACTCTGAATCTTCCATGGGCCAAACTAGCCGCCGTCAGCTCCGTTATTGCAGAGCTGAACATGCACTCTTGATCTCCTTTCATTCTCATCTGGATACTTCACCCTCTGACAACACTACTAACGACTCTCTGCAAATACAATTACGGCTTCTTCACCAAGCAACAGCATTTCTTACAACTCAAGCAGCCGACGCTCGAGAGCGGTTGGATGCTTTGTCCAATGGCGTCTTGAAACGTTCGGATATCCAACCGGAAAAGCACAGGCAGGCCTTGATTGAGAGGTGGAGGGAGCAACGAAGTCTAGAGAAGATTGAAAGCGAGGTCAAACAAGTTGAAGCGGTCATTGCGAATATGAACGCAAATCGTTCGATCGCCACAGTGACAGACCAAAATCCAGAATCAAGAGCTCAGAAAAACCTGATCAGGTTTCTTCATACAAGTTCTCTTCGTCCAAATGCTCGACGTCTGCGGCCCCGTCCGCGGAGCACTATTTTGCTCGTAGACCGTACTCCACGTCGCATGACGCTCGCCGATGTTACCCCCATCCGTGCACGTCCCTGGAGCATCACGGAAGCTTTGATCAGGGAGCATGCACAACTGAAAAACGCTACTCCAGCTCTCATACCCGCCCCCCATGCAAAGATTTCGAATTCGCCGCCAGGATTTCAAAGACATGGCAAAAAACAGATAATGGCACTTTCCGGCTCGTTGGGTAGTATTTCAGAAGTCAGTTCTATGTTTGTGGCACTAAGGAATCAGGCAGACGGTGGACTGAAGGGAGACAGCACACCTTCCTCAGCCTTCACTTCTGTTTTTAGCCATTCCGAAGACACTGAAAGCGTGAGCGAGATCGACACGCCTGTTCCCGCAATCGGAGATTCCGGAAACGAGGCAACAAGCCCTTGTCCTTCTAACACTCCACTACTTCCCTCTCGCCTTGACATGCCTCCTACCCGCGCGACGACTAATTACACTAATGGAACAGCGACAATCTACCCGCATGCTCATCACCATTCCAATTTCGACAATATCGAAGTAGAGGTAGAAATTCCAATCTATGCCCAGGAACTTTTCGCTGGCTTCGACCGTGTTGGATTGGACTTTGGGATGGATGGGGCCTTAGACCTGCCTTCTAACACCACAACGACCTCGTCGGCTCCTGAGACGCCGAACCAGATACCGAAACAATCTAAACACATCGCCTTACCTTCTGTTTTCCTTACTCCTCCCCGCCGCTCGCCTCGGTCTTCCGGCTCCCTTAAAGGCCGCGCTCCAAACTTGAAACCAAGTGTCTCGCTGGGAAGTCTTCAACCGGCCTCTCACAGTCAACTACGTCTGGAGCGCGAGCGAGCTTCGCTTCTTTCGATTCCTGAATCGTCTTCGATGCTTTCCTTATCAAGCTCGCGAAATAGCTTTGCTCCTTCCAGGTTTGGGAATGGCACCTTCGTTAAGGAGGATAACACATTTCCATTGTCGACCGTACTTTCCCCGCCACTCGAAATCAGAAGTAATGCACCCGCCAATGTCACGCCGAATGAGGACTCCGGTAACTCGAATCATACACAATCTAGTCCGAACTCGAAAGTTACGAGGTTGAAGAGGAAGCTATCTGCGCGATTATCGTTGACGGTGTTCGGGTCACCGACGAAGACTCTGAAGAAGAAAGAATTTGACTATATGGGTTGATTGGTAACCTTTTTTGCATGCTCTGCTCCGTATATGTTTCTGCTTTTTTGATTTTCGTCTTTCTTGCATATTCATTCTGGACATTTCTTTCCAGACAATCCTCACTTACTCGATTTCTTCCATGCCGTGGATTGCAGCTACACAATTACAATGATCGTCTTTGTATCATTTTTTCTTATGCATCCCCTTGTTTCTTTGACAAACTCCCTACGTCTTTGGTTTTCCTTTAGTTATGGTTGTAGTCGGCTTCTTTGTGTATTTCTACTTTTCACACTTCATCTACTCATTCATGCTATATATTGTACATGCCTTCCGCATCTATGTATAATTTGCTCTTTGCTCTTGCGGCTTTCACAATGAATTACAGAAAAGGACGCGGACGTCTGATCCTTCGATTTCAATATCTTTCGGAGACCACTTTGAGGTTTTGTTCGTTCTCACACGACGCAATTCTCACTGGGACGGATAGGTTGATAGTGTATGCATATCTAAGTTCTGTGATGGCACCAAGCAGACCAGCTTAATGCTATACCGATGCTTGACAGAGGGTCAATTAGCTCCAGTATGTACACATTTTAGATGCTACCGTTGTTTATCCCGTTGTTACTTGAACAATAGTCCACCTGGATCACTGTATTAGGGCTGGGCAAGCGCTGCGTGGCTTTTCTTTTTCAGGTATCACCACGAGTGGCTCCCACAAAAAATCCCATCGCGCACTAAAGAACTGTTCCTGCAAGATGCGATACAAATCCTGATGAGCCAAACGATGCTAAAGGGTACGAACAACTCACGAATACTTGTGGTGTTGGGGTATATTTCGTTTCGACAACTCCTGGGGGGCCGAAGTCTACAATCTTGACACTTTTTAGTCGTATCAACTCGCCTTTTCCATTAAGTATGACAAGAATGTTTAAAGGGGTGAAGTCACTGGATAGAAAGAGATGTTCAAAGAAGTGTTTTTGAGTGAAGTCTGCAGACGGAGTCTCATGATAGAGAATACTAAACGTACGAATATAGCAGTTCGCGTCTCTGTATCCAATCATAAATCTTGCTGCAAACAGTGCTCTGAACCTTGTGGTAAATCGCGAGTTTTTGTTTGAGTGGAGCTTCCTGCCAAACCTTAATCTTGTGCAGTGGCTTTCCAGGCTGTTTCTTCATAACAATGACGCCAGTTCCCGGATCGTCCTTCACTATCCCGGCATCTATGAAATATTCGAAATACTGAAGTGACACGACTTCGCATGCAGCATTTCGCTTGCTCAAATCAACAAACTTTAAGGCGATGTCGTCGCCTTTGTAGGTTTTACCGCTCGAATCCACTTTGTATTTGGAATCTCGGGGTAATGTGAAAATGTTTCTCGAGGCTCCCGTGTTCGAAAGGGGCACGCGCTTGACTATTTTCTTCGAAATATCCTCTCCTATCGAGTGCAACGCAACATAAGTAGTGGCTTCCCAGTTGAACAAAAAGTACTCACGGAAATAATCACTGTTTTGACCAAATCCCTCGCAATCATCAGGACAGAAATCAAGCCAAGGTTCCTTTAAACATCGTGTAAGTCTTTTGTTTTCGAGATCGGAATAACGGAACTCGCATTGAGTTGTTCAGCCCATTTCCTATTTCGTATTTCTTGCGAGTCGAGTCTACGTTCCAAGGACCCTGCTTCCAGTGATATCGAATCCCTGTCCCTCAAGGATCTACCGATTTCAGGAGTCTGGTATGAACCTCTACAATGTGGAGTAGCCATTCTTTGAGGTATGCTGGCAGCAATACACACAGTGCAAGCATCCATGATAAACTGCAAAAGGACGATGGTGCGAAATAACATTTGAGGCTACTGTTGGTGGAGAAGGAAGCGCGAACGGGGAGAAATTTTGAACTGTATACGGTGAATATCCTTGAAACTCTGGCCAGCGGAGATTCGAGGTTGTAGTGAGAACCGAGTGAGAAGAAAAAAAGAACTTGTACTTCCCCGGGAAGTAAGCCTTGGCCCAATAATATAATTCTCGCTTATCCCAACAAGCCAACAAGCGAGTAGTACAGAACCATCTATGTCCCTAGACGGTTCTGCACGAGTTCTGCTCAAACTCTGTTGATCGCACGAGCTCGTGTAGTCTGTAGGATGTTAGTAAAAATGTACTGTCCAATAATCCTTACGGGAAGCCATCCATTAAATAATATTCTAGCTCATGTTCCTTCATGTTCCCGAGCTTCCAGGCTAGGCGCCCGTATTTTTGCACCACAGCGGTGATATCGGTCCGTTGATCTTATCTTGTTCTCAAAATTATCTCAAAATTTCAGCAAGTGCTTGTCGGCGCATAAAGGGCGCCCTTATGGAAGCAGTTACACGCGTGCTTAGGTTGCTTGTTATTTGTCCCAATCTCGAAGAACCAATTATGACAACGATGTCATATCCAATCTTCGGGATCGCATCTCAGCAGCAGAATCTCAGCAGCAGAAAGGCATACAGAAGGCCTTGAAGAGCAAATAAAAAGGCTCATGTTCAAGCGGTATCCAAGCATCAAAAGGACTTATGCGAGGTTGGTCACCAATTACAAGCGCTCAAGCGCCTATAGTCGGCACCATTCTCTCTCTCGAACTCCACAACACAAGCCGATCGCGAGGCACTTCTTAAGACTACAGCACAGTGGATGGCGCACTTTTCCGAATTCCGAATTGAGGAACAGATCTGGCTTGGCCCAGATGACAAATTCGTCCTTCAGAATCGACTTTCGGCAGCAAAGAGGCATATAGAGACCCTTGATGAGCAGATAAAAAAGCTCGACTGCACATGCGATACCCATATATCTGACTTGATGCATCAGAAGGATACAAAGCTCTTCGAAATTGCTTCGCTTAGAAACATTCTTTCGCCTGTTCGTCGAATTCCTGTCGAGCTTCTGTCCAAGATCTTCGAGCTTTCATGCAGCCCGGACTATCATTTCTATCCCCAGTACGATATCATTCGATATACCTTTATTCTTTCAAGGGTTTGCGTCAGTTGGAGAACAATCGCTTATGCGACTCCCAGAATCTGGACGAGACTATGCCTCTCAATTTCTGAGCATTCGAAGGCGATCACAAAAAATGTTGGGTGGGTCCAAGACTGGCTCTCTCGAAGTCTAGCACTTCCTATAGAACTATATTTGAATACTGTTACGGACAACAACGATCATATAATTGGAATGTGCCGAATATTAGAGTCTGTCATGGAACATTCTCACCGGATACGGCTACTTGAATTTTCTGGGTATTCGGATCCCTTCCATCCCATTTTTGTTCTCCCTCCCTCTTCTTTCCCTGTGCTGGAGAAGATCTCTATCGAAATGTATGACGATTTCCTGCCTCCTGAAATCCCTAGACCGATTCGGGCTTTCTTAGGTGCACCCAAATTATCTGATATTAAGATTATAAGGCCCCACTCGATATATACGCTTGAACCGTTGTCGCTGCCTACAAAACAGATAGCAACCCTAACAATCGATGGATCCCGGGAATTAATTACTCATGATCCATTGGTTTATGCGGGCATTTTGCAGCAGTGTCAAAATCTTGTCAGCCTTGACATCAATCCTCCATCATTTTTTGGATTCAGCTCTACGCTTTCTATATCACTTCCAACTCTCAAACACCTTCGCATTACCTGCCGACGCTTGCAACGTGGTGTAAGCCTTCTATCCTGTCTCACAGCACCTCTGTTGGAAGACATAACGGTTTGTTGGAGTGGGGTTATATTCGAGGAGTTTTCCCGTGAAGTGCTTCAGCTTCAGAGTCGATCTGCCGCTGTTTTGACATCATTGACACTCGACATAGATTGGATGAACACGAATTCGGACCTGCTATCGATACCTACTCTCTTCCCCAACCTAATCAAATTTCGAATACGGCCCATATACAATGCGAATGCTCTTTTCCAAGTGATGACATACTCAACTAGTCAGAACTTTGTCCTTCTACCAAGGCTCTCAACTCTTGATTTGGAATTTCAGCAGCAGGATAACGTACCTTATCCTTCCGAGTTGATTGCTATGCTTCTCTCGCGGTCATGGCCACTGGCAGACAGTATCCAACCAGATGCAGGTCATAGTGGTGAAAGATTGGTAGCGTCGGACTACGTCGGGACACTATCTAGGCTGCAGATGCTAAAGATCCATGGATATACATTGAAAGATGCTGATGTGGAATGCATTACTGGCATTCACGGTTTGCATTTTGATTATAGATCAAAGCTTTGAAGATCATGCTGGCATAGTACAGTGGATAAAAGAAGTATAAATCACAGATACTCATCGTAACCCCAAGTACACAAGTTATCACGTACTCTACATAGTTACAACCCAATAGCAATCAGAAATACACACCAAAAAGTACCTAAGTATTGCTTTTGAGAATCCGTTCCAGGATTCTCAACTTGAACATCGAACCCTGGCGGGGATGATGACTATCGAATTGACTGGAGGTATCCGAAGTTGGGGGAAACTCCTGTTCCTCCGTTTTCTTTCGCGCTACGTGTCACCCTGGTGTCACCCACTCGCCGCGATTCGCAGGCGCATTGAACTTCCGGCGCCACAACCCAACCACGGATGCGTCAGTGGCAACAAAAATCTTAGCAATTCAATACTCCCGGGCCAGCAATAAAGGCATGTAGGGGTTTTCAAGGGTTGTAGCAGCAACATCATCTCAATGAAAGTAAAGGGAATGCGTTGAAGGGAGAAATGGAGAGCCTGTGAGCAAACATGTTGGGAACGGACTGTCCCGCCTAGAGAAGAGAAGTTGAAGATGCGCAAACAAAGGTTAAGATACAGAGTAAATAGTACATACAAATAAGGTATGAATAAAGATGAGCTATACTAGCGATACATGCAACGTCGACAGAATGTGCAGAACTTTTGGTGACCACAGATAAGGTGGAGTAGGCGGTGAGATATATGGCGTAGACCTGAATGAACAGGCGCAGTCATTGGGGAAATGCATCAGCTTCAGACTCGACCTCAGAGACAGTTATGAAGTAAAGATACTCGAGAGGCATTCGTGACTTCGTCCAAGTCAATGACCGAGTGCAACACTGGCAATCAGATTTATCCAACGTTTCATCTAGGCATTTAGATCTTCCTCCCGCCCACCCAGACCGGCTTCCAAATTGGATACAACGATGAAGGCGACGACGCAGAAGACGATATTGGCTTCGAGACCGGGGTCGATGAAAACGGGAAAGGAGACCGAGAAGACCGAGTGCACAGACAAACCGAGTTTTTTGAGTGGTTGATGTTTGATAACAATGACGGCGGTACTTGGCATCGTCTGGTAACAGAACACCTTCCAAATGTACTCGATCTCGTGATATCACGTTCGATATCGAATTCCAGAACTGATTCAGTCATCATAGGGACCCAGGGAGCTGAAGCAGTGTTCGGAGGAGGAGACGGAGAAGTAGAAGGTTTGGCCAACAAGACCGCTAAGATCAGCTTGATATGCGCAGCCTGCGCACGAGGATCGACAGCCCCATTCGAGATCTGTTTTAAGCTCTCCACCAGGTTCCTCTTAATTTCATTGTCTTTCAGGGCTTCCATCAAATTTTCCCTCGTTTCTTCCAGCTCTTTTAGTTCCTTTTGCTCCTTCTCCCTCGCCTCTCGTTCATGCCTCTCTTTCTCGTCCCAACCTTTTTGCACCTCGAGCATCATCTCCTGAACCGTAGGCGCCGGAGGTGTAGGCTCATGAGAATTGAGTCTAGGTTTCTTTCGTTTCGGCGGGCCCGTGCAACGGAGTAGGTGGGGGTCGATGGTCTTGGAGTTGACGATAGAGGCGAGTTCGGATGCGAAAGGAGGATTGGGAGGGAAGGTCGAATGGGGAACAATCTTCAAAGGGGGTTTAGAAGGTGAGGGAGAAGAAGAAGAAGCAGAGCTCGCAACAGCCCCAGCGGTCGAACAAGATGAAGCAGGTGATACCGAGCTTAAACTCGCGGCAATTGTGATCGATGATGAGACTGACGGTGATGAGTATGTCAGCGGATATTCAACTGAAGTTTCAAAGGGTAGCACAGGTGAACTTGACCGCGAACGGATGAGTATCGGTGACGCTGCACTGTCCCCAGGGCTTTGGTATAAGTTTGGTGTCGGCGAGTCATGACTGGACCAGTCAGACCCGAGGTCCTCTCCCTGCACTTCCCGCTTCGCTTTCCGCTTCCGACCAGCAATCTTGCGGAGCTCGATCGCCGGCTGCAGGAGTAGTGGTTGTAAGTGTAGAGAAGGTTGAGAGGGGCCTAGGTTACTGGACTGTGGAGGATGCGAAGAACTGCTAAAGATAGGCTGATGCTGAAATTGTTGGTACTGTTTCTGTCCTGGTGCGAAGAATCGAAATAGGTGAGGGCTAGGAGGGATCGGGGACAGACGCGCTGGTGTTGATGGAGTATCAGACCGTGGCGCTGTATTCGAGGTCCGAGGAAACGACACTGGATTTTGTTGAACTCGACTTTGAGGAGAACGTGCTTTACCAACACTCGGGGAAAGACTATCCCTGTCTTTTAGAGAAGTTTGAGTTTGAGGGTGTGAAGAAGCCTATGATAGAAATAAACTTGAGATTCACACTTCAAGAAGACGGTAAGACGTAAGGACAACGTACATTCAGGTTGGCATTTCTTATACGTGGTGGACTTTGAGCAGCTCCTTGGCTGGGGTGAGCTTTCTGCGTTGACTGGCCTTGATCCCATCGTTTGTCAGATACCCGCGAGTGTCTGGCCGGTGAGGTGGATGTTGAGGGCGTAGCGGGAACAGGTGAAGACAGTGATGAGTCTAAGGGCGAAGGTGCAAATACGCGTCTAGAAGAACCGGCGCCCTTCGTCTGGAGTGTTTGTGACGACCCGACAGGAATAGATCCAGAATGTCTTTCTGTGTTATGAATTGGTATGGCTATAGACCTAGCTGTAACAGGGACCGTAGGTCGAGTCGTCATAGATGTCCGACGCGTATTTGTTGATGAATGTTGTTGTGGCGTTGATGGTACAAGTGGTGTCACAGCATGAGCAGGTTGATAGCGCGAGTAAATTCTGGCAATAGGCTTCAAATCTTCCTCGGATCGAGGCATCCATCCGTATACTCGTGGAAACGATGACGTTGAAGGAGATTGCGAGGCTGTAGTCCCGAACGCGTCAGGTGCGTGATATCCTAATTGCTGAGCATGAGAATGAGGCTGGGAACTTGGTAAAACAGCCTGAGGTGAAGACTTTGAGTACGAGTTCTGGTGTGACGCTAAAGCAGCGGCAACGGCTTGCGAATTCGTCCAAGCGTCGTTATTAGACACGGACATCTGTTCTGCTAGCTGTTGATTCATCATACCCCAATTTATTGTATTCTCCAATTCATCTGAAGCGGAACCAGGACCACCATAGCCCTGGGGATGGAAGAATCTAAGTTGCTCTCCGGCATTTCGTTCAAATTGATTTGCTTGCCCGGATGGACCAGCGACTGGATGATTTTGCAAGTCTCGATTTGTGGAGGGGTATTGGAGAATAGAATTCGACGATGAGGGTAGTGGCTGAGGATTGTTGATGAGCTGCGTCTCGATAGCAGGGTGGTTGTGGTGGCGCTGATTACCGTGAAAATGAGCACCAATCAGTGCCATTTTTCGTAGATCGTCGCTGTTACTGTGAGCCGTGTTTGCGACCGAAACACGACGAGGAGGAGATCTGGGCATTGGAGTCTTGCTCATAACCAGGGATCATGCGTAGGATTGTATGTAGTAGTAAGTGATTATCGCCAACCGAGTCGAGCAGACTATTGTGGCAGGGTGAAGGAGTGATGACAAGATAGAACGTCCATGAAGGGGCCTTGTATATTATCATGGTGGTTGCTTGTCGACGATACCGTGACCGCAGAGTACAATGGGGTCTTGACCGTTACCATGTTTGGGCGCCAAAAATACTTTTTTTGTTCTGTTCTAGTAACTTAGCAAGTCTGCTTTCAAGTTTTGTGAAGGAAACTGGTAAAGAAAATAGTGAATGCTCACTATCTCTGCCTACTTCATTCTCTATTCATGTAACCATCGTTTTCCCTCTCTAACCTCACTCCTCAATCAGGCAAGAAGTATGGACGTATGGACAAATTTCCACCGTGATTATCGGTTAGGCAAGTCAGAGCCAAATTTTAGCATCTCAAGACCGCGTCGAATTTGCACGCGAAGATCATACCTGATTCAAAGTGGGCTGAAGGCAAAGTTTGCAGACTGAGATGAAAGCCGACAGTATTTAACAACCGTGGTCCGGTGGATGATTGGAACTCCGCTTCGCTCACCTCGCCTGTTTACAAGATATAATTCATCTACTTATGTCCTATACAAGAGGATTGAGGCTATGGCTATGTGTAACCCCACGATCCTCACTGACGTTCGAACCGACATCTACAGAATTTCCTCAATCTGCAGATACTCTAGGTTCCCTTTTAATCATACAAATATTCTTGGTGGAAAATTCTTACTCATTAGGGTACATTCACGATTCTTTGACTCGACTTTCTAGATGTGATTGGCTCACTATTTTTTGCTTATATCCGTCCATTCTGGCGGTCCCAGGTAGACTATCATACATTTAGTGGGGTGCTTCTCTAGAACAGCTCTGCATCGCTTCGAATTGGCCGCTTGTGCCAGCCTGTGCCACCCCGGGTGCCATTTTCATCTCAGGCTTGTCATCAGTGGTCCTCATTTCCAACACGACTTCGCTCACGCAAGTTATGCAGAAATGAATGCCACCTTCATTGGTCAATTCTTGGATACCACACAACCCTGAAGCGCCTTGTATATTGTTTTATTCAAAGCGAATCCGCTCAGACTCGAGACTAGTCTCGAGGATATAGAAGTAAGTAAACGAACGAAGGTCACGGTGTACTGAGAAACCGAATCTGGTCATCAAGCATTCTTGTATATTCTAGCCGTGTCAACGACGATACATTAGCCATACTCAAGATGACCTGTATGTTCTTCTATTCGTATGAATACAAGGTGCCGCATGTGATACATCACTTTGATTTTTTACGATTCCAGCTTGGAATTATAGGAAATTATGGGCATCCTACAATCTCCTACAATTCTCCCTATGACCAAGTTGATCATCAGAATTGGTTGGAGCTTAAGAATAAGGACCACTCATGGACTTCTACCCGAGGGACGGATATTAAGCCACGTAGAGTTGATAGCTTTTCCAGTTCGTTGAGAGGCGATTTCCACGATGTTCTCATATATAGCACATGAAAACATGGAATGATACTCACCAAAAGACTTCCAAAGTCCTTTGCCATGAGATCGCGACTATCATCTAGGGCGATGTCAAAGCATGTTATTTCTAAAGTCAAAGCGCAAAATATCTTACGCCATCAGAAGGGTCCGTATGTCCCGGAACATCGACCCCGCGAAATTTGATGGTCCAATCAGTTTAAAATCATGAAACTCCGACACGTTCGATAAAAAAGCGTGATCTTGTGAACCTCGTTTCGCTCTTTCTTTCGAGCTATCATCTTCTCAACCGTAACTCAGACTGTTATATTACCGCAGCAGCCGGGTTTCTTTGGTTCCCTCCTCGAGTACATTCTCATAACTCAAGCCACTCAACATATCAAAGTTGTGCCACTGTACCCACTCACACTCCCGAGAATGCCTCGTGCTAAATCTCTCGTAAGTCTCCATCGTTTTCTTCGCGTTACTTTCCTTCCCAATATTTTTTTTTCCTTTTCTGGGCTCCTATACTCAGCTTTGACATCATTCAGTACTGAACCTGACTAACTGATTTTCCTTTCTTTACAATAACAGAAAGACGGGCGACCGAACGAAGCCAATATGGCAGCCACATGTACCATATGCCAGGCTATAATCTCCAACAGGACTGATTTGCCTCGACATATGAGGATCCATTCTGCCGATAAACATAAATTGTAATATTGTGTTCCCCTCTCGATTCTGCTCCTTCATGTGGCCCCCATGCAAACTCGAGCCTAATACTGCACTTTTAGTATGCATCGATGTCCATACCCTGATTGTAATTTCGAGAATCTTCAGAAAAGCAATGTCGAGACACATATCCGCACTCAGTAAGTCTTCTTCCGATGTGCGTGCCAAACATCAACTCAGCGCGTCATTTGGTACATCTTCATGATATGTAGCACGAAAAGTAAAACGAACAACTGTCCAGATTGCGATTTCACCACTGTCGATCCTGGCTCTTTGACGCGTCATAGAAAACGAATCCATGGTTACATCCCGAAATCACGACGATCGCGGCATCCAAAACCTACCACTACCATATCCTCGGATGACGGGTCCTCTCGTATCTCCTCAAATCAGAATGACGGAGGTGAAGGGTCGTCTTCGATGCAGACCACCGTACACGAGGGACAGGATTCTGAATCTTATTCTGGACCTTATGACACTGGCCACGTTCAGTCGTCGCACCAATCACAGTCTCTTTTATTAGACGAATCAATTTCGAGGCCAAACTTCAATCAAGCTCCGATAAGTCGGTTTATTACAACCTTGAGCTCTTCAACCTCAACTTCAGCGCCGATACCGATGACGACGAAGAGGATATCTCGGGCTCGGATGGAGGAGGCGGAGGCCGCAGAAGCTGCAGAGAAAGCTAGAGCAATCGAGATTTTGAGTGGTTTGCGGCATTCCATTGAGGCAGGGAATTTTGATACTAGTGACGCAGATGCTGTAAGTACTGCGTCTGTTCGAAAAGTGAGGGAGGGGGGTCTTCCAACTAACGAGGCTATGTGTCAACCTGCGGATTGGGATGGGATCAAGGGAGAAGACGGTAAAACAGGTGCAATTTCAGCACCGGGTTCGGGATCATAAGTGGGAGACAGCTCTTCAGATTCTACGGCTTATTTGTATTCACGTCCTTTGAATTTCCGGTCCTTCTGGATTGAAGATACAGAATGCTTTTGATTGTTCCACTGATCGAGAATATTACTTCCTTTTAGTTTTATCATAGTGAATGTACAAGTAGTTATCAAATTATCATACTCACCGCTTTCCAATCCCGTCCCTCTGCCGGAATGAAAGATTCAGAGACGGATATGTCTACCTAATATCTACTATGGGAAATTGTATCGAGATGGTTTACAACCTTTTACAACGTCCAACTCAGTTCTGGCCATCCAAAGACGCCATCCTACGCACACAGCTTGGTTGAGGATCATCAGAATCATCAGAGCCTCGTATGAACGGCCATGTAGGGAGGTAGCACATTTCCTGAATGTCAAAGCCCGTCAGAGAGATACAATCTATGTTGGAAGTTTGGGACACCCACTTCGAATCCACACGCAGGACGACATTTTAACCATACACTCCAATCTAACCACTTCATGAGACCGAAGATACGCTCTTTCCACGAGTGTATCAACAATTCTAGTTGTACAGCATCATCAACCTCTTCCGAAGGTCGATAGAAATCCGGCTCTAGTCCAGCCATGACCCCGTCGACCCACATCCCTGTCACAACCCTACAGATTTCTTTAGTCGTTTCTTGAATACCATTGAGAATGAGATTCTCTGAATCGGTGAGGCGCAGATGGAGAGACGAAGTAACGATGTATTTTGTATAAGTTGTGGCACAGAGCTCATACATGGGCGACACCCATTTCGTGGAAGTAGGTAGATCTGGCGAAGGTTTGATAGTGTAAAGCATATAAGGCTGGAGCATCGCAATCAGGTTTATTTGAACATTTTCTGCGAGCGCCTTGTTCTCCGAAACTGAGTTAGGGTTTGAGGAATTTAGAACATACTGAACCATCTCCAGGCGCTCCGAGTAACGTTTGACAATCAGGCGGATGAGAGTAGCCCAATCGATGCCACTACCGAGGTCCGCAACTGCAGTCAGTTCCTCAATTTTCCGCACAACGGTTTGAAGATCCTCTGAAGAGATACCCAATAGCCGATGTTTAATCCTCTCTTTCCCGTATCTCTCTGTAACAAGACTAGGGACGAGTTCGGTATCATAGAAAGATACAAGACGGGTAAGATCAAGCTGAATGCGTGTGTCACCTGGATAGTATCTGTGCCAAGAGCCAGAATAGATAGCGCCGTCGAGGCCAGAACTAGGCAGAGCAGATGAATTGACGTTGAGTGATTGGGTGTAGGAACTCTCGTAATGAAAGTTGCTGGGAAGAGGGAACGTTTTGTCCGAGGGGCGATGGGGACCTTCAGGACCGCCAGGTCGTCTACCGGGGCCGCCAGGTCCTCGGCCATTTCTAGGTCTAGCACGGAGATTTAAAGGTTCGACAAAGACACCTTGGGCAAAATCGCAGAGCATAATCTCACTGAAATGATGATGTGGTGAGTGACGTTTGCTGATCACTGTCGAGCACACTTACAAGTCCATTTCCATCCTGTGTAAAACGTTATGTTGAGTTGTGCACCTATCTGGATCTGGAAGCAGAACATATGTACCTGACGAAACCATCGACGTCCAAATTTCGCGCCCATTCACACAAATTGCGGATTCTCTCCCTTTCACTGAAAAATTTCTCCGGTACAACCTTGCCATATGCAAGAATATCTTGAGAGTCCATCGAGCCATCTCGCATTTTCGCTGCAGCACTCCCATCAAAGTAGAGTACTTTCAGGGGACGTAGAACGGTGATGACAAGTTGCCAACATCCAGAGTCTGCTGTCTGCCCACGACAAAAGTGATAGGAATGTTCTGGGTCGGTTGCAAGCCATTCAGGCACAGTGGGAGTGTTCGCATCTCCTCGTCCATGATACAGTACAGTTCCAGCAGGAATCAAACCCGGGACAACACTATGACCTATTGTGCTTGCAGATGAGCGATTGTTCGCAAAGGAAACATCGAAATTCACCATTTCTGTATCGAGTATTCGGCCAGTGCTGCAAGAAAGAGTTGACTGTTTCGAATACTAGATGTCCGGTAGCATTTTGACTGGGGGCAACGTTGATGTTCCAGTCGTCCCCAGAGTCGTTATCAAGGTTGACAATAGTTGAATGCCTGTGATACTGAGCTTCCAGAGGGATTTGAGCGGCCTCCAGCAGAGTGAAAGTGAAAAAAAGACCCAAGATTTTCTTCAACATAGGCAATACCAATGGACGATATCAGAGTCTAAGAAAGACCATACATAGTGATGATAAGGGAAAATGAATTCCATCCGTGCAGTTCCGCAGTAAGCCGCAATCACTGTGGGGATGAGCCAATGTCTTCGTGGTGAAAATGTCGAGAAAATGCAAGGATTTTTACCAAAATTCGTCGAAAATCCTGAGCACAAATTTTAAAACTTTTCATGTGGCGATTATTGTGAAGCTATTGTGAATTTGGCGGGGGGCCGTGCTTATTTTGAATTATCTTTTCATAATTTTACCATAACCTCAGCTCAATCCCTTCAAAATATCTGCTGCCATATTTTTGTACATAACCTCGAGATAAAACCCACATTTTCGCCTCGAGGAAATCGGCTCATCCCCGCAGTGAATTACTGTTCGGGTACGCCGTAGTCACGACTCTCCCATGGCTTGCTTAAAATCATGACCATCAACTCAAATACGATATTCTATTTCGAGAGTGAATACGATATCTGTACATTCATACCCCCTTCCCGAATTCTCGCTAGACTCTCTTTAGCACCCATAAGCTCTGAGAAAGTTTGAGTGGGGGGTTTACGGATATGTACTATCAACCTTTGCAAGGATTTGCCCTGCGAACGATATTTCTTTCGAAAGCGGAGGACATTAACCAGCAATGGAACATGCTGAGACCAAATTGTCACATCAAGTTCTTCCAGATCCGGAAGCAGGTATTGTTGCTCGATGAAACGCTCATTTGGATATTTCTCGACGGGAGTCGACCGCAAATTAGAACGATCGACTGGAGGCGTTAAGGCCCGTAACAGGCGCCCTACAACCAGGTCATGTTGTTGGAAGGTACTTCTCTTCCAGATCAGATGCGTCAGTGTTGGAGAAATATGAAGGAGCTGCGTGATTTCGCGGTAAGTGAAAGTGATTCCTTGAAACGAGAGACGGGTTAACGAGGTCCGACTTCGGGAAAACATAGAGGATAGTGAGGAGATGAAATGTGGGCATTCAGAGTCTGTTGGAGCGACCAAGTCAAGGCCAGTGAGTGCTGGCATAGTAAAACTATCCAACATCGAGGACATGAATGAGGAATCCACCGTCGCATAGAGCTTCAAGATCTCTGTACAACGTAAATTGATAGGTTGCCACTGAGACGGTTGGTTCAGGATGTCCGAAATAGCTCGAAGGGTGATGTTCCGGACATTTGGAAGGCACTGAAAGATCCGATAGATATGATGAGGAAACAATCCTCGTAGACTGGCGTATTCGAGAGCCTCAAGGGGTTGCGTGAACTGCACGCTAACATCGACATTTTCTAGGACTAAAGACCGAAGCTTCGGGCAAAATATTTGGAAAGTAAGGGGAAATCGTGACAGGTCAAACGGACTATGTAATTCAAGGTTGAGCAATTCCGGGAATGATCTTTGTGGGGAAAATAAAAAGGGAGAAACCAATAACGAAGATGGAAGGATCAGGGATGCGTCGAGAATGGCAGATTTCCATCTCTCAGTATTCCGAGTCGAGAGGAAATCTGGATAAACGTAGGTACTTGCTTTGCTGGAACCGCCGTCCAAGATGAAATCGATGGGATGAGAGCGAGATCGGTCAAGGTAGAGGGATATGATTGGATGAAGGGGTGCCATTTGTCCAAGATTTAACCTGAAGCCAGACCACAATTCCGGCATCGAAACGACCAAGTAACGCCATTGGCTACATACTTGGCTGAGAGCCAACGTCACCATCGGAGAACAATGTTTCTTGTCCTCTTTTGCCACGGTGTTGTCGCTAACGTCACTGCAACAGCTGAATTGGAAAATTTCGCCTAGTATTTTCAAGGGAAGCCTGCGGATAGGTGCCTTTAAAGAAAGAATCCCAGCCTTGTATATGCTCAGACGGCTGCAACGTCTCTCCATGGCAGCCGTGAGGGAGCGAAATTTGTCTAAATCAGCTTCACAGCGATCCATAACGTGTTGTGTTTGTTCCACTAAATTGTCTAAAGACAACAGCTCTGGTATTGAAGGCGCACTGCCTGAGCGTATGACTTCGATCATCTCTGCGCATCGTAGTCCCCCTGTATCCAGCACCAGATCTTCGTTGCTACAGCTTGCATACGAGAATACCTTATCATCCTTGTACAAGTCTAAGACTCGATGGACGGAATCTGGGGACAAATTACGTCGGATTAGCAGCTAAATGACCGTTCAATTTCTACCTGGTTCATTCGAAGTATCCATGTCATCTTCCTCGAACAGGGTGACAAGGACAGAGATTTTGATTGAGTTGAAGAGGAATCAGTCAGGTTAGGGTTTAAACCACTCCGGCTGGTTTTTTTTTGAACTCTTTTCTGTAGTGGCTCCTGTCTATATGTAGGCGTGCAATCTCTATGTGTTCCCTTGGAGTAATTCACTCTGCCTGATAATGATCCATTTACTCTAAATTCTCCGAAGTGCAACTTTCCATGCTGGCAGTGTGGCTTCTAATGCTGGCAGTGGCGCTATAGACTGCCGCCCTACTCTCCTCGGTTTCTGCCCATCCCCGACCGATTGTCCTACTATCAGAGCCCACGTTGACAGTATCACGCTCTCTTTGTTGTTCCTCCCTCTCTTCCCTCGCCCTTTCCCGTTCTCCTTCCCGCTCTACCCGTTTTTCAACCTTTTCAACCTCTTTCTCCCAATCAGGCGTCCACACGCTCATCGCAACACCAAACCCGGCACAGTACACTAGTGCGACAGTGAGCCCGACCCAAAGACCAGAAAGGCCCATGTGCGTGGAGGATGAAAAGGCGAGGTAGATTCCGAAAGGAATACCAAAGACATAGTATGCACTATTGATCGTTCACGTTATGCAATACGCAGGCAAGAAAAATCAGACGCAGAAAATCAAACATACGCGATGGTGCTCACGAAATATTTAACACTGCACCCATGACTTGCTTACTTCTTGCTCTCAGGATTCCAGAAGTGATCCCCGCAGTACCGTCGAATATTTGACAGACTGCGAGTATTGGGGTGATGGACGCAACCATTGATACGACGTCTAGAGGAAACAACGTAGATAAATTGGCAATCTACGAAAAAAATAGTTTTGAATCATTTACCTGGATCGTTGTTGAACATATACGCAAAAGAATGACGGAAAACGAGTAGTAGGACACTGGGATTTCGGAACGCGTTCAACAAAGGGTGTTGACGACTCGTACGAGAAGAATACAGACCTAATCACACCTGCTGTAACAATCCCAACCACTAATACGCCTTTTGCTGCTGCTCCGGCGCGCAGATCATCTCTTTCTCCAAGAAGATTTCCGATCCTGTATCAATTTCGCGAGGGTGACGAAGATGGCGCCGAGCATGCCGAAGATAAGAGATCATGGAAAGCGAACGACAATTGTGAGCTAACCGTATTGAAGCAGCTATTCCCAACGCATAAGGGGCCTGCCATGTTGTGGAAGATGTGACGACAAGAATGGATTGACATGCGAGGACTACATCGGAGCCTAATCTGATAGATGACATAGACAATATTTGGAGAGGGGCACGATGAGGGAACTGAAGGACGTGAATGAAGTGGAAAGGTTGGTGAACTTACTGTGACGCGACTAACGCAACAATATCCCATGCCCACCATTCCGAAACCGTTTGACCTGTGAAGCATGGGAAGGGTTAGCGCTTTCGTCATGGAAGATGCTTGACGTATATCCACGTACCAACTCCAGCGAGACCCAATTTCAACAAGAAACCCAAATTTCCCAATCCAAATACCCCCCTCAAATTCCGTATGGTGATTGGATACCAAGCCTTTCTATCCACCCAGAACACACCGTAAGTGAGGTATGAGATTGCTAGGAGATAGTACGATATAGACGTTGCAATTGGAGCACCAATGAAACCTAGGCGGGTTGGAGAAGGACCCCAGACTGTGCACAAAGAACGGTATACAATGAACTTGGAAGGAGGGGACTTGGTAATAATGGGTACAAACCAAGAATATAATTCAAGAGTACGTTGATTGGGGCTACGACGATTATAATTCGCGTCGGGACGGAAAATAGACCTAAGGACAAGACATCATAGATCAAGACGAACAGCATACGAAAGATAAATACCTTGACACTGCAAATATCGTCTAGTTCATTCAACATCTCACAATCAGTACAAATTCACAACTGACGCACCTGATCACAGAGTTGAACGTGAACGCTACATAGATAAGAGAAATGTTGAGTGTTATTAGACAGCAACTTTGAACTAATATATTATATAAAACGTACCAGGAAGACCGATACACATATATCGCAAGTACAAAGCAGCTAACCTCGCCACCTCCGGCTCTTGATTCAATTTTAACAGAACCGCTTCACCATTCAGCCAAAGGGTTACGATCGGAACCAACGTCAAGCACTCAATCAACGTCATTCTTTGCGTTTCCAGACCAACCAATTCGGGCCTGTCGCTGGTCCATGCTGAAGGCAGCACTGTGTCCAGCGCGCTTGCGAATCCAGTGATGATGCTCAGCCCAGTGACATTCACTGTCATTTCTCCAATGGTAATAGCAGCAAGAGCAGTGGTAGATATGTGTCCAATAGACAGCACAGATACTACGACAAGAGAGTATTCCAGAACATTGATTCTTCCACGATACAGTCAGTTACAGTTAGAATACTATTGTGAAAGGATCTCACCCAAAAATTGGAACGGCATATTTCATCACAACAAGGGCCTCTGACCATATCAATTTCAAGGAAGGACTGTGTTGTCGTCGTCGACCATAGAGCAACGGGCTTGTTTCGGATATTGTATTCGAACTCGAAGCCGGTTCAGAGATATCGTCCATTTCATTGGACTATCTTTTTTTGAGAGATGGGAGTTCTCGGCGATTGTTCAAGACAGCCGGGTTTCTATAGGGCAAAGGTCACGTTGAATGAATGTTCAAGAGGACATAATACATCGAGCCAACACATAACGGACTATGTAGACTGTTATGCTGGAAGCCATAAGAGCCAGCAAGAATGAAGGCAGTTTACAAATACCTACAAACAGCCACTGACAATGACAATCGACGCTGATAATCATATTATAATTTCTCATACATAAAGAGGCTCTTTGTTTCGCAAACACATTTCACCTTACACGTCAACTCTTTCGCTCAGCATCCAGAGGCCACTTTCGAATTTAACCCAACGCTTTACCAAGCTAGCTATGTTTTCCGATAACAAGGATCAACTTCCTGGAGAGCATTTCGAGCCTCGTCCTGCCTCGTCCGAGTCTGAGTCGTCAAACCGCTACCCTCGTCACATGACCCAATCCTGGCAACCCGCCCTCTGCAAGTCCTCTTCCTCTTCCTAGCAGAAGTACAGAACTTGCCATGTAATTTTCCACTCCCCTTCATTGCCCAATCACTAATTGACCGCATCATGTTTGACTCAAATATGAGAACCAGTGTGTAGGTGAGCAAAAGTCCACGCGAGAACGAGGAGACTGGAGTACATTACCTCCACGCAAACAAAATCCAGTCTCGAAGCTCGCGCCTCCAGGTTTGAACCCATCGCTCCGTCTTCCGTACTCGCCTTATATCATGCCCATGAACTCGGTCGACGAATCGCGGTGGTAGTACTATATTCAGAGCCCGGGTTGATATCAATTTCGAAAGTATGACGAAGTAAAGAAATACCGGGGGCGTAAATTTCTCTTCTCCAACATCCTATCGCCCGCTGAAGATCAAAAAGTCCACAAGTGGGACCCCCGGGTGCTACCAACCATCACAGTTTGGTATCGGTGAAACCACTTCGGGGTTACACAAACATGCCATAAAGATGGGACAACGTTGTTGAAGACACGGAAAAACGATTAGAAGAACAGCCTTGTCGGTCCCAAATCAAGGAAGCATCCGCCATAAAGACCGTCACGTATGACTCGGACAGGAACTCCGGAAAGCAAAGTAAACCACCCTGAGATAAGAATAATCGTCGTCAGTGGTCCACAGATCATCCTTCTTGAACCATATATTTTATTTTGCCAGTATTACTTACAAAATATGATAGAGAGAGAGACAAGTCGAGAACTACATGAGATGAGAGAAGTAAACACGAAGCTAGACAGAAGTATGCCAGAAAAGGGATGTGAAAAAAATGGAGCTCAAAGGCCTACAACCTCATACAGAGAAGAATGGGGAAAATGTTTCTTGATCGCCTTGTCAAGGTATGAGTATGGCGTCACGTAGGTGACATCGGTCCTGTCATTGGTACCTGCACCTCCAGTGAGCATCCCCAAGATGTCACCGTTTCTGTCGAGTACAATCGAACCGGAATCCCCGGCGGCAGAGAATGGTCCTTTCGTGCTCCCATAAGAGAGAACTCCGAATTCAATGGAGGTTTTTTCGATCTTGGACTCTTTGTAGACACGAGTAAATGATTCCATGCCTAAGGCTCGACCAATGGTGGTCCCGGTTGTAAGGCCGTTCTTGACAACTAGAAGGCATTGCTCCCCATTGACATCGAGGTGCTTGGGATTATAGATATCATCAAGCTGGATGACGCCACGTACTTGTAAAAGACCGTCCTTCGGGTACGCGTAGTTGGTTCTTTCGTCGTCCCTAGGGAACATAATCTTGCCGTATTCTGCACTGCAGAGATTTCCGCCTACAAGGGAGTAAGGTGATGGTCAAAACTTCAAGCAATACTGACCGAAATAGAAAAAAAAGCGTACCAATGTAAACCAGATTACCCTTGAACTTGTCCCACTCAAACTTGTTTTCGTGGAGCGCGATCAAAGCCCAATCCTCTGGAAGCTTCTGAGGTCCGACACTGGCAGCGATAGGCTCGACGTGGACAACCTCGCCAATGATACGGTCGTTGGGTAGATTCCAGAGCTTAGATATATCGGTATGAAATTCATTAATCTTTTCGGTCTTCCACCAAGCCTTCTTCGCCAAGTTCAAGTGTTCCTCCCGCTTCTGCGTGATAGTCTCTGACTCGCCCTCCTGAGCCTCGCCCAGTCGCTCAAGAATGTCTTGCCAGTCTTTATTCAAGTGATCTAGGTCACCAATGGCTCCCATCATGCTTTGAAGTGCGCCTATATAGCCAGAGTGGCCAAGGGCAATGATATACTCGCGGGGATTTTTCGAGGTCTTATTGAGTAGAGCTGTGTTACAATGATCGGGAGGTGGTCGAGCAACATGGGCACAGGTGAGCAGAAGGACCCGACCGTCCTGACCTTGCTCGCGAATATACAATGCACCGGTGCCTTCGTAATGGGGGCTTTTTAAAGGGGCAATGGAAAGTCCAAGCGTGGGAGTAAAAGGCTTTGTGAACTCAGAGATCGGGTCTTTGAAGGGGTCGAAGGAAAGCATTTTGGGACCGGCCAGAGAAGGGGTAACGATAGACTCGCGAAAGCCAATCTCAACACCACCGAAGCCAGCCTCAGAAATGAGTTTGGTGACGGCTTCAGCCGCAGTATTGGCAAGCTTGTATTGAAGAGACCCAGGAACGACACCGATCCAAAGGAGGAGCGGACTGAAACTTTTCTTCCCTGCCTCCGCGAATGCGAGGGGATCAATAGACGTCCAGCAAACACCCATCTCGTCCAACAACTTGTAGACGCGCTCGCCAAGTTCAAGCCAGACAGGCTGCATAGGATGTCCGTGAACTCCTCGAACCTCTCGGATAATCCGCTGAGCCTCTGGACCGGTGCGGACAGGCCAGGCGCTACCGCTCTTATAGATACATAAAGCGGCACTGGGGACTCCATAGAAGTCGAAAGTGGCGTTTGGATAAAAAGCGGAAAGGCGCTCCGCGTTGGAGATGTATAACTCACTGTCATCCTCGGTACCGAGGTTTTTGAGCTGGTAGAGGGTGGAAGAGAGGGAGGCGAGGGGATTGAGATTGGTAGTGGGAGAGGCGTGAGACCCGCGGACTGTCCGGATAGAGACTTCCTTGCATGAGTTCAGGAAACCCTTATCGATGATGAAGTCAGAAGGCACTGGAAGCGCACAGTGAGCAACGAGAAGAGGCTACGAGAGTTAAAGCCACTTACTGCTGTGATAAATTTTTGGTAATTGTGTAACGAAGATGATTGTGGAGGAGGAAGAAGGCAGAATAAAGGAGCTGATTATATGTTTGGGTTATATAGCAGATCGAGACACAACATTACGTCGATCCCGGCGATCGCTAATAAAGTAAGAGGGGAAAACGACAAGGTATATGAGTTGGTGTAGATAACGAGCGACGCACTTGAAAACAGAAGAGAACGATGGTTAAGCCATATCGGTCAGGCAGAGGCAGAAGCAGACGTGTGACCGAGAGACGTTCTCTGGAGCTGGAAGAGGGAGGGCGAATAGGGGCGAATTGTACAGCGGGTCTTGAAGCTACAATGAATAAATAAATCAACTGGTTCGCATTTCCTTGTCAACTGCAATGATGTTGATATTCGATGATCCTCTACCTATTGTACACTAAACACTTCCGTATGCAACCCGACCCCACCCAACTCAACGCCTCTCGTTAAGCTCAGCTTCGCAACGGCATTAGACGCCTCCCTCGTCAAACTTCCCGGTCCACTTGCACAGACAGCAACACCTCCTCCGAGACCAACCCACTGCAGTTTTGCCGAAGCCTCCGCCAGAGCTGCACAAGCCTCTGGGTCGCGGGCCAGATTCTTCCGGGGGACTTGCTCAATTTCTAAATCATCCACAGATGAACCTGATAGGGACGGTGCTCTCTTCTCCTTGTTCGCATCTGCACTACCACCACATCCGGAACCACACGTACACTTGACGTCTTCCCCATCACTGCCACTCGCACAACAACAATCCGCTTTCTTCAGCGGCGGCGTTGTCAAGTCTAACAAGATTTTCGAGGTATCGGGTCTCTGGGCAAGCATCAACACATCTGAGTTTGGGATCGGTGGAACAGCTTCAGGGTTACACAGACACGTTACATAGATGGAGACGTGTAAATCCAGATCAGGGCATTCTGCGACGAGGTCGGCAATGGGCATGATTACTGAGGTGAACCAGTTAATGCCGCCGTAGGAACGGAGACACCAAACGAATTCGATACGCCGGGTGCGTTCGTTATTTGGTCGACCAAGGCGTGCGCAGCGTCCGACGATATCGTCAAGGACACCAATGGTAAAGGTGGCACCGCTGCCACCAGCAATGAGGAGAACAGTCTCATACTGTCCCAAGTCAAGGGAGCAACCGCCATAGGGGCCGTCAAGCATGACTTGGACAGGAACTTCGGGAAGTGGGATGGATTGGTCCGAAAGAGAGGAATGTTCGTCGTTTGAAGCAGCTTTCTTCTTCTCAGCAACCCATTTAGCATTTTGGGCTTGAATAGCCTTGCCTTCTGCATCAGCGTAATTGTTTAGCGCTCGAGTCCAGTCACCGGTGACTCGTGCACCAAGAATGATTCCTCGTCCGCTTTCAGTAGAGGAAGGCCCTGCGAGACAGGTAACGTTTGAAGGTGCATTCATTATCGTTAGCGGATGGCTCTCAAACACGCGTCCGGAGAAGAATACTCGGAGACGAACATGTTGGCCAGCGATCCAGTTCGTGTCACAGTCTTGGATGCGGATCTATAATGCGTATCTGTTCAGGGAAAAGCAATTTTAAACGTAGGTGAAACTAACCAGAGTCATATTAGAATCGACAGCGGCCAAATTAGCATCCTTGATCCTAACACGTAGCATTCGCATGAACATATCAGCGGCATAGAATGCCAATGGAGGGAATATCCAAGGGACGGCGTAGATAGTATGGTAGCAGATCGTTATGAAGAACGCTACGAAACCCAAAACGCTGATGAATCGATCATTCAGTAACTGAAATGTACGACTTGTTGTCGGATGAAAGGATGCAAAACTCACTGCACAACCCAGAAGAAGTTCCAAAACAACTTCCTGACAGGTCTGAAACTTGTTAACACGATCCCACCAAGCACACCCAGCGCTGCAACCCCGCTGGTTTCTTTCTGAGCGCCGATGATCTGGATATCGTACTGGAGGTGGTTGCGGATCCAGAGAGAGCCATGGACAACAGCACCGAGGAATAAACACCGTCCAGACCAGCGGTGGATGTAGTTGAGTTTCTCGTAACCGTGGCCGGGTCCGAGAAGGAGGGAGACGATAGAGTTCTTGGTGACGAAAAGGAAGACCACAGGTAGTTGGGCGAGGGCAAGGAAGCCTAGTTAGTTTATGAAGTTAGTATTCTCAATGGAGAGGAAATAGGAGTAACATTTACCTGCACGATTAGAGTTGTTCACGAGCTGGGAGTCCATTATGATACAAATGAGCACTATGATCAGATACGCTAGGACGACGAATACTGAGGGATCTTTGAGCCTCCGTCAACCATATGAACGAGCTGAGTTAACTTACTCTGTCCTGCATTCAGACCCAGTCCAGGCAATGTCCACAAAGACACCGATCGTATCACAGATATTATACCTTCAATTGTCCTAATCATCGTGGGTGTAGAAGAAAGTCCTCTTCTCGCCGTATTCTTCGCCTTTGAATCGTTCAGGGTAACAGCTTCGTAGTTTCCTTTTCCTTCCCAATCTTCCTTGATTCCAAAGAATCCAGTGAACGCTTGGCCGTTACGGATAGACCTGACTAGACGAGGAGCAGCGAAGAGCAACGATGCACCCAGACACGAGCCCCAGATTATAGAAAATTTGGTTTGCCATTGGGGGTCGATAACATAGGAGCTGCGCAGATACAGGATCTTAGTACATCCGACAGAGGGAAAGTAATGAATAGCCGTACTTGTACACCTGCAACGCTGCAGGAACCGAAGGAGCTGTTCCATAGCTCATAGTAGCAGTACAATGAAGAAAACTAGTCTCCTTGCTCCTAGTCGTCGGTTTGTCGTGAATTCAACAGAAAAGAGGACCTAACGACCTTTGTGAATTCGAGTTGTTCGGTGGTCGTATGAAGTACACGGTCAAGAAAGCCACAGATGGATCATAGAATGATAAATATGGGGGAAGCAATGGCAATAGAAACGAAAGCGATAATTCGGATAACTTCGGATGAGAAGAAAAACTTTTTATCCCCCCTATCTTGACGAATCATAAACTGAATATTCGTCGTTGACAAGGTCACTAGCTGATATTTTCTGTGCCCTCACACTATCTTGCCAAGCTGCGGAAAGTATATATCTATAGCAACGCATCATGGAAATCGGTATTTATAGTACATTCACAAATAACTCGTCTTAAGTGTGGATCGTCAATGCAACGTCGTCCCAGCATGGGCATAGCGTCCAAACAACGTTTCGCCTACTCCGAGCCCAACGATTATTGAGATAATGAAACCCAATTGGAAGGTCCTGGCAGAGTAAAAGATTAGTATCAAACAAGAGGAACGCAATTATTAAAAACCAACATAACAACCAGCATGAACGCGAAACTGAACGCAGCTTGTCCAGCGTGCAGTATTCCTCGAACGATATCGTGAGCAGGGATGAAAGGTGGAGCACGTCGCAGAAGAAGAGTGTTGCCCACTGTCGACGGAGGGACTGTTCTCTTCTTCTTCTCCGAATCTCCATTCGCATTGAGCTTGTTGGTGTATGCAATCTGAGCCCTAATCGGTCGACGATTCATGATTAGAGCCAAATCATCTCGCTGACAATGAATGAAATCTCACCTTTTCGCCCAATGAACTTCCATCATCGCTCTACAGGCTGCAATCCATCGATCTACGAGCGCAAGCAAGAACAAGCCCACACAAGCACCGAACATCGCTCCGGGTCCTTGCGGTACCCAGCCTTCGAACCAGAGAATATCACCACCAATGGTGAAATGCAAATAGGTGAGCATGTTGCCAGATGCTAGATCCATAGCGCCATCCATAGACATTATCATCCCATCTGAGTCTCGAGCTTGCATTTTGGCTGGTTCGTTCGGCTGTGCGAAGATTGTAGACACGAACACCGACAGAAGTAGAAGACAGAGATGTCGATATTTCAGCATTGCAGTGGACATGGGCAGAGGTATCAAGCCTTGAAACCGGGAATTTTCGTCTGAAGGCAGGGAATAAAAAGATGAAGTCGTTCGCATCGCAAGATATCCCACGGTGGGTCGTTAAGCGTGAGAACACTAGATTTTGGATCCCGATTCAGTGCGTTGCTAACAAATAACTGCTATCCAACAGGCCTCCACCTGTCCCTGTCCCTACTCTATTTTCCCAAGTTAGACCACTCCAGGGAATTTCCCTCCTAAAGAACAAGGAAACCAATCAAGTTTTCATCTTTCTCTCTCTACTGCCGAGTTGATCCTAAACCCATGCATTGTCAGTTGCCCATTTGAATTGCCAGCACAGTGTCCACGAAATGGCGATGACAACGCTACGCCGGCTAACGGCAGTGTTACTCGGGGAAATACTCGGGAACTTTCCTACGGTGGCTGAGGACATGTCGTGTGTGGTGCTGCGGGAAAAGATGGTGGGGAGACGTCGACGATAATAGGGGAATCAATGTGAAGCGGCACGAAATTCTTGCTGACAACAGTGTAACAAAGTCTAAACAGCCGGCAACGGCCTACGATACCCAGTAGTGCCGAGTTCCTAACACCAGAAAACATGGGCTTCATCGGGTGGAACGAGTTCAACCGTAAGGTGGACTTGCTGGATTTAATAGAGAAGATTAGAAAAACTACTGAGCACAGCGGCAGCGGAGAGAAATGACGAGAAGCTCACAGATACAAGTATGAAAATTTTGATAAAAAACAGGAAGTCGAAACTAAATGTTGTCTTCAATGGAAAACAAACCAGCCAACGTTTTATAAGTGTCGACAGTGAAAATTGGGGGGAAAGACGAACCGATGCATTCATTGAATGTTTTTAAGTGTTTCTCCAAGACGACGACTACATCCAGCCCGAAGACCAGTATAAGAAGCAAGAACACTGGAGGTGTGCAGGATGGAATGTCATAGTGAAGAAGGAAAACATATCAAAACGGAGAGAGTGGGAAATATTGGGGACAGAGTGTGTTGGAGTGTTTGAGGCAATTTGGCGAAATGGTCCGTGCGCAGAGAGGCAATTTTGCTTGCTGAGCGCTGAGCGCTTACTTACATATTTCGGCAGTTACTGGTCGCCCTACAGCTTGGGAGTGCACAACATTCCAAGAGCACAGGATCTAACACTTTGATTGGCATTATATATTATGTATTATTTATGTATGCAGAGTAAGGAATTCGGGAGGAATTGGACATTATAAAATTTTACTTTTCTGTCGAGTTTCTCCATTAAAGAAAATAATCCTTGAAATCAAGCGCGTGTCCTATTATACTCTGCTCGTCGAAACGCTGTCGATCCCAATCATCAGCGCGAGAGTCCCCGCCCTGTACTCGGTCCGTTTCCTGTGCATCCTTCAGGCACTTCGCACGACCGAAATCTATCAGTCTAAATCGTCTGTCTTTCGCAGACTTCATCAATGGAAAATCTGCATGGTCACCGTGTTGCATGAGAATGTTGCGAGGCCAAAAGGAGCCCTGCGTCCATCCATGGTAATGCAAACGAAGAACAAGGGCGGCACATTCTTGTCTGTGAGAGAAATTCGTCATCCCTGCTCGGGTGTACATCTTCAAGATTGACATACCTATCGTCGATATCGAGTTTCAAAGGTTCGATGGGTTTGCCGCAATCTTCCAGTAAAAGAATCGAACTAAAGTATTTATCGGAAGCGCCTTCCTTTGAGTAGAAACCATAGAATATTGGTGTAATCGCACCCATTGGCGTAGGATTACGGATCGGGCGTGCCAGCGTATACCCTGTCCAATGCTGTGAAAACTGTGTTCCAAATCGTTGATAATTCACCGCTTCCCGTTCGAGATGAGCATCTCCAGGTAAAGATAACTTTGCCACAACAGAGACTTGAGCTGTAGGAGGAGGAGAACCTGGAAGCGATCCGGAGACAGAGCTTTGCGCGAGATGAGAACAGGGTGGAGGCATTGTCGAGGCGGGGTCGTACCACGGAACGGTGTCAATGTGGATAGTAGACACAGATCCAGTATAATCGATATATGTTATCTCGTTGTCGTCCTCAAGTTTATGCAACAGGTTTTCATCCAACTGCGCTCGGGACTTGTCAAGTTCAGCGTAGTCAAAGTCAAATTTCGAAAAGGCAAAGGCGAGCGAGGGAGTACGTTTTTCCTGCAGTTTCAGAGTCCCATTAGAGTGAGTAGTAGAGCCATCCCCAGTCCCAGTACCTGTCTCGTTTATGATTTTTCTGGCAGCTTCCTCCACGCATGTTATGCAAATTTTAGGCTTCGAGAACACCGAACGAGGCAAATCCCATTCTACACGATACACGCAGGAGTGATTTCCCACACCGACTGAGTGTGCAGGAGAGAGAAATAGATGTGCTTCAGGTACAGAAAGTGGTGGAGGCGGAGGTGGTGGTACCGTGACTTTGAAGGCATTACCAGGTACAGAGTGCGCAGGGGAGTCTGCGGAATGGGGATTATCACCACGATTGAATACTGTGGCAACAACAATGGGTGTGGCGTTCTTCATATTTTCTTGAATCTTCGCTCGTTCCAGTGCTATAGTTTCTTTGATCGAGTCAGCAGTGAGGTTAAGACTGTACTTGTGAGTAATGTCATCGACCGAGGACCAATCGACATCTTTAGCTCTAAATGTAGTGGCATGAAGAAGACGAAACGGATCGTGTACGATCAGAGTTTCGGGAAGTAAGTGAAAGGGGATTGGCGATTGGAGAGTGGTAGGGTTCGATGAGAAGGGTACCAGAGGCCAAGGATCTGGATAGTTTTGGTAATCGAACGGAGCAGTGGAGGATTCGAGCTATGCATATAATCAGCATAATCAGTAGTAAATTAGAGCAAAGCGAGACATAGAGATACCTCAGGCTCCATATTTACATCGTCGTCTGTTGGAATATCACTCTCGTCATCGCGCAAAGAAACACCACAGGAGCCCATCATTATCAATAAATCCCTGGCGTTGAGGATCTCCATGATATCCGCTGCAACTCTGAGCCGTGGAGGTTCCTCCGTCTCCGCCCACATCAGTTCATCCTTCGCATACTCTGTTTCTCCATTAGCTTTCATCCAAGCAGAAAGTCTGCTACTGGTAGAGATCAATTGATTGTGCACTGCCGACCAGTCTGTTCCTCTTGAGAGACAGAAAAAGTCTAAGAAGCGTTCTCCCCAAAGGTGCGTGCTCGATGGAGTCGTGAAACCTTCGGGCAGTTGGCTGATAATGGTGCCGTTGGGAGCTCGGGGCCACCGACGAACAACTATACGTACACTCCGCTTGTTTCCAGGTTTTGACTTACCCAGATCCTTTCCCCAAAGTTTCTTGTACAGATCCAGTTGCCATTGATACTCGAGGTCCCTCTCGAACAGGTTTTCTAGAGTTCCCGCACGAGTGCGCTCGAAAGGGTCTTGTCTCGCATGGGACGAAGTCATAGGGAGCGGAGAGAAAATCGGCAGCTAGTACAGTACACCAATGTAGAGAAAAGGTAGGGCCACGTGTCTCCGATCTCGAGAGGCCTCTCTCAAAGGACGGTAGGACAGCTAAGTCACATCCTTCTACAGTACTGTCTCTGCCATGTGCCGTGGCCTTGATCAACGACGTGCGTGAAGCATTTTCAGTCCATGTAATGGATGATGATCATGGCGAAGTCAGCGAGAATTTCAGTGAAAAAAGGATGCTGGAAAACGATGTAATTATTGCCCGAATGGTACATCGCAGACATGAGTGAATGTATTGAATACCCCCATCGCAACCTATGGGAACTCAATACAGACTTCCTGTCTCTTCCTTTAGCAGAGTTCAAATATTTTTGTACAAATGTTACTGCAACTACTCATGAAAGACCACAACATCTTCAATTCGATTTTAGAACTTTACGAAGAGAAACCTGCTATAATACCGTCATATGCAGGCTTCATTTCGAGATTCTATAGAGGATCATCAGAACCTCAATTCACGGTTTACGCATAGACGAATTTCTAACCTCATCCCAAGGATCAGCATCTCCTTGTCCTGCAAATGTGCTTGGAACCCAAGAGTACTATATATGCCACATGTTAAGGCGTGAATCAAATTTGGGACTATGAGACCTACTTTGTCGGTGCTGCGGAGGAGGTGGCATATCACCAATGTCAAAGCTGAAACCTGAAAATCAATAATATCACATACTATTCCCAAACTGTTACCTGAACCGATCATTGTCAACACAAACGAGCTCACTCTTCGTAACCAAAAACAATACATACCCCGACACAGTCTGCCACGGCTGTACATGCAGAAACAACTGTTTGATAGTCCGTCTGCTGTTGTGCAAGCAAAGCGTCGGTCTCGGGAAGCGTCATACGAATATCTAGCTCTGTGACTGCCACTTCCACGCCGAGCGCAGTGAAAGCTTCCATTTGCGCTTGGAGTGTCGTGGGTATTTCACCGAGTATAAAGTGGCTTTCCAGACCGATCCCATCGATGGGAATGCCTCGGGATTTCAGATCCGTAACGAGATTTTCCATCGCGGTAGCTTTGGCACCTTCACCTTCAATGTTGAAGTCGTTGATCTATATCGAGTGAGTGGGATATACTTGCCCTCTAAATGCACGGATACTCACATAGAGTTTTGCATTAGGGTCAGCTGCTCGTGCAGCCTGAAGAGCTAAGTCGATGTAAGTAGGACCTATCGTTTCAAAGAACACGTTCGACGCCAAAGTCCCGTCGTCATTGAATGGTTCTGCATACATGGTCAAATATGTGAGCCTTCGAATGTGTTAATAAGTACATACCATTGACAACATCCCAGCTATCTGTGGAGACATCAGATAATTGTATTTGCGTTTAGGCAGATAGTAAACGTACATCTGAAAGGAAACTTAGAAATATGGAACAAAACAACAAAGAGGATTTGACCTGGTACTCACATTTGACCCTTGTAGTGACCTATGACGGTGCTGACGTGGTTTTGCATAACGCTGATCAGAGTTGCATTGTCGAATCCAGAATCCGAAACCCAGGATGGCAGCTGACTGCCCCAGACCGTGTTATGACCTGAACAGGAGGAATCGAATGTTAACAACCGTCAGTACCACGGTAAAAAAACAAACCTCGCATAATTTGGCCATTGGCTTGTGCAAGGGCCACAATCACATCTCCATTCGTGAACGTGAAGACGCCTTGTTCGGGCTCTGTGGCATCCTAAACAGCAACTAGTTGTGTCAAAATTCAGGAAGTACGATCATATGGCCTCACCCATTTCATAGCATTCTCTGGACTGAGCTGCCCGAATAGTGTGTTATCACTAAGTATCGCCTTGTAGGTAGCGTCTTCGTTGAGGAAAGGATTATCTGTCGCCGATCCAAAATACAGCTTTCCGGCAGCCTTGGCTGCTGTGTTTGAGCGAGCAGTAGAGGTTGCGGCGCGCGCTTTCGCAGTGACGGTGCCACTCCCAGATCGTGGGATGCCAACTGTGAACGTAGCCGAAGCCAGCAAAGAAACAAAGGTAGATATCAACGATCTCATCACTGCTCAGGATGAGAGTTTATGGGAACAGGTCTCGAACGATGATGGGTCGACATGTTACCCGTTTTTTAAGTATCATTTCCGTGACTTCACACTTCGAGGTCTACAGCGGGGTAATAGCGGGCTTATTGTAGTGAAAGTGCATACCGGTCCTCGTAAAGAGGCAAAGGCGGCCCACGCAGGAACCATAACTGCCTTCTGACATAGGCACATGCACAATAGATTGTGCTTGTATTTTCTTCTTGATGGGAACCAGTTCCCTTGCAACGGAGAAATGAGGAGTATTATTGAATCCAAGGATATTTCTGGATATGGATTGACGCCGAATCGATGATTTTTTGAGTCGAAAACCTTCCGAGTCTTTTCTTGGACTATTATATTGATTCCCGCTTTATAATTATGGATGTATCAGTAAAATTTATTGCACGGGTCGAAATAGAACAGCTAGCGTTGATTCTGAATTCCCCGTTCACTATCAGAATTGTGTGAATTTCCGGGCTACAGACGTACGTCAAGGGATACTGGAAGCTAACCATGCCTCAGCAGTCGCCACGTTACCTCCAATCCATCCACTAATCAAACGAGACACAAACGTTTTCGTCATCCACCCAAATAAGATGATGAGAGTGGTGAATAGCGGATTGATGTCTAGAATGACTTCAGCGCACATGAGTATCTGTGAAAAACGAACAGGGGCAATCTGACCACGTAAACCGAAACCAGCAGACATCCCACCCATCACGTTCCTTACAATCCATTCCCTGTCAAGGTTGTCGTCTGTCATGAAGTTGAGTGCACTGAGAATGTCGAAGCTGAATGGCATTAAAACCGAGATGTTGCCGTCGTTCTCTAACGGTGATCGGGACGGTCGCCAGATGGTGAGGAGAAAGAGAAAGAACAGTTTGGTAAATGAGGAATAGAATAGGGCCAACGGAATCAAAGAGAATCTAAAGAGTATTGTCAGTCTGGTTCCGGATCGAGATATTCCGACCGATGCACCTGAATTCTCTGCATATGTCAGATTGTGAACGCCTGAAACGAAAATTCAAAGCCCGCAGTACGCTGTAGCACGCAAAGACGACGCCCGCATGAAATGCTATAGTTTCTGGAAAAGCTTGTAAAAACACAATCAAGGTAGAGAATTTTTTGCGGTACCTATGCAACAACCGAAGAATATTGTGGTAAATCCGGATATCGTTTCTATGGCCCATGGAGAAATGATGAGTGATTTCTCGAGCTCATCGGAAGCAGGCCGAACACTAAGGTGGCTCCAGCGAATGACTGGTGAATCCAAAGATGGAGTTAAAAATAGCCAATTTCCCGATGTAAGCGCTCACAAGCATCAACGAAAGTCAACGTTGAGCCAAGCCGCAGCACAAGACGCCAGCGAGACTAGAAGCTAGTTGAAGGCCGAGATCCACTAAAGACGGCATTGAAGCTCACTAATTCCCTGCCATTTGTAATCCTATGTTGTTCATCGCTGTCTTTGACTATTGTCCCATCCTCTCTCCTTGGTCCTGAGCCACGATTATACAGTAGATGTCGATATACAGCGCGTTTCAAGAGCAGTAGATCGATAAGCAGTGTTAATTCATCGTGTTCGACGTATGGATCAGCGAAGGAATGACAGTTGGGCTATAAAAGTACTTGGGGACTGAGATTTGAGCTTTGATTCCAGAATTTGGGGGTACGAACGCACTGGTCTAGTCGAAGATTGTAGGCAGATTGGTAGACGGTGTAAAGGTAAGGGAGCCAGCGAGTACAAGTAGTACAAATGGGCATGATGCTATAAAGACTGGTACAGGGCTCTGAGCGCAGACCACATGTACAAACAGCGGGTGATATCGGTCCTCGGGATCTTTTTCTTTCCAAAATAATAAGTGCTTGTCGGTGCACAAAGGGCGCCCTTATATGTATGTAGTAAAAATCATTGCAAGTAAAGGGGTAGCTGAAGAACCGCCAGTAGAATTCTATTGTCGAAGTTACGTCGACCTATGTAATGTCGTCTCTACTGCAACTTTCTCACTGATGGACTCGCCGTCTTTCTTAACACTTGCATCACCTACATTCGAAGCTCTGTCCGATTCATAGCCTTCCACCTTCATATCATTTAATCCAAGCTCTTCATTCTGATCCCATGTTCGTTCGTACGATTCGACTGTCATAGCAGGATCAGGATCGGGTGCGTAAAGATTTTGGATGTACGAGTTTGCCAGCGGATCATCGAGAATGAGGGTGAACGGTCGAGCAGCGGATTTTATCTACGTTGCAGATCGCGAGCCTAGTGAGCATGACATGGGGTAAAACACAAAAGGCGGAAACACACCTCTTTCAAATCACCTAGGAACTTCTCAAACCTTACGCGTTCTTGCATAGCTTCAGGTGTATTGGAAGCACTGTCTCCAGAAAATATCTTATCTGACAGTTCTTCGTACACTTGTTCCAAGATTCCTTCCAGAGTAGTGAAACGACCGCCGAGAGTTCCATGGGTGAGAACGAGGTCGATTTCGGGAATACTGAGACCAGCGGTCTCCGACTGAGCATACGGTAAGGGATATTAGACACAATGCGGACAGAGAGGAAGTCTAGACTGGATGACCTTGAGGATATCGCGGCTGAGATCTTCTCGATCTTCCACTTTGAGTGTCATACGCTTGCCTTGCTCTGAAATTGCTGCACCGGATTTGACTTCGTTGTCGCGATACCCGCAGCGATCGCAATTTGTCGACATTATAATTATATCCTATCAGGGGAATGAAAAATGAAAGGGTGACGACAAAGAGCATCTCTTACTTTGAAATAGGGGATGTTGACCTTTTTCATCATCGTATCGAGCGGATGACCACAGCTTGAGCATGTACCCGGAAAAACATAGATCTCTTCGTCGGTTCCTTCAGCACCGCCGCCAACAACCTCATCAGCATCATCGTTCAAAGATAGTTTAGCGGCGCCTTGTACGACGCCTGTAACAGGAACAATTAATTATATAAAAGAAACAAAAGCATGACGCACTAGCAGATTCGTCTGGAGCTGCGACCAATCCCAACTCAATATTTTGCTGCAGCGTTCGTGGATAGTTTCGCATATTCCATTTGGGATCAGACATACTTCCAATGAATTCAATCCACGAGTTGCCTGATGGATCGTCTAATTTGACCGTAAATGCAGGCATGGGCAAATCCTTCTCGGACGCCGCGCGCACCGAAGCATTATTTTGATCATCTTCAGCCTCGTCTTCAACCTCATTGTCTCCAAGAATCTCTACGAGCTTATCGATGAGCGATTGAATCTTCGTGTATGAATCTTCATCTTGTACACGGCGCAAAGGCTGGTCTATACTGAGATCAGATACAATGTCTCTTATCAGGCCTTCGACAGTTGTGAGTTGACCGCGAGCAGATGATGGGAGGGTGAGCTGGAGTTCCGGGATGACGATCGATGCATTCGCAGAGCGCACAATTTGGCGATTCAAATCCGATCGAGCTAGAATTCTTGCTGTGTATAGAGTACCTTCAGCTGAGCATTAATGTTAGTCAATATGAAATGGTGTTGCGGATGATGTTGTGAGATTCGTACGTCTGATGGTGCCCGCGGACTGTATCTCATTATTCGATGCGCCGCAATGTTCACATCGAAAAGACATAACAATTACTTCTCGAAAATATGGAATTGAGGTGAGGAGCATGCGCGTGATGCCCTACTGATACCCAGGATGAAGTAAAGTCGTAATTTTGCGGATATTGGCACGAAACGCACCTGCTCGCCGCATTTCATGCATAGACTCTCGATCTCCTGCATGGGCCTGTCTTCATCAGGGTTTGCACTGGCTTCATTTTCAGGGAGCTGGTCAGCCCTGTCAGCGATGGTTCCAATGGCAGGGAAAAGTTGTTCTTTTGCGTCGTGCGACATTGTGGTTGAACGTTGAAATCAATTTTAAATCAAAACTGGTTTTTGATTGGTTATCATTTCCGAGTAGGCACTTGCCTGAGTTGCCTGGTACTTTAGGCTGTCTTCTATCGTGATTTGTCCATATGTCTATCTAAAATACAGAAAGCTATTGTCTAAGAACATGGAGTTGAAAACTAATGCAGCATTGACTTCTAATTTGAAAAATGAGAGAGTGTAATCTTGTGATTTATGATGACTGTAGTTCTTCCTTGCGGTATATTTTAAAGTAGCCTACCCGGAACCTCCAGTGCACACCGCGCTATAATTTCCATGTGAGGATGTCGAAAAGGATCCCTTGAAGAAGGCCTTTATCGTCCGCTGGGAAGCGGCAGGCAGCACGTCCTTGAAGTCGACCTCGACTACCAGACGTAACTCAAATCAAATACCAAGAACAAATCAGGATTAGCACTTACATTTGTAGTGATCATCGTGAGTTTTTTCGTTCACGAGGTGATCATAGGTTTTATCGTCATACTCGATCCAGAATTTACCAGAGGCGATGAATGGTATTTCTCCAATACCTTGCAAGGTACACGAACGGACGGCTTCCTGGTAATAGCAACCTGAACACGTTGCGATGTCTTACAAGTAGGTATTAACTCACCATTGCCTGACAGTTCTGGTCCGGTTGCACAGTCATGTTGAACGTAGTTGTAACCATTTCATTGAAGCTGATGTCAAAGCTAGATCGAAAAAATGAAACAAAATGAAATCAGACGCACAATACTTCGATCATCAAAAGCGCAACTACTTCGCAGATTGGGTATTGGTAATGGTTGTGTACGCGGTCGGCCCTCCTCTGGTGTTCACGACATCAGGAAATTTCATCCTGACTCTGAATGCATTGGTTATGCCAATGCTTGCTGCTTCTGTCGAAAGTATATTAGCCTACAGCGTTATAATATCAAGCACAACGCACAACGCACCGCTGATGGTAAAGGACGAAGTGCCTGTGAATCCCTGTTGGATCATTACGGACACTATTCCGTGAGTTCCAGAAATGATCCCCCCAGTGGTGGCATTGTTGGTCTGGCAGGAAGGGGATCCTTATTATGATCATGAGTAAAGAGAATTACAGCAAGGCCTTGATCAATACCTGTCGTCTTTATTTGCACCGCCTGAGAGGTTACGCAAACTTTGGCTGGATGAACATCCGGATACTTGGACAATATTAGTGGGCAGTAGGTGAAATCAAGAGGAAGAACACGAACGTGTTTATCATACATTAAAATTTTCCGGCTTCCTTTACCGTACCTCCCATCTGCATAAGATTGGACTTTTTGCCAGAAATTTGGAACTGCACAAGATATAAGAGCCTTGAAGAAATGCAGAGAAATCATGCACATACTGGTCTTGGCTTGCGCAAGTGTCAAATCTACACATTGATCATTCGTAGCTTCGCGAGCCTTCAAAGGAAGGCTCCGATCGTCGACGTAAGGCCTGTAACTTGGAAAGCTTTTATTCGTCGCATCCAATTGGGGCACCTCGAAAGCCTCAGGTAGAGGCATCGCTGGAACGCTTGCGACGATCAGCAAGTAGATGCCGAAGAACTGGGATCCGGTGATAAATAAAATCTCTGGCTCCTGATAAAAATGCGCGATGAAATTGGTGTACCGTTGCAATTATCGAACCCAACATGTCTGACTCGGAATGTACTCGTTCAAATAGAAGCTCACGATTAAATAAAAACCCTCCCAGAGAGAATGAGGCCGTAAGCTTCAAAGCTCTACCAGAGAGATTTGAAAAGTGGAAAGGTTAATGCCAGAGAAAGAGAGGCGCGAATCTGGGATTTTCTCGGTATAAAAGAATGCACGCATATGGCTGCTTATCATCCTCGTTGGACTTCGGATCAAATATCCTTTCCACTGGCAGTGCATCCTTGTGCAATGATGTGCATGCTCATGCAACGCCAAAAAAGCGAAAAATGAGCAAATCAATTGGAATTTCCACCGTCACTTGATATAGTCGACATTATGGGAGGTGTTCATCATACGTACGCTCAAATACATGGGCACCTTATCATAAACAGGACTTCCAGGAATGATAAGAGGACAGATTGGCGAACACTGCAGTTCCAGTGAGGGATTTTGCAAGGGGCAACGACGAAGAGTCTTCAGTGGCCCCGCTGAGTACCACGTTTGTGAATTGTGATCGCGACATCGAGTAACCAGGTCGCGAACGTTCAATAAATCGAGAAAGCAAGCAAGGCGATGTCCTGCGATGACGGATTTTCACGATAAGGATCTTTAGAGATTGCTCCACTACCACACGAATCATTTTCGCGATTAGATAAAATTTATTATCTCGACACAATTGCCGTATCGGCAAATCAGTTCAACGGAATATATCTGTCTATCTACATATCACAGTCTATCACTATATACTGTACATATCTCGGCATCTAGGAATTCTAATGTTCTTGGCGCAACCACAGCCTGAGCAAGAACCTCTACGCTTGGAATGTACACTGATCTTGTCGCACTCACAAACGATAGATGAACGTGTTCGAACGAGCTTCAGGACCCGCAGGTGTCGAGGGTTGACCGTCGCAATAAACAATTCCCCCGTAGACGCGTTTTTGGAGATTTTAACGCATTTTTCACCGTCAAGAAAACCCACAACACGGAATCTAAAGGAGGCTCCCCTCGTTCTAACTGAGTTTGTCGACAATGCAGGATCACTCTGTAGATCAGCTCCAATTTTACGACGGGTTTGGGGAAGTGTGGGCTAAAATGTCTGAACCGTTTTTCTCCGTTTCCTGTCCATCATTGACCTCCCTATCAGTTGGAGGTTGGAAGTTTTGAGCCTCGATAAACCTGCCGTAGCCTGCCCCCTTCCTCGCCGTTTGTTAGCACCACAACATGCGCTCAGACTGGAGATTCTAATGACCTGCGACGCTCTGAGTCACATTGACCCCGAACCTGAGTTCCCTCGAAATCCTTGATCGTGCCGATTTCTCAAAACTTTGGAGCAGGTCCAATATGGACTCAACAACAGGATGTGCAGCTACTTAGCAATGTCGGCTTATCCCTCTGCTATGCCCTCAGCTTCAAACATCTTGCTGTCCCTGCTTCGGTCAAATATCGAGCCTGGTACTCATTGATGATTGAACCCCCGGAGCAGAGCCATCGTAGACCCAGAGAATGGGTAATCCATATGCTACCAGATCTTCATTCGAACGAGGGCATCCAGGGGCATCCTTCAATGCCGTGAATTGTTTCAGGAAGATGATCTGAAACTGCGCACCCGCCACTGTATTTGTCTTCATGATATTCGAGTAACTTTGATGGACCAGAGCTCTGTGAAGCTTGACTTCGACTGAACAGACGAAACGTTTGACCGAACGTTGCGGCCACAAACTCGCTTTTTTGAGTACGCTGGTTCACACTTCAGGCTTCGAAGTCCGCTCACGTCCTCGACTGTCGTGCCGGGGCATCCAAACCTTTTTTTGCCTTCGGAATTTTTTTTCATCGAACGTGGCCCCTGGTTGCTCCTATGTATGCTCTCAGTCAAAGGGGCTGAACTCGTTATGTACATTGTAAGTCCCCAAGCTCGTTTCCATTCTTGATTTGTTCAGACATTTTCGTTAACCAATTACGGCTAAGACAGTTGCTCACTTGTTCATGTTTGCAAAGTTGTGCCTTTATGACCAAAGTTTTCATGAAAGCCTATCACAAACATAACCGAGGCTCCAAGACACCTGCGAAAACATACCTTCTTTTAGAAGTTTCAATAGATGGGCTTTCACCAGGCCACTTCTGGATAAACTTAAGTACCCGTAGCGTTGAGAGTCAGCTGGTACATTTCCCATCAGCATATAGACTTCTCGTTATCTGGATGCGTTGTCGGTACCGACCAGCGTCGACTCTGCGATGAAGTGTCTGTTTATGGAGGTCAGGAGTTCCGACTTGTTACGGTTTTGACATGACATTATTGAGATCCATATCCTCTGGACCGACTTCTTCACAGACCTATTGGCGCCGATGAACGGATACCAGTGACTGGGGGATGATTTAACTCCATACGGTCGATGTCCGTCCGCCGGTGAAGAGGAGGAGGAAGAGGAGCTTGAACCTGACGCGAGAAGTCGTTGACTGATTGGGAACGTGATTGACATGCTGCTGTCCATATAACAGACTGTTCTCAGCTAGTAAGTTATACCCAGTACTCTCTATTGAAGCCTAACAAATTGAAAACGTACACTGCTACATATCCTCTATGTCTAAATTGAAGGAACCCACCACTGGTGCAACTGCAGCATCCTCGTTCAATACTATCCCCCGTGGCCACGACGACCCATACCAATACCAAGTCGGATTCGGGAATAGGTTCGCTAGTGAAGCAATGTTAGTACGTCTGATCTTTTCCGAGGCTTCTATCAACTTGTTCGTTTGAAGACCCGGAGTTCTCCCCAATGGCCAGAACATGCCTCAGAAGAACAAGTACGATTTGTACACTGAAGGAGTGCGTTGCTCTCAATGCTCAAATTCGAAAAAGGTCGCAGATTTACACCTTGAAACAAATTATAGATGACTGGAGCCTCCTTCGTCGCTCCACGAGCGGAGAATCTGAACGCGTATGCGATTCTCATCACCCCTCAATAATACGCTCAACCGTATCGTCAGATGGCTCTACCGTATCCGACCATCAGTCGCTCATCAAGGATTCTCCAAACTACCTGACAATCCCGATGTGAGTTTCCCTTAATCAGGCCATGTTCACACTACTTATTTATTATAATAGTTCGAATCCAACTTTCTTCCTCTCAACTCCAAAGTTCATGTCAGCCCTACTCAATTAGCCTGGCACCCCTTCGACATCCCTTCCGGGGAACAATTGGTCGATTTCGTGGACGGAATGAAGACTGTAGCGGGAAACGGCGACCCGACTTTACATGAAGGTCTTGCTGTACACATGTACCTGGCCAATATATCGATGGGAAGGAAAGCCTTCTGTAACGCGGACGGGGATATGCTCATTCTGCCTGAACGTGGGAGGTTAGATATACAGACCGAATTTGGAAGGTAAGTAACACATAGTCAAGTGAGAACATACTATAAACCAACTGTGACAATCATTACCAGAATAATGGCACGACCGGGAGAATTAGTTGTTATACAGAGAGGAATTAAGTTCAAGGCACGTCAAAGCTTGAGTAATACAAGTCTGTTTGAACCAATGAGGCGATTAGGTCAAACTTCCCGACGGACCTTCGCGCGGATGTACGTTGGATTCATGCTCCTGTCTGCCTTAGGCATTGCACTAAAACCTGCTGCTTAGATATTCAAGAGATTTATGGCTCGCATTATACTTTACCAGAGCTAGGGCCCCTTGGTGGACACGGATTAGCCAATCCAAGAGATTTTGAAAGCCCATTGGCGAGCTTTGATTTGGACCAGAACCATTGGGACAGTGCGTACCGCCTTGTTTCTTTTTGGACTTCCTGTATTGATTGAATATCGTAACAGTTGTTTACAAGTACGTTCCAGACATGTCATGGTTGGAGCACGGAACTCAGCGTTTACTTTTAGAGTATGTGGTCAGATGCATTCTTGCTCTCAGGAACACACCCCGTTCGACGTTGTTGCGTGGCATGGCAAGTGAGTACATTTTATCCTTCTCCTTTCGCACTTTGATTCGATGACTCGTAACTTTTTCAGTTATGTTCCTTATAAATATGACATGTCGAAATTCGTATTTGTTGGAAGCATCTCCAAAGACCACATCGATCCTTCCATCTTCTGTGTTCTCACTGCCAAATCCAAAGCACCCGGCGTTCCACTTGCGGACTTTTTAATCTTCAGCGGACGATGGGATGTTGGTGAAGGAACATTTAGGCCTCCGGTATGTCTTTACTTCATCATACATTCGAAATTGATATCAACCCGGGCTGCGCTTTGAACATAGTACTACCACCGTAACTCGTCGACCGAGTTCATGGGCATGATATATGGCGAATACGGAGGACGTAGCGACGGCTTCAGACCCGGAGGCGCGAGCTTTGAGACTGGATTTTGTCCGCATGGAGGTAATATACTCCAGTCTCCTCGTTCTCGCGTGGACTTTTGCTTACTTCCATTCCCTGCAGTCTCTTACGAAGAATTCCAGAAAGCGACTGAAGCCGAGCTAAGACCAACGAAGGTGCATGAAAACACACTGGTGTTCATGTTCGAGTCAAGCATGATGTGGACAATTAGTGATTGGGCAATGAAGAGGAGTGGCAAACTGCATGGCAAGTTCTGTACTTTTGCTACTGTCCAGACAACGATTGAAGATATTTACCACATAGAGCATGAACCTAAAATGTGGGACAATCTCAAAGGTCAATTCATGAACCATCTTGAGGAAGTGGAAGAGGACTTGAGGAAGGCCGGGTTGCCAGGATTGGGTCATACGAGAGTGGATAGTGGACAGAATGGTTCAGAGATGAAGGGTAAAGGACACATGAATGGACATTGATTGTAATACTAAGTTCTGCGAAGCTCTGATTACTCGCTGTACATTATTATTCTCGGACGATCTGTAGGGATATTTCTATATGTAACAATGTCACTACGATTTACATCTTCGTGAAATCTTCCTTGGGTGCATTTCCTTCTTCGGTTCCTGTACCATACTTCCTCACGTCTTCCTTTGCCGCATGTTTGTCCTGCTCAAACTCCTTCATCTCCGGCACGTTCAACACTTTCGGGACATTGTCCGCTTGCCATTTCTTGAACGAAAATCCGAAACCTTCATGAGAGTAGTCCTTCTCGTTTGCCTGATCCTTGTGGTATTTGACTTGGATAAAGTCCGAGTCGATCGTCGAAGGGTCGAGGGAGAGCGAAACGAGACCAGTCACACGCGCGGTTTTAGGGATAAGGCGAAAGGTCCAGGACTGCAATCACTCGAGTGAGATGATATTGATTTAAAACATAGGCTGAATTACCTGGTCGTTTTTGAACTGAATGAAGTCTCTCTCGTTCTTGACAACTTGATATCCATTGTTGACGCTTGCGCTGAACAACTTGGGTAGGGCGAACCATTGGCTGTGATACCTTTGCTAAATGCGGCATCCAGGTTGTTAAAATAAACGACTTACGCAGCCATCTTGTAACGGTCATTTGCATAGACGAACTGATCGTCGTACACGCAATCCGAAGAGTACCTTTTCACTCTTTCCACTGTCGGCTTGCAGCTGTACAAAGCGAGAATGTCATCGACGAGACGCTGCCTTGCTGGCTCCAGAGGCAAAGACTTGGCCTGATCTGGAGTGTAATCGTCTGAGGTAGCGGTTTGACGAGGCTCGAAATGCTCTCCAGGAAGTTGATCTTTGTTATCGGAAGACATGGCTAGCTTAGTAAAGTTGAGTTGAACTTGAACGTAGCTCTTGGATGGTGGAAAGAAGAAGGCAAAGCTTGCGAAAGAGGAGCCTCTTTATATATGAGAAACCAAGAAAAGGGAATAGATCTGGCTTACAATCGACTGAAGTCATACCATCGCATATAGTCACGAATTCTCAGAAGATAAGATAATGAGAGCGGGCGCTTACTGCTTTTTGGCGACAAGGATGAGAAGGCTTTGGGCTTAGCCAGACCACGTTTCGTGTATATTTGCTGCGCGGGTTACAACCTAGAAACTTCATCTGCTAAAGCAAAGCACGCAACGGTACTCCTCACATCTCACATTCAAATTGAGTTTAATTGTTATTTTGGGAGAATTATACTGCAAGGTTCGATTCCCGAACGAAGCTGAACGACCAGTATCATTTCCTCAGTCTTACATTTGGCATGCAAACAGTTACTAACCCCGTCAAACAACGTGAAGCCGGAAGTTAGTGATATTAATTTTCAAAGGCAGTAACTTGACTTCATCATTGTCCAGTCAGAGCACCCAGACTCTCCCGAAAGCTGCCAAAGAAATTCAAATTCGAGAACATCGTCGAGCAAGGTATACCTACCTGCATCGTTGAAGTAGGCCATCATCCACTTGGACTGGGTGGACATCGTTTCCATTCCCAACAGCCGTCTTATTGAACACCATCCCCATGTCTGCAATCGGGTACATTGGCCAAGGTGGGGTTATATCTTCCCGAGGGTTAATTTTATTATGGGGATTCAGAGAGAACACGAAAGACAAGAATGATTGCGAGAACGCGGCAGAGAAGCGAGGGTTCTGTAAGGTGATTGGACTAGTGATTGGACTAGTGCTGCGAAATGGCACAATACTCAAGCTACACTTAAATCAAAGCAGTGGAGATTAAGTCGCTCACCTGGGGAAATAGTAGCTGATGTCCATTCCATGCATGGCCGGGGGAACTACTGATGAACGTGAGTTGGTTGAAGCGGCCTTTGTGCCCATTATATCTTACCGAATTCACCCTAATGATGGACAGCCGGGTTAGTACAGAGTTTTCGACGTCCGTACAAATGAAAAACACATACCTTGAACGTGTTGAAGCCATGCTCATGAAATGCGTTTTAGTAACATGTAGAAAGTTGGGCATATGAGAATCGCTACAAACAATTGTAGTGTTCATTACAAGTCCGATTCCATTAGAGATCAACGTACCTTCCCCCATGACGTGATTCACCTAGTTGAGAATAGTCCTCAAACCAGAGTATTGCTTCTGTACTTCGTTTTTTTACTTTGAGCCCAACTTGGGAAACAATTGACCAGCGTATGTGGAGGCATCCATGAACACATCCGTCTGGTTCACAAAGAGGTTCCCTTCGTTCGTGTTGGTCATGGCCAGAAAGGCATGCTAAGCCACGAATTTGGATGTTTGTCAGTCGGTCAACGGAAAACTCACAACGGTGAAGACAAACTCAACCCATTTATTTTACCTTCTCTCAAAGCTAGCGTCGGTCTTTGCGTTATGAACGTTCCGTCAATGACAGGGACAAAAAGAGTTCCGTAAAATGCGGAAACTTGGGATTGAATATTAGAGTCACATTCCTGAGGACACTGATGTCTGCATCTCGGAGACAAGTCAGGGTATCGCTGGCAGATGAGCAGCTATTTTTGTGTGAGCGGAGTACTTGTTCAATAGGCAGAAGATAACTCTCACTTGCTTTGTGAAATGAAGCCTGCACTCTGCGCGATTTTTGGGATATCGCAAAAGGCCCAATTCTACACAGTAAAATGAACCACGACTCCAGGAAATAATGATGATTTTAAATACCGTGTCGGTCTCTCCTCCTCCCAGTGGTTGAGCTCCTGGTCCTCATGAGTTATAAGGTGATGTACGTCGGTGAAATTTGGCCACAGTAACTTGGGTAAGCGAACACCATTGCATATATACTATTCAAATTTCGAAAGAAGATTTATGTAGCCATCTTGCAAACGGAAGCCAATAGAAGCCAATGGATAAATTGTCATACATGTAATCTGAGGATAACAAAAGAAGGATGGCAAACATCCGTAGTCATGATAATGGGGGGATATGTGGAACATAAGACATATGTGTGAAATGAGGGGCATGCAGTTGAGCAAGGATCTGAGAGCTTGAGTGTGAAGATTACGCTTTTTGTTGATTACTGGTACGCGCTACACGTGATATCCTAGCAACTTCGAGAAAAGATCATCTGATCATGCTTTCCTCATTGACCAGTCAGGGCACCAACACTATCCCAAAAGCTGTCAAGAAATTAGAACAAATCGACAACATCGTTAAGCAAAGTAACTTCACCTGCATCGTTCAAGTAACCCATTATCCACTCGAACCGGATGAATATTAGTTCCATTCCCTACGGCAGTTTTATTAAAAACCATCTCCGTGTTTGCAATCTGGAACATAGACCAAGGTGGGGTTATATCTTCTCGGGGATCAACTTTGACGTTGGGATCCAGGGAGATCACGAAAGATAAGAATGATTGCGAGAACGCGGCAGAGAAACGAGGGTTTTGAAAGGAGATTGGACCAGTGCTGCGGTTTGGCATGATCTTCAAGCTGCGCTAGAACCGAAAGGTGGCCGTTGATTTGCTTACCTGGGGAAATAGTAATTCACGTCCATTCCATGTAGCGCCGGAGGTATCGCTGGTATTTCTAAGATGGTTGCACGAACCTTCGTGGTCAGGAAATCTCACCGAATTCACCCTCAAGACGAACGGAGCATGAGGAGATTTTCAACCTCCCGTGCAAATGAACACACGCACCTTGAACGTGTTGAACCCATGCTCGTGAAATGCATTTAACATGAAGAAACTGGGGCATTTGAAGATCGCTGTCAAAGGATGCACTAAAAAAGGTCGATTCCACAAGATATCAACGAAACGTACAGTCCCCCATGATATTGTTGATTTGATTAATCGTAGTACCTAACCCAGCGTACTGCTTTGCGACTTCGTTATCTTGTGCGGAGCCAAACTTGGGGAACAATTGGCCGGCGTATATCGAGGTATTCATGACCACACCCGTCTGGTCCACAAAGTCATTCCCTTCGTTCGTATTGGTAATGGCAAGAAAAGCACGCTAAACCAAAGATTTGAACTTATAGTAAGCGGAGGTCATTCAAGGGCAAAGACATACTCACCCCGTTAATTTTGCCTTCTTTCAAGGCTATTGTCGGTCTTTGTGTTATGAAGTTACCATCTATTACGGGAACAAATGCGAAAGTGCCGGAAAACGCTGCGTCTTGAATATCAGTATTCACTGTCCTAAGTACGTTGAGGTCCGCAGCTCGGAGACAATTCAAGGTATCGCTGGCGGAAGAGCAACTGGAACCGATACGCTCGTGTGAGCGACGTATGTGCAGTGTTATTCAATGGATCAATGGTGACTCACTTGCTCTGTGAAACTACTTCCGTGTAAAGTGCCTACGAAATACGGATTGACGAACGAAATAGGTCACGGACGAGATATGTGACGTACCTCGGGGACGGCATCGTCGAAGGGGTACTGCGAGGGTAGGAATGTTGAACTCGTGATAGCAGCACGGAAGAGTGGTGGAGAAGTCTGTCCATCCTGAGCGACAACATGCTGTAAGACGGATCCGGCACCTATGTAATAAAAATAAAAGATCAGAATACGCATGCAGGAAGACATCCATTATAACAGTGAGAACACCAAATGTGCACAGATCGACTTCGCTCTGCTGGAAGGAAGAGTAGCAGTATGCACATACCTGCTGACTCGCCCCAAATAGTGACTTTTTCTGGGTCCCCACCGAATTTCGATATCTAATGATGGATCGGAACGAAGTACCCAGCAGTCGGAAGAGGGTGATACACACATGCTCGTTGACCCATTGTAATGCTAGATGTTGATCCACTGCACAGGAGTATCAGTCAGCCTAACACTTGCGGGCGCTCTGTCTGAAAGCAATTATTGAACATGGGTACTAACATAGTCCCGCATTAAGATCGCCATTCTCCTTCACATTCTTCCCTGCGAGAAAACCTGGATATTTCGGATTAGTGAAAATTACATAACGTGAAATTGAGATTGGGATTGGAGAAGATATACCAAAAAGTCCCAGTCTATATTGTATGATGACGGCTACTACCTCGTTGTTGGCTTGTTGCAGTAGGTCCGAGCCGTGGAACATTGAACCGTTACCACCGGCATACCTATGTATACAACGGTCAGCAACGCTTAGATACGCACTGTAGTATTAGTACGTGCCCTCCTCCGTGAATCCATACTACTGTGGGGAGCGAAGAAGTTGTGGAGATGCGGCTTCCTGGGGTATGAACACTACATGAAACGGAGAAATACTAGCAATGAAGGTTGAAAGTTCAAATAGCATGGAATACTTACTTGAGGAATAGGCAATCCTCCGAGTCAGTAACTAACCCTTGAACACATTCTGGGGGTTCGGTGTCCGCTTGTTGCACCCCACTGATAGGCGTAGGGGATTGGGGAGCACGAAAACGCAGGTCACCTGTAGATCGATATATATTCAGTTCATGTTACAAAGCACAACTGAAAACAAGACCTACCAGTCGGAGAGGTAGCGTATCGTATACCCAGAAAGTTAGTAACGTTTGTCTCCGGGTCGAATGCACCCTGAAATTGAGCGTAGGTAACATCTACAATAGGGCCTTGCAACCTGGGATTTTGAGTAGCCACAGATGACGACGAAGAATATGCGAGGAGGGTGCAGTATAGCAGGGGTAGGAGTTTCTGCAGCATCTTGCTCAAGTTTCTGATCTAAAAGATTGAAGATTTAAAGGCCTGAAGGTAAGGCCGTCCATTTATTCAACGGTAAAGTAAGAGCCCAAAGATAATTTGAGCTGCTTCAAGGCATAGTCAGCAGACATCCGGGGGTACTTCGATTTCATCCTGAGAATCGACATGGACTGCTGATGTGTCAGGCGAGAAAAAAGAAGGAGATTTATTACACGTCAAACAGCCATGGTTTCTCTATCCTCTGACGCAAGTGAAAAGGAAAGGCCACAGAGCGGAAATCTCTCAGGCTCATCACGTTGTCGTTAAATGTGCTGCGCTAAAGCGTCTACTAAATTGAGCATAATATTGTCATACGATATTTGGTTCCACCGAACGTACTCAGAGGCAAGCTCATATTCCCTCCCTTAGCTCTATCATCTCCTCCGAGCTCCTCTGATTAGGACTGTATGGACGTCTCGTGGAATTGAAATGCAAGCGAAAAGGCGATGCGCAATCCCCTGAAATCCCTCAACTCCATCTGATGTTCACCATATAAAGTCTTGCGCCGGGCGATACTCCCTATCCACCTCTAGTTCAGTATATGCTTGTCACAGGTAGATTTGCGGGTCAAAACTGTCGATCATCCAGTACGTATCATCCTCAATATTTTGCATGTTCCCTCGAATTTCTAATCTCATGCCACAAGTCCAATATTCTATTCGTCCATATCGTCAAATAGCATGCTCCCAAAGTTGCTCCCAAAGTTGCTCCTTGCATTTTTTCTCCTTTCCACGTTTGCTGGGACAATAGCCTCTCCTTTGGCAGCCCGTGGCTTCGATGGTCGGTATTTGTCTCTCTTACAAGAGATCCTATCGAACCGAATTTTATTGCTGCTAGGTTGGATCGTGATTATGCTTAGGCGAATCAATACGCAACAAATCGCTCTACAAGTCAAACTGTTCCTGAGCCTGGAGAGACTTGGTCCGTCTTCGTTACTGGGGTCTATTATTTCCAAGCCAAACCTCAACTGGGGGAAAATCGACCATGGCAAGGGACTGGCATTAACACTTGGCCTCAAAGGTCTTCTCGGCGAACCGGGCTTGTCATAGCTAGGGTGAAGTTTGCCTCGAACACTGAGAAGGAAGAGGTACTCCAGTATTTGGGTAAACTTGAGGCGACCTCGAACCTGTTATACTTGATCAAGGTACTCAGGGAAATGGCGGCAATGGCTCGAGAGAAAAAGAAGATAACTGGTTTCGAATGGAAGAATCAGCTCGAGTGGCAGCAGCAATATTGGAAAATGATAGAAATGTTTGAGGATGGACTTGGTGGAAAAGTTGACGGAAATGAGAAGAAAATATATCAGGACCTCTTAATGAAGCGCCAGGAGAAGGCAAAGGAGATGGAAGCAAAGAAAAGCGGCGAAAGCTAGTATTTTGTTTCCAACGGTTTTCTTTGTTGTATATATTGTATTTCTCGCCACTCGTTCCCCGCAATTGGAGAGGCACAAGAAATGAGCCAGTTATTTTATTGCGTGAATGATACCAGTGTGCAACATATGCCTATACAAGAAGATGGGAACGAAGACGAAAGTGGCATTGAATCTCTAGGTCTTAAGCGCGATGATCAAGACCAAAAGCACCAATATTAAGACCCCAATGCACACGGTCGACCCATTCCCCTTCAAACCCCTACCGACCCTATCCAATCTCCGCCGAGCCCCACTCAGTCTTCCCTCAGTCTGATCCAGTTCCGTGTCCAGTTCCTGCAACAGCCCGTGATGTGTATCTAACTCTGAATTGATCTGAAGCGACAAATTATGGTGGCGGGATATGGAATCTGACAGGGCAGAGAGGTGGGTGTCTTGGGTATCGATGAGCTGCTTTTGAGTCTGCAGTAGTGCATTTGGTGAGGGCGGAGAAGGCGGTCGTTGTGGATCGTCGGTATATGGGGTGAACGGGCCGTTGTAGTCCGGGATCGAGGGTGAGGGAGATCGAGGTGGTGGAGTACCAATAAGTGGAGCAAGAGAGGCATTTGAGGGCGAAGTCAGTGATGAGAAAGGATCGGGTTTCTTGGGAGTAGGTGCAACAATAATGTCCAAACTATGAGGAAATGAGTAAGCAATTATTGTACGCGGCAAACAACAGCGAGCTTACCTCGGCACCTCCACACCCTGGCTGTCAGCTAAAAGCATGCCTCGCATCCTCTCATACTGTTTCCGAAGAAGTTTTACAGCTTCAACTTGAGAGTGTGATCCTCCTGCCGTACGACTAACGGCTTCAAGCTCCAGTATGCCGTTCCTCAAAGATGCCAAATTCGTTTGTATTTGTTCCAGATGAAGGGTATTATTGGACAACCCATTAGATGATGGGGAAGAGCTCATTGTAGAGCTACGCTGTCTCTCCAACAGCAAAGACAGCGTTTTAGTGGAGATAGAGGTCAATTTCGCAAGGGCTTGGGAAGGCAGTGACGCCGAGTTTGGTGTCGGCACAGCAGCTCTTACTGAGGAGAGTGGTGTAGATATACGAGAGGTCATTACGAAGAAAATTAAGAATGATTGATCCTATAAAGCTGTCGGTGGCTTCGCTACCCTCAATCGTTTAGAGTAGCTGCGAGATCCCAAAGGGCCAGTCCAAAAATATTCCAAGGCGTGATAGAGCAATCCCCACGTAGATATTCGAGGGTACAAACAAAGCAGATGACGCTTCAGTGGTGTTGAGTGGTCGACAACAAGGAAGTAAGCAAGATGAAGTAATCAAAATGTGAATGAAGGCAAGATAAGATAAGATAAATATTGAACACTCTATGTCATCCTCCTCTCGCAGACCCAAATCCCCCACTCGCGCTCAACTTTCCTCCAAACTAGCTTACGAGAAGAAGGTTCCAAAGTTCTTGCAGAGGCTAAAGAACCAGGTTGAGGGAAAACTCGATACTTCTTCGTACGACAACGACGACGAAGATTACCAGGACTCTACATATCGAAACCCGGATAGGGACGAATACAGAAGAGATGCTGGACGAAATGAATATGGGGGAGATGACAACGGAAGAGACGAATTTGGCAGAGAAAGAAGAATACCTAACGGAGGTTATAACGACGAGGAATTCGAGTACATAAACGACGGTTCCGGAAGACCACCTATACCACGTCGCCCTCGTTCTTCTTCCCCCCAACGAGTAGGACGACCTCCAATACCTACGCGACCTGACGACGATCCAGGGAGCGCTGATGAGGATTCCAATGATGAGAAACCTCAGGTTGTAGTACTGAAAGCTGGTAAACATCTCAGTGAAAGGGAGGCGGAGAACGAGAGGAGAAAAGGTTAGTCGCTATCCGAGTGTTACTTTTATCTCAGTCTGCTTATGGCTTTGACGGCGAATCCTCTTTTTCAGTTTTATTGAAATATGTGTATACTAATACTAATCCCAATAGAAAAGGGCCTTCCACCACTCCCAGACCCAGATAAACTTCAACCTACATCTTCGTCGGCTTCTCTGAAAACAAACAGCAATATCAAATCCCAGTCGGCGAAAGATAAAGAGTCAAAGAGCCTTTCATTCTCGTCTAAACCATCTTCGATTAAGGCAACGGATAATTTCAATGCTCTAAAGCGGAAAGTACTGAGTGGTTCTAACGAAGACGAGGACGATGGTAACGAAGGTGCAGTCAGAAGACGACACGGAGATGCTAACCATAAAGGAGTTGATGAGACGACGAAGAAGAGGAAAAAGGACGGACCTGGTCGAAAAGACACGGGGAAGAAGGAAGGAAAGAAGAAAGAGAAGAAGACGTTGTTGAGTTTCGGGGACGACGCATGAACTTGTCCCAAGCCTGCAACATTACATTTTGTACAACAATGCCGATACGATTTCCTGTCAATCAGCCCGCAAATGAATTCTGCAATTTGGACAGTATTTAGATAAGCGTCAACGGAATTAGGATGAAAAGCTTGAAAAGCGTAAACAGAACGATGATAATAATGATAATAGAAAATTTAACATTTGATGTCCGAAGTTTATCAATAGGTAGGAGGGGGTACACCATACGAATGAGCCTGCCTGATCTCTTCCAACTCCCTCCTCAACAGAGAAACTTCTCTCCTTAGAGCTCCCCTGCTTTGTCCATCACGGCCTCTTCGTCGCGGTGACGAGTTGGAAGTCTCCGACATATCCAAGCTAGAATTATGGGTGTGTGTCGGCGTCGATACGTCCTGGTTAACAATCACCATTTTGGTTTCGCGGCGTTGCGGCGACAGGGGTGGCAGGGGTGACGCCAAAGTATCCATGGGAGGAGCTGAATCAGCCAAGCTCGAACGGGGAAGAGATGATGAATGATAATGCGCGTTTTGAGTGAATGATGTGGCTGAAGATGCCATCAGGGGTATCGTCGAAGGAGCGTTTTGTATTTGGTGCACTGAAGGAGTGACGTAGTTCAACCGCTTGTATTCTCTTCGCAAATTCAACCAAAGCAAGAAGAAAACTAGAGCAGTAAGGAAACCAAGCCCGGCTATGACTGATCCGACAATAGTCCCAGTGTTGTTAGTTTCTGTCGTTCCGCCTTCTGCGCTTGCTGAGGACGGACAAGAGCTAAAGGAACACTAGTTAGCATATGGAATTATTTTCGGGGCTTTCTAGACAGACCTGGAGACTACGGTCTGAGTCTCTGTTCTGATAACGAGGTATTATTCAGATAGAATCGATATTCGAAATCTGTGAGGTTACTCACGCTATTGGTGATGTGGTGCTCGATGGAGCTGAAGCATTGAAAGGCGTGAAGAGATTTCCGGTGTAGAACGGAGCAGACGCGGCGACACCGTTCGTCCTGGAATTGCGGATTCAGATGTGATAGAAAAAGATATGCAATGGAGACGCACAAAGCCAAGGCTTGAAGGAAATGCGGTCTTTGACATTCGATTCAGAAGGAAAAAAATGTCAGATAGACCCATGAATTCTTGTACGTACTACTCACCCTGCTACCACGAATGTAAACGATGTCGAACCAGTCCCCGACAACGTCCCTCCGATCTGTGTAGTCCCATTCGCATATACATTCCGCAATATCCACTGGCTGGGATCACTAGTTCCTGTCACGAAGTTGATTGTTGTGAGAGTTTCGAGTACAACGATATTAGGGAGTGATATGGTAAGGGCATTTCCAAGTAAAAAATAGAGAGATAAGCTGAAGAAAAAGATGTCGGTTATGGTTCTGCAAAAGAAATCAATAGGAGGACGTACAGCTGAAAACACCAGAGCATCATGAAAGTACGAAGCAAAGTGCCAACCTAAGTGGCTACTTTGCAATCCACGGGGACTTTGTACACTGCCGCGTCTGAATCGAAATAACCATTTTGGATAGTTCTCATGATTGTCAATCCTGATACTCTTTACTGTATCAATTGAATTCGAAGATTGGAGTCCATGAGAGAGTTCTGCTCTTGCACCAAATCTTTCAATTTGCATGAAAAGGTTCCACTAAGTTTAAATCTGGAACTAGTAATAATGGGTTGTACAAAGTCAGTTTCTAGTGGACAAACGAAGTGGAAAATGCAGACCTGTGCGTCCATCGGGCCAGGACTCGACGTCAACACCGAGTACTGAAACTGTGCGGCAGTTGAGCGCTGAGCGTTGATTCATTGAAAAGTTCATCACTTGATCTGATATTCGATATTGAGGAATTCTGGCGGCATTGCTAACTATATCGAAGTGTCGTATTTTGAACTTGAAGCCCGAAAGAAATATGAAGCCTAGAAATGTCGGCATTAGGCGCCCGTCGGCTGTTACGCAAGCGGGGTGTACGCTGTAGCGCCCCTGTTGAAACTCTAATTTGCGATAACTTAAAATTACTATCAGCTGCAGCTCGCATCGAACTTCGAATTCCATGACACTGGGCAAATCAAGTCCACAAATAACCCTCTCGTCTACGCTTCAACGGGCTGGCCTTGTTCCCATAGGCAATGGAATTTACCTCCGTAGAGAGATACCGCCCTCCAAATCCTTCAGTGACACTACCATATATACCAAGTCCTCCAATCCCTTGCTCAGGGAGCCAAAGTGAGAAGGGGTGATTCTTGACATCAAATTTACACAGCTCATCGCACATCCTTCAGCATAATTCTTGTCTTCGGATGGAGTAAGTCGATATCCTTGCTCCGCACCCGATTATTGCAACGGAGTTCTCCACTGCATACTAATTGCCTTGACACAGTGGGTGCCAAACTTCCTCATATTTTCAAATACACGAAGGTATACGAAGATATGTATCCAAATGCTACCCAAATCATTGTCCAAAGTGAGTCTCACTTCTTTTGGTCATCCAAACGAACGCGGGTAAGTCTCATACAACCTCCTTGATTACGACCTTCATCCAATATGATTTTGGGGTTGACTTTCGTTTTATGTCTTTCACCCAACACAGATGAACAACCTTGTTCCAGTTGCGGAGGTTCTGGAAGCCCATGGATGCACAAGGCAAGAATCACCTCGAGATGGCAATTCACCTCGTATTCTAGTGCATAGTTTTTCAAATGGCAAGTAGCAGTCGTTCTTAACTTGTCGTTAGCAGTCACTAAGTGATACCGTCACAGGCGGGGGGCTTCAGATGTACACATTGGGTAACCTCCTTCGTGCAAGATCAGGTTCTTCCTCCAGCTCTCGCAGACCATCGCCTCACGTATCCGCAGTTGTCATCGATTCATGTCCAGGAAATGCATCATTTCGTGGGGCTATCCAAGCCTTCACGGCCGCCCTCCCCAAAAATTCTCTACTGCGCATCCCTGTGATAATTTTCATCACACTTCTATATGGCTTCGGTATCATTAGACACCGGATATTCGGGGTTAAGCCTATATTCGAGCGGCTGAAAGAGGGGCTCTTGCGCAAAGGCTCCGAAGGTGGAATACTCCCTTGGATGACTGAGAAGACGCCGAGGATGTACATTTGCTCAAAGAAGGATGAATTAATACCTGTGGAACAGGTTGAAGAGCACGTCAAGGAAGCGAGACATAGAGGATTGAATGCGAAAATTGTGGTGTATGAAGACACACCGCATGTCGCCCATGCTAGACGATATCCGGAACAATACTGGGGCGCGGTGAAGGATTTGTGGGTTCAGGCTGTGGAAGGTCAATGACTTAGCTCATACACCTTAAAGTACAAGATGATTTACATCGTCGAAATGAGATGCAAAGATCGTACCAAACAGAAATGCAATCAAGAGTTGGCGTCGCTACTACGTAGACTCGGTAAATAACATATCTCACACCCTCGATAGTACGCGCTAATATTTACCTGTTGTTGCACTTGACATAGTATGATTCTTCAACAATGCGAATTGTAATGTTGCAGATGTTCGGGTGTAAAAGTGCTTTCGTCCCTTAGTAATAATAAGGTACATGATGTTTGATGAAGAAGCAGAAATCTGGGTTTTGCAAAAGCTGAAAATGTTGATGTTGCTCGTATAGAAGAGGTGATGTATTCTCGTACGGCAGTGGTCCGTCATGGCAAACTGGAGGACCTTTCGACCAAGCCGACTTCGATGGTGGCCCAGACGAAGCCGTGGAAATGGAAGATCAGGATTCTTGAAGTTCTAAATATTGAATCAAAAAAACAGCCCACGGTTGTATGCGGAGGGACGAATGATTCCCACCAACCCAAGTCGGGGAAAATATCGTATAAGGCAACGAAGAAAGTGGTATATATGGTACGGAGAGGTAAGATTCGTGGGTAAGCTCAAAATTAATAGTTCATTTAGCTTTTTAGCCGGTCTGAAAATATGCCATTTTGTCAAGACTATCGAGGTACAAGGAGAACCAGGTGCGGCTGGTTGCGGGCCGCGGAAGCTTCGAAAAGGAAAGTGCGCACAGACCCAGCGGTTCCTCCTTTCCGATTTACCGACGCCCTAGCGATGGTCGGCCTCCTATCTGAGTATCTCTTCCTCTTAGACTGGTCCAAGACTGATCTACCCCAGTCATCTCACAGGCTCTACATTCTTCCAGTTTCTACGATGAGCCTATCTTTTAGCATCAAAGACTCGGACCTCGTACCCGTAGGCAAGGGTATTTACCTACGTCGTGCACCCCCTTTTACGGGTACCTACAATGTACTTGAACCCAGCCCTCCAAAGTGAGAGCTCATTTTCCAACTCGATCTCACATAAACATCCCTAATCTCTTTTAGCATCATTCTCATTTTTGGATGGAGTAAGTCCTTTCGAAGACGGTTAAGTTTGTGAACTGAAAGTATATTCTTTTGATGGACGTAGTGGGTGCCAAGCTACCTCATATCTTCAAGTACACCAAGGTATACGAGGACGTGTTTCCCAATGCTACTCAAGTTATTATCACAAGCAATCCCCAATTATTTTGGTCGTCTAACCGAACTCGGGTGAGTTTCAAAGTTATATTTTGCACAGGCGCCCTTATATATTCAATGAACTGCTATATCTTCATTGAACAGATGAAGAACCTTCTTCCTGTTATGGAAATTCTGGAAGCTCATGGATGCAGCGGAGCACTCCCAGCAGGTCAAGAAAGCGATGCTCCACGCATCCTCGCACACTGTTTTTCAAATGGCAAGTGGTCATTTCCTCCCATGCAAGAGTAACTTCACTTAAACCTTCCACCGCAGGAGGGGGGGTACAATTATTGACATTGGGCAATCTCCTTCGCTCCAAATGGTCTTTGGATCTGCATGGAGGTCACGTATCTGCCCTGGTCATTGACTCTTGTCCTGGGACTCCATCTCTTTGGCGCACTGTACAGGCTTTCTGCGTATTCCTCCCCGCTCTACTGCGTATTCCATCGGTTATCCTCGTCACATTCATTTATGGCATCATTACCCTCGTCAAACAATGGGTATTCGGAGTCCAGCCTATATCTGAGCGGTTGAAAGAAGGGCTCTTGCGCAAAGGCCCTCAAGGTGGAATACTTCCTTGGATGAATGAACAAACACCAAGGATGTACGTGTGCTCAAAGAAGGATGATCTGATTCCTATAGATCAAATCGAAGAACATGTCAAGGAGGCGAGACGGAGAGGGCTAAATGCGAAGATCGAGATGTATGAAGATACTCCCCATGTGGCGCATGCCAGAAGTTACCCCGAACGATACTGGGGCGCAGTGAAGGATTTATGGGTCAGTGCTGACTCTATGTAAACCAACAGACCTCCCGTCAGCAGTGTAGAAAATGGTATTCTTGTACAAACAATCAAGTATACCGAGCACATGAAAGGTGCCGGGGCCTACGTATAAGAGACAAATTATACTGAACTAATCGGCCCCTTCGAGTTAAGGTAACAAGATCGAGCCGTGTGCTGGCGAAATGGCCTCCTTGAAGTACACTTTGAATGAGACGACGTCGGATGTGCGGGTTCGCAGCTGCGAATCAGTGTACCTGCATTAAATTACTAACATAGTAGGAAGGCATTGTTATGATGACTCTTGCTGAGAATTTCTCGTGTCATGTTAGGTAAAGACGTTGATACGACATTTCGATGTGCTATAAATGGAAGATTGAGATATTTACCTTTCTAGAACTTGGGATTCACAACTTACCATTGAAAAAGTCGGCGCCATCGTTCATTTTTGCTCGCCGAGGCCTTCGTAATATCAGGCTTGTTTAATCTGGTGCCTTGCGATGTATAGACATTACCACTACCACCCAGAGGGGTATTAGCAGATGCATCACGTTTCGTTGGGAAAACGAGACCAGCTCGAAGGTTAGGACGAGGAAAGGCTCTCACGTCCATCTCGATAGCTTTCCAGAAGGAGGGTTGCGGCTCTAGCGAGTTCAACATCATGATAACAGGTTCTACCGACGCTTCATGTGGCTGCGAAAATGTCGAATGGGTGAAGTCCTGGCTTGGCGTATACATTGACTGGAATTGCGATTGGTTCTGCTGTTGCCCCGGTAAGACATCCACATCCATGAAGCTGTTCTCCTCTCTATTGTATGTCGGCAGAACGAAAGACGAATCACAACTCATCGGCTGTCCTTGTTCTTCCAGTTTTTGTTTCTGTTGTGATGTCCGACTTTCGTCGGAAAGGTCAAGCATAGACCAACTAGAATTGCCGGGGGAGTAGTATTTCTGAGCGTGTTGAGATTGGGATGATAGCGTCATATTGAAAGGATTGTGACCAGAATTCCCAAATCCAAAAGCTTGTGGTCGCGGTTGATCATCCCCCGAGGGAGTATTAGGCCTAGTGGGGAGATCTGAAGGTAGTAAAGAAATCTCGCGATGCACTTCATCGGGAACGGATTTGAAGCCATATTGTTTCAGAGGTCGAGATTGGAGTTGTGCCGCAACGAAGAGTGAGTTAGACGCATAAGCTCTGAAATCGTCCCCTTTGTTCGACTTCATGAGCGTAGAGGAACTAACAGACCAACATTTTGGTTCAGAAATGGCACGGAGATAGAAGGAGAGAAACGCACATGTTGCTCTTGTTATCCGAAAATGACATTGTTAATGGGGTGAAATTTCGTCTTGGTGAATGTAGTGAGATTTATTGCCGTGAGAGATGAGACCGTAGACTCAGGACAACTACGAAGCTACCTATAAAGTCATACACGCAGTGATGGACCCACTCAGATCACAAAAGGGGTGTCGCCTTGACCACAAGTAATTGTACAAAAGCGTCGATCTTGAATTCATGTTCCTCTTTGAAGGACCAAGCTCTGTTTGGATGCTTTGACGAATTCGGACTTCGGGATGCTGTCTATTGATTACCAGAAACTAGAATGACCGGTCAAAAAATAAAGTGAGGCTGTTTAAACTTTCACTCACTTGACCCGGCGTGTAAGTCGGGACACAGTGACAGGTACCATTGGTATCACTAGAAGAATACAAGGTTGTCAATGATCATGGAACATGTGTGGCAATGCACAAATCTAAGAAACAAGTATTTGTGGCATGCTAGGATAATTGGCACAAATTTGGTCAGAGTGATATGCCCTTAGGCCTGAACTCTTGTCACTGCTGCTAGTTCATAATATTCGTTTGAACCCGCGGCCGTGGGTAGAAGACACCGTGTATCCAACGTGTCTCGAAAGACCGGTAATTTATGAGAGCACAGAGTTGCGTCCCGTGAATGTGTCTTTCATCAACGAAAGGCAAGGCAATCTTATTGGAAGAGACAAGGAGATTAATTGACGCATGAGGGAGAGTTGACGCGTAATCAAGATAACGGTCCGGAATTTACCGGATACCCTCTTAAGAAGGTACCTGCAGTTCAGTTCTACTTTGACCACCATCTTCGGTTACCATAATCATGCCTGGTACACAATCTGAGTTCCCTATTGACCTCAAGCAGTACAAAAAGTCAGTTTGTTCGTGGTTCCATGCATGTTTGCGCATAGTAACTCACACAACGCTTCTGCTTCCAGAATTTCACTCGACCCGAGTAAACCTCAGCTGACTGATGACCAGAGGGCAACGTTGAAAGCCAACATTCAACTTTTGAGAGACGTTATTGTTCTCTTCACCGCGACTGGTGCTGCACGAGGGGTCAGTGGGCATACTGGTACGTTGAAGAGTGATGTTCAGAATGCAACTTAAATTCTCATCGTCATAACATCTCCTACTAGGCGGTGCTTATGACACAGTACCAGAAGTATGCATCCTTCTCTCCTTGATTGAGGGCTCCCCCGAGAAATACAAGGACATCCTATTTGACGAGGCTGGCGAGTCCAAATTTCTCGATGTCCCATATAACGTATCTAATATAAGGTTCTCGCTAGGTCACCGTGTGGCAACACAATACCTCCTTGCCGCTCTTGAAGGATCTCTTCCTGCAGAGCATCTGCTTCATTATCGTGAAGCCAACTCTAAGCTTCCTGGACACCCAGAATTGGGCCTCACACCGGGTGTAAAGTTTTCTTCCGGACGTCTCGGTCATATTTGGTACGTTTTTATTTTTGAAGCTTTCCGACGTTTAATTTTAATGCTCTTAAAGGCCCCTTGTCAACGGTATCGCGATGGCTAACCGTGAAAAAACCGTCTTCTGTCTTGGATCTGATGGTTCGCAACAGGAAGGTAACGACGCTGAGGCCGCGCGTCTTGCTGTCGCTCAAAACCTCAACATCAAACTCTTCATCGATGATAATGACGTTACAATTGCCGGACATCCATCGGAATATCTTAAGGGCTTCGAGGTAGGCAAAACTCTTGAGGGACACGGTCTCAAAGTTGTTACCGTCGATGGCGAAGACATTGATGCTCTCTGGGGTGGTATTGCTTCAATCGTAAGCTATTCTGGCCCTGCCGCTGTGATATCCAAGCGAAAGATGGCTCCCGGAATAGCAGAGATTGAAGGCAGTCCCCATGGTCATGATGTCATACCCGTGAAGGCGGCTATCAAATATCTTGAAGGCCGAGGATATCCTAACTTTGGAGAGATCCTGCTCAACATCAAGCCGGTTCCTCAGCCTTACCTTTATATCGGCTGCACCAAAGAGGTTGGCGCGAACCGTGTCGTGTTTGGTGAAGCTGTCAATGGTGTTCTGGACAGACTTGGAAAAGAGGAGGCTGCTAAGAAGGTCATGGTTATTGACAGTACGTTTAGCCCAATTCTTACAAACGAATATTCATGGTATTTGTACAGGTGATTTGGAGGGTTCAACTGGCCTCAAGGTTATCCACCAGAAACATCCCGAAGTTTTTGTACCATCCGGTATCATGGAACGTGGAAACTTCTCCGCCGCCGCTGGCTTCGGATTTGACGCTGACAAGTTCGGTGTATTCTCGACCTTTTCTGCATTTCTTGAAATGTTAGTTTCTGAAATCACCATGGCGCGTTTGAACAACTGTAACGTTTTAAGCCACTTCTCGCATGCTGGTGGTATGTTTCCGATTCGCCGTTGCTGAGATCGTATCTTTTTACCAGTTTGAATTTCACAGTCGACGAGATGGCTGACAACACCTGTCATTTCGGTATCAACAACATGTTCGCAGACAATGGTCTTTCCGACGTCGAGTCCTTCCTTTATTTCCCTGCGGACGCTCTCCAGATGACGGCCGTGATCGAATGTGTGTTCTTTGAACGCGGTCTCCGCTTCGTGTTTTCCACTCGATCTAAGGTTCCATACATCCTCAAACCTGACAGTGAGACCAAATTCTTCGGCGACGACTACAAGTTTGTTCCTGGCAAAGACGAAATCATAGTTGATGGGAAAGCGGGATATGTTGTCTCGTTCGGAGACATGCTTCACAGGTCATACGACGCTGTTCTCCGCTGCCGACAGACAGGCTTGGATGTTGGGTTGATTAACAAACCAACGTTGAATATCGTCGATGAGCAGGTACATCCTTTTTGTCCTTTCGAGAACATACTTGCAGGCTCACCACGATCTGCCCAGATGATAATGAAAATCGGTCAAAGCCCGTTCGTCCTTGTTGTTGAGTCCTTTAATCAGAAGACTGGAGTGAGTGATCTTTTTTTCATGCATCCGTCTTTGCTCAATGTATCTTGTAATTTGTAGCTTGGCTCAAGATACGGCACGTGGCTGCTTGAGCGTCAACTCACGCCCAAATTTGGATACATGGGAACTACTAAAGAAGGTATGTTGTCCTAGAAGCTGTTGTCTCTAGGGTGCCTTCCTCAGTTCATTCTTTACAGGGTCCGGCGGCCTCTGGGAACAGATTCCTCACCAGAACCTTGACCCCCAAGCTATCATTGTCAAGATCAAGGCTTTAGCTCAGGCTGCTGCTGTCTCCCATTAAATTACTTAGACTGCAATGTGTTCAAAGTCCTCTGATTTTGCTCAGAGCATCATCATAAAGCCAGTGGCTATTCATATCAACATCGAGAAAAAAGTGTATGATTGTACAATATTCATGTCTTCAAAAAAATAGATTACGTGATGTCGTATTCAGGTTCTTCAGATCGCCTTGTCTTTTCCTTCAGTTGCTTCATATAACCAAGCGCTTCTAAAAACAACATCGGACTGATTCATCCTGAACCCAACCCGCTTCCAAACACCATATCAATCTTTTTCCTCTTATCCCAAACTATTTCTCCGTTTGTGAGGTGCTTGAAATACACGATTCGATGCTGAGGGATCTAATGGTACAATTTGAAAACAAATGTTCAGGAACAAATAGATAAATGCGCACAAATGATTCATGTTCGACCTCCTTCATCACCCAGTCTCTCAACTTTAGCTCCTGAATACCCAAAAACCGATCTTCATACCCAACAATATATTCTTTCTTCCCCAAAACGGGGTCCCACAATAGCCTATTCATCACGTCTGCACTCGTTCGTAGTTTGCCTGGAGTTGGGGTATACAACGTAGCCTTGTTTCTTGTGGAGGCTGCTAAGGCTTTCTTGCGCTGCGAGGCAGATATCATTGATTGTTCAGGACCAGGAATGTCAAATTCGTCATCCTTTTCTTCAATATTCTCTTCATCGTCGTCCACAGGATCGAAGCCGTTGTCCGACCAAGTAAACGAATCCGGGATGATATTCGTCAAACCGGTTTCCTTTTTCAACGATTTCTGCGTCATGATCCCCAATGAAATGAACGTTGTTTGAGAATCGTAGTATTTGACGTTGCTTTGCAAATCAGCCTCGAAAGAACGGATACACTGAGTGAGAGCTGCGAGCTCTATTTCCTGCAACTTTGAGGGTGACGCGGAAGAAAAGGGAGAAAGACCGAATAGATAAAACCCATGGAGATTGCGCGCATCGTCCGTTGAATCGATTGTTTCAGTGTCCGCAAAGCGCACCGGCCAAAAGCGAACACTGATACTTGGGACCGCTGTGTATAGGTGCACCAGAAGCTACATATACCAGAGGATGTCATCAAAGACAGGTCAAGTAAAAGCCCGATAGAAGTACGCACACTGACGATCCGACTCTCCAGCCATCCAATGATTGCTCTCCCTTTCAGATTACTTCCTCCCCAGAAATGTATGTCCAGTTTAATGAACACCTTATGCTGCTTGAGGAAAACTTGATACGGTGCTTCCCCTTCTGGTTCTAACCCACACACTTCCACCCAATTTCGACATTCTTCCAACATCTTATCCGCCTTCTCAAACGCCCTCCGCATGACATCCACTGAATTTCGACTTGCATTGGACGTTAAATTAGATGTCGGACGCTCAATAGAAAGGACGACCATAGCGGCCTTCGTCGATGAACGGCGGCTTACCCCAGTGGCGGGACCCAATTCCCGGTAAGGTATAGCGGACACTGCGTCCCGCTCCCAATTCCAATGGCGATATGTGAGAAAAAATTGACGCACGAGATGATGCGACTCCAGCTCCTCTGAACCACCGGAGGAAACCAGGGTTAGTGTAACACGACTCAGTAAGATTGTGAGATGAAAGCCTCCCAGGAAACCAAAGCGCGAACCGAAAAGACCCTGAGCGACAAGATACAATTTAATGGCGCGGTGGGCGGTACGGAATGCGGAGAGGAGAGAGGGGGGGTTGAAGGAATTTGAGTATGGTGAGAACGTCTCTGTAAGCATTGAGTGTGACCAGACTTGAATGGGGGAGGAGAAATAATGGGGAGTCTGAAGGAAGAGACTGGATGTTTCCCCACCTGTATTGGATCGTTGCGTCAGCCATATTTCTTGAACGCGAATTCAAAGAACTGCGCCTACTCTTCTCCCACTAAGCCCCTCGCAGGGCAATATTGCAAGTCAACCTTTGTCCCTTCAACCTCAAGATTCATCATCTGCACAACAGCATCCTTCACAAATCTCCTTAGCCTGACGTCCAAACCATACCCATTCTCCAACGCTTTGGCATTCCGTCGTAATTTATGCTTCATCAGGGCCCAAAAAGTCGACGAGGAGACATTACCAACGGCCAAACAGTCAACATCGGAAGCAGATGTATGGACGCCCAAAGCATAGCTTCCAACACATTCAATCCGAATCTGGACATGACCAGTGCTGGTTGTAGGAAACTCAGATGAGGGACAGATAAAGGAACGTAGCGTCTCAATCACAATAGACATTTTTCGTTCCTGTTCGGCGGAAGGTAGCCAGGACTGTGCTCGGGTAAGTTCGACCAGCTCTGTTGTAGTCAACTTGCCAGTAGGAGACAGAAGTGTTATGGGATGTGACTCAGCTCCCAGCCCCACATCGGATTCTACAGCGATCTTTGTGGGAACGACGCGACACTGAAAACCCACTGACAAACCATAATGATCGCTGGGCGGACTGTCCCCATTCCCGAATAATTGTGTGTTCTGGAGGGCCCATCCCCCGATTCTCTTAACGTAAACCCTATCGTACCGCTGTGAATGGGGGCTCGTCTGCATAGTCGCAGCTGCTAGTGGATTAGTCGAAGGATCAAAGGAGGGTCCATTAGGGATGACGAGACCACAATCTTCAAACAATTCCTCAGCAGGGGTAGCACCAAAATTTTCAGGCCAGTTTATATCACCGGCGATGACCCAGTCTGCATCAAGATGAGTGCCATGTAGATGTTTTATCAAAGCCTCCATCTCCGCAGTTTTCTGCTCCATGTAAGGACTAGCTCGACTTAAATGCGTGGCGGCCAGTACAAACTTTGAATTCTTCCACCCAAAAGGGTTGATGAAAGTCGCAATGAACGCGGGCTTGTGTTTGCCGCCGATGTCGAGTTTATACCAAGAAAAGGGATATCGGGAAAGTATGAGGATATTTCGTTCATTTTCCAGGATAACGTCGGGATGACGGCTGGAATATTTGAAGCGAGAATGAATGGATGTCGAGGAAAGGATGACGGGAAGAGATTCATCTGTGACTTCCTGGAGGCATATGATATCTGCATTGGAAGAAAGAATCGCTTGTATGATATAGGGCAAGCGATTTGGAATAGGGAAGCGATCGTCATGGAGGATGTTGTAAGTGGCGATTGAGAGCGTGGAAGGCAGCACTCCCTTATCCATCGACTGATCACAGAATTTCCAAGAGGTATTGTCATGGTGAACGGTCGGAAACCACGGCGGGAGCACATAGCTAGATCGCGATTCTCTAGCAATATAGAGCTCATGGCAGCGTTTCATAGTGCCTCCGTCATTCTCATCCTTCTTCAAGAATAAGACGCTTCGGACGGGCCATTCAAACGAGCTGACGGATTCCAAGATCTTTTGAGCTTTGCGGTGAAGAAAAGATAAAGCTGCTGGATCATTATGCGGCGCCTGGCCAATAGTCAAATGGGGTGTCAAAGGTCGGCCTGTGTAGTTCAAGGCCTTCGCAACGACAGCCCATAGTTGTCGGATGTTCGCGTCGTCAGAGACGCTGAGATGCACGGTCTCGTATCCTTGAAGGGCAAAATGCCCGACACCGTCAAACTTGAGGGAAAATGGTTCAAGTTGTGAGATTTCTTTTTCAATGGCATCGACTACTTCTGTAAAATGAGGCACTTCGACAAAAGAAAAGTGTAGAGTGATGTGCGCTGTCCAACGCGGTGCCGACTGTACAGGCATTAGCATGATCAGAGAGAATACAGAAAAGAGCACACTTTGTCATGAACAAGACGAAACTGGTTCAATCTTTGAGCGAGTTCTGGAGGTGGAATAAGGACTAATGCAGTCCCGTTCGCAGTCAAGTTAGCGTAAGTTATATTAGGATGATCCATAAGCAAAAGACTACAGGAAAGATACTGAGAGAAGATGATGGACATAAACCGATACCTACCGGATTAAGTATTCCTTGGAGTTGGACGGAACCGTTCGTTGCAGTGTTGTGTGTTTGCCAAAGCAGAGTCACGTCTCGTAGGCGACGGTTCCGAGTTTCAAGAATGCGCGCTGACAGTCACCAGTAGTCACCAAGTCCGACATGACAGTCTGAACCGTTGAGCAGTTCGACAATAAGTATGAATAACGCGTCACATCGACATTCATCGTAAAGAGTTGGTTGAGAATAGGTAATAACGAAAATTTGGCGCTGGTTTCCTCATCTCTAGCGCAGAAACTCTAGCGCCGGCCTCTCCTCGACTCTTGAGATTGATCATCGATCATCCCTCAAGGCCTCAATATTCAAGATTCATGCCAACCAACATGACAAATTGGATTCGCGTAGCCTTCAAAAACGTATGGAGCTCGAATGAGCCGGAAGCGTATAAAACTGAAATCACCTTCTAAGATACAAAGCTTTTCGACGAAGCGACTTTACCCACCAGTACCCTTATATCTCACTGATCATGCTCTTATAAGTACTCTTGGGCTTAGGACATTCCTGTGATAATAATACATGCTACTGTCACTGGAGACATCGCATTCACACACAACTTGGCTACAATTGGTACAATGCAACAACTATCAACGAATGCAGTTCACGTACTCAACTACTATATGATACTTGATATTCCTTGTACTTGGTACATAGTTTTCCCCACTCTTGGCTCCGAAATGGAGGCCTGCGGCGGTTATATTAACACACACTCTCTTGTCACTGGACAACTCCAAAACATCCCCACACCCCAATCGCAGATTCAATAAAGGCATGAAACCGCTGGATACTCTATATTTCAAACTCAAGTTGGGAAAAAATCATTGTTTGATCAGTCGTATTATTTGCAAGTGAACAATATAATAACCACACAATTCACTGAGAAAGCTGAAGTACACCGGAATTTGATACCTGAAGTGTCCGACTATGATTATATCATTGACTGCCGGAGGTTTTCAAACGAACGATTCATCGTCAACATCAGGATTGCATCGACAGTAACCATCATTACCCAACTCTTGCTCTTCCTCATCGATTGGGTCTTTCAAATCCCTCCTACACCACTCATCGCCTACACCAGCCCTCCGCCACACAAATGCATCCACCAAACGGACCTCTCGTAGCCCAGGCGCATACTTTTCCCAACTTGCCATGTACTCATGAGCATCAGGTTGACCACAAGGTCCGAGGTCAGGTACAGGTATTTTCGGTAATGGACGGTTTTGGCATATGCACCTCCAACGGTGTCCTGTAGTATACTGAGGCCCAATATGATGAGGATGGTGGATTGGATGTACGGTATGATATACAGTGGCGTGGAGTCCGGCGGCACTGTTAGCTGTAGTGGAAACAGGGCCTTGGCTTGTGTAAGCTGTACCGGTGACTGTACCGATGCCTGAGCTCTGACTTGTACCAGCCACACTATTAGCTGTAACGATGCTTGGGCCCTGGCTGATGTCGGGCACACTGCCAACTGTACCAGTGCTTGAACTCTGACCTGCGCTAGCTGAGCCAGTAGTTATACTCTGGTTCGAGTTGATTGAACTAGCGCTTGTGCTGATACTGGCTGTACTACTGACCATGCTATTGCTAGCACTAGTTGTAGATCCGACAGTGAAATCCGAGTCTGAATCAGTGTCCGTATTGGGATGATCTGCCACTGCGGGACCCGACCCACGAGGACTAGGCGCACGAGACTTTGAGGGAAGCTTCAGCTTCGGCTTCACGCTTTTGCGCGCCTGAGAAGAGGGGACAACGAACTTTGACAAATGAGAGTGAACTCCGAGGCATCGAAGTTCATCGTATTCTATCTCAGGGCGATACAAGTGAAAGATGGTGAGATGGGGGATCCGTGAAAAGAATTCTGGACCAAAACTGATAAGCATGTCCTGAAAAAAAAACAAAAGTAAGCCACGGAACAACAGAAAATGAAATGGGTAAACGGACCTGGTCAGGGTACCCAACCTCGTACTTTATTTTTAACACTTCCAATCTGGGTAGTTCCATGCTAATGGCGTACAACACCTCGATATCCCAATGGCCAACCGTGATGTCCAGAAACCGTACAGATTCTCTAGCGTTATACGGCAGTGCCTCCAACATAACAGTGTCGATGTCCTTGATTGCGTCGGGGAAAATGAGCTTTTGAAGCATTTCACAATGGCGCAAAGAAGATTTTAGGAAGTCGGTGGGGCCGGTATAGCTCATTAGAGCAGGGAGTATTGGTTTTGCGGTCCCATTATCACCAAGACCGGGGATGTAACCAAAAAGGACCAACTCTGTCAAACTGTTGCATGGAGCGAGTAGTTTGGCAAAAGCCGACATCAGTAATAATTTGTTTTCTGTAGAGTTTGCCTCTCCGTTCCAAACTGCGTGACTTCGCATCCCATGTCTGACCTCAAGATGGTCCAGGCAGGAGAATGCGGGAGGAGGAAGACCGGGGTGCCTGGAAAACCGCCCAGCGCACGTAATATTCCAGTCCAAGCACAAAGCTTGAATTTTGGGTGAACGAGTAAGAATATGGTACATGTCGAGCTGAACTAGCCTTTCGTTGAGCGCATTAGTCGAGCCGGCGACCGGCGGTATTAGCAGATTGACTGGTAAGTTATGCAGGACATTGCCAAGTGGTTGGTACCGGCCTGTGTGGGTACCTGTAATACAAAGTTCTTTGACTGGGAGCTGGGTGAAAGTGGTAGGGGCGCTCCTAGATGACAATATCGGTTTGGAGATGAATGAACATTGCTCGAAAGCAAGTGAGCGGATAGTTGCGGGTAGTTCGCCAAGGAAACTGTGTATTTCATGTGTGAGTCGAGCTTGCCGGAATGTGAGCCTCTGTAGCTTGGGGAAGGACAGCAAAAGTTCTCGTAATGGCAAGAATGCTGGAGGGAAACTCTCTTCGGATTTCGATCCATCGACTCCAGATAGTGCAAGTATCGCTCGCGGTGACCTAGGCAAAGCAAGGCCATGCGGGTTCTGACAAAAAGATTGACCCAATTCTCGTCCGATAAGAACTGACCGGGGGACTTGAGCTATGTTTTGGGGCACATTGTGTGTCCAGAATGGCAGATTATGATAGAAGTCTGAAAGGGTCTCGTAGTGAATATCTCTGTATAGTATCCTGATTGCCACATAGTAAAGCGACTTGGATGCTTGAGCAATGTGGAGAAGGTCGGCTGAAGATGGAAGATGGCGGAAAATTTCACCAGCAAGATCGTAGGGCAGATCCTCGATACCCAGACTGACGTCTTCCATAATGGCTTGAAAAGCTAGATACAGATCTTTGAGGAAGAATCACAGTCTGACATGTTGTAAACATACGTGGTATTCCTCGTGTATGTATATACAGAAAGAAAGACAAAGAAATAAGATAGAAACAAGACAAGAGAGACGAGACAAGAGATATGAGCGCAAGCAGCAGATAAGATAACATCGTGTGAACTGATTAGCGATCCGGTGCCCGACTCAGTACCGCCTCTTCCAGTCAAGTTGAGCAAAATTAACTCGGCAGGAAGATTGAAACTCTAGTTGTTGCAAATGGTCCCAGAGATAGATCATCGACATCACCAACCCGGATATCTGGCTATCTGGCAAGCTCTCAATCTCAGTAACAGTTCATGAACGTTCAAGCTCAAGCTTCAAGTGCCAATGACAGGATAGCATTAGATTCATACAACAGTGCAGCAAAGCTCCTACACACACGATACGGAGTTCAACGTTCTATCGGCCAGATCCCCGTACGTTATTACTATCCAATGAAGTTTGGATGGGTCTTGGGGTCATGGTTCCGGCTCGTGGATATGTTCCGAATCATTGCGTCCTAAAGGAAATAAACCTTGATATGGCGAGAGAACATCGGGGGAAGGAGGGTATAATAAGGATGTGACGGTCCTGAATGTCTGCTATATGTAAGTCCCCATTAATACTGTGTGATTTTCTGTAACTTTTCGTCTGTGTTCACTGTTGAAGTTTGCAGGTCAAAGCAACGAAAATACTTCCTTATCGAGGCACTGCTGAGTCGGACCGGTACCCGAAGTGCTGTTCAAGCTGTTACAGTTGTTGTCGTACTTAGGGATGTCGATGGCAGCTGACGCGTTATCCACAGTCACGATGAAGTATTATTTCAGGTATATTTCCCCTATGTAATTCTTCCCAGCCCGAAGTCAATTCTTTGCCGTCTTCAAATTTTATACCCCTTCTTCACGGACCGCGATCGCCTTTATGGACAAAGTTTATTCCGAACGTAAAATAGATCCTCGTGTTGTGTGCCTATCATTTAAAACGGACGAACCCTGCCTTCCCCTCTGCTTTGCTTTTGCTCCCATCTCGTCTGCAAGATGTGAGCAGTCCTCTTGTTTCGTGAACAATTAACTCACGAGAAGTCACAGGTCCCCATTTGATGATATAGTAACAGACAACAAGGAAGATTACAAGCTTGATAACGAGTTCGCTTTGGACGACGAATCTGAGGATGAATCATCAGAACCTGCAGCTTTCCCAGATTCTTCTAATAGCGGGCCCAGTCGTGAGCGCTTGGGTAGCTTCCTCCGTGGCAGACGTGGATCGAGCATTGCTGCATCCGAAAACCGAAAGCCTCGTCAAGGGTCTATGACCTCCAACATAAGTGGCTTTATCCGTGGCAGGCGTGGATCAAGCGTTGTTGCTTCCGAACGCCAAAAACCAGGCCAAGGATCTATGACCTCCAATACTGGTCTCCCAGCCGTATCCTCTTCCTATCATGGAGCTGTCACCAACGACTCCGACCTTCCTCCAGGCTATCTTATTCCTTCATTGTTGAAAAGCGACCATTCCTTAGCGACGCGAAGAATGTCAAGGACAACGCAAATCATGAACGAAGAGATGAACTCTCTTGGGCGCGATATTGCCATTCCGGAGCCAAGCTACAACTACAAGAGGGATGGGCTGACAGTGGCTCTGGACACTGTACCTCCTACACCGGCGACCGAAATCGTGGCATTCGAAATCGAGGAAATTCCGGACCATCGTGCCACAGGAAAAATAGCGAGTTGGAGGGGAGGAATAATTTTGGTGCTTCTCATACTAATTGTTGCAATGTATTGCAATTTTAACACGCAGTCACAGGGAACGGCGTGCTTTGCTCAATTAATAGACAACATCTGGATGGTACATAGTTATCTCAACATTCGGCATCCAAAGTGTAACTAATTCCTTGCAGACTTCGATCAACATTGCAGTTCCTCACATTGCAGAGGAGTTCAATCTTGAGGACGGTGTGTGCCATTAGATCCTCATATTCTTAGCCTTGACACTCATCACAGTCCATATTTGTAGGATCCCAATCGTGGCTTGTTTCTGCCTACACTCTTACTTTTGGTGGTTTCCTCCTCCTTGCTGGAGTTCTATCCGACCGCCTGGGACGCCGTGCTATGTTCACCGCAGGGATGCTTTGGATGATGGCCGCTTCAATTGCTTGTGGAGTAGCTCGAACAGGAGTTCAATGTATCGTTTTCCGCGCTTTGCAAGGTCTTGGAGCGGCCGCATCTGTTCCGAGTGCAATTGGCGTCTTATCTAATTTCTTTGTGGGGAATGAGAAGCATAGAGCCTTGAGTATGTTTGGGGCTGCCGGAGCTGTAGGTGAGCATGAACACGCAGTTTACATCCATTCCCATCTGATGCTTCATTTATTTAGGATTTGTCGTCGGATTGATCTTAGGCGGTGGGTACTTCGCTCCTTGCACCAAAATGGATACCTTACCAGCGACGAGTAGGCATACTCAGTGGAACTCTTGGATGGCGATATATCTTTTACATTGACGCGCCTATAATCGGTATCCTTGCTGTGTTAGGATGGTTCTCGTTTCCGAAAGAAAAGCCAAACACTGGGGGTAGGAAGCCTACGCTGGACTTGCTGGGTGCTGGCCTTGGAACAAGGTAAGTCCAGTACACGAAATCCTTTGCCCTAAGCTCAGATCTTTGCATCACAGTGGAATCGTTTTGATGACCTTCGCGTTGTCGCAGTCGGAAGTGTCCGGATGGAATAAACCTATCGTTGTTGTCACTCTCATTGTCTCGTGTGTCTCGTCCTTTTTTTTGTGCGCCCCAGCCCCAAATTCAAACCACCCGGTTGGGTCCGATCTTCAGAATTGTAGTTCTATTGGGCTTCACATGGGCGGAACGAAAAGTATGTTAATACACCATACTATTCCTCCATTCTCGACTGATCAGTTGCCAGGTCCAGAATCCCATTATGGTACGTAAGTTGCTTTGGCAAAATGCAATGCGCGATTCTGACAGAATGTTAGCCTACATATCTATGGAAGGTAAATTCATCAACAGACTGTAGTTGCACTGTATTCATGAAATTTTCTTCTAGCTCCCTTCCTTTGCAGGCATTTGGTGCGCTGGATTTCTCCTGTATTGCTGGTGAGTTTGAATCATCTCAACTGCCTCTCAAGCTCACCGCTACAACCAAGGTGGGCCTCCGTGGTGTACTACCTTTCACTCATCGCCCAAGAAGTCCTGTTTTTGACTCCCCTCAATACTGGATTATATCTGATTGTATGCCATTGACTCATCTAACTCTCGCCACTGAATCCTGACCTATGTCCTCAAAAAGCCAATGGGTGCTTGGGGCTTTGTTGTCAGCATTGCAACTGGTAGGGCCGTTGAGCGATTCGAGTTAAAGCCATTGCTCGTCGGAGGCTTTTTCATTTCCGCTGTTGGAACGTTGCCTGCGGCATTTGTAAAGACTGGAGATCTCTTTTGGCCGTACGTCTAATCACGCATGATCTTGCTGTATCGGGTCCACTGAACTTTGTTTTTGAACTTTAGGCTTGTGTTCCCTACAGCGATAATTTGCGTTACCGGAATCTCTATCGCTTATAACGTTGCCTCGATAGCACTGGTTTCTGCCGTGCCACCGGTTGCCAAGTCCCTCGCAGGTGGTTTGGTACGCTGTAAAAAAGCGAACAGTTGTCTCAAGTATTGACAGGTTCTTTTTTACATAGATCAACACGGCCTTCCAAATAGGTTCAGGTTTCGGGCTCGCTATCACGAGTCTCGTATATGAAAATGTATTACAAAAACAACCAAATCCAACTGATCCTTCATCTCTTATGAAAGGATATCAGGTAGGAGAAACTGTAGTCTAATAATCCAAATTACGCTGACAAATTCTCTCGTCAGGCCGCATTGTTTACATCGTGTGGACTTGTCGGAGGGTCTCTGTTGTTGTCCATTTTGACTGTGCGCAACGGACAACAGACTGTGTCTTCAGGGATGATGGTTCATTGAAATCACCTGATTGCTTGCCTTGTTTTTAATACGTTCAAGTCGTGGTTGTGTTCTCACTCGATCGACTGTAGATGAAATTGCTTTTCTGTTTCCTGTCTGTGTTGATATGTGCATTTTGTGATCATTATTTCGATAGACCGTCTCTGTTGTACACTGCAAGGATTGAAAAAAGAGCGTAATTAGCCAGGATATTCACTCAAACAAGGTCCGTTGAGTTAGTCGCCTTTGGACGATGTCTTGATAAGAGCAATGCGTATATCTCTTTCTTGTGCCCTTAAGCCGGGCCCAGCGTCATTCTCGCCCATCATACTTGTTTTTCTTCTGCGCTGAAATATAACGGGGGTGAACCGAACTCATTTGAATACGTCTACCCCACATAACATGATTGAATGCAACGTTAACATTAATACTAAGGCCAAAAAAGTATCCTAGAATTCCGGATCCAGAGTTCCACCACGTCTCTTATTGAATGTTGTACATTTCATTCAATTAGCTATTGTTCTAAAAGGCGGGGAACAGCTGTAGCAAGCAAACTCACGCCAGAACATGGTATTTAGAGTCGTCATTTTTCGCAATGATCCTGAACAGAGATTACTCCATAATTAATCCAGCATCTACACTTATCGCAACCCACACAGCAGCACGCTGCCTCAATGTTTGTAGCATGTCATCATGGGTTCTTCTGAATCACTGATCAAAGATTCAAAAATTCCAAAAGCGATTAGACTTCCACATGTGCCAAAAATAATAGCAGAAGAGTCGATGGTCTGTAGCCGTTCAGTCCGTTCAACGCATCACTGCAAGGGTAAAAACGCGAAATTAATCCTAATTTTCTCCAGCGAAGGTTGTCATTGCAACGGGGAAAGTATAAAAATTGCTGACCAGCTCACTCAAAGCTTGAACTAAGCATTCAACAACTGAAATGGTTTTCCTTTCCTCGCTCGTTGTTGCGTTTACCGCCGCCGCCAGTGTACTTGCCAATCCCGTCGAGCGCTTTGACAATTCGACCGTTGTCTTCGGCAAGCGCACAATTACAGATGGTGAAGGAACCAGCAATGGCTACTTTTATTCCGTTTACTCGGACAGTACAGTGACTGGCACATATACAAACGGAGCTGCTGGTGAATATAGTCTAACTTGGGGAGGCACCGGCGATGTTGTTGTAGGCAAAGGATGGGCAACTGGCGGACCAATGTAAAAGCGACGATCCTATGTGACCTTGTTGAGTAAATTGACCTGTTGTTTTTTCTTGTTAGGTCTGTCGTTTATAGTGGCACCTATGAGCCCGATGGAAATAGTTATCTCTCTGTCTATGGTAAGATGAGCTTCTCGTCAACAGTGATGAATAGAATACTGACTCCATCGCATATTTGCTCTGTAAGGCTGGACTACCGATCCCCTCATCGAATATTACATTACAGAGTCCTACGGGGATTACAATCCAAGCACGGGTGGGACTTACAAGGGTACCTGTTCTAGTGATGGGGGAGTGTATGATATTTATACCCAGACACGCACCGACGCCCCTTCAATTCAAGGCACGGCGACGTTTCAACAGTACTGGAGTATTCGCACTACGAATCGGGTTGGGGGAACCGTAACAACAGGAAACCATTATGCGTGCTGGGAAGCAGTCGGATTGGAGCTCGGCGCTTTCAACTATATGATACTTGCCACAGAGGCATACTCTTCCACTGGTACATCTACCATCACCGTGTCGTAATTGTAGTGGTCAATCGTCCTCTTTAAAATCGTTTGCATACAAGTAGAGCATGATGGAATCACCATAGCAAATTAGCAATCCGAATACGCCTTGATGAGTTTATGTAAAGAGACTAGGAGTACAATGCCGTACAGCATGTTCGAATATCCAAGTCGCCACCTATTTGTGTTTATTTGTGAGCCCAACAAAAGCCTGTTGAGAAATCCGCATACTCACTGCCAGAGTTACTCAGATTCTACGAGGGCTTCCCGGCCTCAAACTCCATTGCTAACGTAGAGCAATCATGCTACGTAACCAGAAAATGCTGCAGAATACTTCCGCTATTCGGATAACGCGTCTTGCAAGGGAGCGTGAGTTGGATCTCATTTTTTTGAGCTCGACTCAATATTTTCAACCAGGAGCGTCTCTGATATCTTTGCCATATAGAAGGAACTATTCGTTTAAATCATTGAAACCCGTTGAATTGGATTACACCGAATCCATACCATCTGACTGTAATAGAACCGAAGGTGCGCTCGTTCTGGTGCATGGACTACTGTGAGTCTAATCGAGAATGTTTGTCAAACTTCGTGTCAATTAACGTATTTACATAGTGGGTTCAAGAGAAATTGGAGCACCTTATCGAAGGCCTTTTCACGCGACTTGAAACGCCCGGTTTATGCTCTGGCAAGTTTCCTCGACACATTGACAATCCAAACGGGGTGGATCCTCACCTTGTTATATACAGGATATGCGTAATCATGGAACGTCACCGCATGCAGAACCCATGGACTACCTTCATATGGCTGCAGATATTCTTCAATTCATCGAGAAACTTGGGTTGTCGAAGATTTCATTGTTGGGTCATTCGATGTACGTGTATACAGCTCCCTTGGCACCTATCAGTACTGAAAATTGCGTCTCATCGTGGCGTAGGGGTGGAAAAGCTGCTATGACTCTTGCTCTGGATAAGAATCTGCCCTCTGGACTACTCGAAAATCTGATAGTCGTAGACATCTCGCCTATCAAAGGAAAAGTCTCTAGAACTACCATCTCGTACATTGAAGCTATGAGACGTATCGAAGCTTTGAACTTGACCGGGCCGAACGCCAGGAAGGAAGCCGATAAACTGTTGGTCGATGTTGAAAAGGTGGTTTTTAGCCCACAACCCAGAAGTTTCTGGTCAACTCAAAATTGTTAGGATCCGTCGACTCGAGCCTTTCTGCTTTCAACTTTAAACTCTCCTTCATCCGACTCGGAGTCAGCACGCTTTCGCGTACCATTAGATATCCTAAGCAATTCGATTCCGGATATTGGCTCGTTTCCGTACGATCCAGGCGAAGCGACATATACAGGAAGAACACTTTTATTAAAAGGTGGGAAGGGCAGGCAAGTATAACGTTTGAAGTGCCAATATCCTTACCGAAAAATTTGACTTCGACCTGTTTCTTTAGATTCGTGAACGACGATAATATTTCAATCTTCCGCCGCTTTTTCCCCAACTCAAGGCTCGAAATTCTAGATACGGGTCATTGGGGTAAGTAGGGCGTGAAATTCCTTGCTCGTTCGTATTCTGATGCAGATAAAATCTCCTTTTACTTAGTACATGCCGAACGGTAAGTCATTCCCTTAGATTTTTATTCGACGAAGTGACAGTTATTTCAAATAGACCGAACGAGTTCAAGGACGTTGTGGTGAATTTCATCAAGTCTTCGAAGACTACGTCGGATGCATAGGGCGCAAATGACTTAACAGATGTTTTTTGCGTAGTAGATAGTCGAATCGTCCAGTTTCTATTGGAAAAAAGTCCAATCGGGCCCAAGACGGGTTATATTGCTTTGGCCGGCTTGTAGGCTTATATGAGGATTCGTGGTTTAGCCGTCTGGCGGAATCGTGTTCATTATTATTATCATTGTGAACGGAAGGAAATGAGACAAAATGAATTCCTCGAAGTGAGCTTCCAGTATATCTTCCATTGATTACTCGCCGCACTGTGTTCACTTGTGTTCATCCAGCGACCGATGGTCAAAGTTGTTCGAATCATTTCCGGCCAATTTGTTACAAAGGAGTGACTCATTGTTCCCTATAAGCGACAATTTTGGGATGGTCAAACCTGATCAAACAATGGGGAAGTGAGGAAAGTTTCCTAATTCGTAATGTCATTACTGTGGAAAGCGGAAACCCTAATGGTATGTCCAAGCAGACGAGGAAAGTATAAATCCAAAGAGTTGAGATCTTTGTGATCTATAATTTGAATCAATCTCTATCAATAGAATCCTACTCGCCAGGTTGCGTATATCCAGCTTCATCATCATCAAGATTTTCATAATCATTATGTCCGTTATCGCATCAACTTATCCTTCCTCCTCCTCCTCCTCCTCCCTCTCTGGACTGTTCGCTGGGCGGACCCCGGGCTCGACGCTCGACTCGCAAAGTATTGAGCAGATCATGGAGGAGGTATATGCTGTAGCGTATGGGCCTGAAAGCCAAGCTTCCCGATTGGAGGCAGTACCGGGGGACTGCACGTTCCAGTCTTCTCTTCAGGAGGCCCATCCCTGGTCATTTGGTCAACAGATGGATTACCCGAAGGTAATCTTCATGGTCTACGCAGCACACGGACAAGAGGTGCTTCAACCAATGGTCCCCATCCGGAAATGTGACTATTTCGACATGGAGACCTTCGAGAGAGCTCAGCAGCAGAGGCCCGTGTGTGATGTGGTACGTCAACTATTGGGAGCATATGTGGAATTTGATTTGATGTCATTATGCTAGTTTTCTGAAATTCTGTGGAGCAAGTCCTACGACGTAGAAATGTCTTTTGAAGCCAGTTCTGAACCTCGGATGACACAAGAGGAGGTCAAAGTGCGTCTAATATGTTCATGCTTTTCTTCTGATCCTGACATGGTTCCAGGATTTGGACAAGTATTTCGACACACAGGCATTTGTGCAGGCACAACGACAAAACTTCTCCGAACAACCTGTATGTCTTTCGTGTTCGTTATCGTATTGACCTCCAATTGACATGAACCTGTTCCTGTTCCTAGACTGATATGACGGAGCAACTCGCGTTTTCGAGGATCACGAATCAACTTGTCAAGAGTGGTGAGGTGCTACAATTCGATGTAAGTTGTCTGAAGTCATTCAAATTTTTGGAAGTTTACTGACCAAAGTTTTTCTCGCGTGTTTGCAGACACCGAAACGACGCGCAACTTTCCCTGGCGAGATACGATGGCAGGAAGTCCTCAAGAATTACTCCGACCTCCCTTCAGCTATGTTTCCCGATAACCTCCCAGGCGTTGTACAGGGATCGGAGAACTCCCGATTCTGCTTCATTGATTCGAGGGGGGGAAGGCATTACACGAATATCGTACTGTCAGATGAGTACATGCTCGTTCCTTTACCCTCCGACACAATCGCAGATCGGCCTCTCTGGGATTCTCCTGCTCAGCCTGACAGCCGACCCTGCTTCGTAAGCCTGTGCGATGTGTCCCCGCCATTAGACTTAGGTCTGCGGCTTCCCGAAGGAGTTGGTATGGAGGTCGATTCAAGCCCGTCATCCTTCAAATTGTCGTCTGCGAAGAAGCGTGGGCAATCCCGGGCGAGGAACACAGCCAAGAAACTGTGTACAGCGAGGAAGCATGTCGCTGTTGCGCATTCGCACACTCGTCTCATAGGACCAACCACAAGAGGAAATCCGCAGAGCGAGCGTGCACCGATGTTGTTGACATCCTTCGATCTGGACTTCACGACATACGACAGCTCGGCGGTCTCCTCTTCCTCTTCTCCCTCTCCCTCCAACATCGTCCTGAATCTCAAGTGCTGGATTGACAACTGTCCAAGGTCCTTCATGAAGCTAGGCAATCTTGAGGCCCACCACAATATGTGTCATCAAGGGCAAACTGCATTTGTCTGTCCTTTCAGAGATTCATGTTTGCACAGGACGATGAAGCAGGGGGAAATGAAACGGCACATCAAGTCGGTTCAGCATCTCGGGGGGGATTCGCTACTGTGCCCGAATAGATGCAGTGGCAAGACATTCTCTCGGGTGGATGCGTTGAGGCGCCACCTGAAGGGCTGCCCCAACAAGTAAGCAGACCCCAGGTGCACCGAAGTCTGGAAAGGAAGTGTCTTGTTTGCCTTGATTCTCTGGAGGCCTTTATATGAAATTTGCTGGTCAATTTGTCTTCATCTTTTTTTGTGATTGCTTTTCCCTTTGTATCCTCATTGCATTATCAGTGTTGTCGTCGTTCCTTGTTCTCTTTGTGCATTGCATTGTATTTGTACCCTTCAAGTCCTTTTCTCCAACCCAACCACATTCCTTTGTAGCATTATCAACCAACATGTATGTATGCTCTAGTGATACTTGCTTTGTATACCTATTTGACTTTCCAATCGGAGGTCTGAAATTGTGACGGTCGCTGATTTTGACACGCGAATTCAACGAATTCATTCCTACTCTTACCATTGACGGTCAACATGCAACGCACGTGTATCCGGCTGGCATCATCTGTAACAACCAAACCATTGGCTCTGCAAGAGGCTAATGCTGCATTACTACCTCCAAAACCGTGAGCTTTGTCGTCTTGAGGTGCAAGGTCGCAGCGCGAACACTTCACAGGCTTTTCCGCCAAATTCTACGGTCTCACCGGAATCTACCATCGGAAATGCGTTCTCTGGGAGATGATTATGTGAAAGCAGGTAATCGGGCTCTCGTTCTCATTCCTCTTTACTTCCATTCACAATGCGGGCCAGAATTCCGTCGCCATCGAGCAGTCACAAATCCAGTTCATATAATCGGTTTCCTTTCACAATGGAAACTTTATTTGGAGGCACTACCCGCTTCAAAGGAAGGAGAGATGTTCGTAGGAGAGAAGTTGGATCCATTTTTACTGGAGAAGGTCCGTCGAAGCGCAGCACCTCCCCCGTCTCATCTGTAGTGACCTCTTCCTATCCAGATGTCTTCGGAACAACTGGGCCAGTTATATGAACTAATGCAAGCCACGAAGGATGTATGGAAGCCCTCCCAATCAGTAAATGGAAAGGATTTGGACAAGCTATGATACTGTTCCCAATGTTCAGTAATCCAAGTGAGATCCTTCAGCCAGGTCAATGTCATTCTTAGTACTCTACGTCCGGTATGCTGATATGTATTCGTGTAAAAAAGTGCCACTCCTTTCTCCCGCCCGTGCGAGGAGTCTTTCGTCAGACTCCCTCTGGTCTGTATGCAAATTCGTTGATACGATCACCATTCTCCAATGAGCTGGTCAAAAATGGGCATGAGCTGAGTAACATTCCTACATTTATGTGTAGTGAGGTTGTGGTTGGGAGAATGGGGACGGGTGCAATAGCAGAAGATATCTGACTATCCTTCAAATACATGAGAGCGAGTGGCAGAAAACAATGCATTTTGAATCGATGAACAAAGGTACCTATTACCGCAGTTCGACCTGGGAATAGAAGGATAGCTCTGCTCCCCATTCCCAAATATACCCCGAACACACTGTCTTGTACTGATGAACTCTATGATACGGTCACTCAAGGTCTACTCAATCCCTCTGCCACATTATCATTCAAGTTTTTCATGTTCACCCCTCAAATTAGTATGTCTCAGTGCTCCAGCGCTCAAATTCAAAATCAGCGCGCGCGTGTCGAGACGCTCATAACCGAACAGAAAGACCTTTGGGCAAAAATCTATCATGACACATTGGCGGAATCCCTCAGGTCCCCTTTCTAGATCCAAACACCAACTTTCAAGTTCCAGGTCGAAGGCAAGGCCCATACTTAGTTCAACCTCAGTCGGTAAATCACTGGAGGCATGGGCGGCTTTGAAACAATATTCTCGTTCGTGGCCAAGGGGCATCAGGCGCAACGCAGAGTTCGAGGAACCAGTCTTTACAGACGTCGTAGCAAGTCTATTATTCGCATGTCTTCGTCCAACTATGTCAGACCTGCGATTTTGTGTTTTGCTATGATTTCGCTTTTCACCGTTCCTGGTCTTCACAGACGATCGGTCACCGATGAACCATTCGAACAACATCTCCAAGAGACAGAACCTCTGAAGATGCGGATACCGGAGCGTACAGATTCATCCGTTCAGTGATAATTCGGAGATGGAGTTTCAGGACAAGACTTCTTACTGTGGTCGTTTGACTGTGCGAGATGTGGTGTCTCGGTTGAAATTTCCGAGACTTATGTAGAGCCGTGGGCGAAACAGTGCGAAATGGACTGACTTGATTCTTGTCGGAAGTTACTGTACCTACCAATTACGTCCGGCGTTGAATGCTGAAACACGTACTTGCTTATAGATTGTCTGTGATATGTTTTCTTGAACAAATTGAGGGAAAAGGGAGAATGAAATGCGTACAAACTTAAAGAAGAAGAATCATCAAATGAATCTTTTCTTGCCTTGTAAAATTCTGGCTATCTGTACCTCTACGGGGAAGACCCTGCAACAACATGACCATAATCCCCCCACCTCCCCCCACCTACATACATGCTACACAGCCACATGACCCATAGCTACACCATTCCACACAGACCCATACCATGACCAAGACACGAGGAACGGAGGTGGACAACAAACCAACAATCTTCGTCGCACCTCCCCGCGCCTTAGTACCATAGTCTTACTTGTAATGAAGCGTATAAACAAAAAAACATGACCATAATCCAACTCCTACGCTCTCAAGTAGTTCATTCCCTCACTTTTCTCGAAGGGCCCAGCTGGCCCAGACGGAAATTGCTTCTCTCACTAGCTCGCCTTTTGTTATGTACATAAACTGATCCGTCGCTCGTTCAGATTACCCTCGGAACATTATCATGATCTGCGTTGCCGAAACAAGTCCACCATATAAAGCATAAATGTCTCGAGTAAACCCAAAATTCTCCCCAGCTTGTTCACCACTCTTTGCCGGTCAAGGAGTTGTATCTTCAAGTTGCTTCTTCCCCAATGTTCAAGACTTTCTATATTGCCGTCACTGTCGTTAGTCTCCTGACTGCGACTTACGCCATCCCAGTCAAAGAGCGTGGAGTAGTGGTGCATATGGATACTTTGTTGTATATTGAGTTGTTGAGTATCATACTGAACTCCCTCTGCACTTAGAGACGTTTTTTCCATGATATGGTCGAGGTAAGTATCAAACCATTGTAACAAAGTCACCAAGTACTTACCGTTGTTGCTTCAGAAAGGGTTCGTCAGAGAGATCAATGACACTTACAAATATACACCAGACGAGATGAATGCGCTCTGCTGTTCGTTGGTGGAATATCCTCACTGTTTGGTCATTACTGATGATACGACTGCAGCTCAACAATTGTCGTTGTCGTCGAAGGACTATGGTCACTATCTCCAGGAACATCTTCCCGTCAAAGTTGCGGAGATGTCTGGCCTGGGGAAATACAAGGGTTACGACAGAAGAAATCTGATCATTAAATCTTTCCCATCCGATAAAGACGTATCTGCTCTGGGAGAGATTCAAGCGCTCAGGTTGATGGGTGATCTGGTCGATTTTGGCAAGGACTCGGAAGGAAAGCCTATCATTATCATGAAAAGGCAGGACGGCAGCCTCCTAGAGGAATTGGAGGCATATAAGACAGCCAATGATGAGCAGAAAAGGAAGATAAGAGAGGAAACATTCAAGTTAGCTTGTTCTAAGGCTGCATCCGAGGCCGTTCACAAGGGTGTTTGGCATAAGTAAGTCTTGTTTGAAACAGTTGTTGGTTGGTTAAAGCTCAAACTCCAAGTGATAACCATTGGGGTAACATCTTGATCACAGACGTCGAGAGTGGATCCGTGAAATCCGTGAAGCTCATTGACTACGGCGGCGATTTCAATAACTATCTTGTTTACGGCGAAGGACGTGACTTGGAGCATGAATCAAGCTTTGTAAGTCTGAATTTCTCTGTTTATGTATCGCTCCTATGTGATGCTGAAGTGTTTCCTTTAGAACGGCTATTGCCACCTGGTTTGGGACAGGAACTGACTTGACAAATGGACTCTAACCTATTCAATCTAATCCTTCGTGAGCAACGAACTTTTGTCGGGATGAGTACTGTCGGTGGCAGTGGGCAACACACGCTTCTGTGTTGGCCCGCTTAGTCATCCTTAAATTTAAGCGCGCTCTGCCAAAAGTCTAAAAACAATTTCCGGTTGAGATAACTCTTGCTACAATCATTAGTTTCTTCGAATTGAGTGTCAGATGAGATAAAATAGTATATATCTAGGGCGTCTTGGAACAGATTTGCTTAATTCAAAAAATTGACACAAATTGTAATCAGTGCAGTATAGCTTCAATAACAAGATCTTGATATTTCCACATGTTGAACGCGGTTATGCTGTTCACATGCCACTATTATGATCATGTGTTATAATATGTCATATGTAGTCATATCTAGTTATTTACTATATGCGGATTCCTCAGTACTTCCTTATGTAATACTGTCATACAGTTATGTATATAAACAGGCCATATCCTGTACTGGAATCCAACTCGCTTCTCTCTTACTTTTATTGCCTCACTGAGACTCTAAGCCCTACTACCCAGGTAAGGTGCTGGAGAGTGCTCCACTATGCACTACCTGCCTGCTCAACAGGTTATGGGCCCCGGATGAACGCTTTGCTGAGCTCTAAGCTCGCAGCGCTCTCTGGTCTACTGTTGTTATTGACGCATCTATTTGATTGCTGTCTCTGACACAGACCTTTACCTGGAACGTTGCCTCTGGTGCTGAAGTCAATATCGCACTTAACAGTGCTGATTATGACATCACCCAAGAGTGCTTGACACTGTAGATGACAGCTTGCTAGACATATGTCGCAGCTTGTCACTACTGGCAATAACATTCATGACATTTTGTTTCCATCTGTTGTCATTGAGCGTTTATGAATTGCATGCTGACATTTTCTGTTGATTTTATCCAGATCGCAATGTCCTCTGCACTGTTTACCGCTGTTACCACCACCCTCAAAGGTGATAACTACGACACCTGGGCCTCCGAAATGGAAGCCTTCCTTCAGGCTACAGGGCTTGAATCAGCAATTACGACTGACCAACCCAGTGAACCATCTCCACTTGTTGCTGCAAACGCCGCCAGTGTTGAAGCCTGGAAGAACTATGAGGTTGTTTTCAAAGCCTGGAAGGAGATCGACACCAAGGCTATTGGTAACATTCGCCTCCGTATCTCTCCCTCCATCCGCATCCTTGCCAAGGAATACAGCGACACAGCTAAGAAGCTTTGGAACTATCTAGCCAAGACTTACAATGTCAAGAGTCTGGGCGCAGTCTTTAATGACTTTGCTGCCGCTATGGCTATTAAAATTCCATACAAGCAAAATCCGCTGTCCTCTATGATGGAGATTGGCATGTACTTCACCCGTATGGATGAAGCTGGCATTGGTCTTGCTGACCACCTCGAAGCTTTGATTCTCTTATCTAAGCTCCCATCACGTTACTCTGTCGTTATCCAAACCATGTCTCAGCTTGAAACTGCAGAGCTCAAGAAATTGACCTTTGCTAAAGTTCGTATCGCAGTTATGAACGCTTTCAGCGGAGACACCATTGGCAACTCCCAACCGCAGAACGCGAACAAGTTTTCGAACGTTCATCGCAAGGGAAACGATCCCAAGTTCTCCCAACAGCAGCATGGTAACGGTAGTAACCAGCAGCAGAAGGGACAGAATGGGAACGATGACAACAAGAAGAAGCGTAAGCATGGCAGTGGAAAGAACAAGAAGGCTAAGAAGAATGCAAACGCTGCCCAAGCTGATGCAGACTCTATGGACTTCAGTCCGATTGGCAGTACTGTTGACTTTGGTCCGGTACGTACTGATCTTACTCCTTCTGTTCAAGATGTGCGCAAGCACTCCATCCATCCTCCTTACAACCCTCCTCCTAATGCTACGTCCCTTCATCTTCATAAGAAGACAAGGATGGCCATCAAACGTGCCCGTGACATTGGCGTCCGTGCGACTGCCGAAGTCATTCGCACCCTTGAGCCAGCTGGGCATATTTCGGAGTTGGACAGTGATGATGAACTTGATCCTCCAACAAAGCGCACTCGTGCAATGTCTCCTGTGGATGATGTTGAGAATGGCAGTAAGGCTCCTACGCCGCCTCCTCCATCTCCTCCTATGGACTTTGAGGTCCCAGGAACTGCCTCTTTCGACCCTGATGAGTTGATGAACTTCGACTTGGATCGTGAAATTTTGGCAATCACTGGATTCATGGACACCATGGGGTCAGTACCCTCCTCTGATCTTGACCATATGGGATATACTAACGCACCTTCATCGGTTGCAGTGGCGAAGACATGCAAGTCAGCCTTTGAGCCTGATCTCTTGTCCCGTTTGTATAATTACCGTATCGATGCCAAGTATATATCCAATGAACATTTTTGTGTACATGACGTTTCATACTCTGTGTGCAAGAAGTGTAAGGGTAAACAGAGAAATCAACCTAAATGGTGGATGAACGACTCTGGTTGTTCTGAACACACTACCTTTGACTTGAGTGACTTCATTGAGTATGAAGACCTTGAGGAAAAAGTGCTCATAGCAACTGCAACCACAACTGCCTACATTACTGGCGTTGGGACTGTCTTGATAAATTTCAAGGATGTTAGAGGTCGCATGCATTCGGCACGAATCGCTCCAGTATTCTATATGAAGGAGTTGAGTCATCGCCTTATAGCACAAGGACGCTTCCTACAAGATGGCAAAACTGTTCGCGGCAACGCAGACAAAGTTGACTTCTGGGACAAAGACGGTTTATTCCTGTCATTTGAACCACGAACCCACAGCGATACAATCTACATTCTCAAAGATTATTCGCCACAGCCTATGGCTGTAAACCTAGTGATCCACTCAGTGGACTACACTACCATGCATCGTCGCATGGGTCATCCATCGCGCAAAGCACTCACTCAACTGAGGAAACATGCAGAAGGTGTTCCCACCTTTAGCATTCCCCATGAGGAAGATCTATGTGAAGGTTGTGCCAAGGGAAAGATGACTTTACGTCCATTTCCGCCAACTAATCGTCGGGCATCACGTCCCTTCGAGATTATTCACTCAGATCTCAAAGAATGGCCTACCATTTCGTACCACAAGTACAAGTATACGATCTTCTTCATAGATGACTATACTTCGCATGGGTTCTACTGCCACTTAAAAAAGAAGAGCGGAGCTCTTCCGGTGATAAAGCAATTCATTGCCACAGTCAAAAATCTATACGAGACTAACGTCAAGGAATGGATGTCTGATGGTGGCGGAGAATTTAGATCCAATGCACTTGATGAGTTCTTTAAGAATGAAGGTATCAAAGCACAATGGTCATCTCCTCATATCCACCAGCAGAATGGAAGAGCCGAAAGGTTTATCCGGACTATTATTGAGAAAAGTGAACCACAGCGCTTTCAAGCCTGTATTCCTGATTCCTGGTGGGAATTCTCTGTTGCACATGCTGTGCATGTGTATAACCGCACTCCTATGCGTCGTCACAAATGGAAGACACCGTATGAGATTTTGTACAACAAAGTTCCGCGCATAGATCACTTGCGTGTCTTTGGCTGTGGCGCGTACGTCTTTCTTCATGAAGAAGTACGGGTAAACAAACAATCGCCCAGGTCAGAACTAATGACATATCTCGGAGTTTCAGATGGTGGACACGGAAATATCTACATGCGGTCGAACAATGCAATGTTCACTGCTACGCACGCAGTGTTTGATGAGAAATTATTTCCTCGTTGTAAATCCTCAGAGCGTCATCGCTCTACGCGACTACCAGATCGCAACCTAGATCCTAAAGATCCTATTCCTCCACCTGGTGATGATGATGTTCCCATCTTTCATCAACCTACTACTCCCCAAAGGAGACAGGATCCGGAGCAAGACGTTGCACCGCCTGTGCCAGCTGAACAGCCAGCACGAGATCCTAGTCCGCCGCCACAACCCCGGAATGAACAACCTCCTGCTGAAGAACAGTTGAGACGTTCAGGTCGTGCGCGGAGACCACCTACTCGTCTTACCGGTGATCCTAGAAGCAGCACTAAGCTTCCTACGGAACAACAGGTAGAGAGACCAAAGAGGGATATTCAGAGACACGCAAAAGCTCCACAGCCAGGTAGCTCCTCGGCTGAGCAAGAACGTCCTGAGCCAGAACAGGTTCCCGGACCTAGTACTGAGCATCCTACTCCTGAAAATGGAGAACAACCCTCTGTCACTCCCGGTGACGAAGCTAATACCCTGATCAGACTATGTCGGGAAGGGGGAGCTGAATTAATATATTTTCTCATGGCTAAGGCCGTTCCCTTTGAGGGGGAGCTGAAAAGCTCTGAGAACGTCCGTGAATGGACTTACAAGGACATTACTCGCCTACCTAAGGCTGAGCGTGAGGAATGGCTTAAGGCCTGCCAAGAAGAGCTTGAAGCGCTCAAACGGCGTGGTACTTTTGAACTCATGGATCGTCCAGCAGACCGAAAGGTCATTAAGAACCGCTGGGTCTTCGACATCAAATCTGATGGTCGTAAGAAGGCACGCCTTGTTGTCAAAGGGTTCTTACAAATTGAAGGTCTTGATTATGACCAAGTCTTCTCTCCTGTAGTACGGTTTGAGACTGTTAGACTGTTGCTCGCCTTGACTGCGCTGAACAACTGGTATCTCACTGGACTCGATGTTCGAAATGCCTATCTATATGGCGTCTTACATGAGACTATCTACATGGAACAGCCTGAAGGTTTTCGAATCAAAGGCAAAGAGGATAAAGTCCTCTTACTGCGCAAAGCTCTGTATGGACTGAAACAAGCAGGTCTTGTCTGGTGGCGAACACTGGACTCATACATGAAAACACTCGGCTTCAAACGCCTGAGCTCTGATGCAGGTATTTTTATCCGACAAGGAAAAGATGGCTCTCTAGTCATCGCCATCATCTACGTTGATGACGCACTCTTCGCTGGACCTGACAAGAAACTCGTAGATTCCCTTAAAGGGAAATTCATGTCACACTGGGAATGCAGAGATCTTGGTGAAGCCAAAGAATTCCTTCGCATGCGGATTAATCGTCATGGCAAAAAGATCTATATTGATCAATGCGCCTACCTTGACAAAGTCCTTAAGCGTTGCGGTATGGAAAATGCTAAAATGGCTGATACACCACTTCCTGCAGGGTTCCAACCTGAACCCACCATAGGCCAATCGAATTCTGCTCTTCGTAGCAAGTTTCAAATGGTTATTGGTTCCCTTCTCTACCTTATGTTGGGTACATGTCCCGACATCTCCTTTGCTGTTACCAAGCTTGCACAACATGCAGCTAACCCATCTCAAGAGCACCTTAACAAGGCACTCTATATTTGCCGCTACCTCCTAGGTACTAGATCATATGCACTTTGCTATGATGGTGAATCGGGTATCGGTCTCAGCGCTTGGACTGATTCGGATTGGGCTTCCGATCCCTATACACGCCGGTCACAGACTGGATTTTTCATGAAGCTTGCCAATGGCATCTTCTCTTGGACCAGCCATGCGCAGAAGACAATTGCTCACTCGTCTACAGAGGCTGAGTATATGGCATTGTCTGATTGCAGCCGTCAAGTGGTTTGGATCCGTAATCTACTTGAAGAACTAGGCTATAAGCTTGACGCTATTCCTATTGCTGGAGACAATCAAGGATCCATTTTCATGGCATCAAATCCTGTCACTAGCAAGCACTCGAAACACATTGACATCCGGTATCATTATATCCGTGAAGTTGTCGAACGTGGCCTTGTGCAAGTATTCTTCGTAGATGGTAGTAACAACCCTGCAGATCTTTTCACAAAGAATCTTGGGCGTATCAAATTTGAGCTATTCCGCTCAATGCTTGGACTTGAGTTCTACTCGTCCACCAATCCTTAGGCTGTCTGTCCTGTCTGACGCCTACCGCTATTGCTTTGAGCAAAGTACTTTACTGTGCTGCTCAGCAAGGGGGTGTGTTGAACGCGGTTATGCTGTTCACATGCCACTATTATGATCATGTGTTATAATATGTCATATGTAGTCATATCTAGTTATTTACTATATGCGGATTCCTCAGTACTTCCTTATGTAATACTGTCATACAGTTATGTATATAAACAGGCCATATCCTGTACTGGAATCCAACTCGCTTCTCTCTTACTTTTATTGCCTCACTGAGACTCTAAGCCCTACTACCCAGGTAAGGTGCTGGAGAGTGCTCCACTATGCACTACCTGCCTGCTCAACACCACAAATCCTTCCAAGACGCCCTCGGTATTGTTCTTCTCTCAATGATAGCAAAAAAATACAAACCAAAAAGTGTTGATATGGGCATGAAATTTGAGATACAAAATCGGACATGAATATATTGTGCAGAAGCATCACATTCGCGTGACATCACGCGTTTCCGCCGCGTACTTTCAACAAAAAATTGTCTCCGAAACAGGCTTAGAGGCCAGGATTACCTCAATAGTGCCTCACTTGAAAGATATTACCCTCGCATTCTTTCGTGGGGCCCTGACAACCTGGATACGATTTTCTGCAGAATTTGCACCTGGAGGATTAATTGACAAGGCAAGTGCAGAAGAGAGAGAGAGCTGGCATGGATGCCATCAACGAACGATGCAAATGAAGGCCGTTGAGGCCATTACATCGCAATATTGCGTGACGAACCTTGCCTTATCTTACACCAATACAATGCCGAAGCAATGTTTTCCCGCAACAACACACTGACATTTATGAACACCTTGTTCGAGGCTGAAGATCATGCATTCATTATGCAATCTGAGTAAAGAATATCTTCATAATTGATGAATATATGTTCAGGCAATATGACAAATTAATTTTGGGAGGTACAATGGCCGCGATCTTGTAGTACAGTCATGTATCACCATTTGGGATGATGAAATCTCCTGGTCGAAAATAAGTACATCCCAATCTAAATAGTGCAATTACTCTAGGCTAGGCAGATACAAGGCTACTAGTACAAGGTTTTTATCAACTTGGTTTTGTTATCAGAGGAGGGACGTCAATGCCAGCCTTTAATCAGTACAGGAAGTGTTATCAGTCGAAAATCACCATTTGGGATGTGACAAATCACGCCGATAAGATACTCTGATAATCTGTTTTAGGCAATTGATCATGTGCTTTACTGTAATCAATCAATCAGAATCATCATCGTCGGACCCACTATTTTCATCCCCATTGTCACCGTCATCTTCCGCAGATTTTTTGGGTCTTGGTTTCATCTTCTCGGGATTATAGTCCTTCCATTTTGGCTTATTCCATTTCGGCTTTCTCTTCTCCGCCTTCGCCATCTCTTTCTCAGCCTCCCATGCTGCCACTGCTACCGAAAATTCTTCCTTCTTTGCCTTATTTTGCTCTTTAATTGCTTCGTTATCCTTCTTCCATTCCGAGATCTTTTCAGCTTGTGCCTGCCTTGCATCCCGACGTTTGTTCGCATTCTCAATATCTTCTTGTCGCTGCTGCTCATCGTCTACACAGAGTTGGTAAAACTCATCTCCAGTAAATAACTTTGCTTTCCCATCTCCCATCAACCTCTTCTTCCCTTTGGTGCTTTTCTTCTCCTCCTTTGCCTGTAGCTGTCTATTAACCTGTACAGAATACAGGTTAGACAGTACCAGGCCTGCCTGTGCTTCCATTAAGGCATCTTTTCGAGTGGAATCTCTCGCCTCTGATTCCAGGAGCGCGTTTTGGAGCCGTAATTCATATGGTGTACATGCAGAAAACATGAGAAGGTCTTTGTAACGGGAGTCAGCCTTTTTGGGTGATATCCTGTTTGTATGAAAAATAGGTGGTTTCGAGGAGGATTTAATGGGAGAAGTGCTGACAAGGAAGCTGGAAGAAGTTGAACGTATGTCGTTAATGGTTTGTCGTACAAAAAGTGGTGCAGATGAGGGACCAGGCTGAGGTATGTCATCCATGTCTACATCTGTATCGACATCTGATCCTTGCCTGTCTTTCTCGCTTGCTTTTGCTTCGACCACCGCCTGATAATCGATGAAATTCAACACCATCTCTGTCATGTTTCGAACAGGTGTCGTCTGGCGGATTGGCGCCACGCTATGAATCGAAGTTGTTTCGCTCGGTGCCATCATTGCCGGAGTAACTACGCCAGGATCGAATGGAATAACACCAGTTTTACGAAATGCGGCTTTTATATTGCGTTCGGTAAGTGTTGCTAAATGGGCTTCAGCATACACACTGAGGAAGTTCGTTTTATCCACAGTATAACCCTGTTGCTCCCACTCGTCTCGAGCTTTTGTCCAAGCTTTCTTCAATGGAGAGAAGATTACAACGTCGAGCCCCTGGTAGATGTGTGTACTGTGGGAGGGATAGCATATCACTTCAATTCTGTGCTCTCGTGCATATCGAAGGAATCCTTGGGTGTAGTGGGATGCATGTCCATCAACCAGCAGTAGTCGCCGCCGCCCTTGTGCTTTGGATCGTGTCTCTTTATCGAAGTGTTCAATCCACGTGCGACCAATTTCTCCATCTGTATACCCTTTGTTAGAATATCCCAACCTGTATATTCTTCGGTAAGTGCTTCATTCTTTGGAACTGTATGAGATATTTACGAGGCATTCAAAGGATTGTCTTGCTTCCATCTTGCTTGGAACCCTTCACCCTTATAAATGACAGCTGGTGCTATCAACGTCCCATCCCCACAAATCGTCACTAGTACAGTAATGTTCTCGCAATCACCACTCCTTTGTTGGTGTTGAATCTTCTTCTTCGCACCCCCCAGACCCCGAGTTTTTTGCCCAACACCCTTTTGCAAGCCAGACTCATCAGCGCCGTATGTCAAATCTTTACGAATCACATCATCACCTCCCTCCCCCTCAATTACTTTTCCAAGAAGATGAAAGTAGTGTTCGTGATTGAAGGGATTGACAGCGCGGGCTCGTGAGTTGTCTAGTGAGTGAGTCCAATACATTCCTATTCGCTCATTGTGGTCTGATATGAAACGACGAGTCCAGCATTTCCCAACTCCATTTATTGGAAATGAGCTTCCATGTCGAGCCCTGGCAATTTCATCAGCATGCTCTTTGAGCCGTCGATGATCCAGAGGGAATCCTCGATCACCCCAGTATATTACTTCACTAATCAGAACTTCTTCCTCTTCATCATTCAACCACCTCTGTTCCTCCTTTGCTTCTTTGTGACTGTGCCCATTGTTAACTCGTCTGTACAAAGTCGAGTCCGATAGTTTGATAATTTGCTTCGTATCCACGTAACACTGTTGTGCTATAAAATTACAAACATTTTTAAGCGACATCCCATGTTCCTTCTCGTGTTCGGTTTTGTAAAGATCAATTGCCTGTAGCATGTACTTCTCCACCAATGCTGAGTGTGCCCTGTGCTTTTGTCGTTCTGAGTGAGCGCGACCAACCATTGTAAATGTGGTTCAAACTGAGATGACTATCGCAGCCCTGGCTGTAGGCCTGGTCGGGACTTCGAAATTGATATCTTATCATATCCGCTTTGGGAATGTGTGATGTGACAAGCTCTTTGTTGTTCGTTCTTTCTACTGGTCTCAAACATAGTTTCCTTGCTTCTACTTGAATCAAAGCTTGTGAACAGGTGTATTGATGTAAGAAGTACATTAGTGCAAAGTTACAGCAGTTCTCTGTTGCAATTACTGACACAGTGACCCAAACAAATTTCATTTCATCCCAAATTAACACTTCTTTTCGATATCCTGACAGCAATACTTTAGGTCTCTCTTCTCAGATTTGACAGTAGTGTGCAGCATGAAGTCTTTTAACTCTTGATGTAGCCAGGAGTTCATGTATAATATTAAATTAAGTAAAAATTCAATTTGTCCCATTTGATGATACCATCCCAAATGGTGATACATGACTGTATACACTGGATAAAAGAGCAAATCGACGACGGACAGGTTTCACGGTGGCTGTGCTGCTTAGTCAGTGTTCAGCCTCTGGCGGAGCTTTGCCCACTGCCACTGTCGGCGGCAATTCTGGAGTGTCACATGATGAACGAGGCAGCCGCTAATCTTTCGAGTTATGTAAGGATATGTACTTCTTTCCTGTCGTTCTCAATCGCACTTCTATACATCTAATCGAGGCTCTTCAATTTGGACGATGGCTAATTTGAAACCTCAAGTACAATTCACGACACGCGTCTAGAATCATCAACGCGACTTCCTTCCTACTTTCATCATTGACGGTACTTCCACATGCAGCGCTCGTGTATACGACTGGCGGAATCTGTAACAACCACGCCATTAGCTCTGCAAGAGGCAAACGCTGCATTACCACGTCTAGAGCCGTGAACTCTATCGTTTTTGGAAGGTGCAGAAGGTGACGCGCATACACAAACTTCACAGGCTTTTCCGCCAAATTCTACGGTCCCACTGGTCGGAAATGCGTTCTCTGGGAGATGATTATGTGAAAGCCGATAATCGGGCTCTCGTTCTCATTTCTTCTACTAGTTCAATTCAGAATGCGGGCCAGAATTCCGTCGCCATCGAGCAGTTGCAAATGAAGGAGAGATGTTCGCAGGAAACAAATTGGATCCATTTTTACTGGAGAAGGTCCGTCGAAACGTATAGCACCTCCTCCGTCTCATTTGTAGTGACTTCCGAATCAATAAACGGAAAAGATTTGGACAAGCCATTTATACCATGTTAGTAATATAACCAATCACTCAATGAATTCCTTCAGGCAGGTCAATGTCATTGTTAGTTAGTACTCCACTATCTGGCATATATGTATTCGTGTGAAGGAGTGCGTCTTTTTCTCCCGCCCGTGTGAGGAGTATTTTGTCGGAACGGTTCAACCTCGAATCCGATTCCGCCCATACGTTCAGGTCACGTTGGTGACTCTAGTCTAATCGCGACTACTTAAGTGATTATCCCTCGTTAAAAACGAACATTTGCACTTCTCTCCTCTCATCAATGTCTCAATCAGCCGTGAGTGTGCTCGTGTTATCACTGGCTCGACTGAAGGCCCGACGAAGCTCGAGCATGTTTAGTCCATTCCTACCAACTCTGCACCTTTCTCCGCTCTCCCTTCGATACATACCTTACTCCTCGAAGCTAAAGCTAAGAAGGGTGCGCTTCAGAATTCTAGGCTTCGAGAAATTAGTGCACTCAGACTATTTCCAGGTTTGACCTTTGACGCGATCGGAAAAGCGATTGGAAAAGATGAAGTCTGGGTAGCTTCGGCTTTCTATGGGCAGGTGCGTGTTACTACCCAAAATCTGTGATGTCCGTCGACCAATCACATATTGTATGGAAAGGCCAAATTTAACGCAGAAGATTTGCAAAAGCTCTCCGAGGTTCTCGATCTTCCGCATGCGGAGTTGACTGCTGGACTAGGCGAACATTGGTTCCCTTACCGTGGCCTGGGGTCTGCTGTTCCTACTGATCCTGTTGTGTACCGGCTGTACGAGGTGCGTTAATACACCATAGTCCCTCCATGAATGAATTCACTTCTCATTCATATTGGACTTAAGGGGATCATGGTCTATGGTCATCCCATCAAAGTGCGTTATCTTTTAGCAGTCCACCCTCCCGGGTCGTATTGATTCTGATTACTTGACCCCTTTCATTCCTTTGTATCTGTGTATCTGTTTATCTACCTCTATTGGCTTAATTGTTCTACCTTCCCAATCTTAACCCCTCAACTAGGCTCTCATTAACGAGAAGGTACGTCCAGCTTGAATTTATCTGCTGTGATTAGCAGTTTCTGTCTTAGTGCTCGGAGCTTACTTCTACAAATGAATCGCAGTTTGGTGATGGGATCATGTCGATGATTGACTGCTATGTCAAGGTCGACAAAAAGCCTGACCCCAAGGGTGATCGTGTTGTTCTGACATTCGAGTACGCAGCCTTTTCATCAAGTAGCTAAGCTCTTGTTAATGTCCAACTTGCTCACAGTGGAAAGTTTTTGCCGTATGCTAAGTGGTGAGCGTTTGGGTATTCAATTGTATGTTTAGTATATGTAAGTAGAATTGTTGGCATGGCGGAAAAAGTGCGATGTACGCATGTAGTAATCTCAACAGTAACCGACAGTAAACGCAGTCACTTCCAATCTAATAACAAATCTCTCCAAAGAAAAGAAGGAAAACATAACTCTGGGGGTACCGCGGATCGAACGCGGGACCTTCAGAACTTCAGTCTGCTGCTCTCCCAGCTGAGCTATACCCCCTTACAATACTCTGTTTCTCACAATTCTAATTGATATGGATATTTTCCCCAAAGGACAAACATAATATAACGTATAATCGATGCTTTGGTACACTCTAGATAGAATGAAATGAAAGGCAAAAGGTATATCATTCGCACTTAACCCTCCCACTGGACAGCCTCAAGCTCCATAAGATGTCCTTCCCAAGGTGATACATTATTAGCCCCGATATTGTTATCCAAGCACTGTGTTGGACGAGCTTCTAGATTAGTAACCAAGCCGACCAACGATGAGAAGAAAAGTACTAGGACAGAAACGTACACGTTCGGTAGAATCCAATAAGAAAGCATCCCAGGAAACGTGTTGTGTCCGATAGCACAAAACCCGCAGAAATACTCTTGCGAGACGTAGAGGAGTGTTTTGGCAAGGGTCATGGCTGATCCGGTATATCCTGCGAGAGGAGCGAGCTCGGAGGGGCATACATGCGTCATCCAGAGATAGATAACCTTGTGAGACAGCGTAGTGAACAATTTGATTGATATGGAGCAGAATAGAACGTACAGCGAAGAAATTTTCAATGACATTTAGAACAGCTGACATGGAGCGAACATGAGATGGGAATCACTTGAGTAGACATCAGTGAGTTGGAAATGGGACTTACCCGCAGCATTTGCAAACCCTTCACCATCCTCAAAAGCTTTAACGCCATAAACCTACGCGACAAGTAATACAAAATGAGGGCCGGAAAAGCTATCGGAGGATTCAGAGAAGCTGACATGGTCTACATTGCCATAAAATTCATAAAACGCCCAAATCCAATGAAGGTCTCCTCCGACCATGGAACGTGGTCTGCATATACTGGTAAATGAACGCAGAAAGGGCGAGAAAATATGACACGCACCTCATCAGGCAATAACCTGCATCCCATAACATTAGAGGTGCCGTCAAAATATACCAAACTGTGATCCACCGTCTACCAGCCATGTTGGGAGCGAGCCGCAAAGGAGACAGTGAGGGGACAGGTTAAGAGAAAGAAAAATGAGCTGGAGAGGCGCTTTTAACCTATCAGGATTAGAGTAGGCTGTAAGTAAGAAAAAAAATCTTTCTCGCGTGAAGTGGCTTGGCTTCTGAAGGCTATTTGAACACGTTTGATTGCCGCGCAGCTCGCAGTGGTGGCGATTGTAATGTAAAACAGATCCAAGTTACGTTTTCTTTTCGAGGCAGACATTCTTGCATGTCAGTTGCTTGTCCTGTTCTGTCCTATTTGGCACAGTAGCGCTCGCTAAAGCCGAGGTTCTTTTCCCCATTTGTCTTTCAGCGTTCCACGAAACACCTATGAAGAATCTCTCAAAATTCGGCTTGAGATCCGTTATGTACAAAAAAATGAACACCCTTCCTGCGTCGAAACTTGAAAGCAAGAGTATGAACTGTCAACGGCGTGCAAATCTTGCCTCGATATTACGATTACTAAAGCGAGGATTCGCCGGAGCAGCACCAGTCTGAATTCTTGATGTAAGAAACAACTTCTTTAATTTACTGTAAGCTCTCACTGCAAAGCACAATATGGGCACCTGTATCGGCAGAATCGGTGGACAAAACAGCCCGTCTTTACAGCTAGCAACAGCTGACTCTTTGCAACAACTACAGTATCGAAAGAGGTTAACTTTTGGTTCAGAATGGTAATGTTTTTTATGAATTTGGAAACTAGATGGCAGACACCTGCAGACAAGATTTGGGGGAAGAATCGCACGCCAGCCAAAGCTCCGTGATGTAATTTAAAGAAACCCCTGTAGGATGAAACGCCGCAGAACGAAGATCACTTTGCGCGCATCGTGTTGCAACCTGGAGTATGGGTACTATGTATGAGCTACAAAATATGGCTATAGCCACCGCGCTCAGTCTTCTTTCAGCAGAAAGCAAGAACATCAACCAGGTAGAAGATACTAACATCAACGATAAGATAGATGTGATCACTGAGTTCCAGTCAAAGCCAGTTCATGTATGTAGTCCGGTTTACTCGCCTTAATATGTGGTGCTGACTTCCGTGGCTAATGTCGGAATGACTGTGCCGCTCTGTAGCTTGATAGCATTCGTTATCACTTTCCTCCAGTCTAATCCCATTCATTTCAAGGAGGAAACTCACGATGAACCCCAGTGACGGCGAGCTGCAGCGTCCAGGAAGGTCTAGGAAAGTTAATACGTTAGAACATATCCGAATAAACTGCTATGGCACTAATGCTTGCTTAGTATTGGCTTGATTTGGATCGCTCTGATTAGCCTCCCTCTGCTCAGTAAAGATGGAGGATGATGGTCAGAGGAAGGAAGATTCGACGAAGGAACTCGAAACTCTTGGTGAAGAGATATCAGGCCTTGAGGACTCAGAAGGATATTAGATAAGTCAGATATTTACATGTAAGGCAGTCAAAATGATGGATTTACACACAGAAAGTATACACGAGGATTTTTTGAAGCACGATTGAATGACCGAGCGAAGCGGAAAGTCGGACTCGGAACGTGTCGACACTCAATGAAAAATCTTCTGTGCTCTTTCTGTTTTTCCTTCTTGCCTCTTGTAACTGACGAAGGGGAACAAAGTTTGCAAGCAAGTCGCCATACATAGAGGGCCAAAATCCAAGGAAAGCTATGGAAATGAGATGAAATCGATATGGAAAACATTATCTGGGGTTCATTCTACGAGGACGCAAGGAAGTCCACGGCAATAAACTCGCGATTGTCGAAAACTCCGAAAACATCATTGCGTTTGATTCTTCCAACATGCTTCTAGGAGAGAATATACCATATCGAGTCTATGTCGTAGTGCAGGCGAATCGTGTTATCGTGTTCATATGAGCGAAGTACTTTCTGCATAATGAAGACGTCGATGATGAATCAAATGGTAAGGAATCGCGCCATGAATGTACTTACATCGCCAGAACAGTGGTGATGTGGTCTTGCAAGTGAAGAATCATTGACTCGGATGTACATAACGTCAAAGATCTTGCTTCTATATAGTGAAAACTCCCGTATGAATTTAGGAAGCGCAAAACATCACAAGGAACATGCTGTGGATGCTTGGCGAATTCAGTTGTCTTGTCCCCGGACCTCGAGCTTCCAAATATCTTCGAAGGTCAGATAGCAAATAGTGCCGGGTCTACTAGGACTCCTCAACGTCTGCAAGATAATATAGAAGCCCCACTCGCAAGTCCAGACCAAATCCGTGAACCTGGGATGTTCAACTAAGTATGAGTCGGGACGAAATTAACATATCATGGAAGACCAACCTGTCCCCGGCTGGATGTTACATTGTCCTCCATCTCTGCTCAATAAGTCATGACTGAGAAGTGCCACAAAGGTGGGCCATTGTACTGCATCCATGGCAGGAATGTCATAAGTCCTCAAAATGATTGAAAGTATTAGAACATCTGCTGTATACAGAATGGTTGGTTGAATTGGGGCAGTAAGGAGTACGGCACCTTGGGAGATCGTGGTCGGATTAGAGCTTATTATAGCAGCAAGTTTTGAGGGGTTTGATTGGCTGAGAACAGCTAACAGGCTCCAGCTTATAGTAATTCAGCCACATCAAAATGTGATTTTGCCAATGAGCGCTGAGCGCTGAGCACTGAGTCTCTGTGCACTCAGCACCGGGAAAGTCGCTCAAATATGAGCAAAAAGGAAAGTGCAGTCGAAATTCCCACGACGAATCCGAGCTCGTACTTAATCTCCTTCTTTGGTAAAGCCGGTACGAGCGCACTCCGGTCTTCAGATATTGATTGCAGAGAAATATTGTTATTTCGTCGTGGGTTTTTTTCGAACCTGTTTGTTTTGTAAAACTCAATGGAAGTTTCGGGTCAAGCCCACGAATCCTATTTATTACACCTCCAACAACCAATGCAAAGAAATTTTCGGACCTGCAAACAGGCCTAAACAGGCATTAGTGGACGCGCGCCTAATCACAGATCCCGGAATCCGGATGATTATCGGACCGTTACCGGACTTCCCGTGATAATCTTAGTCTCCTGCGCCTTGATGCCCTCTTGATGCGTACCAAAAACCTCAGTAACCCCTGATTCCCATAAATCTCAGATACAGCCTGAATCATGCCAACGGACCAGAGGAAAGACAGAACTGTGCGAAAGGTTTCCAAGAAGTTCATAAAACAGAATGGCTATGATGGTGAGTGTATCCTTTGACGAAATTCCCGTACATAATATTCCTACTTATCGCACAGAATTCTACGAATATGCCTACTGCTGGAACCCAATTTGCCGATAGTCATCAATCAGTCTTGGGGATAATGATCAAGCTGTAATATCAGAACAGACAAATTCTGGCCGCCACCCACGAAAATTGGATTGTCCCTCATCGGGGCCTGACGAGCATCATCGAGTGTTCTTTTCGATGTACTGATGAAGGCCAGAGCTATAAAAGGCGCATACCTACTACAATTTGACTTTTCCAAGGCCTTAATCATGCTCCCTGCAACGGTCCTAGTTGCGCTCCTTGCGGCATCTCCTGTCTTTACTTATTCGTTCGAGCGTTCCATCGAAACAACACTTGGAGGCCATCTCTTCCGCCGTGATACAGTCGACTACGGAAATAGCACCTTATGGCCTTCGCGTACGTGTTTAGTTCATTTCGTTACACTCATCACTCATACACACTCTTATCTTTGTTTTCTTCTAGCGGCTGCTAATGGAGGTAAAGCTTGGACTAAGGCATTCGCTAAAGCGAAAGCGGTAGTCGCTCAAATGACAGTCGAAGAACTCTTTAACGTGCGTCGGCGAAGCACCCTCTCCACTCTTCTTCGCCATTTAAACGCGTTCCGTTACTTTTAAATAGCTCACAGTCGGGCTTGATGGTCGTTGCTCGGGTAATACAGCTCCAGTACCGCGATTCAATATTCCCGAATTTTGTTTCAACGATGGTCCAGCTGGAGTTCGTGATGTAGAAGGAGTTTCTCAATTTCCTGCAGAACTTACCACCGCTGCAACCTGGGATCGAGACTTGATGTATCGCCGAACTAAAGCGATGGGACAAGAGTTTTACGACCAGGGTGTCCACATCCCGGTAAGATTCTTTACTGTTATACCGTTTTCGTGGTGTATGCTTACTTGGTATCAGTTGGCGCCGGTGAGTGGCGGACGTGAGCTTCTACCTCTCTCGCGACTCTTTCTGTAATGTTAATCGTTTCTCTAGCTCTGGGCCGTTCACCTTTGTGAGTGGCATCTAGACCTCAGAATGACTGATGTGATTTCTGAATTCGAATAGGGAAGGGAGAGCTTGGGAAGGGAGTTTTACAGACCCTTACGCTTGCGGCGAAGCTTCATATCAATATGTCACCGGCTTGCTCGACTCTGGTGTGGCGTCAGTGGCAAAACATGTTTGTGTTTTCACTCACAATAACTTCTGATCAGATTTTAACATTTTACTAGTGGATTCTATACGAACAGGAACTAAATCGTAATCCACATGGGTTGCAGACAAGTATGTTCTATCTCGTTTTTACGCTGATTTCGTTCACCGTTATCATTCTCATTGACACCAGAATCTGACACGTTCCCGGGCGGTACTCAATTACCGTGAGTTGTACCACATCTTTCAGAACTGCATGCATGCTCAAGTGTATTGACGCGATGGTTGCAGGGTTTCATCCAATGTTGATGATAAGACTATGCATGAAGTCTATATGTGGGCTTTTGCAGAAGCAGTCCGTGCTGGGACGACTCATTTCATGTTAGTATCGCTCATCTTCCAGCTTCGGTTCTTGCTTAATATTTCATGTATCTAGGTGTTCTTACAATGAGGTCAACAACACCCACTCCTGCAGCAATGCTAAGTCGCTGAATGGTCTACTTAAAACCGAATTGAACTTCCAAGGCCCTATCATGAGTGATTGGGGGGCGCATTGGGACACTGTACCATCAATGTATAATGGTATGGACATTGTAAGCATTCGATCTCCAAATCAATACCACGCTCTCAAATATATCACCTAGTCTATGCCCGGAAGTCAACTCAATTCTCTGCTTGGGGATTTCTGGGCTAATTTGACTGAACTGGTTAACAATGGCACCGTCAAAGAGGACGTAGTTCGCGAGAAAGTTATTCGTATTCTCACACCGTATTACCATCTTGGGCAAGATGTGAAACCCCTTCCAGATTTCGTCTATGTGAGTCTCTTCATTTATCTTGTGTTCATAAGATACCAACGCTCGACCAGAATCTCATAGGACCGCCTTACGTGAACGTCACTGCTGGTTACAGGAATGTACGGAAATCGGGAACGGCTGACCTTATTAAGGAAATTGGGATGTCCAGCGTTACTCTCCTCAAGAATACGGGTGGACTGCCGTTAAAGAACCCTAGCCGTGTTGCAGTGCTTGGTACGTGATGTGTTGTTCATCATTGTGTGAACGACTCATACCCCCCCCCCCCCCCCCCCCCCCGCGCGAAAGGTAACGATGCAACGGATAACATCCTTGGTGCAAACTCGTGTGGCGCAACCAACAGCTTTTGTGCTATTAACAACCTCGTGCGTCCCATTTTTTCGCGTCGCATATTTTTCTCTCACTCATCCATCGTATTCAAGAATGGCACACTGACAATCGGATTCGGGGCTGGCTCAGGTTATTCACCTTACATTGTCACTCCGCTTGATGCGCTCAAAGCAAGAGCGATACAGGACAACCACGAGGTTCGTCCATAAATCCGCGAGAAATACGTCCTGTTCATTCGCATTCAATTTATTTCAGATTCAGGCAGTGGTTGCGGACAGTACTAGCGCTACGGCAACAGCAGCAATTCAGGCCCTCTTACCTCTTTCCGACGTCACTCTCGTTTTTGTGAACAGATGGTATGGGAGGGGTATGGACGCCGAAAGTCTCAATCTCACAGGAGACGCGGACGACCTCGTGGCCCAAGCTGTTAACTCCTCTTCCAACGTTGTTGTCGTCATTCACGCGACTGGGGCGGTTAACATCGAAAAATGGGCGGACAACCCCAACGTGACTGCGATTATCGCTGCATATCTTCCCGGACAAGAATCAGGTGCCGGTCTCGTCCCTGTCTTATATGGCGATGTCTCGCCTAGCGGAAAGATACCATGGACATGGGGTAAAAGCTTGGATGATTATCCTGTAACCTCCTACATTTCCACTACATTTTATTGCTCTACTGAATGATGTTCTCCCTGCCTCTAGCCTAATGGTATCGTCACTGATTTAGTGTATTCGCCGCAATCAAATTTCACGGAGGGATCTTTCATCGATTACCGCTGGTAAGACTTCTTTTGGTTCGTCGCCGGGTTTAAGGTAACATGTTCAATTCCCCTTAGGTTCGACAAAAACAACATCACTCCTCGATACGGTACGTGTGCATTCCGCCCATCTGTACGGACCGCTGAAATGGAATGTCTTCTACAGAATTCGGACATGGGCTGTCTTACACGACGTTCAAATACTCTCAGATCACTATCTCCAAAAAGACTTCGAAGGACACCACCTCTGTGATGGAAACTGCGGAACCGTTTGTCGGTCGCGACAGTAGCAACTCTCTCTACGATATTCTTTTCACTGTCTCGGCCAAAATCTCCAACACTGGCCAATATACCGGAAGCGAAGTTGCCCAGCTGGTCTGTGTTGATTTGTTCTTGTCCCTTCCTTCGTAATGACCGTTTTTCCTTCTTCCAGTACATATCGATTCCAGAAGAGGGCCAACCTATCCGTGTGCTTAGGGGATTCGACAAGGTCAAGGACATCAAACCCGGAGCCAGCGCAACTGCTTCTTTCCCTATTCGTCGCAAAGATGTCAGTGCATGGTCGACAGTAGGCCAACACTGGTACGTCCCCAATGGAACGTTCACCATTTTTGTCGGAGCTAGCTCTCGAAATCTGCCTCTTGTAAGTGCTCATTCTCTATGATGTCCGCAACTAACTTGGGGTTTCCCGTAGAGCACTACCTGGACGCCTTGATTATTGCCTTCAACAAAGCTCATTTCAGTTAACTTGAAATACTTTCCCCTGAACATTAGCCACTCCTTTTCCTTACTGTTATTTTTATCACCTCTCAAAGGACTCATGGAAGGTGATGAACCCATCCAGTAGTTCCAGTCTTTCCTTTTCTCAATATGTTACAATATTGTAAAGTCATGATATCGATGACTCCCCTTGTCTTACACCTGTCTTGTATGTATGTAGTCCGATGATACAGAAATAAAGTCCTTCATTGCCTGATAGACAGATAAACTATTACACGGCCTCAACACGTTAATGGTGTGGTTCCAAAAGCATGTACTTCCAAGTGCCTATACAGGCACTAGCATATACTTGCATTTTTTGTTCAACTTTGATATCTTCTGTTGGTTTTTGCTTTTACATATGCAAGGTGGATCTCCGACCTGGGGCAGTTACAAAGATCAATGCCTCTGCATGTCTGCTTAGGTCCACTCTCTTTTTATTTACATTTAATGATTCCTACCCGCTCCCAAAAAGTAGCTGAAGTCATGATTCCTTGCAGCCCCGCTGGACGTCACAAAGATAGATAGATAATTTATTGCTTTAGTATTGTGTTGAATTGATAGAGAAACACGAGAGTAGCGCCCTTCCTGCCGAGTGAGCATTGAATTTCTTCAACCTTATAACTTGTTCAACCGCCTGAGTTCTGAGACCGACTGGTAATTAAAAGGAATTAACTCGGAAATGTTTGCCCGTGTACTTATATGGATTCCAGTGCGCATTTAGCCTTTTAACCATGGCATGATTTGAATAGAAGCGGGAAACATTGGGTATGCAAACTACAAGATCGACTACATAGTATCCGTTGCTAATCGCACCTTGCTGAACTTGAACGTGAAATGTCAATGAATCGGGGTGGGATATATTGAAAACACTAGATAGGGGCGTCATTGAAGATAGCCTACATACCAATAATTTAATCTGTTTTGAATTAATCCTCGCACTGACTCCAGATCTTAGTTTGCGACCTCTTCTAACACAGTCTGACACAGTATAACACTCGCCGGTACCAGCCACCAACCGCGTCAACCGTCTCGAATCAATCAAAGATGGGGAGTAGATTCTAGGCAAATTCCCCTGAACACTGAAGATGCTAGGAGATGCTAGGGGGGAGCGCGATTCCTACTGATGCTGATAATCAATCTACTCAATGAGCCGTTTCGGACAAAAATTAATTGATGAACAAACGGAATGGCGTTTCGGAATACAATTGACGCACTATTAAGATGGACAGATATCATACATATATGATATGTAGATGATGATAGATCATTAGATGGTCAAAGATAGACACAAATACTGAGAGGATGTTTAGTTGTAATCTGTACTATTGTATCAGATAATCATACATTGATGGGGGTTATGTATACGTTGATATGCTACGTGTAAAAGAGAAAGGATGAAACTCGTATACTCCTCGATACAAGCGGGAGATATGCTACGTGCGGACACTTTGACCGAGATGGATCGTACAGTTGAAGTAGAGCGTAACGAAAGAAAACACACACAACAGATTCAGAGAGAAAAGAAATAGACGCGAAATGGGAGTATACATATGCACTATATTGTACATTGTCCCATGTTTACAAATCCAGCAAAGCGAACGAAAAACACAAGGAAAACAAAGAATTGAATGATATGAGAAATGTAGTGCGTCTATGAAGCACTGACGGAGCAGTCGTAACCATCAACCAAGGCGGTGGATAAAAGTTCAACCAGATACCGCAACGAAGGGCGGAAGGAACACCCATTGCATTCAAGGTATGCCATGGTAGCTGATGCAAGTGGTCCAGGGAAGAGGGTGATGATGTCAAAGGAAGCAAAAGGGTAGGTGACTCGTAATAAGTTATGCCAAATAGGTAAAATGTTGGTGATGGGTAGAGAGCAGATGACACATTAAGCACCGCAATCGACCATCTCCCAATCCTGAGTTTCTGAAGAGACGACAACCCATGAATTGCCCAGCGTCGGCGATGCGTCTGACATCGGCACGTCATTATCTGCTTCCTGGGCAGCGACTATCCTTTCAAGCTCCTTCGTCGCAGTCATAATCGAGAAAGCCAACTTTGGGCCCATATGAAGTATCCTTTGTCCCTCGGGAGAACATCGCATACGGGAAATGATAGCTTTTTTATACAGGTCGGGTTCAGTTTTCGATTTAGGGAAGATTGGTCGACCTGGGAGAGCAGTGCGATGAGGCGATAAGGGAGAGGAACATCGATAAGTGCAGTTGTATGGATATTGTGGAGACGAGATTAGTGTAGCACGTTGCGGCGTAGAAGGAATGGCAGCAGCAGGTGGCGGAGATGACGAAGATTTTGCTGCGGCAGCGATATACGCATTGTAATCCACAGTTTTATGGCGTTCTCGGTCTCGCGGTCTCCGGTCAGTGGTGGCAGTCGTTGATGACGAGGCCGAAGACTTCTTCTGCATGTCGCGAAGACAAAGAAATGACTCTGTACGACGAAGAGAACCCATTGCAGTGCGAGCTGTTTTCGTGGGACGAGGATCAGCAGTAAAGGTGGAACCTGTGGAAGAACAGCAGAAAGAGGTTGTGCGTTTGCGAGGCACAGCAGGTGAGCTATAAGAGAGAGCCGAAGCGATAGGAACGGGTGGAACAAGAGACATAAAAGCTATTCAGCAAAACAATTAGTTGGCCGTTTTGAGGGGCTGATGGTGGTAAAAGGAACAAAAGCACAACCCATTAAAGACATGGAGTTATAGCCGGTTCAGGGTGGGAAATGACTCGATCGGGTGATGTAATCGGAATTCTTTCGTGGCTGTGTTTGTTCTATTTAGTTCCGTTCCGTTCCAGGTAATCTTCCGCTCCTATTCGCTGCAAGTCAACTCGGAGATGCTGTGGCAACTGGCAAACTGGTTTGCGCAGTGAGAGCGGTTGAGAGTCGGGATAATTTAGACCTTCCTGAGAATTACTAGCTGCGATGTGGTCATCATCGTCTTCTTTATGTCTTCCGAAGATAAAGGAATGGTGATGAGTGCATTGCAGTGACCAGCGTATCTGTCATAATTCATGTTCACGAAGCCCAATGGAGCTTCAGATGAATGATTTGCAAAGTTGGACCAAAAGTGTTGTTACGCTTGTAACGAAACACATCTTCCATTCAGCAGATAGAACTTGATAGTGTGAATGGTCAACACCTGTGGGTTGCCACGAAACCGAGGAGATTTGCCATTGAGGCTTGCTGAACTCTTGGTTGATCGGATCCATTGAGCAATCGGTTTGCATTGAATCCTTTTGAATCGCAGCGGGATGAGTCACTTTGAATCTCAAGGACGGAAAAACGTCGGCTGTCGCACGACTCGTTTCGACGCGCAGTGTAAACCCGTGGAACTGACATTCTTGAGTGGCAACCAAAACCTTTTGCAGTCAACGCTCGAGGTAAGCCACGGGCAGATGATTGAGTTTGTCTAACGTGAATGATGAAGGCTCATTGAACAGTAACGACGCGTCAAAATTTTGAACGTCCATGACCTTCGGTGAACACTGCATACCTATTTCAAGAGAAAAATATCGAAGCTTCCATATTCAGACCGAATACGACGACAAATACACCAGACCGCTCTCGAAAAAGACCGGGTGTGAACGAACTCGGTCTAATAACAGCACTAGAGACAGAATACCTGATCATGAGCAGCCAGATCAGTTATGAATTCAAGCCTATATCAGGACCACATACAGGACTATACACTGCAAGGCATAGGGAACAGTTCCCCCGCAAGACAAGTGCCGCCGAATATCTCAGGCCTATAATAATTGATTGGTCTTGGGCTATCTCGGGATTTCCTTGAAGATATAGTCCAAAGAGTTATTAGACCAAAGTTACATATTGGCAAAGCAATGGATGATGATTGTATCGACGCGTCGAATGTGGCAAATGTGATAGAGCGTTAGGAAAAGACCAATGTGTAAAATCATGACTATCCATAGCTATCCATAGAAGAATACAGAGTGAATGGTTGGCCAGGGGTTATCCGAGTTTGTATGGAAGACTTGTAAAATTCTTTCCGAGTAGAGCGTCGCCATGATCTAGATAGTCGAGAAGGTAGTTGGGGCCCAAGAGACAAAAAATGCGAAATGGAAGTGGATACATAGGAGAAATCACTTGGCACCTGATGTGGCCTGGCCTTGGGAGCTTTGAAGTTTAGCAGGCTTTGACCCGGACTCTTTGGTAGCCAAACACTTGTTCCGGGAAATTTGAAGCTCGAAGCTAGTCAATAGTCACTGGCACCCCCCAACGAGGTTTCGTCTCCTATAGTCAATGTACACAGCCTGAAAAGGGCGCTCAAATGTAGGTTCGTTGACTGGTTCTTTTGATCAGAGTGAGAGCCGACGCTGTGAAATTCTTGGAGTTACTCTGTCATGGCTTTTGGACTCTTGGAGTTGCCGGATTAGACGTCGTTGAACTTACATAAGGCGTTTGTTTGTGAACCGCTGACCTAACAAGCTCTTACCGCCATGTCTTTTCGAACCTCCGCAATGCGTCGCCCGAATACTTCTTCTCCTGGAGATGGTTCTCGAACAATAACGATTACCTCTACTCCTACAAGTGAAGATGAAGGCTCGTCCAATGACCCCCCTAGATCTGCCGTTGGTGCTTTAAAGCTTCGTGCAACGACTAGGAAACCCAGACAAAAGGTTGTTTGGAGAGAAGATGTTGTAGATAACGAAGGTGCTGGGAAGAAATCCTCTAAAAGTACGTGCTTGGTGGATGATTTCTCTAATCACATTCAGTTGATGATTTCGAAACCACAGTCTGTTGTATCTATCACAAACCCAAGGCGTACGATGAATCTTCGGACGAGGACGAGTCAGATTCAGATTCTTCATGCGATCATAATCACGCTGGCCACAGCCGTGATCACCACCATGCTCACAACTCTAATGACCATCGTAGGGATGGGGAAGGACTTCAGAACAGAGATTCTGGATCATCTATTCAACATCTAGAGCACGAAGAACCTTCTCGTAATGCATATGAGATAATCCCTTCAAAGAAAGGGAAACATAGAGCAACCTAGTTGTAGGTTGTCCATTCTGGTTCGTTGTCAGATGCTCATACCATATACATATTGTAGATTTGTTTGTAATCGTATCACTTGTCAGCTCCCTTGTCACAATTATCTTCAGCATTCCAGGAAATTCAATGTATATGTATATCCAATAATCTTAGCATAGATCGTTTCTATAGCTTCCGGCAGCCATGTTTTTCCTTGTGTTCTTTCCATCCTCCTCTCTGACAATCTTTTGAACAAAAGAAGTACTTGCCACCACACGCACCGGCACACTTTTGCCAGTTGATACCACAATTTCCGCAGGTAAAGCAACGCATCCAGGGACCCATTTTCTCAGCACGGACATCGCGTGTCAAGTCGTCGGGATTCCAGTGACCTCCTGGCAGATTGAGCTTCAAAGTCCAAATATCGTTGTAGGCTCGTGACGAAAAGTTCTTCGCAGGGACGAAATCTGGGTTGGTATAGCCTTTTCAAAGTGAAGGGCGAGATTGTCAATATTAAAACAAGGCAACGTAACTGCGGTCTTACCTCCAAAGAGATATATCTTGCCAGTATCAGGATCGGATACAATCGTTGACATCGCTCGATACGACGGGAACCCTCTCACCAGAACATGTTGCCATATATTTGCTTCTGGATCGTATATGAAGGTATCACCATAAAAAGCAAACTCGTACATCGTGTCCTGAATCGTCATTTTAGTTTCCAGTGTGGTCATATTTCCATGATAACCGCCATACACAACTGCTCTCCCTGTCGCATGGGAGAAAACAGAAGCAGCCTCCGTTCGAGGCGAAGGATAGCTCCCTCGGAGACGTTCGCGCTCCCATTTTTTATCGTCAACGTGCCAGCTCCAAAAGTCGTCATAGGTGTAATCGCATTCAGCTGCTCCGGCTGCGTGCTTATAGCGAGCCTGGGTCCGGTTAGCACTACCGTACAAGATATAGATTTTGCGTTGCTTTGGAGCAGCCCACATGCACTGTAGGGAACGGAGGTTGGGTTGGAATGATTGAGGGACGTGTTCTGAGGTTCCACTGAGATGTTCCCATTTATTTGCTGACAGGTCAAGAGCCATGAAGATATTTTGGCCTATATACGTTTTTCTATCAGTTTGGCTTTAGTAAGCAGGAACGATGTACCTAGTGGGTCTTTGCCATCTTCTCCCCCAAATACGTAGAGCTTGTCATCGAGGACGGCCGTATTGAAAGATGTTAGCGAGCTACTTAAGTCATAGGGCCACGTCGTTCCGCGTCGAATCGTTGTTTTCAAGGTGGACCAAAGCTCAGTCACGAGGTCGAAGACGTGTAGTGATCGGGTACCGAGAAAAAGATACACCTTGTCCTGCCATACTTGCATAGGTCTGACTGAAGACAAGCCTCCTACAGGTTGTTTTTCGGGAGGATTGGGAAGGTGTTTCCAAATATTGGTTTTACAATCAAAGTACCTTTGTTACAGAATCCTGTCACAAAGTTGACCTTATGCCAACGGGATTGAGGGTACGCACCAAAACTCATCATCCACTTCGAATTGGGTTTCACCAACGCCCATGCAAACATATAATCTACACTGCCAAACCCAGCACGAGTGTGCGCATCTTCCAGTAGGTCGTGGTCCTTGAGTTGGAGAGGGTAGTTTCTCCCAGGTACCTTGAACTTGAACTTCTGAACACGTCAACTGGGTCTTGTCAATAAGGTTCGGGTCCGGATGACGCAAAGAAAACATTTTGTAGAAATTCAGTTCCTTCTTCAACGGCACGAGCTTGGGGTAATTTTGAGATCCAGGTAGGTGGTAGTCGGTCCAGGCCACTTGAGCGAAATGCACGGCTAGAGCAGTGTTTCCAAGAGCAAGAAACTCGTTGTAAGCGCGAAGATGAGTCTTTATCCGGAACTGTGATAAGAAGATACACATTCGAATGAGAACCTCAACGCACTTGGAACGAAAGAAACGATATATACAAGCCAATATTCAACAACTGGAATGTGCGAGTCTTTCCAGGAGGGCTTGTTCTTTAAAGACATCTGTCGTTGGCACATAAGGATCTGTAGGGCTTCCTGTATCCAATCGATAGTCTACATAAAGGTCAATTAGGTTAAAAGAAGCATTACAAGTGTCACATATACCATAACATCGTTTTGCATTTTGATGTAGCACTGCGAGATGTTTCCTGCCAAAGCCACCAGATCCGTGTATTCCACCCAGGCTCCAAAAGAGCTTTCCCCACCTTGACTTAGATCTAAATACGGCTGACTGAAAAAGTGCGGCGATGGAATTACAAGAGGCGAAACAGTCGCTATTCGTCCCAAGATGAGGTTCATTGCCTCCAGGTACTTCGAGAGCGCCGTTATGTAGTCTCCTGTTTTGTAAAACACGTTTCCTTCTTCTTTTCTTATCGTAGCACGATTTAAAACAACGATTCTCTTCAATACTTCACGCTCCGGCCCATTTTCACGGTCTGAAGCTTCTTCGAAATCGGAAATCAAGGCCCATATAACTTCTGGAGTCGGCGAAGGAGTTTGAGATCGAATGTCCCCGAGTGCATGAGTATCGACACGAATTCGAGAGCCGTCGTGGAGAGGGATTTTCGACCAGTCAATGTCTTCATAGTCACTTTCGCCCATCCGCGTTTCCATCATCTGGGTTATGAAACGCGCTTTGGCCCTTTTGGCGGCCCACATTTCCTCGGTAATTTTGACCATGATGATACTGGGTCGAAGAAGATTGAAGCAGTCAACAGCAATCAACAGCGCGCGCGGAGTAAGGCCGCGAACGGCTCCCGCCACGTGCACCGCGTACCCATTTCCGCCCGCCGGCGCCAAGTGGTCGACGACACGCATTCTACTTGAATCTAGTCTCTATACTCGTTGGCTCCCTATGAATCTATGCACCTGTACTCTGCCGTCGGAGGAATTTGAGCTGCCCTCCCTTGCTCTAGGAAAAGGGTAGTAAATGAGTAAGGAAGGAAGGGTGGACATAACGACGAGCCATAAATTCGAACACGGTGACGAAGGCTGACGAAGGTAAGTTGAACCTGGTTGAAGCCCACTGGCAGAACAATGCCTGGTTGGATGCCCTGAAGTTCGCCATGGATTCGGTCTGAAGTAGGCTATTTCGGACAAGGATTTTCCGATGTAACTAAAAATTCCCCCAAAGAGCAACAATTCTTATTTCTGAGCCGTTGTTAGGACATTCATAAATACTGCTACCCAGAGATAGCATGAAGTCTCATATATGCTCAAGGAAAGCGAGTCAGAACCATACGGGCTAGCCTGTTATAAAGCAAACCGAAGGAAAGAATCGACCAACGCTCATCCGAGAATTCCTATGCTCACCAATGACAACTACCTTGTAGACAATAGGCGATAAGGCAGGGTAAAACATTGCCACAAAGAATCTGTATCGATAGGCCGATATCAATGTACTACTTGTCGAAAGCTGTTTTTGCTTTTTTAAATACCACCAATGCTAAACCCAGCCTGCTCAAATGGGAACCTTAATAACAGAGTCCCTCAATTGAAGCATCAGTGAATGATCGGGAATGGGGGATCATATGTATCTACTCTATTTACTCAGATATGGTGCTGTGACGCTCCTCGAAGTTCTCTGTCATGGGACATATTACTTCGGAAATTGAGATAGTCAGTCCAGAGTCAGTCAAAGCGTATGATACGAAACAAGCCGGATATCGGCGAAGTCAAGATCTAAGATCATTGACATACAACGGCAGTTGGTCTACTTGAGCTGTCCATAGCGCCCAAGCACGGCTAAGTCTGAAGAAGAACATTAGAACCTCTGTAGAAGGACTCTAATCCAAAACATACAGTGAGTCACTTTCAAAGGTTACTGTTGCATCCATCGCAACGCGCGGAGGCAAACCTACAGGAGCCTGTCCGCCGAGCGCTAGAGCACCTAGTAAAGTAGCCGTAGACTGCACCTCAGCATTCTGCATTGTATAGAATGCACGGAACACTGCATTGCGAACAGATGTTCCTCGAATAGCCATTCCATGTCCTGAATTGTTCATCGTCATCATTGATTTAAATAGGACGGAACGCTGAGTTTCACCTTTCATTAGTACCACCTCGCTACCATTCTGAAATGTATCTGCAAGAGCATCTCCCAGTACCTCGTTCCCGATGAGAAGATTATGGGGCGCGTTTTCAGGTAAGATACTTGTTGGAAGACTGTCGAAATCAAAGATCGGAGTCCCGTTTGCTAGTGTGCCTACTGATCCTGCCTGAGATGAGGCGCATTTACGACAATAAGCAACTAAATAGGGTTTGTATACTCACACTACCCATCTGAGCTCTCATTCCTACTTCTGCTGCAGCAAAGGAGATCACATTGATGGTATGGGCATGTACAACTCCTGTGATATTAGGGAAAGCATTGTAAATCTAGATTCAGCATGACCCATGAATATATGATGGTATTTATTTAAGAATGCCCCGAACCTGCGAATGTATATATCGTTCAAGAAATCCGGAAGGGACAGCGTCGCCAGTCACAGAAGTGTTGAACGTGAGCTGAACCGCAGTTGCATTGTCAATCTCGTATCTATGAGGAGCGTTGGTATTTCGAACTGTGGGCAGAGATATAATTACGTGACTAGGCTTTGGGATGTGGCCAGAGCAGGCGCTATTGCGAACGACCTGTGTAAGCATATCATTCGTAATCGCATGAGCATCATAATAAAAAGGATTCGCTTCGAAGACAAGCAATTTTACATACATGATGAATTGACTGGCATTGTCGGGATTACGGGCTGATACGTGCCCAAACGCATCAACAACATCGAGGAAGTGAAGTATGTCTGTCGTTTGATGACTGTGAAAATGAGAGTACAAACATGGTTCTTAAACTACGCACGAGAGCCGTCAAGTAAGTCAATCGCGACATTTGTGACATTGGTGCTCGGCGAGACTACTTGGCCATATCCGATACAACCTTGCCAGGAAAGGATAGCAAGCGTTTGGAAAGTGACGATCTTCATGATGTGCAAAGGTTTGCAGAGATTTTCATTTATATACCTATGTACATGCGAATTCCCAATCAAATCAGGGATGACCGCGGCCGAGTGGATCCCACACGGGCTTCCTGAAAGCTTTCGGAGAGTCTTTGAAGGTACGCGCGTGACGTTATAAGGTGGAGAAGTGAGAAACAAAATACTTCAGAGCGAATAGATTCCTAAATATAACTTCAGATCATACGACTATCACTGGGTTTTATTTTCGTCGTCATCCGGGTATAGCTGAAAAGTATTCAATGAGAGCCTGGTTCCAGCGAAAACCGAGCACACATTACCTTTCCGGGATTAAAAAGTCCAAGAGGATCTAGTGTTCTCTTGACCATCTTCATCAGTTCTACCGTTCCTGCCCCAAGTTCCTCGACCAAGTATTTCTTTTTGCCAATTCCTACTCCATGCTCACCCTAGATGTCGGAGGATCCATAAGATTTTCACGCCAGGAATGCACACAGGCATACCGTACAAGTCCCATCCATAGTAATCGCTCTATGTACCATCCGCTCCACTGCTTCTTTAGCAACCGCTAACTGGGCGTCATTCGTAAACATGATTTGTGCATGGAAGTTACCGTCCCCAACATGGCCAACGATCGGAGCAACCAAACCGAGAGTGCTGAGGTCTTTCTTGGTCTCATACACGAGATCAGGCAATCTTGACACAGGAACACTGCAACCCAGAAAAAATTCCTTTGGGATCTCAAGTAAAAAAATAGAAGAGGACTAACCAGACATCTGTAGCAATAGGCCGACTACCCGGGACCAGCGCTAATCCAGAATAATGCGCATTTTTCCGGTCGTGCCAGAGATCATCGGCCTCTTTATCGTTCTTTGCTAGTTGGAAACCAAATCCTCCATACTTTTCAGCTACTTCCTTGACCACCTTTGCTGTATCCCTCAAAGACGTGTCGTTGTGGCCCTGTAGTTTAAAGAACAGTGTATCTTTGACAGGCCATGTACGCCCTGATTGCCCAAAATTATTGACAGCGTGCATGAAAACATCGTCGAGCAGCTCTACGCACTCTGTGACAAGCCACATCGAGTCAGGAGGGAACTTATTCCAAGCAGCGAGACGTACGGATCCCGACTCCTCTGTTCATCACATCTCTGACTGCTTCAGTAGCTTTACGAACATCCGGAAAGTGAACAACGGCCACCGTCGTAGGAAGAACTGGCGTGAGCCTTATTGTGACTTGCAGATGGTCGGAGATTTAAACACGAGATAACCAGTTGACTAACCTTCTGTGATGATGCCAAGTGTACCCTCTGCTCCAATGAACAACTTTGTGGTATCAAAACCTGCAGAAGACTTGCGGGATCTTCGCCGGGTTTTAATCACTTCACCGGATGGAAGGACAACCGTCTGCTAACCTGTAAGCGCATGATATCACAATGAATGCCAACCAAACTTACAACGTTTAAGAACCATTCTCCTTTACTCGTTCCATAGCGGACAGCATTTGCTAACCAGGAATGAGCATGGTTTCACTTGAATCGCGAGTTCTAACGTACTTACTCCCAGAACATCCATTACTTATCATGCCGCCTAGAGTGGCAGACGGCGCTGGGTCAATCTGGGTGTTCACTGATTGGACATGAGACGCAGAAATTTGGGCGTTAAAACGTACCGGGAAAAATAATGGGATCCCTTCATAGGTTGAAGAGAAGTTTGACTTTCAGGAAAAGACTCGCTGAACGAACGGCAGAAACTTACCTTTGTCGCGTAGAGTATCATTGATTTCAACCCAACCTACTCCTGGTTGACATACCAAGTCTGAGTCCGCCTCTGCGCCGCGATATAAGCAAATGTAAATGAAGTTTGAGTATCGATAAACGCACCATTGATTTCTAAAATCTGATTCATTTGCGACATATCTATGCATATTCCACCTGAAGAATACTGTTCAACTGAGCAGTCAGATACTTGTCTATGTATCGACTGCAAAATGAATCTTCACTCCACGGAACTGGCCTTCCAAACTGGTTGCTCCCGAGTAAGCTGTGATAGGCATACGATATTTCGTTGCGATTTTGACTATTTTAACGACATCTTCAGTGGTCGAAGGGTAAACCACGACGCTATGTGATATTCCTGAACGGAAAGAAATCAATGATCAAAGTGGAGAAATCAATAGGGTTAACGCACCTGGGTGGTAATCGTTCACCGAGAAACCATGATTATATACGTCCTCCGGATCCGTTGAGACAATATCTTCGCCAGGAAACGTTCGTTTCAATTCCTCGATGGCTTTCCCAAAATCTTCTGGGGACCCATACGTTGGCTTTGTAGCACCTCCTGTCGGAATCAGTGAGTGACTTGGTAGGGAGGTCCGTGCACGGTCTGCCAGCGTGAATCCTAATAGTCCTCCAACCAAGGCTGACCCTAATACGAAAAACGTAGTAGTTCGAGTTGTGAATGAGGATGTGCTGTTCGAAGAAGTTGTAGAAGACGTGAAACGCAACCCCTTCACTGGAGGCCAGTTTCGAGAAATGCTAGATCCATGCGCTCTAACCAGCAATGTTATTGGCAGAAATTTCCTTTGCATGAGTGGTAGCCTGAGAGTTCCTGCGGACTGGAGTCAAGGAACCAGGGGGAGACACATGCTGAAATTCGAGAGATCCCAAAAACCGTTGGGGTTTGTTTGGCATTGCCTTCTAGTGCCGTACAGCCGCTTAGCCGAACGATGCCGGATCCTATTATGGTGCTTGATTCACTATTGTGAATTTGTGCAGAATGTCTGATACTCTCATTGGAGTGCCACAGTTATTGCAGTAAATTGCAGGTTTCCTATTTCAAATATGTAAATGAACTTTGGACGAAATGATCTCCGAGCTCTATATCTGGAGGGGGCATAGTTGCAAAAACAGAAAGATACAGAGCATCAAGAGTAAGAGCAGATGGAAGCCACGAAGCATCATCGCATATCTATGCTATACATGCATCAAGGCCGTATTGAAATCGGATGCAGTGAGAACCTGGTGAGGACACGATAGATCAGATAACTAGCATGCTACGGCATGTCTCGGCTGTGGGGCTGTGCGGCACGAGAAGGTAATGCCAAACAAACCCCAACGGTTTTTGGGATCTCTCGAATTTCAGCATGTGTCTCCCCCTGCAAGGAACCCTTGAAGAACCCCATGACGGGATTTCATGTGTTTGAAGGGACAAAATAACACGATATACGCAACGGCCCGGCTGACAGCAGGAGCGGAGTCAAACAAAAACAAAACGAGACTGACTGAATTGACTACATATACGACCGATGTGTGAGGTTCAATGAAGGTTATGAATACTGTGGAATTTAAGATGCCCAACTACTACTAGTACAGAGATGAATATTGAACATAGGAAAACTGAGTTCGTCTAGCGGGTCAAATATGAACTTTGACGTACGGACATCAATCTAGTCAACCTCATTGAGCTCAACATGAACCGGGGCATTCACACAGCCAACACTCCCTGGTTCCTCTTCACAGCAGCTCCACATCGAGACACTTTTGAGAACTTTAAAAATCCGTCCTTCCGGGGTTTGTGACATGAACTCGAAGATCTCATCTTCAAGTTGACCTGTGGAAGGGATAGATACGGCGAATGGCGAAGTGAGAATATTCAAGTATAAGTACCTGGGTGATAGTGACACGTATCACGAGTGTCTCCACCATCGAAACCTTGACCACAATTCGAACACGTTAATATCGGAGGACAACTGGTATTGCTTCCCGTACTTCGTCGGAACCTTCGAGACCGTCTACTAGGTTTCGTCACGGACTGGGAAGACTTCAAATTAAGCTCTCTCGCGACAGCGTCTCTAAACTGGGTACTACGACCGGCCAACTTAAGCATTGTCGCACGTAGTTGGGTCTCCGACACAGTGGCAATAATCGTTTGCAGATCCTTGGTAGAAGTATTCTGGTAGTCTGAGTCCTCTGAATCAGATTGAGGAAAATGTGAAGAGTCGGAACATATGGACGAGGCTGTCGAGCGGTAGTATTCGCTATCGGGAGCATCAAGATATGGGGGATGAGAAGATCCCCGAAGCAAAGGTGAAGTGGCAGTTAACAAGGACGACTCTGAATGGAACATCGGGTCTAATCAAATAGTCAGAACTGGAGAATGAAGGCCAATGTACAAGAGCGTACCAAGAATAGCCGGGAACAGAAGGGGTACGAAAAGTACAGGCGAGAGTGGCAATGATGATAGGGTATGGCACACAAAGGGATATAAAACAAAAAGACGATATTGGCAAGATGTGTCGCACGCCACTTTCCAATTGTTATATCAGACTGAGGGCGGCCCAAATAGACAAGAAAGGGTGTTGAACACTGTTAGCCTAGTAAATAGACAGACAGATGAGATTACATCGGTACTCTTCTTACAGTGCACCGCATTGAAGACTCACTACAGATACCAATAAACATTATTCACTCTATGCAGCAACCCGCGCCTTCTTGTAAGGGTTGGCAGACTGATGAGCACCATGCACACAGCCTTCGCTTTCACCGTCTTCTTTACAGCAGGACCACATGAAATTTTCAGGGTATTCTCTTCGAGTTTCCTCGGCGTCGATAGGTCCATGAGCATCTTCATCCCAGTCTGGAAAGCTGTTCCAGTTGGGTTTCAAAGAACCTGAAATTCGGTCAGCCGAATACTTTTTTTAAAAGCAGAGCAAGGGCGAACCAGGATGAAAGGAACATTCCGTATCACTTCTTTTCGTCTGTGTATCAAATTCCTCATGGCAATTTTTACACCTTTCAATATGCCGTTCATAATCATGATTGAGCTTTCGTTTCAAAGTAACAAGCTCCCTAGTTAGAGCGTACTCCACAGCAGGCACCTGTTCGATAAGTTGATTTAGTATTGAGCGGATTTGAGTTTCTGAAATGGCTGCCAGTGCAAGGTATAATCTTGTGCGGGAGTCTCTGTTGATTTGAACCTCTGCTGAATCGTTGGAATCGTCAGAGAAGTGTTCCGAATCTTCATCGTCTGAACCGTCTTCTTGATAACCGTCTTCTTGATCATTTTGGTCAGAGTCTTCTTCGTCTAGTCCAGTCAAGTCGATGATCTCTGGCTCTGCCACCGTCAGAGAAGACGTGGAAGCTGGAAAAATGGAGGATAGCTAAACCGACACGGATTACTGACTGAAATATTGAGCTTACCTTCTCCGGACATCGTGGTGGTGGTTAGAGTTCAACTTGGGACTATGAACTCACGTGGCGCATGCTAAGACTTCCACATCTACTCTCAACTCCTTCAGATCATTCGGATTTCCCTCACGAAAAAAAGAGCTATTCTCGTTACGATTCTAGATGTTTCGAGTCCGCTGTTGATGCCAACCTTCAAGCGCTCGCCAATCATGCGTATTCATTACCGCTACCTTCGTTTGTTACGCGTCAAAATATGTAGTAGTCTGAGGGACTGATAGTTCATCAAATTTCCACACAAAACAGAACCTGAACAGAACCCACCTGTCCATTATTTGCTAGGTTAATGCCATTGCCTTAACGTGCGTGGTCTAAGAAATACAAGCTCATCCGACCTAGTCAGATGCCAACAAGAAACGTGTTTCTCGGGTATGGCGTGGTACTATGTGTCTTAGGTACTGCACTATGCTTTTCAACGTCATTCGCGTCTTCTTCTCAATACTGACATGCATCCCCTCAGGCATTCCAATCCCGGTTGCGGGTTAAAGGCCATTGGAGGTACTGTATTGGCATTAGCGGAAGGTCCGAAGTTTTGCTCGAACAGCATGAGCCGACGCGTTCCGTGCGGATTCGAAATTTCTCTACCTTAAGCTCTAGTTCTCTCCAAAGTCCAGGATTGACAACATACAAATCGACCTACCACCTCCATCCCTAGTATGTACCTGCTCCGAACTTTCTACGCTGAAGTCCTCAAATAACAGCCGATTACCTCAATATGCCATTCACTCAAGGGACTTCATTTCCGTGAAAACCTCAGGTTGATGGTATCAGCCCGCTATCCTGCCGCCATCAACCATAGAATATTCTTAATCGAGTCTCGTACATAACGCGAGAAGAAAAAAAAGAAGATAAAAACCCAGAACCCTTCTCTTTCCATTCCTCCAATTGCACCCTCCCTAGTCAATTGCAATTCGTTCTCCCCCACATTCCAATACCCCTCTCTAACGTCCCCAACCTTCAAATATGACCGTCGAACGAATTGACGAAGAGACTCCGCTCTTAACGAACACAACGAACAAAACGAAGACATGCAATGTCCACGAACGAAGAAAACGAGCACCGACTCCGTTGCCCAAAGTACAGATTTCTATCATGATGTTGCTTCAGATCTGTGAACCCATAACCAGTCAGTCGATTTATCCGTACATAAATCAGGTGCGTGGAAGCTATCTTCAAATTCGTTGTTTTGCTCACGGTCGTCATCATAGCTTATCAGCGAGCTCGATATCACTGGCGGGGATGAACGAAAAGTTGGGTATTATGCCGGTCTCATTGTATGTCGCGTCTGTTATAATGCCTATAACCTCACTCAGCTGCTACGTGCAGGAGAGCTTGTTCTTCGTGACCGAAGCAATGACAGTTTTTCAAGTTGAGCCAACGAACTCTTGTCAAATTCCGCGTCTTGCTAAAGTGAAGATTGTACACAGTGGAGTCGCGCCTCAGATCATATCGGTAGGAAACCCATCCTACTTATCGGCTTAGCGGGTTCTATGATATCGATGCTTTTGTTCGGTCTTTCAAAAACATTTTGGGCTTTGGTTATTAGGTGTGCGCATCTCAACTTTCCTCCAGTATCATATGAAGCTGAAGACAAATTCCCCTTACAGTCGCTGCTTGACAGGATTGCTTAATGGAAACATCGGTAAAAATCATCATCAACCTAGTCCTCAAGAGTCTGAACGCGGACTCTATTACTTCCTAGGTGTCATGAAGAGTACGATTGGAGACCTGACAGATTCCTCTAATCGCGCAGAAGGAGTGTCCATGTTACCAGTCGTCTGGTCTTTAGGAGCGACTATCGGGTAAGTCGACCTTGATGTGCGGAGCTCTACCACTGACCAGAACTTTATCCTCCTGCTGCCACACAGGCCTCTGATCGGCGGTACTTTTGCGAGACCTCACGAAAGATTTCCCCAGGTCTTCACAGCACCGTTCTGGAAAGCATACCCTTACTTCCTTCCATGCTTGATTGGTGTAGGCTATGTCTTTGTAGCATTCTGGATCACAGCTTTCGCTTTTAAAGAGGTCCGTATCGGATCCCGTATGCCCAACCATCTTCCGATCTCTGCGCTGAACACATCCACATCATAGACGATCCCCAAAAAACGACGGTCCCGAATTTTATCTCGCGCCAGTTCCACAGATTCATCCGAGAACCCCGATTTTCACTACCGCGCCGATCGCCCTCTTCTCCTTCGCGAGCTATTCACACACCGCGTCGTCCTATCCGTCAGCAACTACGTCGCCCTCGCATTCCTCAACATCTCCTTCAATGCCCTCCTTCCTCTCTTCCTCGCCATGCCGCTCAACATCGGCGGCCTCGGTCTCCCGCCCTCAGCAATTGGGTATATCATGGGCGGATACGGTGCCGCCACCGGTATTTTCCAGTTTTTCTGGTTCGCCAAGATCAATAGGATGCTTGGAGAAAAACGTGTGTTCGTGACCGGGATGATGGTGCTTCCGGGGTGCTTTATGATGCTTCCGATGATTAGTGTCGTTGCGCAGAATTTTGGAGTGTACGCGTTGGTGTGGGTGATGATCGCGTTCACGATGATGCTTGCAGTGATTATGGATATGGCGTATGGTGAGTGATTTGATTTGAGATGGTACTATTCTCGCTGGATGGTTTGTTGATGCTTCTATGCTCTTTGTAGGTGCCATATTCATGTACATCACCGCCTCTTCACCAACAAAAGCAGCACTCGGCGCTACGCATGGGCTCTCTCAAACTTCAGCTTCTATTTCACGAGCGATAGGGCCTGCGTTATCGGCGTCCTTGTTTTCGCTCTCCGTACAAGAGGGCTGGTTGTACGGCTATGCGGTATATGTGATCTTTGCTATGTTATCGATAGCTGGCATATGCCTGGCACAACAACTGCCTGAGGAAGTCTGGGAGGAGGAGGAGGAGGAAAATGATGATCATGATACAGATGCTTAAATAGGAATGTTCATAAATGGATCCTATCGTTGATCTCTTCCTTTGACGAAGCATAAAAATGAGAGGTTTGAATGAGTGATATATCGTAGTAAGTAGAAGGACAGACACTTGAGGTGATGTACATGTATGTATACACAAGAAATCTTTGAACCCGGATAAGAACGACGACAAATGTCAGAAGACAAACAGCAAACAGCATATGTATGAGCATGTTAAAAAAACTTGATCCATAGATGCGAACTCGTTAATAAAGACGTGAATATAGTGAGAAACGAAGTTGTGACGATTATCATAAACTTTGGATAGCAAATAATGCAAGAGTTTTCTTTGAAACCTGAACCAAACGACCCGGAACTACAACAGAACAACCTCATACAACCCCATGGGACGGTTGTACGACACATACACGATCTCACATCCGTGCACCGGAAGTAAAGATCTATACAGCGACACGGAGCCTGTGGAGGAGAGCGTGCAAATACCAAAGAGAAACAGAGAAAAGAAAACCACTCTTGAGCACGTTCAAGGATCGAGATCCGTTGAAACCATGAAACTCCAGGCTAATTTCAACGGCCATTGTCATCGGTCGTGCCAGGCTCTGGCGATGTCTTCCTTGACAGATCTTGTTCGGGAGACGACGGAGCGACTTGCTGATGCACAGCAGGCGGTGGATCGTCCAAAGAAAATGCTCTGTGAGACCTTGTACCTGAACCGCTGGAAGTACTACCCTCACTCGTTTGACTGAGAAAACTACTTTCTCTCCTTGCTAAAGTGAGGCTCCACCTTTGCCTCTTCTTTGCCAAGCCAGGCGGTACAGGAGGATCTACAGTCCGCATTTTAGGATGAGTAGGCGAGTAACTGCGGGCATCTGGACCGAACGGCGGAGAAGTCGACAACGCAACAGTTGGCCCAGAAAGTGATAACGAGGCAGAAAGTAGCGATGGTGGAGTAAGAGGAGGAAATAATCCTTCGGAAGATTGTGTGGTATTTGGAGGAAACGGATACTCGAAGGGAGCAGAATTGACAGTGAAGGGAGTGCCGACGATGTTGGAAGGCGAATGAAGAGATAAATCTGTCAAAGCAGGCATAGACGAGAGGGTAGGAGCGTGAGGTCTGGTTTTAAGTCTGCGAGAACCAGGCCTGGGTTTGCTCTGAGAGCGCTGAGGCTAAAGAAAAAGTTGAAGATCAAGGAACAAAATAATAAATATTTCAAAAAAAAACTCACAGAACCAATGGCGGGTTCATTTCCTATGACGTTTTTCTGAGATTCCAATGGATCATGGGTGGGATCGTTTGTGGAGCCCGTAATATTGGTGTCAGTTGTACCTGATTTATCTCCCGCAATTTCATCTTTCACTATCTCCGTAGTTCCTCCTGCCTCTTCAGTTTCCATACCAAATTATAGAGCTCACTGCGGCGAGCGACGACGACGAGTGTGAATTTTGTTTCCATGCGCTAGGACCCGGTTTAGTCATTCCATATCAAGGAATTCTACTTTAGATTATAGATATCAACACGTGTTCGTGCCGACGCCGCTCTTCTTCAAGTTTCTTGAAGCTTCTTCCTCGCAAAACTCTCCCAATCGTCTAACTGCTCATCTCCAAAATTTCCAACCAGCTCGCATACAAACGATTGGCAGCCAAGATTCGGAACAAATATCAAAAAATGGATCGTCATCTTCAACGTAGGCAAATTTCCTCTTTCGACGACATCTCTGCCGTGAGCTGCCGTGCATATTACTTCAACTATAACCTCTGACTCTGTGTCGAGCACGTCGTCTGCACAAGAGCTTCATATTAATTATCTATTTTCAAAGTAGGGCACCATGACGGTTCCGGCATAATTCACTAAAGAAACGCTGTGGAAGCTCATCTTGGTCAATTTTGAAGCTGGCTTAGAGCCTGGCCCACCGCCCTACATGCTAAATGACCTGACCGGCCCCTCGATGATGCGTCTTCTACACCCTAACGAAGCTGTCCATGACATCAAAGTGTCACACAATATTGGTTATATGAAAAGTAAGCTTTCCGTGGTCATGCTTAGTCGTGGTATACCATCGGGAATGACTGAGATCCTACCAACCTGTCGACGAAAGCTGAGAAGAAGCGCTGCAAGTAGGTGGCACAAGTTCGGGAATTAACCTGTGCAAAGGGACTCCAAATTCTCTATACAGTAAGGTGAGCTGTTCTGTTCCCAACGCCATATCTCAGTCATACACATGTGCTTTTGCAAAATTCTACCCACCTTAAATTTATTTGTTCAATCGGTGGCGCTCCATCTCTGCGCCATGTATTCAAAAAGGCCTCATACATCCCCTTCAACATCACTGTGCCGATTGCTCCACAACACACCAAGTTTTTTTTCCTGTACTACATGAAACAAATGAATCGCGCTAGTTGATTCGTTAGCTAAACGCATACTCTCCGACTCTGTCTATCAGTCCATCTTTCCTGAACGTCAACAATTGCTTTGGCGACCTCTATATATGATTGTGGAATAGTTTGATACATCGACATTATCCTCTGCAATATGCAAGTCTATGGCGGAAACCCCTTTTTCCATCACTGTGTATCTCCTTCCTCTCTCTTCTCTTTTCAGATTTATTTGGACGAAAACGAAACGAAAATTTCACCCCACCCCCACATATGTGCGTCGCGCTGTACGACAAATAAATAACTCCTTCTATCTTTCAAGGCATACATATGCCGCCCGTCATCGTTATCATCATTACTCCCGCTACATGAATCACTTACTTGCGAAAAAAAAATCTATCAATATACAAGTGGCAGTGATTGAAGCCTGTTCAAGAAGCAACAAGTTGAAGTCAGTTGAAGCAGGTTGAAGCCTGAAGGTTAGATGAAAAGCCACAGGCGCGATCTTGAGCGGCCAACTCTACGCATAAATGTATGTACATATATTTACATGAAACTCACTCAGGATCATCCACCTTCATGCACATGGTCTAGAAGCATTTCAAGCTCAAATCGAACTTCAAAGCATGAGGAGGTCCGGGGGAAATCAACAATATTTAAAATAGCAGGGTTTATTCAATGAGCGACCTGGTCGCGGAACAATAGGGAACACTTGGTTGTCAGTTTTGTCGTTCCACAGCAGAATATCAGGGCTGTACATACACACGAAGACACCGGATCCGGAAGGGGAAGTATTCTTTGCGCTTCGAACTACTCTGTGTTGACTTTTAGCATCGTATGTGCCAGATGAGCGCCGTCTCACAGAAGCAAAGCTTCAGCAAATGGATCCTAAATTGAGCAATTATCGCTCAAATAGCACGCCCCAAGGCCCAATGCATGATTTGAGAAGTGAAGCGGTGATTGCGTCAATTTTGCCCTAGGGTCCCATACTGTAAGGAATAGCCGGCCTTTAATACAAATTCAATCTCTTTTTGGCTTTTCCATTGCTTTCCTCTGCTTTCCCATTCCCTATTCGCCTCTCTGCTGGTCAGACAGATACGCTGGTCGTTATGTTTATCTCTCGTTGTATCGTGTCCATCACAAGCTACATCTTAGTCATAGTTCATGTTTATGCTTTGCCAACTTCGATTTCTCCACGAGCTCATGATTGGGATCCATCCGATGATAATCGTCAACCTGTAAGTCAACGTTGGGTTTTGCGCACCAGAGTGTTCATTGCATCTGCAGAGATGGGTTACTCACTATGATACGGGTCTGTTATCAGGGAACTCAGAGAGTACAGCACTTTTCTGTACGTGGCAAGACAAAATTTCAATATTGCATGGAGCTAATAATAATATCTCACTTCGTTTCTAGCCCGTCCGTTGCAGCGCCAAGCGTTCTTAGGAAAAAGCTTCCCGTCGAAAATCGGTCACGTATGGTCTATCCACGAGTACAAGGATCATAAAGGCAAAGTGCACAAAGAAGATATGACCGCCGTGGTCTTTACTAGTAAGACAACATCCGGATCCTTTCAAATTGATGTGGTCCCAGTAGCCCTTCACAACATTGGCGCCAACAACCAAAACATCCCAGTAATAGACGAAGGTATATCCATAGAAGATGGCCATCCTCGGCTCAATCGTAATAGTGTAAGGGTAAATGTGCTCGGTAAAGACACCGCCGTTATTTTGAAGAAGATCGACGAGTTGGTCGACTCTGGCAGTTGGAACGACATTCCAGTGATGATCATGCGGGGGAAAGGTGGAAAGCCATTGGGAATGACAGCCGTCTACGAGCAGGCCAATAAAGCGCAGAAAAAGTCCCTAGAAGAACAGGTCAAGAAAATGACCTGTGACAAGGTTGTATCCGTTGCCAAGAAACACCAAATTCTAAATAGGTGTGTCGGGCGGGTCATCCTCTTGTTTCGGTTGAAATTGTCTAAAATGCATGCGTTGTAATACAGAGGCCTTGAACACTTGGATATCCTGGTCACCACTTCTGGTTCTTCTGTAGAGTCGGTGACTCTCCTTACTTGGAACGTCTACAGTATCATAGGAAAAGACGTGCCAGATGGAGAACTTGTGAGTTCTGATACAATATGATACAGTCATCTGCCAAACAACTGAGAAATGGTTGGACATCGTGAATATTGTGACAGACTGTTTGCGGATACGTTTTCTACTTCTGAGTCGATTACTTTATAACCACGGATTGCTTAGTACTAGCTGAACAAACAAACAATCTTCTTGTATTTTCCAGTTCCTCGTCTGTCCATATATCTCCTACATCTAACATTTAGTTCAGCAAGCTTGAATCTATACCAGATAATCCACAAACAAGTATTACAACATGAAAGGACTTACGATTAATTGTCGATAGTCTGTGTAGTGTACAACGTTGGTCTATATACCTCACAACCATAGACTAAAATCTTCGATGGCTCGGAATCACAGTTCCTGTAAAACCCCAAAGAAATCGGAGCAGTTTTGGTGCATAGAATATTTTAGACCCGATTCACGGGGCCGCTACATCTCACTGATGTTAATACGCCTCAACTTTTTGCCGTCCAGCAATTGATCTTTCCCGCCTTTGTCGCCAGCATGATAAGAAGGAGGAAGGGCTATAGCGGTATTCTCTGTAAGGAGGTTGATCGGAGGGTATATGATCGTGTGGCAATCACTCTTCGCCTTCTCCGATCGCCTTCTCCGTTCTGCTCGAGAGTTCAATATAATAACTTGCCAAGGCCAAGGCCAATTGCCCTCATGAATTACCGGTCATAAGGGAGGTGTCAAATCCAACAAGACAAAGCCTGGAGAAGACGAATGAAATTGACGACTATTAGTAGCGTATACGTGATGATGCCTGTAGGATATTGAAAGGCCCGGGTCGAGATATCAATGACAATACACCCTGCATATGAGGAAATTCGATTGATGTCAGACATAATCATTTCTTACAGGCCTTTAAGAAGGTCGATTGTCCTGTGAGGTATCGACAGTGAGTCCAGATTCTAACGACTGTTTGCATATTTCACAGCACACTGGCACTAAGTAAGACTGAGGTGCCGGCGTTCATGACCTCGAAGAAAATATTGCGATGAGTTTATCTCCATTGATGTATAGCTATCGATTAAATGCGTGCATTATACCTCCATTGAAGCCACTAAAGGCATAACTCCTCTCTGAAACTTCGAAATCAATGAGGTTGGCATTCCTTGGGTAGCGGTCACTCGACTCCGCATGGGCGCGATGGGATCTATACTATTTTTCTCCGTTGAGCTTTACAATCAGCAGCGGTCAGCATCTCAGAAGTGCTGATGAATAGATGTTTGCCCGCTGCCAGATAGTTCACCTCCCCGACAAGTTGGAAAGACCCGGGAAGAATATCAGACCAGTGTTCCGACTTGACTCAAAGACCAGCGCGGAAGCGCATCGCGTCATCCAATCCAGTCAATCCAGAGTCCTCGGTGGTGTATCGTCGGTCCCCTTCACAAGCTCATACAATAACCAAGAAGAGGGCGCTTCGTTCAAAAACCCTGATAAGCCCTCAATGACATTCCGTAGTCTGTCACGTCATGTTATGTATGTAGCTCCGCCAAGATGATCTTCACCCCCGAAAAATCTTAGACTGTCACTGAAGGTGATAGATCTAATGGATAAATGCACACTCAATGCAGACTGCGAGATGATAATAAGTCGAGGACATGATTGACCGTTAAAAATGACTTGCCTTCGCGGATATAAATTTTAGTTACTTGCCATTTTAGTGCATATAATATTATACATATATCCACTGTAAACCTCTAGATTTTCAATTCGAGACAACAAGATCATATCCCAATAAGCAACGAAGTACAGTGCTCACATAAGGACTCTAAACGCATTCGTGACGTTCCAAGGTTGGTTGTCTTGACATTAATGCCACTACATACAGTTCAGACATTCGTATCTATTTCGAAAGATTACCGCAAATTCGTATGCTTAGTGGCGTCAAGGAACGGGATAAAATTTCCACACTGCTAAAGGATCTGAGTCCTGCATACAAGAACAATTCGGGTTAGTAAGCATTTGTTGCACATTACGCTTTGTTTTCTCCTCAGAGCCGCGACACTAAGGTGTGCATGTTCTTGCAGGGAAAGTGCTTTTCAATGTCCGAAGCACCCATCGGATGTGTTCTACAGGAAAGGAGTTCAATTTTGATGACATTGAATAAAATCATCAAGGCTCGACTCGTGTGTGAATTGACCTGAGAGAAGCTCACCCCGAACGGTTCTTCCAGGGGAACATATGGGCCTCGCCAAGACGAATGTTGTATCACTGGAAGAAGGCTGATGGGATCCACTATAAGGTTTGGAGCCTCGTTACAGCCTTACTAAATTCATTCCTTTAGAGCATACTCTGTCAGAAAATAGTATAAAATCCGCTGCGCGTGTTGTCAGTACGACCATGGGCGGCAGTACGTACTGGAAAGTAGAGTATTCCTATTCAGATCAATGTTGAGACGGAGGACTGGAGAGGACTGGTTGGGCGTACATTGATTTCTAACTTGAGATGATTACTGAGCATGTTGATGTCGCCGGTGCTTCCAAATCTACGACCTTATACAAAAATTGATGTTCGGCGTGGATTCGACGGGTTTAATATGGGCACTTCGACTCGCACCATTTCGAGCTATTTCGAGGCACTTTCGAGGCACTTTCGAGGTATAACAGGTCGGCCACGTGGGTGTTCGATATTAATATTCGTCATTTTCGGCTAACTTGAACTGTTTGAACCGTTTTCGAACTCCTTTTCCTTAGGCGCCAGTCAACTCCCAAAGCTAGAAGGATCTTGATTACTTGCGCCACTGCTGTCTTGATAAGAACGAGAGCCCATTGCTCTGTATGTACCTCCTCTCCCCCGTGAAGCTCTAATGTCAGACTCTCGCACTTGCTCACGACCCATCCAAAGCTGCTACCAATGTGCGTGGTCTCCTCCTGGTCCCCTGGCATGTACTTACGATAAAAACGAAGGCCGAAAGCGAAAGATAAAATGTGATTGTCTCAAGTTGCATTTGGACGATTGGTATATTGATGTTAATAGGCAACCGCGCTTATCCTTGTGCACCTTGCATTCTCAGAGGGGAAGGAGATGTTTGCAGAGAAGTCGACAAAAACCAAACGAGGTCTGACGTCCCTGGTCATTTTCTGTACTTTGTGGATAACTTACATTTTTCCCTCACGAAGCTCAAGCAAATCAACAACGGAGACATTAGACGATGTGCTTCATCGTGTCACAGTCCTGGAACGAGCTGTCTCTCACCTCTCCAAGACATTGCCTCCGGATCTAAATGCTTCTGGCATCGATGACTCGGATAGTTCGATTTCAACAGCGATGTCTTCCTCGTCAATGCCTAAATCCCGACCACAAAGCTCGTCTAGACCCGTGTGGTCTGCATCGGATGGTGATGTTAACCCGGAATCAGTTATCCGGTCTTCATATGGCACCGGATCGACCGATGAGGATGTAGCTATGATGCTGGAAGACTTCGCCATGGGTCACCGCGTCAATCGCTCTCGAGCTGCTCAAGAGTTAGACCCAGGACCATCCGACTTATACACACATAGACAAATAACTGCTTACGGCTCACAAAACGCACCACCACGTCGTGAGAGTCACGAGAATGCAACACGATCATTGCCTCTGACACCGGTCTCTGCAACGGATGTATTTGTGCCGCAATTAGGACTTCCTGACCACCATCCACTTGCCCTTTTAATCGATATAAACACCAATGTGATTGGTCGACTCGTCTCAGTCTTACCAGCTAAGAGTCATTGCATGACTCTAGTCACTTTCTACGTAAGTCACTAAGGGTTCCTCCCACTCTTTACCCTACCATTTATATCCTATCCTAACCGATTTTCTAGTTTGAACGCTTAGAATGGTATTCAAAAGTCTTACACTCTCCATCGTTCCTCTCCGATGCGCATCAGTTGATGGGACAAGTGTTTCCAACGGATTATTCTGTGCTTGTCCATGTCTCTGTTCCATTTTTATCCGTATATTTCATGGTTTTATGTCTTTCACTCCATCTCATTGAACCCGATACATGTCGGATTTTGAATATTGGGTTCGACGAGGCGACAGAGCTTAGCAAGAAAATGTACAATGCGGCTCAGGCTTGTCTGTACGTGAGTGACTTCATCGGGAATCATAGCTTGGAAGCACTTCAGTGCCTGATGTTAGTATTCCGTTTTCATTCCTGTATCTTTACCGTTTCTGACCGGCTTTCAATTAGCCTTATGGGTGTTTATCAGCAAAATCTAGATGACGCTGAGTGCGTGTTGTCATTTCTGTCGAATACGGCGTCAGCCGGAATGTGCTCTTTTCCCTATACTCTTTCAGCATATTATCCATTTGTTACCCAATATCTGACCAACCTTGACTATATAGCTCACATTGGGCTCTTTTGGGCTCTGCCATAAAGGTGTGCGGTGTTCTGTTTCCCTTCGGGCTCAGTCGTTGCGAGTAGCACTGCTTCGGTTCCTTCGAGCCCGTACCCAACGCATTTTCACACGCGGCTGTCAGTATGAACTGAAATTCTTTGCCTCTAGATGGCACAGAATCTGGGCATTTCAAGACTTGGTTCAGAGTCTGATAATAAAACTTATACCGGAATTTGGACGTCTGTCATTAAACGGGAGGTTGCAAGAAGGATCTGGTGGAGCTTGGTAAGTCGCTGCAATGGGTTTCCAGACGAAAGGCTGATATGAACGCCAGATCTTCAACGATTGGTCGCATGCTGCTGCTCACAACGGAGCTTATTCCATCCATCCATCTCAAAATCATACTGGGTTCCCTGCTAACATCAACGATGTTGACCTCGTGGATGGCTTTCCTCTGAAAGTGCGACCCATTATGGAGTATACTGTACGTTTTGCGTGCTTTTACTTAGGTTTTGCTGATCGTGTTTCAGGAAATGACCCTTTCTTTAACAAGATTTCGCTTTGTCGGTATATACAGAGAGATTGTCGACAATATGCAATCCCCAACAGGTTACGATTTCGTAACAGAAATAGATGCAAAGATACGCAAAATGCAGGAAGAGATTCCTCGCTATTTTGAGGAATATAATTTAAATACACCTGATAATTCCGCCTCTCCTCCCCCGTATAATCCTGCCCAAAATGTGAAACAACTCGAGCTAACGTTATGCCTTTTAATGGGAGAAACAAGACAATTGCGACTACACAGGCCGTATCTATTCAAGGGGTACAAAGATCGAAAATACGTGAGTATTCAACTGGGAGTTCCTAGTCATTTAGGTTTGTGTTCATTACTAACCGATGATAGGCAAAATCTAGGGAGCAGTGCATCAATTCGGCAAGGGCGATTCTCAACCTACTGAAGTCCAATGATGAACAGTCAGCAATACTTCTGAAGTGGTGGATGGTATTGTTCTATGGATTCGCCGCTGTAAAATTTGTCTCCAATTTGGCTGATGAATATTTAACTAATTCCTTCTTGCATAGTCTGTAGTGTTATTCATTGACCTATGCCATCATAAAGCCGACAATGGCTTAGAATTAGAAATGCGTCGAGTGGAATTAAGGGAGGCGTTGGATCTTTTCAAGTAGGTTAAGGGAGGCACGTTCATATATTATTGATTAACATTGATGCTTTTTTTCTAGAACTGTTGAGCATATTTCAACTGTTTCCCGAAATGCGATAGCTCTTTTGGAAGGGTTGATGAGTACGTCGTTTCGTAGCTTTAGCCGTAAGGTCGTCTTAACAGCCACTGTAGGCGTCGAGCCTGATATACCCTCAAAGCCTTCCAGGAAAAGAGGTGCTTACACACAAGAAAGTGAAGAGCCTTTTGGTCAAGTCGTCAAGCGGATGATTGTAGGTTTGATGCACTAATGTTCAGTGTTTTTATTCATCTCTCTCGTTTAGATCGATGCACACCAGACTGCAAGTAGTCCTATCTCCCAATCCAATGGGTCTCTTGCATCCTCACCTACCAAACCCCTGAGTCCAGCCAGTACTCCACATGCAACACTTCATCACCGCAGCAGATCTGAATCCTATACAACTTCAAGTTTGAATGTAACGCCGGAAGTAGGGATCGATGAGTACCCCCCTCGTATCTCCATTCCTGTGAACCGTGCTATGCCCTCCAGTTCCTCGCGGTGGTCTTCAACACAGATCTCACTGCCACATACACTATCAAACGGACTTTCGATGGCGCCATCTGGCCATAGCAACACTAATCAGCGAGGGAAAGATGGATTAACCTGCGTGAATCCAATTGGAGGAGAACTCGATAATTCCTCGACACCCCCCTTCGGACTAGGCTGGGGACTTCCAGCACGGGATGCGCTCGCCCCAAATATTCTTTTCCGCGAGTCAGAGATGTTTGAGGCGAGTATAAGACAACTTGACGAAGCAACTATGAATGAGCTTGGCCAGCTTCTCTGGAGTGACGAGAGTTTTGGTTATGGCATCAGAAATGCTGGAACCCCTGGCAATTTAGAATCTGCGCGCGATGAGATATCGCTCGCCGGCTTCGAGAGTTTTAATGGTATGGCGTTTACAGGAACATGATACTATGATATGGCGTTCATAGGACTATAGTTCAGTACTTATAAATATGTATAATCACGATCCTATAGATTTAGAATCCCGTTTCATGTATCGAGAATAGAGATTAGGCTTACAGCAGGCAGAGAACAAATCACCAGCATCTACGTAAAATCATTTAGCAGCAACGCGGTGGATATAGTCAAAAATCTCTTAGATTTCTTTTTTGTACATATCATCCGAGACCCAAAACCTGATCAGTAGCTACAAGTATGTTCGCGGACCATGCATATCATAGTCATATAATACTACAAACAAGCAGACTGACGCTACACAGGAGCAGCTCAAAACGCATTAGCAGTACCCCCGACTTATCGGTAAATTACTGGGAAATTCATACACGCCCGATCAAAACAAATTGTACGCCCTCCCAAGTGGCAATTTCCTCGCAGGCTCAACATCCACTAACTCCCCGTTAGCCCTAACCTCATAGGTCTCTGGATCAACAGTAATCTTTGGAGTCGCGTTATTCCATTTCATATCTTTCTTTCCTATATTCCTGCAATTTCTGACTGCTTCAAACCTTTTAGAGAGTCCGTACGATACTAGCGTGCCGGAGTCAATAGAGACTTGGGATACGAAGGCAACGGAATTTAGAGCTGCGGAACCGGCTTTTGCTCCCCACATGGGCTTAGAGAAGAATGGCTGGACGGAGGGTATAGAGGCGTTGGCGTCGCCCATCTGGGGATAGAACGATGAAATGATGCTTGGGCATGGAGAAGACGTAGCGATATATGGATTGACTTACCTGGGACCAAGCAATGACACCAGATTTAATCACCATCTCCGGCTTCGCACCAAAACTCGCAGGTTTCCACAGGACCAAGTCTGCCAACGTTCCAACCGCGATATGGCCAACCAGATGATTAATGCCATGTGTAATTGCTCTGGAAGGATGAAATCAGAAAATTTGTTCGTTCTGCCGCCTCCTTCAAAGGGAAAATTTGTACGCACGGATTAACGGTATACTTCGCCACATATCTTTTCACTCTAGCGTTATCCTTCCCGGGGTACCAATCCTTACCCTCCCTCGCGCCTTCATCTCCCAACTCAGTTAGCGGACCTCTACACTCTCTCATCTTACTCGCCGTCCTCCACGTCCTCGACACCACCTCTCCGACTCTTCCCATCGCTTGCGCATCCGAGCTAATCATCGATATCGCACCGGTATCGTGTAAGACGTCTTCGGCGGCGACAGTTTCAGCTCGTATACGGGATTCTGCGAATGCGAGATCTTCGGGGATGGACTTGTCGAGGTGGTGGCAAACCATGAGCATCTGGTATGTGGAAGAGTAAGGATGGTCAGTTCCGCGGGGTTACAGGGCACGGATGAGGATAGTTACATCAAGGTGTTCGTCCAAGGTATTGTTCGTATAGGGCCTAGTCGGATTGGTAGATGACGGTAACACATTCTCCTGTCCACATACCACAATGATATCCGGAGCGTGTCCACCACCTACATGATATAATTCAGAATGTTTCGTGGTACGAATGATCACGACAACGCCCACCTGCTCCTTCACTATGATATGTGTGGATTGTTCGGTTGCCAAACGCAGCGATAGTACCTACATGTTGAAAGTTCAATTAGTTTTGATTGGTAACCTTGGGGCGGTTGGTAGGGGGTGACTTACTCTCAACGAAACCACTTTCGTTAAGGGTATCAGTATGGATATTGACCTACACAATAAGTTTAATGAGTATCTCAGAATGTGACACACTATACTAGCTAGAAAGTTCACCTGAACGTCATAATCATCCCCCACATCCAGACAATTTCTAATCGTAGCGGGGGTCGATCCCCAATCCTCATGTAATTTCAGCCCTGCCGCTCCTGCTTTCACTATATCTTCCAGCGCCTTCCTACCAGCGTCATTTCCCTTTCCTGTGAACGCGAAGTTCATTGCTAACCCATCGGTAGCCGCCAACATATGCCTCATGTAGAATGGGCTGCTGGTACAGGTCGTAGCGTTGGTGCCTGCACTAGGACCTGTTCCACCACCAATCATGGTCGTCGTACCAGCAGCAAGTGCTTCTTCGACTTGTTGAGGACAGATGTAGTGCACATGTGCGTCAATAGCTCCGGCAGTAATGATGAGTTTTTCCCCAGCGATGACTTCGGTGGAGGAACCGATGATTAAAGATGGATGGACGTTGGCCATCACGTCGGGGTTCCCGGCTTTTCCGATACCAACAATGAGTCCGTCTTTGACGCCGATGTCGGCCTAGAGGGGAGCGATGTGAGTGGAGAAATGAACGAAACAAAAGATAGAGGGAACCTTGTAGATCCCGGACCAGTCAACAATGAGAGCATTTGTGATGACCAAATCAAGAGATTCGGCGGAGGATCGGTTGGTGGCTTGACCCATACCTTCCCGGATTGTTTTTCCTGAATTTGAATCTCAAGAGCTGCATACAATCTCTCACTTTGATATTATCTTACCTCCACCAAATTTGACTTCGTCTCCATAAACAGTCTACGAGTCCAACTTGTTAATCAATAGAATGATGGGAATCAGACATGCAAAGCACATACATACCTTATCGTGCTCAACCTCAATCCAAAGTTCCGTATCCCCAAGCCTGATTCGATCGCCGGTAGTAGGTCCAAACATCGAGATATATGCTTCCCGTCCGATATCTGTGTCATCTGTGACCTCCAACGCTCCAGGTTCCGGGACATGTCCAAATCCTTTTTGCATGAGAGAATTTATGATCTCCTCCGTCCTATCAGGGTTAAAGACTCCTGAAGCGAGTCCATTTCCACCAGATATGATTTTCCCTCCAGCGATAGAGCAAAGAGTCACTGTCTTCACGTCGCCTGGTTCGAAACGCACAGCGGTGCCGGCCGGTATGTCGAGGCGTTTTCCATATGCTTTTGCGCGATCGAAAGAGAGTAGACGATTAGTTTCGATAAAGTGGTAATGAGAACCAATCTAACGGTTTAGATGAATGAGAGTGAAAAAACTAAGTTATGTAGACACGTACTTGAACAGGACGATCTCCGTTGTTCGTGACCCTCAGTTTGATACGCTCTCTACCCTTGTTGATAACAATTCTCTCTTTCCTGGCAACGACTGCACCTGGAGCCTTTTCAGAGGCATAGTCATCTGGGGTTGAGTTTGGAAAAACGCTTTGAGCGGGAACGGGCAAGAAGGAACCATAAAGTGCGTTATCAAGATTTCCGGATTCTGTACAGATAGGATCGTGGACCGTGACAAGGAAGACCCTGCATATAAGGATGCATCAGAGACTGGAATTTGCAGCAGGACCTTCGCTGACCCATCGACAAAAGTCCCCTCTACTTGAATTTCGTGCAACAAACCAGGGACACTGGGAAGTACATGGCGACGACCCAGGAGATCTTTACCGTGCTGCATCAGCTCCGCAACTGAGTGTTCACCATCACGAATACGCTCTTGCAGTTGTGACGCTATCAGCGCAGTTGCTTCAGTTTGATTAAGGCGTAATCCTCGTGCTAGACGCTTTTGAGCTAGAAATCCTGCCTAAATTTGCGATTGAGTTGTCCATTGGGAAAGAATTCTCGTGTATAAGTACCTGATGAAGAAGCAACTTGGCTTCTTCTCTGGGAAGCAGATGCATTTCAGTTCGGTAAACGAAATCGTTATCTCAGGGGTCATCATGATCATGAGCATTGTTTGTTCGCACAAATATTATGTATACATTTTTTGATACTGAATCCATTCTCATATCAATGCTCGCATTCTATACTGGACCGACTACAAGATGCATAAGTATGGTTTTGAATCCAAGTTGCAGATTAGAAACTCACCGTAGTTATACACAAGTCGACCGCGAACTTCTTCGCCCTTTGGTCCCTTCATATACATATGCCTAACATACCGTCTCTCACTGTTGACTTCCTCAATCCCCCAAGTCTGGTGCAACATCAAATGGCAATCAATATTGGAGAAGTCAGAAGAAGGGTCGGGGGCCTTACTTGATTCACAGTCCAGGAAACCCCGCTTTTCGCAGTGTCGCTGACAACGCGCGATTGTATAAGTCCATGCTCCAGTGTGTCTGCAGTCCAACCTTTGCTCAAGTACTCATCCTCAATCTCTTCAGCTTTCACTCTCCTGTTCTGACCAATTGTCGCTCCAAACACCGAATCCTCCTTAGGCTTTTCCATCCAATCCAATACCCTCTCGTCGTTAGTCTTTAGTCCACCCGGGTTCAATGTCTGCTCTATGTTGATACATTCGATTCCCTCAGCGTTTTTGAAATGTTCGATTGCGAGTGTGAGTGTCCCAGCGCCAATAATTTTGCGTTTCACCCATCCCATACCTTGCAACCGGAGGATATCGTCTGAGGCTTCGTTGTCGCTGAGAGACTTGTTCTAATAAACGTGTGTAAGTTCAAGCCACCTTTCGAAACTAACCAACACACCGACGCAAATTTTCCCGAGATGTTTAGGATGCTCATATTCGTTGGAACGGCCATACTCGCTCGAGGTAAACTCTACGTACTGAAATGGAAGTACAGCGGCGCGTTCAAATAGTCCTCAGAATCTGAATATTTCATACAAAATGAGGATATCCCGACGGAAAACCCGAACTTTGAATGTAGATGTTTATCGCAACATCGTCGTCCAAATCAGGTCTGGTTCTGTCAAAGTTGGAATCGGTTTCGCTGTGTATTGTTTCTTTCAATGAAAACTTCGACCATCCCAGAGGCTAGGAAAAGTAAACAGTCCGTAATCAACCCGTCGCCGGAACTTGCGAACAGGCTACCGTTGAGGGCAAAAGAAGACAAGGGCCTGAGCACACGTCAAAGCTGTGCCCGTCCAAGTACTTAAGTGCTTCTTAACACCTCTCGCTATTGTTACTTCCCAATCGTTCCCTCCAGGCCTTTACAAGATTATTTGGTTCTTTTTCCCCGCTAACGCAAGAAGCAAACGTCTAGATAAGCTCGATATATACGGCTATCCCCCAAAGGGCCCCATGATTATACTTGCTGTGTCAATGCTGTAAGAGATGAAATTCTTTAAAGAGCAAGCTTAAAGTCTGAAGCTCGTCTTCAAAGCATTCGTTCGAACATGGAGATCCGGTCTTCGACTGCTTTTATAGAGGTTTAAAGGAAAATGCCTGGAAATGTAGATGCAACTTGGGGTCTACCCGCTCGATGTTCAATCACCGTGGTAATCATCGAAGCCCAGGCGCCAGTATGTATTCTTTTTCAACGGGAAAATCTCAAGAATTGATGTCAGAACGCAAACAGTTCGACTTCGGATATGTGAAAAATGATATGCGCCTATTAATACGTTAAGACTCGCGTAGAGCAGCTTAGAACTCATGAGTTCCACACAGCTGTTATTGCTAGAAGTCCGATTGCGGAAGCAATTATGTAAGTATGTGGAATGACAGGGAATGACTTGGAGAACGAACAGTGGGGGAAGAGTGGACGGGATTCACGGGAAGGTTACAAATATCATTGATTGCCTGCCTTCATTCCCTTTAAAGGGGACAAGCGCCGGTCGGACCGAATATTCCTTTCCCTTTCTTTTCTACATGTCTCCCCAGGTCGACGAGGAAACGCCTTTGCTGCAGGTGCAGCAAGACAAGCCACAGCGCACGCCTCTTCCCTGGTTTCAGTTCACGATTGTATTGTTTCTACAGTTGGCTGAACCGCTTACCTCGCAAGTCATTTATCCGTTCTTGCCCCAGGTGTGTCAAGAATACAGGAGTCATTCGTAGAAGAAAATTTTTGATATCTTCCCATCCCTTTGTGAACGTAGCTCATTCGTGATATTGGGATTACGCGGGGGGACGAAACAAAAGTAGGACACTATGTCGGTCTTTTGGTACGAGTCCAACGACTATGAATAATCAATATGATAATTGATTTTGAAAATATAGCAATCGTTGTTCTTCTTGACCCAAGCTATGACCGTGCTGCACGTATATTTGACCTCCGTTTCATTGATCTGCATAACTAAGTATTTCTATCACGTTATCCAGACACTGGAGTCGTATCTCAGATCGCATTGGTCGAAAGCCCGTAATATTAATAGGCCTATTCGGTTTGTCTATGTCGATGTATTGCTTCGGTCTGGCGACGACGTTCTGGGGATTGGTCTTAAGGTTCGTCAGTTCTTTAGATGCAGCCGGAACCTGAGCTGATTCATGCAATGCAGCCGAAGTTTGAATGGTGCGCTGAGTAAGTCTCTACTTCTTGTTAACCCCGCCGTCTGCGAAAAGAACTGAAAAACCCGCGGTCCCCTTTAGATGGAAATATTGGGGTGATCAAGAGGTTTGTCTGTCTTCTACGGCTAATACAACCGTGAGCTTTTCAACCAAACATATTCATTTTTGATAGCATCATGGCCGAGATGACTGACGCCACCAACATTGCTCAAGTCAGTCATGTTTTCGTTTTTACCACAATGCTGTCTTTGAACAAATGACCTTCAGGCCTACGCCTACATGCCGATTGCCTGGTCAACTGGAGGTGTACTGGGACCCATGATTGGTGGTGCATTAGCAAGACCGGCCGAGCAATTCCCACAGCTGTTCGGTCACAACGAGTTCCTCAAAAAGTATCCTTATTTCTTGCCGTGTGCCGTCCCCGCTACTTTCTCTGCAATCGCTTGGCTAGTGACTTTTTTGTTTCTCGAAGAGACTGTCCAAGCCCCCGCGTTTGCGCTTCCGAAAATTTTCCGATTCAAGAAAAACAATACGGGTAAACTGATGATGTCTGCACCCGAAATTAACGATCTTACGACTGAAATTCCTGATAACGAAAAACCTGTTCCGTTCCGAAAACTTCTTAATCGTCGTGTCCTAATCGCGGCTGGAAATTACGCAACACTCTCGCTAGTGGACATTACCTTTCGCGCCATCCAGCCTCTTTTTTTCTCCACTCCTGTCGAGCTTGGCGGTTTAGGACTCCCGCCGTCTTCCATTGGGAATCTGCTGTCAATTTTTGGCTTACTCAATGGTGTCATGCAAGTTTTTTTCTTTGCCAAGTTGCACGACTATTTTGGCTCGAAAAAAACATTTATCATGGGAATCGCATCCACCTTCCCAATCTTCGCTTGTTTTCCGATATTGACTTATCTAGTAAAAAGCAATGGCGGTGTTACACCGCTTGCATGGGTGTTCGTTCTTTTGCAGATCATCTTCTCGCTCTCAATTAGCTTTTCCTACGGTGAGCTCACACAGCACTTAACTTTGACTGATATCTCAATCAGTATTTGACGTATGTAGGTGCTATTTTCATTTACATATCCGCTGCTTCACCGAACAGGGCTTCTCTTGGAGCCACTAATGGTTTAAGCCAAATGACTGTGAGCATCTGCAGAGCCATCGGTCCTGCGGCGAGTAATTCGCTGTTCTCGTTGTCGATGAAGCATCACTACTTGGGGGGATTCCTAGTTTATTACGTCTTGTTCACCATTGCGGCCTTGGCCCTGGTTGCAGCTACACTGCTTCCTAGGAAGGTGTAAGTAAAATGATGTATGTAGATGATATACGGATCATATATGAAGTTTGAACAAAGAAAATTATTGCACTTCTCTCTCGACAACTTTAAGGTGACACCATCAACAAGCGCAAACAATAAATAGTGTATCATCGCCTCTTGCCACGACATATAAAGTGCCTTTGTTCTCTTCTGTCATCTCTAGACTGATTTTCTGCTTGTCCTCTCTTGTCCCCTGTTCATTGCTGTTCTAAATGTCGAGTTTTGCCTCTCTAATGGCGCTTAGCGCCACATACACCCAAGCCTCCCAGAATCAAGCTCAGGCTAAGCTTGCTGAACGAAATCGTAGAGAAGCTGAGCTCAAGAAGAGACGACTCGAGCAGGAGAAAAAGGACAGGGAAAGAGAGGCTCAGCTCAGGTTAAAACACTTTGAACAACAGAAGAAGGAGGAAGAGCAGAAGAAGAAGAAAGAAGAGGAAAGGAAAGCTATCGAGGCTGCTGTTGAGCGACGGAAAGCTGCTGAGCGAGAGGCACTCTTGCATGGTCCGGCAAAGAAAACCAGCTCGCACAGAGCCTCCCAAGTTCGACGCAAAGCTCCAGCGGACAATGACGATGACAACGACGGTCTGAAATCAGAACCTCTCACACGAGAGGAACTTCGCGAGCGAAAACTGCAGGCGGAGCTTAGGCGCCAGTTCACCTCTGTTAAGCGATCAACGACCACCGGAGGGTATCAGAGACACGGCAGACATCTTCCTGGCGGAGCTGTGGACGTCACGACGACCGGGCCTCCTGCCCCGAGCTCGAGCGGACAGTCCGTCAAGGCCCGCCTAGCGGCGATGCCGAACACGTTGACAAAGCTCAATACTGTCAAACGTGATACTCGCACTATCGACGAAATCTTACAGGATCGAGCCAAGGCGAAGGAACAGAAAATACTCGATGGTCATGAAGCTCTTGCTTTTGACGACTGGTTTGGGACCAAGAAAAAGGAACAGACTCGTCCTAGCTCAATAGGCCCAGCTTCTGGTGAAAACACTCCGAAATCCACTGCCTCTGTAGCGCGTGAGTCCATCGTATCGCATGACCCCAACCTTACTGACGATGGATGGGCTCAGGTTCAACGGGCACTCCGCCGATCAACTCGGCGAAGAAATTGTCTGCAAAACCAACTCCTTCCTCCAGGCCAGTTCCGAAACCTTCGGCCTCTAAACCTATTCCACGTTATTCTGAAAAGTCAGAGAAGTACTCTTCTTCGAAATTGGCAAGACCCAACGCTTCTTCATCCACTTCTCGTCCTTCTACCTCTATATCCAAGAAACGGGCGCGTTCTTCAAGCCGATCTGAATCCCCGCGCCCGAAACGTCGCGCTATATCGTCAGAAGAACTAGACGACGTAGACAACGAATCATTGGATGTCAGCGGTCTCATTTGGGGCATCATGGGCAAGAATCGCAGTCACTATGTAAATATGGATGTTTTCAGTGATGATGAAGACATGGAAGCAGATGCAAGTGCCCTCGAGCGAGAGGAGAAGCGCAGGTATATACTTCATCATTCCCTATCATTAACGTGCTGGTTTAATGACGACTTTTTAGCGCCCGTATCGCTAAAGAAGAAGAACTCGTTGCCTTGGAAGAAGAGAGGCGCCACGAAGAAGATAAGAGACGCCGTAAGATGCGAGTTTGAACCCTCGTAACAAACATACACCTCTAAATATTTTGTTCAACGACTAAAGATTATATATATACAGTTCATTGTATCGGTTACTATATGGATCTCCTTCCTTTCCTTTCCACATATTGATATCAACGTTCACGCTATGATCATACCTACATCACTGCAATCGGTTGTGCATGCATCTAAACATAGTTTATCTTTTTCGGATTTGTCCTTTGTCTAATCGTTCAGCTTTCGTTATACAATGTACTACCACAGCATGTATCCGTTCACAATACACAGGATTGTTCACAAGTCAAATACTTAGACAGAGGGGGTCCTGTTTTTGCAAGCAAGAATAACACATATACATAAATGGTAGTCATAGAAAAGGTCGTCCGAAGAGTAATTAGCCGTTATTTCTACAATCTGGATAAGAAAGAGACAGTTTACTGTGCCATTCATTGCGCCCTCTTTGCAAGTTTAGTGGCAATCGGTCGATCTTGTCACTGGGACGTCGAGTTCCGGCAGCGATCTCGAGCTTGGATGATACGACGAAGGACGACAAGAGAATGATGATCCCAACATGAATAGATGGTGGTTGCAGAAGGATAATGAGCGGGGAATGAGTAAAAAGGTATTTGGAGAGGCTGAAGGTGCCGAGTGCGGAGTTGAGATTTTGAGATTTAGATTTTTTGAAGGAATTTAGGGTTCAACTGTGCCTATTTAGGTGGAGGTATGGTAAAAAATTGAAAGGAAGATATCTGTCCAGGTTCTGGAAGGAAGCAAGTTGAAGCAAAGTTTTATGTACTTACTGGGAATATCGGGGGAAGGTTCTGTGAGATTTTGGGATAAATGGAGGTTTTTTCGCTTGGAGGTGTGATTGAGATTTGCAAGGCCTAAGAGAGGTTCAGAAAATTTCCGGTGGGAGGGACGGATCAGATCTGCTCAGTTGAGGCTTGCTATGTGAACAAGACAGTGAACGAAGCATTGATGAAGGCGCAAATACTGAGTGTCTAAGTTTGAGATGGAAGGGCGGCAAAGGACTAGTGGAAATTGGTCAAATTTTGGGGGACATAGAGTACGGTAGCCTAAGTGCCCAACAAGGAAGAATAGAGGAGTTGCTTCTCGAGTTCGCCGCTCTGAATCGTGGGAAAAATGTTGTCGCGCAGCTCGAACTTAAGAAATCATTCAGAAATGGGATGCAAACTGTCGTCCAGAGGGAACAACCACCCGTTCTCTACCCCTTTCCCCATTTGCGCTCGTTTTCTCGTGTGTCCTTCGGAAGTCCATTGCTATGATATATCACACTACAGCAGACAGCAGACCACAACACACTGGCGATACAACAACCGGAAGAATGGTCATTGGTTTGGAACCTTTTGGAACACGCATTGTTAGGAGCCAGACGGTTGGCGCAATGTCAATCATTAGCTTCATAGCAAACAATAGACCTTCGTTGAACGGTGTAAATGAGGAGATCAGTTTCATAAGATTGCATAACTAATGTGATTTTTTCCATGATCTCAGAGCACAGAAATGAAGAGAAGGAATCGTGGAACCAAATATACCTATAATTGTCTTCAGAGAAGGTCTGGGAGAGATTGTGGCATAGGGTATGTGCTTCCTCAAGCCTTGTTCTGTCATCTCGATGATCAAGAACCTTCATGTTCAAGATGGAGGTTCAAACCTTGTCGATTTCTATTAGAGTCCTAAACTGCGCAGAATGAAGATGTTGCAGATGCTGCAGTATATAAACTCTGTTCGCCGCACACAGACTAACCCCCTCCCGCACATCCCTAGGCTGAAGTCATGAATATACACGACTCGTCTGGCTTCGTCATAAGGAATTCTCAGTTTAACTACATTGCAGGTGACCAGATCATTGTTCACAGATATGGAACGATTAGTAATGAAGTGCGCCTCTTTCTCCACTACACGACTCATACTTATCCATTGTAAAATTTGACAAAAGATGAATGAGGATTCCATAACAGAACTCATCACAGACGAAGCTCACTCAGTATGCTTTCACTGTATTCTTTCCAATTCAAGTTGCTAACATGAATGATGATAGATTCCGCGACTATCTCAGGTGGAAGTGCCGTTGATTGACAATGAACCCGGTATCACAGTCTACGGACACGATACATTGTTTCATGCACGGTTGCGTCCAGTGTTTCGTGACGGGGGATGGGTCCCTGGTGGGCTAGGAGAGGATCCGACGAGAGTTGTTGTCAGGAGACTCGCAAAAGAAAGCTCTGACGAGGTGAGAGTTCTAGAGTCGGCCTGAATTGATAATCCTTATTCATTTTGCATGTTACCTTTAGGATGTTAATCAAGAAGTTAGGCATTCGTTGAAATACTAGTGAGCGTCTCACTGACTCTCTTCAAGTTCAATGCGATGTAACGATATCCTACTTGTAGCTACCCATACGTCATGCAGTTGTTTGGAGCCTCCCGGATCGCTTCCCTGAATAAGTTTTTAGTATACTCAAATGGTGAGTTTCGAAAACTCTTGGGTTTGAGTATGTTCAAGCAATTTCTTCAAGCAAATGTGACCACGTATATCGATTTCAAGGGCTCCAAGCGCGGAGAAGATTATAGGAGTTACGATTCACAGGTAGTTCTAGCAAGCGATTCATATTTGTTTTTGCTGGCTTACAAGCTAGATACCTTTTTCAGTACGATACATCGTTCAATGTGAGCGGTCGACGAATTACCCTCTATTTGGACGTCAGATTCTAATAGGCAATTTCCTAGAGCGCTTGGAGATATCTGAAAAACGAGGTACCCGTTGACGGTTTCACTTTGGATGTCATCTTTTCAGAGGTACAGTCCACTATTCTTCTCACAACACGCTAACAAATTTCTAAACTGAATGTATGCATTGTTGATTCATAGACCCGCACTGTCAACGCCAACGGAGGATCCGCTCTGATTGTGGTCCCTGCCCTCCCATCGTCGCCAGTGGATCGTGCTAAGCTTATAACTAAGGTCCTCGAAGAATTTCAGTACAAAGTCAACCGTCGCATCGACGTGGCAAATCGCGCACAGTTCACGCGGTGTCCGGAGTGTTTACCTTCTACAGGTGGATGGAACTTGGGACTAATAAATTCAGTGTTGAGATGTTTGGAAAATGTAGAGCCTCATTTAGAGTGGGGGAAGTTTCTTATCCAGAGTAGATCTGAGGAAGCAGACGAAGAACGAGATCAGGATCGTAGGGGAAGAGACGAGTTCAATAACGCGTTCGAGAAAGCCCAAAAGCTCGCTGAGACTCTCAGCAAGAATACTGAAACCGGGCTCAATAGGGCAATGAATGACGTTATCATGCGTTCAAATCTAGCGACTAGCGGGATCTGTAGCTGGTGCGCGAAGAAATGGGAACGGAAGGAGGGTCAACTATTCCAAACATTTGAGGATTCTACAGCGGTCATTACTATCGTAGAGGAAATGCCCGAGAACTTAGAGGGGAAAAGGTCAAGCTCTTTTGGGTGTCTGGAAAAGCTCACAAACAAACCAAGTTACCGTTTAAGGTTGGTGTCATTACAATGCAAAGTCGTTCTCACTATATTAAATTATCATAACTTAGGATTGTTATGGTGGTCATATGTCTACTCCTCGCTGGGGTTCTTGCTTTCATGAAGAGGGGGGCTGGGAGCTAAAGCTGTAGCTATCTTTTTGTGACCTTCGCATCGCAAGATACCATTGTACTATTTCGGCAGGCGGGCGATTTTTTCCATTGTGCACGGTAAAGAAGATATCACGACTGGAGCGCATACATACTTGCAAAGTACATAAACGAGGAGCGTGAGTAGCATCAAGCAAGAGAAGAAAACTTCAGACAAGTCAAGTCTGAAAAAGATACCAAGAAAAAAGGAAAATGTCAAGTTAGGTATAGAGCACTTGGCCATGAGAAAGCAGAACATACGAACGGAAAATATGTAGAATAAGCATAGACTAGATAGTGAGTAACAATCCCTCTAGGAAATCATTCATAGAACTAGGTAAGTGAAGAGAAATAGTGAAAAAGAAATGCGTCCTCTCAGAGGAACGATGATTACTGATTTCTACGAGCAGTTCTAATTTGTACAACATAACGCATAAGGTTCGTTCTTGTCGTGTTTGGTCGGCAGTTTACCATCCAAAGCACCTGTAATGCATTGAGTCCACCATATCCACGAATTACAGAAAGTAATGAAGACTTACTCGTCATGAATTTCTATACCACCGACTTGATCTCTCCTGAGCGGATCCACCTTCCCCACTTCAGCGGCGACGGAATCAACCAACCCGAGTGGCCCACAAACGCCGACTATCATGCCTGTTATCTTCTCGTGGTCTTTCACCCCGGATCCAAGACTGACAGCCTTGCTGATAGAAGCTTCGAGGATCTTTGACACTTTCGGTCGCCCAGGAGATAGTGTGAGGGCTGTAGAACGGAAGAACGTATCAGGGAAAGGGAACTTTCCGATGGGTGCGCGAGTGTAGAAGACAGATATTCTAATTGGCGTGAAGACACTTTGTTGTACAAGTGAGGTGAGTAGGGGGAGTAGAGGTACGAGCGAAGCTAGTATGAGTTTGGTTAGCCTTCATAATTATATCAAAAGTTAATTGCAACCGTACATGGTTCTTGGACGCTCCACACCAAGTGGATTACTTTGACGCGACTGTGACCCTCCAGATCCTTTTGAATCAAATCCTGAATGGAGGAAAGAGCGAATGTGATTCCACTGCCACCGGCGACGAACACAGCAGCGGAGAAGCTGGAGAACATTCGGTGCCCAGGACCACCTGTGCAAATGGTCGATCAGCCTAAGCTGTATTCGGTCAAGAGGAAGAGCAAATTTACCATAAGGTCCTTCTACAGAAACTCTAACTTTTCTAGCTTCGCCTTCACCTTCATAAGCACTTGACTTCGCGAGGTCGTATAACTTGTTCGTCCAATCGCCAGTCTTCTTGCACATGAGGATCATGCCTTCTTCACCTTTCACGATAGAAGCAATCGTGAAAGGGTGTGTTTCCGACCAGCCGATGATTCCCATTCCCGAAGAAAGAACACGAATGCGAACGTGCTGACCAGCACGCCACCCCGCGTTGATGGAAGGAATTTCCACGCGTGTAACGCCAAGTTCAGGCAGTGGACGAATAGTGGCAGTGGTGATTCTTGTCTTAATCCATCGCATGACTCTATCGAGAACGAATATGCCGACGGCGGTAAGAACGTAGGGCGATGTTGCTGGCTTGTGTGTGATAATCTATGAAGCAGTGTATCGATGAAACCATTCAAACAAACCGATGAAAACATTGAAACGAACCGCCGGAAGGATGAGTGAGGCACAGACGATGTGCGTAGAGAGGAAAAGAGTATAGGCCTTGTTCCTCAACCAGCTCGTGGAAAAGATGATGAGAATGTCGGCACAAATCAGCGCGATTAAGCCCCAGTAGTTGTTGGGGTTGGCGATCTTGCTCATGAAGACTCCCTCAAGATTCCACTGATATACTAAAAAGGAGCATGATAAGTTGGTAGTCAAGGCGCGAGATGAAAACATTACTTACTGAAACCCAAACCATGAATATTGACAGAAAGGACGATGACACGGCCAATGACTCGATGAAGAATATGTACCTGGGTACGCAAGTTTAGCACAAATGTAAATTACAAACAGATAAAGAAAAAAAACGAACCTTTTCGTATCCAGACCCAAGGAACCACCCGAGGATGTTGTTCTTCGACGAAAGTGCAAACACAAATGGTAATTGAGATACGCCAATCCATCCATATCGAACAGGGTCGCTAAATGGATTGGTTTTATAGAATGCAGGGTAAACGAGAGTAGCGATGTAAATCACGATGATTATGATTTGGAGCATGGAGACTCCAGGATTGAATCGAGCATGTAGAAGCTGGAGAGCACCACGAAAGACTTGAGGGCAAGACGACACATGAGGGGGATACGACGGAGCAGCACCCTTCTCATTGACGCGTTGGACAGAAGACCAGTGAGTATCATCAGTTGCCAAGTCGTGGTGCCTTGAGCCGGCCTCGGAATTGAACTCGACCCGACGTGTTGCACTGCGTCTAAAATTTGTATGATAAAGTATATATCCAGTCCCCCATTCTGAAAATTTCCAAAAACGAGCAATAGCACGAGGAAGTCGGAGGAGAACTACTGCAGCGAATATTGCGATAAGGAAGAGATCAATGTGATAGACAAGAGCTGCAGGATCTACAGTGCTCTCGAAAGAAACGATAGTTGGTGCAACGGCAGCAGCGGCCATTGATGTTCAATAAGGGAAAGGAAGCGTTAAATGAGAGGAAGTGTTGTGAAGAGAATGAAGATTTGTGCGTATTCCAAGCGAAGGATCCGCGCAAAACTAACTGCACTTGTTGTTGAAGACTATTCCGCTGGCAGGAAGGTTGTGCTGAAGTCAATGCAACACTTCAACCTCTTGGTGACGGCCAGGAGTAAGCCTTTTTATAAATTCAAACTTACAGCATGTTCTGGGCGAGGCACCACTTTTAGCACAGCTCCGGCGTGATCTTCCCGATTATAATCTTGGTAATTGTGAGCTTTGGCTTCAAGGTGCTCTCTGATGGAAACAAACTCGCTCCTTTCTTTTGCATGATGCTCTGCGTAATGTGTATCTTCGCCCTTAACGCCGTGGAGAAGTGAGATAAATAAATCTCATGCGGGCATTTCATTAACCACCGAGAACGACCGTGACCAATGATACTGACTGATACGATCTCATTCAAAAACTCGACAAAGCCTCAAGAGGAGAGCATAAATTATTTTGATATAGTTTGATATGATTGGATTCGTACTGCAGACTGACCGCAATTCTGAATTCTGAGAACGATGTACCACACAACCCCGTCATGCGATCTCCAAGTATTTTGAGACAAATCCCCGTCTAGTTACCTGATCAGGCAAATTCGCGCAATGTGTTTCCCGTGCAACTCCGCCGCACCGCCGGCCAAGCCAACGACACGAGCGTCCATTGTCCGTCCACTAAAGATCTCAACCAGCAAAGCTATGTACCAGGATAGACTGTTGACTCGCATGGGCTGTAACGACCTCTGATATCCAGAGTGCTGCTAACCAGTCTCAGTTCCAGGGAGTACGAGTGTCGGCAGCGAAATGTCGTGTGAACGACAAGGATAAATGACAAGCATACTAGGTCTTTCCTTTATCTTTGCAAGTCCAACTGCGGCCGAGCTGCGCAAATTCAATGATGGGGATAAAGTCAAGATTTATTTGAACTGAAAATGAGGCTTGATATTAAACCGGACGCGAGATAGGCAAAAGTACCGGTACATGTTCAGTTAGGACCCCTGTTTATGGTAGGGGAGGTTAGTTCCTTGGCCTTCCAAATGAGCTTGATTTTGACCGAAAGTTTTTTTCGTGAAATCCTCCAATTTTGACCGAATTTTGCAACTGACCTCACGACGGACCCCAAATTTGACCGAATTTTAGATCCAGACATATTTTGGCGCCCACGCTTAGTGATGTCTCGAAATTCACGAAATGCAGTGGAAATGGTTTTCTGAGCTCAGTTCTAAATTTTGAACCAAGGACTCTGGATCTATCACAGTATGTATGCCAGAATAGGCCAGAATTCATACATTCACACTGCACAAGTGGTCAAAACCTGACTAATTTTGACCGAAATTTGTGCCAAGGCTCCAGCCCGAATCATTCATTCTTGACCGAAAATTTTACCAACATACATGCCAAATCAGGTCGATTTTTGACCGAATCTGGAACCAACGTCCCCTACCATAAACAGGGGTCCTGTTCAGTTCCATATTGAACGTTGAACTTTGAGCGGTTTCTTCCACTCCGATGAATACTGTGTGGGATCATGAATAGAAGGCAACCGGGGTAGTTGCGCGGCGAGAATGACATCAGCTCCACCAAGCACCTTCGCGAGTAATATTGCAGTCCATTGCCTTTCATCTAAGGTTCCTGAGTACGATATTTCGATGCGGGAAGTGATTGTCTGTACGATATTAGGTCAAGGTAAATCATACAACGTATAGCCTTTCCACTGTGCCTCAGGGCCAATTCGAAGCTATTCATTGGTATCCGATGCAGAATGATGGAAGGAAGTAATTGCCACTATTACTATTAGGACCAAATTCAAGTTCAAGAGAGGTTAGCCAACCGTGACGGCGGAGGAATATCACCATGCTTTCGGGTAACTTGCCGCGCAGGAGGAAGATAGATGAACAAGGAGATAGACGAACAAGGGAGCGTGTTAACTCACCTGGGTTCATATCTGCCCATATTCGCAAAACATGCACGTTTTGTTGTAGGTTCCATTCTGGGTAAGAGGAATCAAATTATCGTTCTTTCGATCCAATGAAGTAGTGTGAAGACCCCGTTGTTATGACACTGCTATTAAGCTTTCAAAGAATGCTTCGGGCTTCGCTGGTGAAGTGGCGACACCAATAACGTTGCAGCGTGACTGAACTTCATCTCTGGAAGAGAATTGAGTATGTGATTGAGCGATCTTCAGGGCTTGAAGCGAGGATAGTTCACAGTCGGTTTTCGAAGAGTTTCTAAAACCATCGCACTTATATACAGTAAAGTTGATGCGATGGGGAGGACAACGTAGGAAGAAAAGTAGGATTATGCGGCTCAGAGGGTCGAATCGAAGCCAAAAGTGGGATCGAAGAGGAACCCTTCGACCTCGCCCACAAGGACGAGTAGCGAGTCAATTCAACCCTGCGTGGGGTGAAGGCAGGTGAAGGTGACCACTGACTCGAGCAACGGGCGGGAACCCATTGAGTAATCATTTCCCACAATGTACTTTCAATCTGCGTCGAGAACAAGACTGGCCGGAAGACTAGACGACTGGACCCGACCTGCTTACTGTAACAGCCTTAACTCTTCTTGCTGACTATGATCACCGCAATTCTATGATACCCACCTTCATCTTCATGCCACGTCGCAAACTCGGATATCATTGTGCAGCTGCTCTGCTCTGTCTGGGAAAGTTAATCGCTGCATCTGAACCCTTCTCGTCTTCTCCTTCATCGGATGGTGTAAGTTCAGCCCAACTCGCGTTCGAAGAATCTTTTCTGTCTGCAAATTGTGGGGATAAGGTAAGTCAGTCCTTTCAATTTTACCGAGGAGAACCTCAGGAATATCACAGCCCACCGGGCCAATTGATGCAACTTCATGCGACTATGAAACTGTAGAAGACTCTAACAACCAGCTTCAAGATAGCCTTCAGAATCTTCTTCAATTGCCGTTTTTCAAGTATCTGCAGGTGCGTCTCTATAATTTCTGCTCAACAGAAATCAAGTATATGATGATCCCCAGATAGATTTATATCGTGGTTGTCCCTTCTGGGAGGACGATGCAACGTGTACGGAATCTACGTGCTCAATTGTGAACGTCGACGAGGTCAGCTGTGGACATATAACTACTCTATTGGTCGTTTTCTGAACTGTGTCAAGAGCAAGATACCTGCAGAATGGAGAACCAAAGCTCTCAGTAAAGTTGATCCTGTCGGTGAAAACGTGAGTCGCACTGGTTTAGTTTTAGGATTTTACCTTTCAACATCTATTTCCCCAGTATCGAGAGCTTGGTGGATGTTACTACCGCGACTCGGACTTCTGCTTCCTCGAAGATCCTCAATGTGAGCATTGAATTCGGCCCACAACCCGATTTTGAACTCTGTTTGATAGTAGGAGAATACTACGACTTGACCACCATCCCAGAACGTTACACTGGTTATACCGGTTCAAGCCCTCACCAAATATGGCGTGCCATATACGAAGAGAACTGTTTTACGCCTCGACGCTCCGATGCCACGTTGCAAGACGACGAGGAACAGTGTTTGGAAGAGAAGGTTTATAACAAGGTCATTTCAGGTGCGCGCGAAAGCTTTTTATGCGTGGAATATTCTGACATGGTCATCGCGATTATATTTAGGCCTTCACGCTTCAATCTCAACGCATATTTGTCTTGATTATCTCAATCAAACTACTGGAGAATGGGTACGTGTCGTACATCTCATCTCTCTCTCCTTTTTAATCCATTAAAACACGCAGGGTCCTGATGTTCAATGTTATATCACACGAGTAGCCTCCCACCCCGAGCGTCTAGAGTACATCTACTTTAATACTGTTCTCCTTCTCCGGGCCATCTCCCGAATGACTCCGTATCTGGAACAATACGACTACTTCCATGGCACCTCTGACACGCAAATTGATGAGGCTAAACGGAACCTGGAGAAGGTCGTTGATATTGCCCGGCGGGTTGGTAGATTCGACGAAAGTCAAATGTTTACTGGTCTTGCTGCGATTGTACGCTCTTTCTTACACAACTACAGAAACGGGCTCAAATAGAGCTATGTGTTCGACAGGCTCTTCGAGAGGATTTCAAGGCGCATTTCCGGAACGTTTCTCGGATAATGGACTGCATTGAATGCGACCAGTGCCGACTCTGGGGCAAGGTGCAAACGGCAGGTCTCGCCACGGCCATGAAAATACTTTTCGAACTCGATGATAATGTTTTTAGGTATGTGTTTCTGTAGCAATTAAATATCGTGCTACGAGCCCAAGGGCTGAAAATTTGATAGCTTTGCAGCAAATTCTTCTGTGGAAACGATCATTCAAAGATCTGAACTCGCTGCACTGTTCAACACCGCGAATAGGTTTAGTGAAAGCATACAAGCTGCCGTTCGGTTCCTGTCGATGGCCCGACCTGATAATGCTGAGCCCTCAGATCATGTGGATACCATTCGTTTCGTTGAAAAAGATTCGGATGCTGACAATTCCATCGACACGAATGTGAGCGCTTGTTCATTCGTACCACTGAGTGGGCTGAACCTCTTCCTATAATAGACGAACATATTCTTCCGACATTGTAAAAACAGTGCAATTGTGTGTATAGACGGTGCTACTCGGATGTGGATCAAGGGTTTGAGATCGCTGCAAGCTCTCGTGAGGGGTTCAGAGACGTCCTCGAAAACAGAACTGTAGAATGTATATTTGGCCGTAGTCGCAGATGTACGTCCCTTTGAATTACCTATGCCGGCCCGTCGATCCTTCCAGTCCGTGCGCGCGCAGTTAGGCGCATCGTCAAAGATTTAAACTGCATAAACTGCTCGCTGTTCACTTTGCCTTCGCACAGGCTGTACGTAAGCGTAACCGTTTGCAATAGTCAGGTTTTTTCACTGGGCAGGGTCAACCGGTCACTTCCGGACACTCGTACATATAAAATTGGTATATGTTTTCTCTACTTTTCTCTGTAATAAGATCTTCACCTCTGTCTCTGCTGGTCAAACAGAAGACCGGGTATTTATTTTATTTTCGCCAGCTCCATGTTTATTCTTCACTACATTACAATCATCGCAGGATTTATCGCCTCGCAAGGAACCGAAAATTGCATCAGGAACATACTGTAAATTTTTGGGTTCGTCTAACAACTGTTTGATCCAGTCCTACTGATAGCATCCTCTTACCTTGCAACAACATAAAAGATAGTCAAGTACAAGTTTAGTCTGTGGATGCCTTATCTTCCGCATTCAGATTCCAGAAGTTGGGGACATACTCGAATACGAAGATCGTCGAGGCCACGTCCACAAAAAGGATACGATTCTATTATTCTTCAGAACCGTGACGAATCCCAAGCGCCTTTCCAGGCTCTTTCGTCTTGCCGACTCAGAAGCTGTCTATTCCGTAGTACTCGCTAGACAGGCTCAAGGCTATTGAAGAGCGGATTTATGTTGGACGTCATCGACAACAAGCCTGCTGTAATCATGGATGGGAACGGAGTACCATTGGAATGACCAACACCTAAAGGGTGCCATGCGAACGAACAACTGGTATATAAATGGATAATGCTATTACTGACTCTCCTTGCGGCGCAATTTATGGCTATATTTTCTATAGAGGCTTCCCTCGACTTTCAAGTTCTGGTCACCTTATCTCAGTCCAGGGAAATGATCGAATCGGTACTCTTGTTGGTTTGGAACAACCGTGTCCGTGGATAAAGTCGTAATTTTTCCATGGAACTCATAATGTCTGGGTATATCTAATAGAGTGACACAACAGTGCGATTATTATAACAAGGAATTTTAGAGGTACAAGGATAGGTTCGCCGCTATTCTTACCAACGGTGGCGACTGGCAAATATGGAACTCTTTCATGACCACCAAGATCAACAACCAGTAATAACCGGGGAAAATAATAATATTCCCCTGATTCTTCAGAATGCACGAGTCGTAGTTTGATCATGAGAGAGATGGTCAATGGAGAGATGAGTATGTATAAGTTAGTTTCGATACCGGATTATGATGTGAAGTGAATGGGCGGAAATTGAGCCTAGTACGAACTTGAGAGAAGTTCAACATATGTACATATGTAAGGTTCAGAGAAAGAAATCACGAGAGTCCCACACTCACTTAACGCATGGACCAGTTACCACATGTCCTTCATCATTGCATTTGGAGTTGTTCTCAACTTTCATCATGCCTAGGCCAATTTTACGATTAGACGACCGCTATGATGATGGGGAATTTGAAGGGGGAGATCTTGGAACAGCGTCCTCGGTGCTTTCTTCTTCGATATTTTCTTCTTCGTCCAATGCTTCATCTTCCTCCTCTCCTCGAACTCCAAAGAAAGGTTTCGCCCTGCCTGCGTTGAGAAAACACGTCTCAAGGAGGAAATCAAGTCTCGACCAGCTACAAATCCCTTCACCTTCATCACCAGACCTTACCAATACCAAGATTGCTAAGCTTGGTCGTCCACAACTCACGCGTTCTGCTACGTTACCAAAGGTTCCTCATCTTCAAAATAGATCGGACAAACTTAGGGCCGAGTTGGAAGCATTGGAAGTAGATTCTGCTCTTTTGGAGAAGATACGAAGATGGATACTTGGAATAGCAATTGGTGTGTTTATATACACCGCAAACATCCCTAAATTATCATTTTTGACGTGTCCATACAGTGAATTTTGACATAGATGAAGGCCCAATGGTCGATGGTGTCTTTCCTCCACTTGTATTATTTCCCAAAGAGTCAGAAAACATGTCCGTCTTCCACTTATATCATGTTTCATATCATGGCCCTCAGCGTGCACAACAGTGCGTTCTCATCATTTCCAGATTCGCTCCAGTTCGATCAGGGCTTTCAAATCCACTCATTTCGAATACGGGGAGAGAAAATTGCAGTCTCGAGCGAGAAAAGGCCAGCTAATATCGATGAATTCATATATGGATTCTCCTACTTCACGCAGAAGAGGGATTCGACGTTGAAACGAGGCTACGAGCAGGTCTGTATCCGGGAATACAAAGTTTGTCTCTGCTTACTGTGGTAACGTGCATATCTAGCGCTCCGTAGTCATTTTGACATCCCATCCTTACCCTGCCTTCTTCTCTATCATCTTATCCATCTTCGGACCTATGTTTCAAGAACATGGAACGCCGATGTTGGAGGCGGCCTGTCATAATATAGCGATGTGGTATGATTCTCTCTCCTTTACATGCTCTGTTTTTACCCACTTCTTGAAGCAAGGCCTGATCCAACACCTGGGACCGTGCTTGAAATCGGATTTCTAGGCACCGTGTTACAAGTCGAAATTCCACATTCAGGAAATGACGCTCAACAAATCAGAGCCACTGTATTCAAGAAAAATGATTTTGATCCCAAGCTACACGTTGGTCTCTGTCATCTACTTCAAGTACCAGTACTAACGCAGACTGCTTTCAGATCCTCGCTTCGGCTCCGCCCTTTAATCCACCTCCAATTCTCTTATTTGAAGCTAGTCTCTCACATCTATGGTCGATATGGGAGTGTGTAGTACTCTGTGAACCTATCTTGTTATTCGGTACCTCCCCTGCACAGACTAGCCAGGCAGCATGGTGGTTCAGAGATATTTTACGTCCGGTACGTCATACTCGAGCTACATGTGCTCGCTGATATATACTTTGCTTACTCATTGCGCGCAGATACCCCTTGCTGGAGACATCCGGCCGTATTTTACTATCCACGATACAGACCACACCCTGCTCATTAACAAACTCCCGCCAAAGCCCGGGTTGATACTTGGTGTCACCAATCCTTACTTCGACCGTTCATGTTCGCATTGGCCTCATCTCCTCAGCTTAGGCCGATATATTCCGTACGGCGATGTTTCCATTCGGTTTTCGTCTCTTGTGCTGATTTCAGTGCCAATCTAGACCGAACACCGCTACGAAGACGTCCTTGACTACGGCTACACCCGGACCACCCCCCGGATGGACGACGAAGTTGCATAAAAGATACATATCTAAGGACCGTACATTGCTCAAGCAGCTCGAAGACGCCTGTCGGGGCTCTGAGCAACAGAGTGAGTACGTTCTCACATTTCGATCATCGGTATTTGACCCGATCCGCCATAGAAATAGAGGCGTCTCTCGCCCTCCGTCTACATTTTTGCTCGAGAACTAACGAGCTCCTTATACCACTTACTAGATACCTCCATACACTAATACCTACACCAACCGAAATAGCCCAAATAGAGAGGAAGATGGGCAAGGGTGACACTAGCCCTAAGAGCTCGTTACGACTCAAGCCTTTCCACTCCGCCAACTTCTTCCTGTCTCTGAAGAGTCATGGGTCGACCTTACCGTTTCGCTCTTCGAGCAAGCGATTGGAATTTTATGAGAGGTGAGGTTGTCGTTTGCAACAGAATTAAATCAATTACTGTCTGAACTTCTTTTCTTATCGATGCTTTCCGCCCTAGGTGGTTGAAGACTCCAGCTTTTGGGCTGTGGCTGGCAGAACAAGAGACTATCGTTCAAGATGTGTTACATGATAATGTTGGTCGGAAATTTTAGACCATATCTCAGACTCTTTGACGCTGTTTCAATCGTTCTCCTACCTGGTTGGATGACTCCAATACATGTTGCTATATTCCCCCGTATCACTTTGAGGTATGCAGATCAACAAAGATAATCAGGGAAGGAACACACCACAAAGGTGAGCCTCGTTTTCCGCTTCTATATCATTATCTGTTTATGAAGCCACAGCGGATTCAAATCCTAAATAAGTGTAGCTTCGCTTCTGCAGCTTGTGGTGGAGTGCCAGTCCTGAGGGTCTGGGTATTAGTAAAAAATTTGCTCGCTGATCATTCTCGAAGAGTTCGGGAATCCCGCAACCATCTGCAGCCATGCGTTTTCGATAAATACTGTACATACTTTAAATTGAGCTCCGACATCATCTGGCGCAGTGGTACGCGGATGATGTAGCCCGATGGGGCACAGTATGTTACAGTAATTTGTATTCACTGACACACCATCATGGTATTCACATACACACTCACCCGAATTTTTAGGAATGGAACTGCTATTGGGAAACGTAGAAAATTTGACCAGCTATCCCCGCATCAATCCCCTCCTCAGCCCCTGCTTGATTTGTCACATTGTCGAATCACGACCGGTAGGCACACGAGGCAACAGGAGGCAACCATTGAGCTAACCGCCGTCACTCCATCAAGTAAGAAGCTTCCAGAAACAACCAAGACTTGATAAAAAGAGAAACAATTGGAAGGATTCAGCGCAGTGGTCGACATGTCATATACTGGGAAATGGTAACAATTGAACTGAGAGCAGCATTGCCATGCTCAGCAGAAGAAAGAGAAATTACGATTTGGACGCAATTGACGTCCAATTCTTTTTTGGGCCTTTCTAGAACAATCGTGAATCCAAGAACCTAGAAACTATTCGGATGACAGGTACTTACATTTACAATCTTTACAACACCCACAAGCTCGGAGCGATTTTTTTTTTTCGTTTTCTTGGTATGTCAATTTCCTTGAGCAAGATAGTGACTCGAGCTCACGTAGAAGATGATACAGAAAAAATACCGAATGTGCTCTTCACGCAGTAACGGAAAGGCGGTACCGGAAATCCGTAAATGTGCCTGCAACTTCGATGTAAGCTCTGTCGGAGTCTGCATACATTCATTCGATCCAACTCGGCAATCTTCTGTCTTTCTCTGCATGGCGACCCCGGAATAACTTCTTCAAGGTGGCGTGGGGTCCCCGTATTTTTTCCTCACTACTTAATCCACCCTCTTTGAAGACGCAAAATTCTGTGACAGTCCTCGTCTCTTTGACTCATTCGTTCATTTCGTTCTTCAGTTTTCACACTCCCAAAATGTCCCCTGTGGAGTCCCTCAACAATACGTGGGTTAATAAGCTTGCCTCCCTACTTGGAATGCTCAGGGATTTTTTTTTTCCAGAATGGGTGCTGCTTATATCGGCGTGTCGGTCGCTGGGTTTCTGCTGGGATGTTTGTACCCTGCCCTTTCCTCCTTTCTGTGTCTATGCTAACTTCGATATCTAGTATCTTGTTTGCAAGCCTACATATATTTTTCCGAACAGAACGACACTCGTACCATTCGTTCCCTTGTGAGGACATGTCCTCCGCGTCGCACAACTTTACTAAGTATGTATCTGACGTCGGTGTTAGGTTGGATTGGTGGTATTATTCGACTTTGTACACCAAGCACTCATCAGCCACACCGGTATGTAAATATCATCTCGAGTCAATATTCCTGTTATAGGCTTTATCAAACCTCTCATCTACAGTCTACTATTATCTCATCCTAAATTATGCCAATCCCAGCGCCCTGTCGTTGGCCGTCTGGTACGTACAGCTGGAACTTTCATGTTTAATATTCGGACGGGTGCTGAATTTTTGAGCAGGAGTCTCTTGGTAAGCTAGTCACTCATGCATCAAACGTGATTGGGCATTGAGCTTGTCGTCTGTTTCCAGGCTGAAGTCCTTTTTAATGTGCGTGGATAGTTCCTGATCTCGATGTATTTCACTATTCTGACATTTCCTGGCTAGGGTTTTACTGCGTTCTGCGTGCAAAGGTTGGTGGCAGCGGATTGATGTCGACCAAGTTGATTAATTGATGTATCTAGCTTCTTGACATGGAGAATCTGGAGGCGTATGTAGTGTATCGTTTGAATATGTTCTTGTTTAATCTTTCTTACATTACAGTCAGCAACAGTAATATCTGGGTCACTGGTATAGTGGTACGCTCTGTTTAACTGTTTCTTCCTTGTGTCGATTCGGTTCCGACTATTCATTTAGGTTTCCCTTGTCCTGGCAGAATTTGGTACGTTGCCTGAATTCTATCTTTTCGTCTACTTATTTTGTATATTCTAGGTTGCGTCGTTGGTATGTCAATCTCATGTAAGGTTACCTTCGCTGAAGATCTATCATGACCGCAGCTTTCGGAATAATCGCGTTCGTGTATCTGCTCCGTTATTACGAATATCTATGAAATCATTTCCTCAGCCTGGTTCGGGTGAGCACATTCGTAGAGCTCGCGGCCGATCTCAAGGTAAGTGTATCGACTTGTTAACGGTGAAATTAAATTGTTTGTTATACTCAGGAACTTTCTATCACTGTCAATGCACTTGCGGCGGCTGGCGATGTTCTGATTGCCGGTATTTTGACCATCCTACTGCAAAAGTCGAAGACTGGATTTCAAAGGCAGGTTTATATGTTTGCATTTGAATGTGAACCTGCACTTACAACTTGTCTTACAGATCCGATACAATGCTGAACAAATTGGTCAGTTCTGTGGGGTTATTCCAATTACTGCGTTTGACGTTTTTACCGCTGTAGACTATGTTTGCCGTCAACACCGGGGCTTTAACCAGGTTGGAATAGTGATGTTTTTTCTTCTTCTAGTGTTGTAGCTCACCACATCTTCCAACAGTCTTTGTGCTGTAGCGTCCTTGATTTCCGTAGGTGCCATCTTGACTCAATATCTCATTGCATCGTTAACAACATTCCAGATTCTTGCCGCTCCCAACACTTTCATATATATATCGTTCTTTTTTTGCATGGGTCGCCGTATGTTCATACCTTTGCAATATACCCATTACCTTATGTCTTTCTCAGTATACACAAACTCGCTCTTGGCTACTCTCAATGCACGGAACAAGATTCGAAATGCAGGAGATAACGTACAAACCACCAGTGGCCAGAACTTCTCATTCTCTTTCAAAAGCTTCACAAAGCCTTCTTCCTTTGTCTCTTACTCGTCTAAGGTGATTGACTTGCATTTGATCTGCTAACAGAATTATTTGTTTATTGTCTTTCAGAAGCCGCCTGGCGAGATATCTATCCAAATCGACACGACTCGGGAGCGTAGGGCCCAGGATTATTCTAGCCGTCATACTTTGTCAAAACAAGAGGAGGAGTATGAGTTAGGGAACTCGTCGACTGGGAATCTATCTCATGGTGTATGTATTCCATTCCGTTGACCCCCTTTACTGGTTCCTTATTATTCTACAGGACATTGAATCGACTGCTAGTATCCATACTCTTGCGAATGACACACATTTCGACGCTGTTTGATAGCTGGTTTGTGTAAACAAGCTCCGAGTCTAAGGAATGGAGGGGATATTTCTACAAATTTTTTTTGCCCGTATGCTTTTGGCCCTATCCTGCTCAATCAATCTTTCAGTTACTGCTTCAAGTATGATTGTACTTCGTCTTTCGTTTGCTATGCCACTATCGCTCAGATCATTATTGCAGTCTTGCTTATATTTGTACCATCCCGTAGGGGAAGCATGTTATGTTGTAAATAAACCAAACCAAAACTCATTGCTCGTATACTAACTTGTGCGATATCCAAACAGCGCCAGCCAGCGGCAGGGCCTGCTACCTTGTTAGTTGCAAGGGTCCAGGATGTTGCTTGTAAGTAAAATTCTCCAGTGAGAGCTGCTCAGAACTCTGTTCTTTGCTCTTCTTGCAGGAGGAGGTCAATATATAGAATAATTTGTCAACTACAGAGACTTGTAAAGGTTACAGGATCTTACAAGATTGAACATTGATTATAGAGGTCAAAGAAACAGAGAACCCAATCCTACCCAATCAATGTCGACGCGTGAAAAGTTAAATGACTAAATTTCAGTGACTAAAAGCACATGGCAGGATATTTGATGGTCAAATTGAAAATGAAATGTTGGGTGTACAAAACCCTTCAACAACCTCTAGAGAGGTAGCAGGAATATTTAATACCATGCCTTCAAATCATGTCGTTCTAGGGCAGGGGCCACTGGAAGTACCAGTAATAGGTTTATTTGTCAGACCCTATCCTTGCTGGTAGGTATTCATGAGCTGTAAAACAGCCCATTGCTCAGCGAGCTTACAAAAGCCACATTATCATTACGATCAAGACCTACAAAGACAAGATCTTCTGAAATGCTGCGCTTTAGGCCGTACCCGTCTCTACTTTGTTTTCATGATTTCCACTAGTAGCTCTATAGATATCGCGAGCCGGGATAGACTGTTCTCAATTGACACCAGGCGTTGTTGCACTTCGTCAGGGATAGCTAATTGAGTTGAACTCGATGCGACTGTTGGTTTCAATGCTTCACTGGGAACGAATGTATCGAACTCGTCATCGAGGAGGATTCGACTTGGCACGTAAGGCTTGAGTTCCGGGAACTTGGTCACTTCTGTGGCATAGCGAATTGGCCGAGATTCCTCATAAAAGCCCCCATAAACAGGACATTTTACATAACCCATACAGGCATAACTCTGAGCTGTGCCGTGAGATTTGGTGAGAAGGATTTTGAACGCGTAAAGACGGCGACATGAAAGGTCGACAAGAGCCCATGTTTTCCATGACCAGGCAGTAGGCATGCCTTGGTCATTATCGGCGCCAACATCGAGTGCAATCTCCGATTCGCCTGTTTTGAGGGCTTTGTAAACGATACTCTTCATCCAATCTGCGCCTCGCGACTCATTGCCGATTTTCACTGCTTCTGGTCCCATACGGGAATCCTTAGCTATATGGACTCCATATCGCTTCCATGTAAGTGGATCATCCACATAAAAGTATGCGAGATCTTCTTTGTCAGCTGTTTCTAAATTGGAAACAGGACAAACATAGTCGAGGACAAGCGAACATTCTTCCTCATCGATGTCTGTTAGCACGAGTTTGATTCGAAGAGGTCGTTGTCGGGCGACGAAAGCGCGATTCCACCACCGAGTCCCTACTTTCACATCGTCTTCCGACCGAGGCACAACAACTCCGAATTGCAACGTCAAGGTCTGCCGAGGGTCGATGGAGTATGGGAGAGTAATACCATCTAAGAGTTCCACGGATTTGACTGGTTGATATTTCTCTTCACCGACGAGACGATAGAAAGCAGCAACAGAAGCTATAGAGATGGGCTCCATAGAGCTGACCTTATGTTTATTGAAGACGGAGATAGTACCTGCAAAATAGTCAGTCTCTGGGTTCGCATATTGGGGGTTGGCAACAAGCGGCGGGTTTGAGACTGGTTTCATGACTATAGGGAGATTGGGCGTGGTGCAAGTTTTGAAGTCTATTCGAACCTCCCGAGGTGCATCCTCGTGAATCGTAGCACTAACTCTTTGAATATCGGGCAAAACATAAGGAGTACTAGGCTTGTAGGAGCGGAGGCCGCCTTCAGACAAGGAACGGACGTCTCCTGAGAGTGTGCAAGAGGTGATGTCGATGGGACAGACTTGAATGAATGGATCAAAGGAAGTGGCAGCTTTTGCGGTGATCTTGACGCCGATGATGACTCCTGCTACTGACAGAACCCACTCTGCCATTGCAAATTCCTGCTCGGAATGCGAGGTTCGGAAAATCACTGTCTGATGAGTGATGTCGACGACCTTGGTAATCACTTCCAGATCTTTAGTGTTGTAGGTCCTGAACAGGTATGGTTCAGAGATCGACACTGATCCGACTCTAATGAGGACTGTAGGCAATTCGGGCTGTGCACCTCGAGACTTCCAACGAAGAAGACGAGCGACTGAAACGGTCATTTTCTTGGATGTTTCCAGATTTGAGTCTTCTAATTCAGTCCATTTCTCCGTGGTATCAGTATACCCAGTGATGTTTCTCGCAAAAACGAAGAAATTTCCGTAAGGATACTGATCGTGATGCTCGGAACGATGGCGCCCAGCCTGACAGGGGTTCGCACTGCCGCAGCAACGGTAGGACTTACTCCAAGAATCATATTCCGTACGATGGAAAGAACAAGATTTTTCTCCGCTCGTGGATTCTTTATATTCCTTGTCGCATTGCACGCATACAAAAGTTTGTTCCTTGGCTGATTCATTCATCTGAGCGGCTAAACCTCGAATGCCCTCTATGACAGAAGCACTGACGCTCTCGTTGAGCGATTGCTCTAGACGATCCTGGTTTTGCTGCAACACCACAGAGATGTTCGTATTGAGCTGCTCCATAACATTTTCGTCCACCGTGAGCTTCATTTCGCTCGCGAACTGCTTTACAAGCGCCTCATTTCCTTTCACGGCATCAATCCCTCCGTGGGTAGCGACAAATTTTGTTGCGGCTTCGTCCTCGAGGTCAAAAGGCACAGGACGGGTAAGGATATCTAGCTGTGTGCTTTGGTGAATTTGGAGGCTGATCATCAGGTCGTTCGTGCATTGGCTCAGCAATGAGGCGCACGATGTGAAACGATCCTTATTATGAACGCTGAGTCGACGAGCGATAGTACTTTGTTTGCGATAAGTCTGAATAAGAGCAGCAGATTTCTTGAGCGTGTCATTCATGCGGTCAATGACCTGTCGAGTGGAATTCGTGACATCGATCTTTTTGAGTGCAGGAAGATGGCTGAGCATGAACGTGACACGCTGGACCAAATCTGTGCATTTTACGTCCACATCTCGTGCACGTTGTTCTACAGCGATGATGGCTTTTATGATGGCGAATGCAGGAGCTACAAAGGGCACGACCTTTCCTAGGTCAGCCAATGAATCCATCACGGTCATTGCGTGCTGTATGTAATCTGTAGCAGCGACGGTGGTATTCGATGATCCATCACTACCTGTCGTACCCTTGACGTTGCTGACAAGATCAACTGCACTCTTGACCACTGTGGCAGAGTCTGCTTCTTCACGACTGGAAATTTCGGCCTGGTCATAGATCTGACCTCGACCTTGTGCATCAAGACCAAAAATATGGGTAGGAATATCTTGTAGAGGTCCGGAGTTGTCGTCCACAAAACTATAACATGTCAAGTAAATATTTGGGAGCAATACAGAAAAGCGTACCGAAGTATTTGAGTCAATCCAGTACTAAGGAAGAAAGGATACGACATGACTAGTCGAATGTTCTTTATAGGGTCCACAAGAAACGCAGTATTGGGCTAGAGAGTACATGAAGATGTTACCCAAGAAGATGAATTTAGGGGGAGAAACTGCTAGAAACTGACATTGGATGCTACGCCATTAGAATCGTGTTGCGACAACATTCCATACAACCTAGAGAGCTTTCCTTGGTCATCTGCAATCTTTATACAATACTGATGAGGCGGACGAAAACCATACGAAGACAGTGACGTACGATCTGAACGTCCCTGCCCGACCCTGTATGTCGATTATAGTGCTGCAAGAGTTTAGTCCAGTGTGAGCTCTCGTCGGGCCAGTTCCTCGACAATCCTATGATTTTGATTCTCCTTTGCTCGATATCTGGAAGCCTTCGAGCAAGTTCATTGAGCTCTTTGGAAAAAGAGGAACCTGGATGGGTAAACACTATCGACTGTAGAAAGAATTGGCTTGGAAATATAGACAATCATAATATTATAACATACCCATGATTCCCCAGCCCATTGGTGAAACTTTAGAGGCCCTGAGGCGGTATGGCCTTCGAAGTTGGGCGCAATCGATCCTATTTCGAGAGACACACGAGACATAGTACTGTTGTAAAGATAGTTAGAGATATTCGGCGATTCAGATGAGGCTTTTTATGCTGCACAGGCCAGAGAGTTGACAGTTGATCATTTGATAAAGTAAATGATGAAGCCACTGCAGGTCAAAAAGAACATCGGGCGCCGATGCTTGACATAGTTGCAGTTGCAAAGCTCCTGTCACTGAGAGGTTGAATGGAGACGAGACAGATTTTCACATTTGCAAATTTATTGAACCGTGCCGCCATCTGCTGCGATATGAGAATTGTTTAGCACGGCTATGATAGACAAGGCAAGAGCAGCTTAGACAGATTCACAGAAGTTGTTGCAATGCTGGGCGCTGGCGGCTGAGATGCGCCGCGCGCTGGTGTTTGTCCTTGTGATCATAGAAGTCCCGTTTTGAGTCACAGCAGAGTCACACTATAAGCGCTTCTTCGACTCATACCACCACTCGACCAACGCCTTTTCCCCTTCTTGTCGACCTGCTAACTCTTTTTCAGTTATTCTGTTTGCTCTCTTTTTGTATCATTCTGCACGCGAAAAGACGCTAAAACGCTTGTATAAGCCTATAAATCCTGTATTCTTATCGCATGTAAGCTCTACCTATCCTGTTTTCAGCGGGTCGTAGGGAGTTTGGCACCCTGTATCCTGACTTTTTTTCCTGCTATCATCATCTCACCACTACTGTTGCCGCGCATTCATGTCGTTGAATTACTCAAAAACCAGTTTTTTTGCATCATCGAATCACTTTGCGAAGCAACAAGTTTTTCAGTTTATTTAACCTTGCAAGGGACGATATCCACTCGTTCCAAACAACACAATTTCTTTCTGAACGACACAGTCTCTTGAACAATGCAGCAAGACGACTTTGACATATACGGTGAAGATATTCAACAGCAAGTCCAGAATGAGGTGGGTGTATGCTAAGCTCTGGTCGACATATCTAGCACAAACTGACGTGTCTATCTCTCTTTCGCAGGATACCGAACCTCAGAAAGTACCCACTGAGGTAAATAAGGTTGAACCGTCAGTCGGCGAGAAACGAGAGAGAGAGAACTCAGGAGAACCGGATGAGTATCAGGGCGAACAATCCATCGTACGTGATCTAGCATGGTTCCATAGCTCTCCAGCTGATGAAAGCTTCAGGCTGTTATGGGAGGCGCTACTCAAACGATTACCAACCCTGGGCTCATTAATACCCAAAGCGGCACGAATTCTGATGCTTTGTATATTGGAGATTTACAATGGGTACGTTTTCATACATTACTAGGAAATTGTCACTCGATGTTCTTGTAGTGGACAACCGATGAAGATCTTCGACAAGTTGGTCTCATGCTCGGGCTCAACCTCGACCATAAAGATATAACATTCTCCGAACACAAGGTCAATGGGAAAAGCAAGGGGTATGCCACCAACTGTAGTTGCTGGGTTCAACCACTGATATGTTGGCAGAATCGCATATGTTGAATGTGGAGGCTATGACAATGCAGTCGCTCTCAAAAACTGGTTTGACAATAAGTAAGTCGTTCCGTTGCCAAGTCACACTTGGTTCATCATTTGTTGTCGTTCACATTCGTGTTTTGCTGTAGTGATTTCCAAAACCGCAAAGCTACTGCAACCTTAAGTTCCTCGGCCCAAGGAAATCCATTTCGTACACTACCCAAAGGTAAACATCCAGTTTCGATTGTGGAATGGATGTACCCTTCCACTCACTTTGCCATTTATAGAACCACCTGTTCGCGAAGGTCGGGTTCAACCTCAGCAAAGTGGTACAATGCAGCCCCAAGTCAACACTGTCCGTGGCGGAGGCACCTTCCGAGGTCGTGGTGGAATGCGTGGCGGCGTGCCCAACGGCGGTGGTGGTAGCGGAAATATGGGCATGGCAAACATGGGTATGGGCAACATGGGTATGAACATGGGTAACATGATGGGCAACATGATGGGTAACGTCGGTATGAGTAATATGGGCATGAGCAACATGGGTATGGGTGGTTTCATGGGCGGCGGCGGTGCCTTCAGCCGAGGCGGAGGGATGATGCCTCGAGGGGGCGGTATGATGGCGCGCGGCGGAATGATGGGTTTGGGTACGAGTCTCTAGTTTTCTTGTTAGAATACGCATTGTCGCATGTTGTGCTTACTACTTTACTGCTCTGTATTCTCGGGGCTTTCTTTGTTATTTCAGGTATGGGTATGATGCCAAATAATATGATGGGGATGGCTAGTGGACGAGGTGGTCACTTGAACCCAGCTTTCGTTCAAGGTGGCGGCCATTTCCATGGCCCAGATGGACCAAGAAAAAGATTCAGGCCGGAGGAAAGTTGAGTTTGAGGGTGGAGGTTAGAGAGTTCACTGCTTATGTCTATGGATGGGTGGCTCGGTTCTGCTGTGGTTCCTATTTTCCTTAGCTTCACAAACTATCGCTATATCTTTCGAATGCATATCTTTATCATTGTCTTGACCTGTCTACGTCAAGTAATACATGTTGTTCCATCGCTCTTTCGGAGCCCATAAGGACCTGCAAGACGATTGCGGAGCCTGGCTGGAGGGGTTACTTTGAAGATTTGTGTACATAAGCAGTATGGTACATACATGCAGAACAGTAATTATATCCTCACGTTTTCGTCGTGCAACGCGGGGAGAACGCGACACTCAATTATGGTATAGATCATACTATGGTAGAGGTTGTTCGCAAACGCTTGGTCCTTCCTTATCTGTTCATTCCTCTCCAGATTGCATCGAACAATGGCACGACAGCACATACTCATCTCAGCGACGTTTGCAAGTATGTCAGTATGTAGTTTAAGAAATGGCATTTTAGCAAGCAAATTCGATTACATCTGGACACCAGTGTCTAGAGAACCTGTTTCCACAAGCCGAAGATTATCACTATTATCTTACTCTGCCTGTTTGTTTGTAAAAGATTGTTTCGGAACCTGAATAAAAGTTAGAGCGTAAGAAAACGAATAAACCGACTGAATATACAAGTGGACTTACTCGGAGATTACAACCTCCAGGGACCAACCGGAGAGTAGGATCGACGAGTAACCCGGCTCTTGATTTCACGGCGACCAGCGGAAGCCGATGATGAAGCTGAAGCGGATGCTCCAGCTGCTGCCGCAGCAGGAGCGGAGGCGGATGAAGCGTCAGTGGCAGTAGATCCGGCAGCGGCAGCGGTGCCAGTAGCTGAGCCAGAGTCCGCGGAACCAGAGGCAGCATCAGTAGATGCAGCTCCAGAAGCGGCGGATGTGGCTGAGCCGCTGTCGGTGGAACCACTTGCTGAGGCTCCAGACGCTGAGTCGGTGGAGGACCCAGTGTCAGTGGAATTAGCCGCACCGGTCGCTGAAGAACCAGATCCAGAGTCAGTGGACCCAGTTGCTGAGGTGCCCGAGGCAGTGGATGTGGCTGAGCCAGAGTCAGCTGCACCAGTGGCTGAGGCAGCAGAACCCGAATCAGTAGATGAGCCAGAGTCAGTGGAGCCAGCAGCGCCAGAAGCTGAAGTAGCAGACCCGGTGTCGGTGGAAGAAGAACCTGAGCTTGACGATCCACAGCTTCCTGTCATGGAACCGGAGCTTGAGCTAGAGCTCGAGCCAGACCCGGAGTCAGAGGACGAGGTAGAGCTGGCGCTGGAACCAGCTGCGGAGCCAGTACTGGAGTTGTCACCGGAACTAGCGCCTGTCGTTGAAGTTGCGCCAGAGGAAGAACCAGATCCTGAACTGCAGGGGCAGCTGCCCTTCTCTCTTGTCGCGAGCGACCGCTTGGCCTTCCTTCCTTTCTTGTTAGATCTCTTCTTCTTAGTTTTCTTCGCTGGTTCAGGAGCAGGTTCCCTTTTAGCAGCCTCTTCCCGCGCGACATTAGTGTGATAATCGTATAAAGCACGGCGCGGGAACCGGCGCCCGATATCGACAGCCTCTGCACGCTTATCAGGTAGCACAGCGTCAGCATAACGTGCGTCAACAGAATGTGCGTCGCGGGTAACGGCGGTACCAGGAGTGAACCTGAAGTAAAATATTAAGATTAGCATGAGATACCAACGAAAACAAAGCGTATGATACACACGGGATTGGAGCACCAAAGGTTGTTACAGCGCTCATCGCAAGAACAGCGACGAGGAGAGCTGAAGGAGTAGAAATCATCTTGTACATAGCTGAATGATGGATTTAGGTCAAAAGTCTTAAAGTCGAGGGGAAGTATCTTTCGCCAGGAAAAGATAACGACAGTGGAAGACAGACTCTAGGCAACCAGTACCAGAGGTAAGATGTGAGTGAAGAGCGCAGCTGGGGAATTTCGAGGCACGGCCGACCGCCCTATATACGCCAGCAGGCATATCCTAAAGGGGATATGAGCAAATATCATAGAATATCATTCGTTGAAGGCGATGCTTGGTTTTTGGGGTTTGATGGTTTCGAAACAGGTCGATGGTAAATGGCCGATGCATAAAATTTCGATGTGTGCAATAGTCTTCCTCAGCTTTTCACATCCTTTACCAGTCCTCAACGCACCAAGAGCTTCCGCTACTGAATTCCATACTTCCACTTCTGCCTATGAAAACTGTGTGCTCCATTTTTCCCCTAAATGAGGCTACATCTGCAAAACCTGTATTTTCGGCTAAGGGTCCGAAAGCGGTCGAGAGCACTTCCCAGCAGTGAAAGCACCCAGAGCATGTTGCTTTCGGTGCTTTCAGCACTGGGATCTGCTGGGATCTGCTCTCAGCCCTTAGCCGAATATCCAGGTTTTGCAGATGTAAATGTCAACGTCGTCATTTTACCCGCATCAATCGATGTGATAACGATATCATATTTTCCTCAAGAGTCAAGACCGACTCCTACCGAGTCCGAGGTTGGAATCTATAAGCCAGACAGTGGTGCGACTGATTATCGATCAGCGCTCGGTAACAGTCGGTAATACTAACGGGCCAGAGTTTCTGGTTATAACGGGTACAGTACAATCCTCGAAAATCAAACGCCGTCGGTAACCTGCAAAGGGACTGGTTTAGGCCTGGTATGTAATACAGGCTGATACAGGGTGTTGGAGCCTGTTGGAGCCTGCAACGAGGAGCTCACAAATATCATAACAGTTGATATGCGCACTTTCTGCGTATATCGAAACCCCCAAAACATTAGCATCGTTCTGGTCGCTAATAAGTGACAACAGTCATCGACTCCCGGAGTTGGGGGTGTCTCATGCTCTATGTGAAATGTGAAACAATTATCCACAGCACTGAGCTAAAGTTGGTGGAGGTTAAGTGTTGTGGTGTGTGTTGCGTCTCTACAGCATACGGGAGTGTGGCCTGTTCCTAATTCGTGCAGAGCACTGTCCAATGGGTGTGGAAAGAAAATTGTGGAGATGGATTATTCAAGTATTTGATACAAGATTGAGACTCGGTATCTACGTGTCCATAGAACGACTCCGAGTCGGGGTTGCTTTTACTTCTGAAATTCATCCAACACTTTCTGAGTGAGCAAGAACTGAGTTTTATCGATATCCCAAGCTGAGATGGAGCCCCGGTCAGCGACCCGAAGTATAAAAGCATGACTCGGATACGCACTGTCAGGAACAACAGTTGTATTGCCACGCAACAGCTGCATTACGCTTCGCGATTCGGTCGAATATCTTGGCCACGAAGCTGTGGTTAGATGAATATGTGATTCTAATGTGGAGGGATTATGCAGACTCACGACCAGGGTTCAGATCGTTGATGAAGTTGATGTAGAAATCCAACATTTGATCCGCAAATTCAGTTTCGACGGTAGTAGGGACTGGGCCAAAGAGTAAGAGTAGCTCTGAGGCATGAAATACTATGAAGATGTGTTGTGATCAGCATGTTGCCTCATTAGAAGACACAAATCTACCTCCAAGAGCAGGGTTCTGTCCAGGAATGAATTCTCTGAAATAGTAAGCGAACATCGGTTGCAAGGACGCTCCATTTTCGAAAAATAATCGTCTGGGCGTCAGAAACATCTGGTCGGTATACCAGGCTTCAGCACGGTCGAACAGAGAGTCCCCTGTGTTGAAAGGTGCTCCCAATAGTGGATCGTTCGCCGGCCATAAAGTAAGCATTTTATCATAAATGTCAGTAGTCAAAGTACTATTGTCGATGACTAGATGGCCAATGAAGTTGACGAAAGCGTCATCCTGAGCGGCACCAGTAAGGTTGAGACCCTCGACAGATTCACTGAATGTTGTTCCTTCGTTACCCTTTGTAAGTGGAGCTGAGTTACTTGACAAGATGGAAATAAGACGAAAACAAACTGACGTTCGTTCCTGCGAAGTATGGTACATGCAGAAACTCTTTGTTCTGTATTTTGGATGACGCTCGAGCGTCAGCGAAGCTTCCAGCTGGACCAACACAGGGTTGCCACAGCTGTGAATTCAGCGTCCCCGCTATCATTGCATTACTTATATTGAGAAGAGTCTGTGAAGGATGTTTCAGGTTAGATAAATAGTCTCAACCTGTAGATCAATGCATACTTCGAATGGGACATTCTGCAGACATGCTAAGGCTTGTGAGCCAAAGGTACATCCCGTAGCTCCGAGAAGACGATTGAAAGGTAGACCAGGCTTGTCGTAAGTACTTGCTGGAGGGGAGCTTTTACTGGGAGCAATCGATGAGTTGTTTCAAGCTATACCAGGTCGGAGATAAACATACAATGGTCCAGTTGAAGAGTCAGCCATGGCGGCTCTGAACAAAGGTCGATCAGATGGATACAAAAGGTGCGATTCGACACTTCCTGCTCCAGCAGACTAGCACACAGGTTAACCTCAGATTGAAAAATACGGTAGTCCATACCTGACCCCAAATGGTAACCTTGAACGACGTTAGACATCAGCCAGAGTCGGCATCCAAGTAGTTGAATGTGAGTAGCTCACTTTGCTTGCATCTCCCCCAAACGCAGCAATATTGTCTTGAACGAATTCGAACGCCAGGCGTTGATCAAGTAAGCCAGCGTCAAGATCCTGAGGAGCAACCAACGAGCTTGCGAGCTATTCAGTTGAGAGACGACTCAGTGGATATTCGTTTGGAAACTTGATGACATTGCAAAGGATACTCACGAATCCAAATGTATTAAGGCGGTAGTTTCTATGTCACAGGTGTTAATCAGTTATTTCTCAAGGCAATTGTTGGCGAAATTTCACATTGAGACGAATATTATAGGCTTCCCGACGTCAATGCTTCGTGTGATTATGCCTGTGAACTCATTCCGAACATGAACTCGATTTCTTTAACTTTTGATAAACATTGTCATACGAGTAGGATCATATTGGGCCTCAGAGGCGGCACTACAAAAGAGGGGATGTAAACATCGTATTTCTGTGCATACAACGAAGCGAATTACCCGTTGGTATACGCTCCTCCCTTTAAGGAAAAATAAATAATGTCAGCATTGGAAAAATAAAGTAAGCAGTAGTTATCATACGTGTATCCAAACCAGCACCGGCAGTTTTGCATCTGAACTTGTATTTTGAGGACGCCAGACCTGTCGGGGTAGAGTCAGGGAAGCGCATGACCTTTGACAAAAGAGAGTAATGAACATTGAGGAACAGACAGTCTTCGCTCATTGCAGCGCCCAAGTTCGCCGGAGGCTGAGGACAGGCATTTCCGAAAGTGGAAGCTTGCTGGAGACTGTTATTTGACTTTATGAACGCAGTGGGCGCCTTGAACCGCAGTTCTCCAGTCGGAGGGGTTGCGTAAGGAATACCCAGCCATTTTTCTGTTCCATTTTCTGTTGAAATCCCGCGGAAATTTCCTGAAGTGAGAGTCACATCAAGAGAAGAAGGCGCAACGAATCTAGATAGCAAAGCGATGGTCAAGGACCACCAGGTGTGTGATTTCATCGCAGGTGAGCGTCAGTGGTTGCGAAGAAAAGAAAACAACACCTACATGGTGCGAGCATCTGCTGTTATAAATGTGTTCCCGGACCCTTCGATGTTCTCAATACGAAGCAGCTGACTATTCTCGAACCATCTTCATGACCACACCGAGGGAAAAAATAGAGACATGTTGAATGACTGACGCGAATCCTCATTTGCGACGATAAGAAAACAGTCAGGGAAGAAGGCAAACGTGGGATAGGATGGATCGAAATGTACATTTAGAACGGAAAGAATAATTAGGTGTACAGGAATAGAGTCCCTTTAATCAAAAACTTCGAAGTGGTGGTATATTGGGCAGGTAAATCAGAATTTCTTTTGCTATATTGATGGAAAAAGTGGATCATCAGGTTCCTGAATTCAGGAGACATGGTAAATATGCTCACCCTCCTGGTAAGATTGGCCAGCTTCATGTCTACACCATCAGTCTTGCTTGTGATATTATCGATCCTACGATTCTGAGAGTCAAGTTCTTGACTCATTGCGGAGCCCAAAGCCTTCAATCTCTTAGTAACATCCGAGATTTCATCCAAGTTCTCATCCAACTCGTCCTCAAGTTCATCGTCGGAAGCAGTGGCTTCGAACCTGTATCTGCTATTCAACTCTCGGTTACGGACCCTCTGCTGTTCAGACTTGCGGAACCTGCCGCTACCTCCGCCACTAATACCTTCGTCGCCGACGCCTCCAGGAGGACCACTGTATAAGAGATTCTCATCGTCGTTTCCACGACCATAGGTGGCTGCACGCCCAAGACGGTCTTGGGTCTCACGGACATCCAACATGGTTCTTTCCCTTTCCTGCCGTTCCTCTTCGTAACGATCCTGAATTTTGGCTTCCTGCGCACGACGTTTGGCGTCCTTGTTGAAGGTAATCACCGGACGGAAGATGGAGCGATTGAGTTGTTTGAGCTCATCAGTCTTATCTTCGGCACGTTGTCCATGTGACTTGGACATGTCAAGATGCCTCTCAGTATTCGCGAGGCTTTCTGTAATGGACAGGTCTAGTCAGGAAAGACACTTAGAGAGCGACAGATATTGCGAACCAGATTGGTCGCCTAATTTGCTGAGAGTTCCGCGGGCGGCTTCTTCTGCTTGCCTGGCCATCATCAAAGCATTTCGAGTAGAATTAACACTCTCCTGCTTGATAAATCTAGTTTGTGTCTTGATACCTTCTACATCCTCGTCATTTTCTTCGCCTGGAGCAGGATCCCGACCAGCTCCGGGTCCGTCAAAGAACCGACCAGAACCACTCTTTTGGGGATTATATCCAGCAAAAAGTTCGCTTCGATCCTGGTCTGGTTGGGCGTTTCCACGTGAATAAACGTCGCCGACACTGTTGCCTCTTCTATATCGGTCTATATAGCTTTCCCCACCATTGTCATTAGATTGAGCAGGGACAGAAGGAGGGGGAAGAGTGGCACTGTATGGATCGCCGTCGCGACTAGCGACATAAGTCGAGGCGTTAGAGCGGTAGGAAGGCAAGGATGATTTGGAAAGTACAGATGGAGATTTGGAACGAGTAGACGAGTTAGAAGTCGAGGGTTCGACGGGAGGAATGAGATTCTTTTCTTTCCTGAAAAAAGAAGGCATAGTGGTAATTGGTTACAGAGCGTTCAGCGCTGAGCGCCCGGAAAAAGCTGTTAGGTTGCCTTTCGTTCACGTGGCAAGATTTACAATTTACAGTTTTCTTAGTTCTACGGTCTACAGACAGGATACATACTTTAAGTAGTACTGATATATACAGTCAGATCTACAGTAATTTTTATCAAAGACGCGAGTCCGACGTTCATCCTATTTTCTTGCGCCAAATTCAAGGAATTGGGCCAACTTGGGATCCTCCATCATCGTCAAATGCCCACCATTCACATCAAACCTCTCAAAGTTCTTCGCAAAACGTTCGGTGCCGAGCATCTCCCAGCTGGCATCACCATCTGGGAAAAGGGAACGCGCACCACTCTGTCTAGGGAGCACCAGTTGCATTGGAACCTTGACACGAGCGGCCCACTCGATCATACGCTGTTCAAGGGCAGCAGGGTCGCGAAGAATCTTTTCATCGTTGCCCGCTAATGTGAAGAATAGGTCGAGCGCACCCAAACCGATGCCAGAAAATGCACGGTGCTGTTGTTTGATGTGATCGCGAGCTGGTAGACCGTTGTGAGCGTCCCAAATCTATGCACAGGAAGATCGTTAATAAGAGCGGCTTGAATGAAAGCGGATGATGCACACATACCTCAGTAATGACAGTCTTTGCTCCCTCGTTGGTATCTAATTCAGTCATTCGGTCCATAAGGCGAATGCCAATACCAATGACGTCCTTGGTGGGCACTTTCGTTCTGATAGTTTCCTCGTCAAGTCCAGCAGTGAAGTGATAACTACCAAAGATGGCAGGAGAGAAGTCCAACATAACCCATTGTGATATCTCATCTCCTGCTTGCTGGAACTGATATACGAGCTCATAGGCGATAAGTGCAGATGCACAATATCCTCCGATTCGATATGGACCATGCGGCTGAGCTTCCTTGATTTTCTCGTAGTAGAATTTGGCCGTACGTTCGACAGATTCCAGAGGCGTTTCAGGTGTGACCTGAACACCCCAAAGGGCAGATGTGAATTGTTCTTGAAGTGGTACGAAGGTTAGAAGATTTCCACCACCGCCGTGGGTGAAAATGAGGGGTGTTTCGCCGGGTCTGTCAATCATCTTGATTAGCGTTTCGCCAGGTTGATTTGGTGGTATCTGCCAATCGTATCTCTTCTCCTGGATAGACGAGGCATTGTATATGACAGGAGCAAGTTTGGACGCAGGGGCGCTACTTGACCCCTCGTCATCTTCGTCGCCGTCACCTTGAGTAAGGTTGACGATATCCTCAGTGGTAATATCCGAGAGCAGTTGCATTTGAGCAATCTGCAGGTACGGTCTCAAGGCGACAGACAGGTGACCTGCAGAGAGTGAGTCTAAACCGTATGAGGTCAACGGAGTGCTCATCGAGAAGTCATCCTCGGCGACATCCAGGAACGACAGTACAATATTTTTGATCACGTCAGCAGATGCGTCCTTTTTACCAGCTGAGCCCCCATTAGCAGCCTCATCTGAAAATAGATGGGAGAACATGGGAAGACAGGCTGTTCCAAGCCCAGCAGAGGCCTTGTCCCAACTCCAAGGAGGCACATAAAGGTAGAACGGTTGCTTGCGCATTTTCAGGAGTCCAAGACGAATATGGTGGCACAGTTCTATGGAGCGTTGGTATGAAAATTGTTGCGTTAAATGAAATGCTTACCACTGCAGGTCATGCCCCAAGTTGACCAACGGGTTACATCAGTGTTCAGCTCGTTCGTTGCCTCGAATAGTGCAGAGTCTAGGATGGCAGGGCAAACGATAGAGAAAGCGTTGGGGAGCTTTCTGACTAAGAAATCGACTGCACTGTTAGCACCAGCGTAATTGGCCTGACCCAAACTTCCTAAGATCGTGGCAGACGAAAACATGATAATGAAATCTAATGATTCGAGAGAGCATGAAGCTTCTAGGGCCTTGAATACGTGAACTTTGGAAACGAACGGAGACGACCAGGAGTCTTCGTCATGAGCAGAGAACAGACGGTCGTTGATAGATGCGGAAAGCAGCATGACGCCGGCAAGCGGCAAACTCAAGGACGAAATTAAGTTGGTCATGGCCCCTGCGGATGCTCCATCGCAGGCCTCCAGCTGTAGATTTAGACCAGGTAATGTCTTTGCGTATTCAGAGATACGTTTGCCAGCTTCGTAGCGAGGGCGATCAAGGGTAGCAGCTCCAGAGCGGGAGGTCATGATAATGTTCCTTGCGCCATTCTAGGCAAAATAGGTGAGAACCAACTTGCCTACCGTGAAAAGTGAAGAATGAACCTACCTCATACATCCATAGAGCTATTTTCAAACCCATTGAGCCAATTCCACCGACTAATAGATATGATCTATCAGCGCGGAACAGAGTCTTGCTCGTCTGGCTCTCAATCACGTTTACCTTCGCCGGAATAGAGTGCGTCTCGATGGTGGGCTTGTGATGAGTATAAAACTCAGCGATGATGTCTCCAATGAGCCATGGGTTCCTCGATAACTCCGTGGCCAATCCAGTCGCCGGATCGTCCCAAATGAAAACGGAGGTCTGTGGTCGAACAGAACCACGAATGACTTGAGCATCATTCTTATCTAAACCACTAGCAATGACAAAATCGCTGCCACGCAAAACTGTCAAGCTGTTTTCTTCTGGGTTTGTCGAAGCCACTTTCGCATTGACACCCAAAGCCAGTAAGAGCTCACAAATATCCTTGTTCATTATACCAACAACACCAATCTTCCGTCTCTGTAAGCGTTTGATATCGCGAATGCTGGTGATACCCAATGCTATACCGATAATAGCCATTGAAAGGGCGAGGAACGCAGAAGTGTCTGGCTCAATGCTCGAGTCCTGAAGGGACGCAAACTGTCCTTCATGAGCCACAATGTAGGGAGTGGGGAAATCTTTCTGGGTCACAGTCACCACACCAACAACATCTTTCCCCTCTTTCCACTGAGAAGCCTTCGATTTTATCACTCGGCCAACCACTCCTTTGAATCCAGCGTGGACTTCGCTGGCAGTCAGAACTTCTACTAATATGTATTGTTCGGGGATGAGAGTAGGAGGAACGACGGAGTCGAGAGAGACGGTGCTTTCGTCGTTCAATGAAGCGTTGGGGATGGCAGAAGGAACATATCGGGGAACCAGTATAGTGCCTGAGTCGTCGACCTCGAATTCTTTGTCAAGATTTTGAAGGTGAGCGATCGAGCGAATGAATGCAGTCCTCCTTTCTACATCCCAGGCACTGTCAAAGAATACCATGTAAAGCTGTAAATCAGGTACTTCGACACGAAGAACTCTGGAAAATCCAGCAGCAGACCCGGAAGCTTCATCGGAATTCGCGTGGAGCCATAACTCTTTTGGTCCCGACTGACGTAACTGGCTGAAGGTGGTTTGTAGCGCGAGTAACGAGTTGGGATTAACGTTAGCATTAGTAGGATATTCGACGATGGAAAGTTCGGCCACGGCGGATGGCTTCGAAAATATGTCACGTGCTTTTTGCGCAATTCCTGCGCTTCCAAGACCGGACAGGAAGACGAGGCCAGAATCTTTGAGCGACCGCTTCCATCCTGCGGGATCAGAAACTATAAGAAGACCCCCGGGAAGAAGAAGTTTGGATATGGACGATGCAGTCGTGCTATTATCATCGACGTTCACATCTCCGCATGCAAGAATGATATCAAACGTGGAAAGCAAGGAACTAGGTTCTGGTCCAGCTAGGTCCAGCTTTGTGTAATGCGCAAACGGTGGGACAGAAACTGATGTGGTATCAGCACAAGTATAATGTATAATGATATCCGCCGCGCCAGGATTCTCGATGAGAGAAACAATCTTGGGCTGACTCAAGAGTTGAGTGGAAGCTGCGCCGACTTCTAAAACCCTGATGACTTTCTTCCTGGCTACTGCAAAATCAATGGTCGCCTTAATTGCTGACTGAAGATCATCTGTAGTTAGGGCAGCGCCATTAGCATGCCCATTGATACCATGACCGTTTGCTGAACCGTTGATAGTACCAGTATAAGCTGGAAGCATATAGGGCTGGTAGACGAGCTCAAAGCTTTGTGCATTTGTGATGCCGCTAACTTTCTCATGATGGGCAACTGAGAATCCATGGAGCGATAGAACGGATTGACCATTGGGTAGGAGGATTTCCAAGTCGAATTTGATCTCCTCTTCACAGACCGTAAGCACTCTTGCGAAATAAATCTTATGCTATAAGCTCACCAGGAGTCCAATTCTTCATTTTGACGTAAGCATAGAAAGTATCGGAAGCTGTCTGCCCCGATGGGAACAACTCCGACTGATGTAAAGCCACGTATTCGACTGAGAGCGGAAGATGATACGAGTTTGGATCATTGTCGGCGGATGCAGGAAGAACCATGGCATGGAAGCAAGCATCCAAAATGGCAGGATGCACAATATAATTGTAGCCACTTTGAAGATGTCAGAAAGGAGCTTATCACAAAAAGTAGCAAACTCGTACTGTTCAGTGAGATCAGGAGCAAAACCTCTAACTTCAGCTAATCCTTCATTCGCGCCGCGCCAGAACCGAGTCACTCGTCTGAACATGGGTCCGTATTGTGCGAAATGGTTGATGGGTGCGTAGAACTCTTCCGACTCCACCACCTTGCATCCTTTCCGAAGCGCAGCCAGATCGAATAATGGGGGAGAACTAGTTAGTTCAGTAGACAGGAAACCATCAGTGTGCAGGCGAAGCTGTTCAAAATTTACTAAAGCGTGCGATACTAAATAACGGAAAACGCACTTCATCGAGATTGCCAGGCTTGTATGAGCTAACCGACCAGCGAGAGTCTTCGCGCTTGACTTCAACAGAGATTGTTTTGTCGGCAATGAGAGGAAGCATGGTGCGGAAGTTGACATTCCATAGAGTACGACCTCCGAGTTCAAAGCCCTGTAATATCAGAGTCAGAGACTGAAACAACTGAATATATCAAACGGACCATCTCGAGGAAACCTGCAGCAGCCATAATGGGTTGACTATTGATAACGTGCTGTGTCAGATCAGGATGTGTAGAAGAATTGATTCGCAGAGGCGAGGAACATAGCGGGCCCCTGTACGTAGCATCCATATGATCAAGCGACGTGCGACAAACGTCTGAATAAACAGGAACTTCCTTCTTCGAGAACGGATACTTGAACGGTGAAGGGATTGGTGGTGACCGGACTCCAGTGAGTGCCCGAATGTCAATGGAATCGTATCCTGTCACCGCGAGTCCACCGATAGTTTCCATCATTTGTGTGTATTCACCAAATTGAGGGTATTCTCGTTTTCGGCGCATTCCACAAAAGACGACGTCCGCGCTACCTCGAATACTTGAAACATAGGAAGATAAGACAGGATGAGGAGATATTTCCAGGAAGGTCGCATTTGGCATATCTACCAAGATGCTATTGATGGCGCTAAGGAATTCAACAGGGGAACGAGCATTGTCCCAGAAGTAATCAGCAGTGAATGCTCCATTCCAAATTTCACCAGTCATAGTTGAATATGCAGGAATCTTTGGTATACAGTCTTCTGCACGATACTTGGCGAAGACCTCAGATACTCGCTTCAAATATGAGGCCTTGCAAGCCTCCATCATCGTGCTATGGAATGGAACACGAGTGGCAATCTGATTAACCATGATATTCCGGGCTTTGGCAATCTCCTTAGCCTTCTCCAAGAGTAGAACGTGACCCGCGAGGACGACGGCAGTCTCTGCATTGTAGCAAGCAACGTCAAGGATCATCTTAGGAGCATCAATTGAAGCCCGAACTTCATTGATGATATCGTCGGCAACAATCGGGTCACAACTGAAAGCAACCATGCTACCTTCAAGAGCCTCGAGCTCCGCAACTGCCAATCCACGAGCGATGGCGATTTCGAGAGCCAAGGCCTTGGAAGTGGCTCCAGAGGCATAAAGCATAGTGGTTTCGCCAGCAGAATGACCGACAACTGCATCCGGAGCTATCCCTACAGATTGGAATAGGTCGATGAGTGCGAGTTGTACCATCGCGATTGCAGGGAGGGTAATTTCAATGGGCCAGACTGCAGGTAGCTTTTGTGCAGACACATCATTCGAGAATAAACCTGTGCGAGCAATCATAGATTGACCGACGACAGCAGCATAGACAGAATCAAGCTCGAGTATACTGGAGCGGAAGACAGGGAATTGATTGAAGAGTTGTCGGCCCATCGCAATGTGCTGAGGACCCTGACCTGCGTTGAACGATCAACCTCGGGAAATTATGTCAGTGATACTTGGACATACCTGAACACACCCATACAAGGGCAGGTCTATTCCGTGGGATGAATCGGGGTGATGAGAAAATCGGAGTAGCACCGGGAAGGGTGACAGAGAATGATCTCCAGTTCATTTGCATACTTCGACGGCCGAAGGCGAGAGAGAGGGCAGCAATATCTTTGTTTCCATCTGCCAAAGTAACAAGTTGTTTAGCGACGGCACTTGTTGAAGAGTCCGAAAGTGCACCGGCCAAGAGAAGGACAGGATAGTTGGAAGGGATTTCATTAGGGAGAGCGACATTTAGCTCGTGACTCTCGACCAAAACATGAGCATTGGAACCACCGATACCAGAACTGTTCATAGAGATCAACAGCTTGCCGGAGGGATGACGGGGTTCGATCGGCTCAATTTCTGTAGGGACCCGGAGTTTCCACTGCTTCCACTTGACTTTTTGATTCAATTTGTTGAGCTTGACATTGGGAGGAACCAGACGATCTTGGAAGATCCAAAGAACTTTACACAAGGATGCCATAAACGAAACAATTTCGGTGTGTCTAATGTATCCATTTCAGCAAGAATAGTCGAAGACAGTTATTTTCCACTTGCCCAATGTTGCCTTTAACACTTCCAATGAGGAGCTCGTCGTTCCGGGCAAATGCTTTTCCAACCCAATTGGCCTCGATAGGATCGCCGACGGACGTCCCTATACATTGAATCATAATTAAGATATTAAAATACGAAGAGTTCAGATTGACTAACCTGTCGCGTGCAATTCAATGAAATCTACCTCTTGGGGAGATCTTCCGGTTGCGACATATGCCTTACGCATTGCGTCTTCTTGCGCACTTGCAAGAGGTGCATAAACTGGGGCCGAGTTACCCGTGGCATTGATACCAGTTCCGAGAATCTACAGGATCTGCAGTCAAAAAATGTGGCAGTGTAAAGAAAGAAGGTTAAGCATTTACAGATCCGTAGATATAATCTCCATCTGCGATTGCCTTGTCTAAAGGCTTGAGAACAATCGCGACACACCCTTCCCCTCTCGAGAAACTACAAAGGACCCTGAGGATATAGATGGTATATTGGTTCACTTTGACTTACCCGTTAGCTCCAGCATCAAAAGGCTTGCACATTCCGTCAGGTGCAAGAACGCCACCTTGACTGTAACAGATAATATCGATGAACCTGAAATAATTTCCTGAGTGAAAATCCAAGCAGAACAATGTGGTAGATACAAACCTAGAGTTGACTTGACATCCCCCAACAACAGCGGCTTCGCATTCACCGGCTCGTATTGCCTGAACGGCAAGATGTGTAGCAGTCGCAGTAGAACTACAAGCAGTATCAACTGGAAGCGAGGGACCACAAAGATCAAGGTGGTATGCAACTTTGTTGGCGACCATAGTATAGGCCCCTGCAAAAGATCCCGCTGCATCAGTAGGTGCCTGTCCGGAGGGTCAGCATCAAAAGGATTTTGAAGCGCATCAAACGACACATACGTGTTCACCGACTGATAGAATGTCATGAGCCACAGCGGACATATAAGTGCCAATGTTACGGCCGCGATATTGGATTCCAGCATCCCACAACGCAAGAAAAGAGTTTTCAACCAGTCTGCGGGTACCAACAGCGAGTGCCTTGGCGTCCTTGGGATTGATACCGAACTCAAGATAATCAAACATTGATATGTCCTTCAAGAAGGATCCAGTGTCGGTGAAGATGTGACCAGCATTTTTACCTCTCCACCTTGACAGATGAAGTGCTCAATGCGATATATCTTGTTAGCGAAGCGGGGACTTACAGGTCTACATTGAACCTGTCGGCGGGTACACGGCTGTAAGAATCGCGTTTTTCATGGAGAAAATTCTTGAAGGTTTGGAAATCAAGGTTGGTGTTACTATAGTCTCCACTAGGGAGCTCAGCGGAAATTCCAATCTGGGTAAAAGTCTGGTGAACGCAAGACACGGAGGACAATGTCCAATGGGACTCACAATAGCAATGGGAGCTAAGGTTTCACTACTCATGCTCGCTGTGAATCGATATCGCAGAATAAACTGGGAGAAATGAAAAGCGGTGTAGGCAGGATTTTTGGAGTGATTCGGCCTTGAAGCCTTTATGCTAGATAAAGGCTACGCATTTCTATGACATCCCAAACTCAGCTAAATCTGGGGCATATTTTGAAAGTGCATACCAAATACCAAATGTATGTTCTCTGCGTGTCCGAGTCTTCATGTTGGATCACCCCTGATAGGCACGCCCTTGAACTGCATATGATACAGATTATCCCGGTGGTAAGTAGGAGCATTGGATGGTTGCTTGCTTCCACGACGTTCGAGCCCCAACGCATTCAAACTATCTCCGAAATCATCTCTGCGCGCCACTTCTGTATGGAGAGCCGAAAGGATTGAAAACTATCAGTATAACCGCTCTTCCCGTGCGAGTCGAAAAAGAGTTGAACAAAGTCACAATCGATCCCGCACATCGAGTAAACAATCAAAGAAAGTTACTCGGAGTAACCACAGATATAGCTGGATCAAGTCAGGAACAATGAAAACCATAACATAATTGACGACTTACTATATCCTGCAGGTCTCTCGCTGTTTCTCGCCAACTCTCTATCGTCGCTGCAGACAGTGCAGTTCAACGCTCGGCGCCTCAATTCCGGTTCCGAATCCGGTGGCCGAAGGTCGATGGCAGCTCTTAGTTGTTGGACGGATCGAAATTGGTTGTCTTCAGCCATAACCTGGCCATAGTACTTGAAATTCCAGTTGGAAGGCTCTGGACGGCTCGGGAAGCAATCGTAAGTACGCTGATATGAATGACATTTGAATAAGTGAAGATGTTCGGTCGCCAATCGAGATATGTACTAGGCTAATCACCACGAAGGTTTTTTTCACAAGCTATCGCTCAAACAAAGTAGCAACACTACTACTGTACCATAATACATGACTCTATTCATTCTACTCATTGTACGTTCTTGTACGTCTTGTTTCTTTTTTTCATCATCTTTCCAAACATTTCGGGATCCCTTCTGAATTACAGTACTCACGGACATCTCAAAGAGCTGCCAAAAGTACATCTTTCAACAACCCTCTGACATGAGATCTATACCTATCTATACTTCAAGGTACAGTTTGTCTTAAGTTCATCCTGCAAAGTAACGCCGCAGCGGCTCATTCGGGATTCATACATTCTAGTCAGTTCGTCGCAAATCTTTTCCTTTGTTCCGGATAAAAACTGATGCCTCAGTCCGTGGCTCCAGAGTTCCTGCATCCCCCACTTTTTCCCCCTCCCTTCTACTGACATGAAAGCTGTATTCACTATTGCTGGAGCGCGCGTCCAGGTCCGCGACACCGAAATCCCTATTCCCAAAGAAGAGCAGGTCCTCGTCAAAATGGTCGCCGTTGCTCAAAATCCCACTGATTGTAAGTGATCCGTGCTGAACTGCGTACCAGCGAAGGCATTAAATATCCTGTTGCAGGCACACCTGACGGGAACGCTTTTCCCGGCCGAGAAATATATAGGGAAATGAGAAGAGCAATCGCCGATTTCCCCTCAGTGAATAAAATTCTTTCCCATAAGGAAATAATTAGGTTTTACGGACGGGAAATGAGTAAAATATTAACTGTATTTCCCAATTTAGAAATATAGTATTTTTCATCAGATGAAGATTATCTTTCGCCTTTGATAAAGATTATCTTTCGCATTAGATAAAGATTACCTATTACGAAAGATAAAGATAATCTTTCGCGCTAGATAATTTTTAGATTGCGCGCTAGGGAAATGGAAAATTTCCCGGTTCGCGAAACCAAATAGCTTAGCGCCTCTTAGCGCCCACCCAGACATATGAGTGGCACTCACTCTAGTTGACACAGCTCGACACCCATTGGCACTATCTACAGGTTGCAGGGTTAATGAATCAATAGGTTGGTTTTTGCTGAGTTTTTGGTAGAGGTGGCATGCTTAGCCACTCATGTCTTTACAGTGACGCGCAAATCAAATCCACACCCCCCGATTTGGAAGGCCTTATGTCACCAGCCTAGAACCGTAAAATCTGTTGTTCCGCTGCTCAGAATTATCGAATTTTGAGGGTTCAAAGAGCTTATATTGCCACAAGCAATTCTTTATAGTAGATTTGACTTGCTTGACAGTGTGTAGCATACAAAAATGTTCATAAAAACAGTTAAATCACAAAATTTCCAAATCGGGGGGTGTGGATTTGATTTGCGCGTCACTGTAGGTGGGCGCTAAGAGGCGCTAAGCTATTTGGTTTCGCGAACCGGGAAATTTTCCATTTCCCTAGCGCGCAATCTAAAAATTATCTAGCGCGAAAGATTATCTTTATCTTTCGTAATAGGTAATCTTTATCTAATGCGAAAGATAATCTTTATCAAAGGCGAAAGATAATCTTCATCTGATGAAAAATACTATATTTCTAAATTGGGAAATACAGTTAATATTTTACTCATTTCCCGTCCGTAAAACCTAATTATTTCCTTATGGGAAAGAATTTTACTCACTGAGGGGAAATCGGCGATTACTCTTCTCATTTCCCTATATATTTCTCGGCCGGGAAAAGCGTTCCCGTCAGGTGTGAGGGAAAACAATCAAACTCGCTCGCGTTGTTGGAGCAATTGTAGGCACTGACTATGCTGGTACCATAGCTGGTGTGGGCCCCGGCGTCGATGACGAGAAATACAAGCTTGGCGATCGCGTCGCAGGTGTACTTCATGGATGTAAGTATCCATTACTCTATATCGTTTTATCAGTGCACATTTTTTACGATACAACTTGTGCTTAGCTTTGAACAAGAACGGCGCCTTCGCCGAATACGCTCTTGTTCCTGTACATTCTTTGATCAGGATCCCTGATAGTTGGACTTTCGAGGAAGCAGCTCAACTTGGCGTTGGTACAACCACGACTTGCCAATGTTTCTGGCAGTCCCAAAACCTTCCTAAACCCTTTGAGCGTCCCTCTTCTCCTCCAACGACTGTTCTCATCTGGTCAGGAGCCAGTGCTACCGGTCATTACGCCATCCAGTTCGCGAAACTGTCTGGAATGAGGGTCATAACTACATCTTCACCGAAGCATTGGGATCGTCTCAAGGCCCTCGGTGCGGACGCGTGCTTCGATTATAATGACCCTGAAGTGTCTGAAAAGATTCGGGCCTATACTGAAAATAAACTCAAGTATGCTGTCGATTGCTTCAGCGAGAAGACTTCTTTCCAGAAAGTTAGCGATGCTCTGAGTGAAGAAGGCGGCACTATCTCTTGTCTCTTCCCTTCGCCATATAAACTTCGAGCCGGTATCAAGCTCAAGTTCACGCTCGCGTATGATCTCCTCGCTGAAGTACGTTTTTTCATCCGGGTTTTCCTGTTCTTGCACTAATTCTATATCTCTCCTTACAGCCTTACAAGTTCCCCAAAGTTTATAACCCGCGCGCAGAAGATAAAGCATTTGGTGATTGGGCGACCGATCTTGTTTCAGAGGTACTCAAATCTGGAAAACTGGTACCCCTTCCGATGAAACTCTATCCGAACGGCTTGGCTAGCGTTCAGGAAGGGTTAAGATATATGCAAGAAGGAAAGGTTCGTTTATTGTACAGGATTTTCTCTCGATTTTACAGTTAATTGATTCGTTTATCAGGTCAGCGCTGAGAAGATTACTTATAGAATTTCCGATACTCCTGGAATCGAGGCCTGAAAAACAGATATGTACTATATCCTATCCTATCCCTTACAGAATACTTTTAGTGGCGTGAATTCAAGCAACTCCCGGAATAGAGGCTTAAAGATATGTACTGTACATACTTGTAGTGGCGTGCATATAACTTGTACAAGTATAAATTAGTTCTTATACTATCATTATACTTTACCCAGACACCAGAAAGGCCTAATGTTGAGGCGTTGAATCAGTGCGGCAAATTAGAAAACGTACAGACGTCTTGCAAATCGAACTTAATTATATCGTGGATGTTTCACCCGCATATCCATATGTAGTATCAGAAGTCAGAATATAATATGGACGGAGATGCCAGGCTGAGTCTTGCTGAGTGCGCTAATGATAATTTTCAGGCAATGTCAATTCTTACAGAATTTCAAAAGCAAATCAAAATGGGTGTTCCATCAATCATAGATTATCTTACCAGATCAGATCTCATCAAACCCTAAGCAGCACTGGAAGGCAGGCAGTTGCCTGCGGTTGCCACATGGCGATGCATAGATAACTTTATGTAGAAGAGGGGAAGGGGGGATGAGCCAGGAGGTGCCACTGAAGAGCCTTGGATTCAAGGTTCAGAAAGGGTATTGCGCTTTTTTCGCGTCGCTCGCTTGAATTAACCCAAGGAGGTCACACAGGAATTCTGTATGCGACTGCATCGGACAGAGTTTTAAAATATATCCGAATTTGCGGCTGTTAGAGCAACAATGGCATAGCTACATAGCTACTCCTTGAATAGCTTGACTATCCAGGGCAAACAAAATACATGGAGTGAAGAATACTGACAAATCTTCCCTATTATTCCTTAAAGTCACAGGATTGACACGGATCTTCTACACCTTCAGGATATCAACTAGTGTATGCGAATCATTATATCAAAAACTTGTCGTAGAGCTAGATGTATATGATAGATGGATGGAAACCTCGGAAACAACAAGAACACAAGTCCTAGTAGCGTAAAATACGTGCGGAGAGCAAGGACCTAAACGTAACAACAACTCTATGATGTAGCGTTTGCACGCCTGCGTAAATTTTTTCTATGAATTTCTCGCGCAACGACTTGGATAGAAGCAGAGGTTCCCATAAGAACCCCGGTCCAGACGATACCTTTCCACCAATCCAGACTGCTGCCAATGATCGCACCACCGACTGGCGAGCCTATAAGAGAAGCTATCGCAACGGGAGCCATGGCTGCACCGACGACTTTCCTGCGAAATTTCTTGAAGATCAGTCGCAAGGACACTAAAAAATTGGGAAGTGCTTACCCTCTATCGGCTTCAGTAGGCATAAGAGCAGTGATCACGGGTGTAAAAAGTGAGGTCGACGATCCAAAGAAAAAACCATAGCTGCAATCTGTTAGCGACTCAACTACGTTTGAGATCATGTTACAACCTACAGGATACAGAATACGATGAGTCCTCCGGGGTGACCGGCTCCAAACATGATAAAGGCACATCCAGCTATACAGAAGTCAAATTTCAGTAAATCAAGGTAAAATCTGGAAAGTGAACGCACCGTTAATGATCGCACAAACGATATACGTTCCCAATACCCCATACTTGTCAGCAAAATAACTTGGGACCACCCTTCCGAATGCAGTCGAAAAACTCATAGCTGCCACAGAGTAAAATATGAAGCCTGAGGCCATATGGTGGCTATCAGCGAAGAGCTGGATGTAAAAAAGTGGGAAAAGGCCGCCTAGTTGACCGAGGAACCCGGAGAAGAGGGTCAGGAGGTAGGGAGTATAAAGCAAAGGTGTTTCTCCGGCGACAGCCTTTGGAGGGCGAGGGGGAACCGTTATGAGAAGGTTTCCGACCGCTAGAAGACCAAGGGAGAGGTACGCAGTGGCGCGTATAGCAGACGGGAAGCCGTGTTTCGGGATAAGTTGATTGATTATAACTGTAAATTGCGATGAGTTTTAGATATACCATTTGCAGGATTCGGACTCACTGGAGAAAATACCTCCTCCGAACGATCCAGCGGAAATGACGATTCCCTGTAAAAAATGCGTTCATTCAGTGATACACTCGTAAGGGTACTTATGGTACATACCATAGCGATGGCTTGTCTACCTGGAAAATGGAGAGCTGCAGTTACCAAGGCTGGAACGTAGCAAAGCCCGACACCAATACCCATGCCTACTCCTTGTGCGAGGATTATTTGATAGTACTGATCTTCTTTTGCCAGAGAAAGCATAAAGAAGCTGATTACGACTCATAATCAGTAATGCGAAAGGATCACCTTTGTCGAAGAGCATCACCTGAACAGATAGATAACACTTCCGGTCGCGAAAACTGCCCTAGTATGGCCCATATCACATCTAGGGACTAGTCAGTGTACTGGAGTTGCCAAAACTAAGTCATTGCGATCACGCCTTACAATCTTCCCCCAATCATCCCCAAGCCTAGTTGCAGCAAAATCTCAAGTCCTATAACCCAACTAATACGGGAAGCGGAGGAGCTAGGCAAGAATTCGGAGACGTAGTAATCTTCGAAGACTCCAAACGAGTTAACCGATGCGACGGTACAAAACTGGATGAAAAAGCAACCGAGGACTTGAAAAGAACATCGAAAGAGTCAGTTCAGGTGTGCGTTTTTTGGGAAAATACAGCAAAAGCAAATTTACCTGTGAGCCATGCTCTCAGCGCACCCACTGGGTGTCGTGATGGGGCTAAGACACCCTTCTCGCTACCTTCGGTGCTCGGGTCTGTGGCGTGGTGACTGCCAACTTCAGCATGATGTCCTTTCTCGAAGCTATTTTGTTTAGACATCGAAGTTGAGTGTTGCGTTGTTGACGAAGGTGGGAGTGGCACAGAACGTCTCGATGTTACTTATATTATGTACAAACGATCCGAAAAGTCTGGAAGGACCAACCCGGAGACGTATCAAATGTCAACTGAACATGAGTGAACATGTCAGTATTTGTAAATGTATAATAACATCGACCTCCTCTGGGGAGTTCAAAGAGTACCCGCTCCCGCCGACGCATACACAGGTATTCGAATGTCTCTTTTGCGTTATGCATTAGGGAGTTCCTTTGGAATCCTCAAGAGTTAAGAGAATTGTGGAGGATTTTTAGAATGCTGGAGGCTTTGAATGAGCATGTATTGAAATCTCGGGACTGCCGACGGTATATCCTAGGCATTTAATTCTCGTCCTCCGGGTATTCATTTCGAAATGTATGTCAGAGTGTTTAATTCAGTTGTTAAAATTGTATCGTTGAACTGAATGGCCGATTCGGGTTTTCCGAAGCTTTATGATCGTTACATTGTTACAGCCTTTACCATCAATCACGGGTTCATGGGATGGTCCATGGGGATGTACAAGTTCCTGATATGTACCCATGTATCGATCTTCTCATGAAGATATGAGAAGGGACGTATTCCAGAGTGCCTCCCGTGAGTAGAGCATTTTCTGTACAGATTTATAACACATACTTACATAGTACCATCTCCCAGCATCCCCCAATCTCATCCACATCCACTAACGATCGCCTGTTGCCACCATGTCTATGACCCTCGAGAAAAACGGCGCTACATACTTCAGGACCCAAAACCCATTTGAAAAAAACTTCGGGTTTAGTCGTGCAGTCCGCAAAGGGCCATTCATATTCGTTGGAGGAACCACCTCCTTCGATCCCGAGTCTGGGGAGATGATGCATGCAGATAGTGCTTATGGACAGGCGAAAGTGATCTTTGAAACGATCATCAAGTCTGTTGAGGCCCTCGGTGGCAAAAAGACGGACATCTTAAAACTGAAGCTATTCACCACGACGATGGAATGTGGCATGGAGGTTGGAAAGGCGTTCAAAGAGATTTTCGAAGAGATACACCCTGCAGCAATCCTCATTCTCGGTGTCACACTAGCAAGTCCGGAAATGAAGCTCGAGGTCGAGGCAGAGGCAGTCGTGCTATGAACAAGTTCCAGAATCTTCGTGGGTAATTTCTATTAGTTTTCTCGACAACGTACTTATTTCATGGGCACTAGGATCGAGCGTTTTTCTTCCCCATGTGAAAGTCTGGCTATTGCTGTTGCCAGGATTGTAAAGTTAGGAAGGCTGAATGTAATCACAACTGAAGTAGAAAATATTCCGCTCGACAGAATGACATGTTGAATCATGGAATATCACTGACTGCTGAATGATGCCATGAATCATTGTATTTCAGAGTGACTGAAATGCGCATACATTCCCATTCAGTTCAACAGAATTGTGATAATTCAGTGGTGACTGAATCTTCTACTGAATCATCTTGGTTCTTTTGTCTTTTCCATCAAGCAGAATTTTTTCTCCTTCTGGTGTGAATCCAGCGACTTTGTAAAATCTAGACGCCGAAAGACCTTGAATTATCATTCTAGACCTCACGAGTTACGTAATCTTCTGACTGAGAGCGCCAGAAGCTTGTCGTTGATCCTGACCACAATGCTATCTCCCCATGCACTTGGATTGACACCATCCTTAAGACGGGCCGCTTTTTCTCCAGGCAAGGCTCGACCTTCCATGCAGTAAGGAGAATTTGACTATCAATAGTTAGAAACAATGTTATGAAGAACGCCATTCGTTCCAGTACCGTTAAACGGTGAATCTCTTAGTCGCTCAAGCCTGAAGATGGAACGACGATTCTGAACAAGCAACGCTTACAGCGCCCATCAAGTCCTCATTTCACTATTTACGAGCCTCAACTGACATAGGTTGGCTCGATCTTCAATCGTATAACTGGTGTAGGACTCGGATTCTGTGCGTAACAAATATCATATATGTGTCCCCTTGGGCTTAAGAGAATTTGTTCTCAGTACTTCATTGGCGTATCTCGTAGCTCCTGGTACCTTCGATAAGCGCACATGTCATTGAATTTGTACATGGCTTGCCTGATGCGGTCAAGTACACCGGAAAGTTCAACCTGGCTCTTCCTTTTTCTTTTCATCCGTGGAATGGGATCAGACATATGCTGTGGGATTCGGGTAAATGTGCGTGCTATCGTCGATTTCTTTTCTCTTAAATGTCTTATCCTTTTCGTTTAGTTTTAACCGTCAAAGGAGTGTACTCTACTGGATACGCCGTACTTGGAGCTACCACGATCTCTACACTCGTTCTCATGTTTCAATAATGTGTTTTACCCAAAGCGACCCGAGATACCAGCATCTTTTCCCAGTTTACATCGCGCTACATACTCAAAGAGCCAATGTCTCATAAATCTCGTCGCAAAAATTCCACGTCGGTTGTTTTCAGTAAATGCCTTTTCACTTAGTCGACCTCATTAAATCCTTTTGCTTCATCATGTGTAACGGGTTCTCTTATTACCCTATAAAACTCGTTTAGCATAGTCCGCAACCGATAATTAAACCTACGGACACTCGTTGTCGAGGAGGATATTGTTCGTTCGGTCTCGATGCACACATAGTGACTACCCATTCCAACCATCGCTGCAGTACGAATCTATTTTGCTCCATGTGACGACTATCCCATGCTGAAAACTACTATATATACAACAGAGGTTCGAGAACTGTCAGTTCAGTCACAATTCACGGTTCTTGGGCCATGCGCGGATTTTCGATTTCCATTCGTCAAGTTCAGCTTTTTTCGGAAGAAACATCAGATCTTGAAAAACATGAAGGTCAATTCATTGGAATAATCACTCAAGCTTGTACTCACTTTCACTTCCACTCGGGTGGCACAGCCCAAACAATTTCCACTTTCTTTCATATTCTTTAGAAATTTCCAACACAGTGACCTCTTGCAGATTTTGATAGCTGAAGAATCGGATCGAGTTGTGGTGTTCTGCTGGTGTGTGCATGTGCAGGGTACTTGGATCTGGAGCATGATGGCCTGGAGGAGTTTCTGGACTGTATACAGGGAGCGATTCGTCCAAATCGATAGTAAGTTCGTCGTATGCGGGTAACGGAGGAGATTCCTCGTAGAACTACGGTGAAAGTCGTGAGCAGGAGTTGAATTTCTGGATCGTGTTAGCCTGCACAACGAGTGTCGCTCACCATATGGGGCATTTCCTTATTTATTTCACTCTTCTTTGCGTACACCAGACACTAGAAGGAAAACATATGTGTAAAGTTACGGTATGCAGGATAAATTTGGCTTACAGTCGAGTACTGATCCTAAGGATTTCAGTAAGTGGATTGAAGGAGGGACTGTACGGGCCAAAAGACGATGAAGGCACTCACATTGGGATTCTGGTCTTTCAAACCTAGCCTTGTCAAGAGATATAGAAGGGCACCTTTTGACTCTAGACGCAAAGCAGGAAGTGCTATCTGGTTTAAATCCACTGCATTGTTCTGCTCTGGACTCCGCTGCTGCTCCTGCAAGTAATAAATTTCAGAAAAAAATAGGAACTGCGAAAAGTTGACTCACCGGTTTGGTGTACGCAAACCCCAACAATTTCCAGTCCGAAGATAATGGGTTGAAAACTCGCTTTACCCCATCGTTGAACTTGTTCAATACTTTGCCAACTCCGCGCGGATAGAGCTGCAGCTGATCCGTCGTTATCGCATTCAAATCATCTTCATACTCGTCGTCTACAGCAGCAGGTTGATGAGAATCTGAACCAACCACGTAGGTGCCGTGTTCCACATTGACAGCATGCTCATAACCCTCAATCGAAGTCAGGCTGACATTGGGGTCGGCTGCACTAAAAACTAGTTCTGAATGTTCTGGGAAGGGAGGGAGTGGGGATGCAGAAGCAATCGTCACTAGTAGCGCCGAGCATAGAAGGAGCATGGTGAGAATAGTTCGAAGAAACCGGATTTTGAGGAGAGACAAAGGGAACTGAGAGATATGAGTTTTCATAGTCGATAGTATAAGGAAGTAGGAGTTTTGGATTTGGAGGCCAGCTCCGAGGGAGGTTGCGAGCGACAAGGTAAAGTTAGATGACCCTGCGTTCTTCTTAAAACTCAAAAACGAATGTCCGTTGCGGTACTCAGTCGGATGCACTGTCACAGTCATTGTTACTTTTATGTAGTTTTGAACAAATTTCAATTTGGTATCTACGGCCATGGACTCGACATCGACTAGTATCGTACAAGTTTGGCTGCAATCGAAGAATAGCGAGCCAACGGACGCCAAAACAGTTCCCTTTTACCATTGCTGGTTGATATAAATCTGTGGTAACACGTTCAATAACGGGTATGCACACAGTGAGCACAGTTCGCTTACGGTGTGAGTCGAGGTGCACACTTGGGCTCTGGGAGATTACGGTCAGCATAATAAGGATCAAACAGAATTCGACGAGTGGGAGGATGATAAGCAATTCCCTTGTGTTGGCAAACGTCTCGCTTGATATCTTCTCTTTCGATCCTGGTATTCTGAGGATCCAGACGTCGACCAATAAAATTTCGAATCAGCCTAGGACGATTTTCCTCTTTGACTTGCTCTAGGATTGGCCAACAGGCATCAATGGGGAGGCGTTCTCCATCCTCAGCAATGTCAAATATGCCACCTGTGTTTGCGACGGTGTAGAAAGACAGATAACTCATCATGGTTCCGAGCCATGACTCAAACTTCCTGTGATTGAACGGGAGAGGTGGTTCGTTTAAAGTGTCGATGATGGCATCGAAAAAGGCAACCAGAGTGGGGAAGCGAATATCTGTGATTGCAGGTTCGGTGGAGGGAGGTCGAGGATTAAGACAGGTACGGCTGTAGTCCTGAGCGTCAATATGGAATACAGAGGAGTCATGAAGCAGAATCTGCTGTGGTTGGTCCTAAAACTATTATTTGAGCAAGCAGTAAAGATGATAAGATCCAAGATAAAGTTAACCTTCTCCCATGCGGCCTGGACGTTGTTATGTTCAAGAAATAATGTCTCGTCATTGAAACTGAATGCATATGGCTTGATTTTGTTGGTCATGGAGTAATCTTTCCAGCTCTCTCGTTCATCAACGAGTTTTCTGGAGTAAGGAAGCGCACCGCAGATTGCCTGAGCGGCAGCGTGAAGTTGTGTGGATTCGACGAGGATATGCTGATCAAAAAGCATGGTTGGAACTCGATGGACAATGGAAAGAGCATCTTCGCCCCAAACAATAGAGGGGATGCCGGCATTCACGAGAACACTGGGTGGACCCAAGCGAGCAAGCTGTTCGGCAGGGGGAGATGGACTCTCGTCGTAAGAGTGAACGCCCATATGCCTGAAAATGATAAATACGAGTTTGAAACGCACAAACAGCAGTGAGTATTTTATACCTGACAATATAAATTACGTCACGATGTGTGTCAATATCGACTAGTAGTAGTATCCAGGTAGTATCGTAGAAGCATAACGAGCCAACGGACGCCAGGACAGTTCCCTTTTACCGTTGTTGGTCGATATAAATCTGTGGGAACACGTTCGATAATGGGTATGCACGCAGTGAACATGGTTCGCTTACGGTGTGAGTCGAGGTGCAAACTTGGGCTCTGAGGGATTACGGTCAGCATAATAAGAATCAAACAGAATTCGGCGAGTGCGAGATCGATAAGGGGTCCCCCTGCGTTGGAAAACGTCTCGCTGGATATCTTCTCTTTTCGATCCTGGTATTAGGTGGATACAGACGTCGACCAATGAGATTTCGGATCAGCCTAGGATGATTTTCCTCTTTGACTTGCTCCAAGATTGGCCAGCATACATCAATGGGGAGGCGTTCTCCATCCTCAGCAATATTATATGTGACACCTTTGTCTGAAACCGTGTAGAAGGACAGATTACTCATCATGGTTCCGATCCATGACTCGAACTGTGACTGAATGGGAGGGGTGGTTCATTTAGAGTGTCAATGACAGCGTCGAAATAGGCAACCAGAATGGGGAAGCGAACACCCGTGATTGCAGATTCGGTGGAGGGAGGTCGAGGATTAAGACAGGTACGGCTGTAATCCTGAGCGTCAATATGGAATACAGAGGAGTCATGAAGCAGAATCTGCTGTGGTTGGTCCTAAAACTATTATTTGAGCAAGCAGTAAAGATGATGAGATCCAAGATAAAGTTAAGCTTCTCCCATGCGGCCTGGACGTTGTTATGTTCAAGAAATAATGTCTCGTCATTGAAACTGAATGCATATGGCTTGATTTTGTTGGTCATGGAGTAATCTTTCCAGCTCTCTCGTTCATCAACGAGTTTTCTGGAGTAAGGACGCGCACCGCAGATTGCTTGAGCAGCAGCGTGAAGTTGCGTGGATTCGACGAGGATATGCTGATCAAAAAGCATGGTCGGAACTCGATGAGCAAACTGTCTACGAGGAAGACAAGGGCTCTCGTCATAAACCCATGTGCTTCATCGGAAGTAATTGAACCCGGGCATAGGAAAATCGACGTGTCGCCGCGTGGCACGGCGTGCACAAGCGTGACACGCACAACAACTCGAACACAGAAAACACGCACCTTCAAGGAAAACAGTGGTATATCGTTATCTTGGTACTGGTATATAAGTACTCTACAACGTTCCTGCGTTCTTAGGATCTTAGGAATCCTTGTACACAAACTTCTTTGTATGCGGTCAAAACCCCCATGCATTTATCAGCAGAAGGTTCCATTGTCTATAGCTGTGTCTAATAGCCCACCGTATACATTCATTTACTACGTTTGTCTCGATGATCTCTTGCTTAACCTCTCAAACTTTCCTGTCTCTTCTTCCTCGACCTCCGCTCGATTTCTCTTGGTTCTGCGCATGCTTCTTGGTTTTGGTCTCGGAGTCAGTCCTGCTGGCTGCTGCAAAACTTCATCCTTCGTATCTATCTTCTTCTTTTCACCTTCCTTATCATCTATGTACCTGCTGTAATTAGATCCAACCTAAATATATGTTACCATAAACATTAATGATCTCGAGAACTAATACTCACCTCAAGGCTGTCACCCTTCTCATCCTGAAAATTGAAGTGATTCAATCCCTCTCGAAGTCCTATATACGGATCCCAATTGTCCTGGTGATAACCAACGTCAAGTCCCCATTGGTACCAGCCTGCCACACCTGCCTCTCTTGATCGTTCAAACATGCGAGTTTCCAGATATTCGAGACATTCGAGGTCAACATCTATGGTATTTGAGCTATTTGAAGAAATCTGTCTTGTTGTTGTCTGGTGGTTCCAAGCATTGTGAAGGCGTTCAGACTCGGACATTCCTGTGGCAGTGCGATGAAGTCGATGGTCAAGGAACAAGGTTATGGCATGTGCATGTGCAAGAAGAGAGTGCCACTTGGAGCGGGAGATAGATGGCGTTTGACTGACAAATTTTTCGAACCAATTCGCAACTCGGGCTTGGTCTTCGATAGTCAAGCCGCCAGTGAAAGGTATAGTGCATTGATGTATCGGCTTCTTTGACTTTTCAACATATACCTTGGCCGGAACTTCTTCAACAGAACAATCTTGTGGAGAGCAGTGCAACGTCTTCAAAAATTCAAGATGCGGTTTCAGGGCATCATTGACCTCCTCTGTGTACGGATAATCCTCAAATTGCATGAGGATATCTTCTTCACTGAGACGCAATGGTGGATGATCCCATCGTCCAAGCTGAACCAACTTCGATCTCAGTAGCATTTGTCAATAAAAGAACTATTCACATACCCTTGTCTGTCTGCGTTGGTGTTGGTTTCCCCAAAGCTCGTCAATAATTGAGCTCTGATCGACACTGACTATTGCGAGTGGATGTGTACTATCTTTTGGAAAGTGGCACCCTCTCCAGAATTTGACAACACACTCGAATTCATTTCTGCTCTTACCTTTTGCGCCTGATGTATGGATTATGCGCACTGGATAATAGAACTTTCCATGTTGGACTAATGCTCCTTTACCTGGTCTTGAGCAATGCTGAATCAATCAAAATGACATATTTGCATATCACTCACCGTAGCCGTGTATGGAGTCTTTGTGTCGCATTCTGAGCCAATTTTGCTGCTCTAAAAAGGACATTTGTGGTGAGTAACATCCGTGACTAGAAAAGGGTATTACCTCTTGCCAGGAATGAAGCTGTCAATAATTGCTCGTGAGTTCCCTGCACAGCCGTCACATTGGAAAGGCTCTCTTGTCTGCCTCAGCCCTCCCGCTCGACCTTCTTTCTGACATGCAATATGTGACCAAATGTCACAGTTGTCGCACTGAATGATATCACCTGTACTGCTGTTGTGAACCACTAGTGTCTCGTTTGTCGTTGTGATTCCACATCTCCACATAAACTGGAAGTCTGATGTGCCTTCTTGGAGGTATTCCTCAATCAAATCCACATTGAGACCATGGTCGAGAGTCTCTACAGAGTGCATCTGATCCTGTTCCTGTGGAGAGACTGAATTTGGTTCGAGCAGATTCTTTGAAGTTGGTGATGACAGGAAGGGTGAGGATTCATGATTGGGTTGATAGGACAAGGTGGAACGAGGAGGAATGCGAATGGTACCACTAGACTCAGTGGTTTCCTGATAGTCAAGAGTATCCAAACGGAATGGGTTTTTCAGCCATGTTAGGTCATGTGGGGTAAGTTGTGCAAACTTCACTCGAGATAGCCATATTTTTGGGACGTGATGTCGAAGGCTGTCAGGTTCCACCATCATATGGTGAACTCTTCGAGCCACTGCAAGTTGTGAGGTGTATATGGCCTCTTGCGTGCTTGTTCCATTTCGCAGGTGATATATAGCAAAGGCCCCAATGAAATCAGATGGTAACTTGAGAGTAGAGCTGCTGCCTGTCAGGTGGGTGCCAGCAGTTGCGCCAGGCTCAACATATGGACAACCGCCATGTGCCATATCATCGTAAGTCCAGACTGTTTTCCCATCTTCGTCTAAAAATCGGCTGATATAATGATTTTTACTGCGGCTGTAGAAGATTCGACCAACAATATCATAAGTCACTGTTGCCAGCTCCCCAGATTTGTATGGTTGCAGTAGCGCTGGAAAATTCCAAAACTCTGTCGATGTTGTACATTCTTCCTCCTCCAAAATCAATACAACAGGCAGGGATAAGATAAACTTTACATCTGTCTGACTGCCTTTGCACCAGGATTCTCCATCCCTTGCACGCCAGCATGTAGGAAGAGCTTGGGGAGAATGGTTCACATTAGCAAAGGTTTGGAGCCATGACAGAAGATCACCCTTGAACTCTTGGCATGCAGCTTGTCGGAGAACAATAAGGTAACGTATCTCTGGTTTCTGGCACACCTGGTAGTGGTGACCGTTGCCATCACCTGAGCAGTGCTTGATAGTGACAAACATGGTTTGGAAGTAGGACTGTGTCCAATTGTCATCATCAAGATCGTCATTGAGCTTATCCTTCAGTACTTGTGGAAACCAATCCTTCCAACAATAGGTAAGATTCAGATATGATTGCTGAGATACATAAGATGAATAACTTACAAAGGCATTTCCTACTGCATTATCTGACTTAATTATCCTCCACTCTACAAGGCGACGTCTGAATTGGTCACGCTGACTACTCAGAGCTGTAGAGAGATCATAGTCAGGGACCTTCAGAATGAATGAATCATGCTCAGCATTTCGCCGGAGGAGCATCAGGTTGTAAAAATCGCGGATAGGATGTTCAGTTTGTGAGTCAGAGCTAAAACGGCTTGAGAAACTTGCCCAATCCTTGACTATACTGCGATACAGAAGATCCCAAGCTGAGTCAGCCCAACAGGACATGTTGTCCCACCGGTAACTTGCTGGCCCTACTATTGCTGAATTTGTGTGATGTGTGGACGGCAACTCTTTTGACTTTTTAGGTGTCCTCGAAAGAAGATCCTTCTTGGTGTCTGGAGGTCGTCCATCGGATTTCTGTTTTGTACTTCGCCCACTAGGCGCTCGACTTGGTTTGCTACGGCCAATCAGATTGATCATTGCCTTCCAAGGCTCTGCCTTCCCATAGCGGATAAGGCCCCCTTCTAGAAGCAAAATTAAATTTAGAGCAAATAAAAAGGATAACCCAGCTACGTACCAAGATTTGCAGTGAATAGCTTGACAGTTGTCTCGGCAACAGCATGTAATGCTTCAAGACCTTCAAGGAGACCATGGTCCCGTCCAACCGCACTATAAAGCTTCCAATGTTGAGCTTCTTGTGCATTTGTCGTATTCGGTATTGAAGTCCAGATATCCGGCTCCATCCGGGTATGAGTTTCAAAAAGCATTCTTGCATTACTCTCGCGAAGCCACCATCCAAGCCATGAATTAGTGAGAGGAAAGTCACGTTGAATTACTTCAACTCGTGCATGGAAGTCATCAAGATCTTTCGCAGAAATGAGGCCCAACACTAGTTCCTCAAAGTGTTTTTCTGAATGAACAGGAACAACGCCATGAATCTTTTTGATTCTCGTAACAGATGCACGGAAATGCTCTTCACACCCCCGGAGCAATACCTCAGCAGCACTATAGAGTGTGTCCTCGGAGCGAGTGTTTTCATGTCGCTGCATCCAGAAAGCAACAAAAGCTTGAATAAACCCATGTCGTTCAGCTTGCGAAAAATCAATGATCTACCAAAATGTCATTCAAATTCCAGTTCTGATGACTGTGAGTGGAAGAACGCACCCCAGCAAAATGTCTATCAGCTATGATTGTATCATTCGCTTCACACTCGTGTGCAATACTGAGCATCAGAACCAAGAAATGGTGCATATAATGCTCTGCACTAGCACCATCACTATAACTGAACAATCCTGGTACCCAACAGTGCAGCTCCGCTTCATATATTGAGCTTGTGATGAGAAGAGAGTTCCGTTCCCGCCAGAATCCATGAGCTGCGTCGGAAACAATACCATTGACTGGTTCTGGGTGATGTTTGAACATGCCCCCAAGTCGACTTCGCATAAATTCACTTTGAAGGCAGATCATATTAATTTCGCCAAAGATGGTGTGAACTATGAATCCTGGAAAGTCTCGATGGAAGTCACGGAAGCCAGAAACAAAACTATCTCCGCCTGAGTATTTTGCTCCGTTGATGACTTTTTGGCGATCCTTTGCAATACGGTCACGGTTGTTGTACACTGGGCTAATATCTGATGCAGACTTCCGTTTACCATGCAATGTACGGCGACCAACCAAAAGCTGAGATGGCGTAGTATCAGGGTTAATATCAATAAGCTCCTCGAAGCGCGTCTGCTCGCCCGGTAGAAGATGGAGGATGTGAGTTATTCGTTGATGGTTGTGAAAGCCAATGTTTTGCCAGTGTTTGCCGCCCTGCCACGTCCAGATAATAGTTTTAACAGCGCATGGAAAATGTTGTAGCTGTGCCCCACATTGGCATTGCTTGAGAAGTTGGCGTTGGATCCCTCCTGAAACACTGTGAGGACGGATGATGGTCAAACACTGCTCATTGGTGCAAGAAATGACTCCTAAACACGAGCGGGTATTCTTCTTCCCTGCGGACCAATGCTCAGCAAATGCGTTGCCTACACCAGCTCGACTTCCATAATCCTTTCTTGCCCAGTGTACCCGAAGATCCCCAGTCTGAGCGAGCTCTTCCCAGGTAAAATCGGCCTCAAGATTACCATCCAACCAGCCATCCCATGATTCGGGAGTGGTATTTGGACTTAACAAGGGATTTTTTTTGCCAGCAAGTTGGTATTCAGAGGGAGAGGTAGACTTCGCAGTTTGTTGGCTAGGCAAGACAACAGAACCCAAGACAGGTGTTGGAGGAACAATATTGATTGAAGGAACAGTATTCAGACCTGCGTCTGCGGCGCTCAAGTGTCCAGGTACTGTATTTGGTTGTTGCGAAGAATTTTTCTTGCCAAGAGTCGGGTTTTGAACAGGTTGCACTGGCGGACCACTGGTAGATACAGGGGGCTGCGGGAAAACCTGATTGTGGGCAAAACCATACATGGGCATCGAATTAGGAGCTACTTACAATCCTCGATGATTAGATTCATGGGTTTAATGAGAAGCAAGGAACAACATACCTGGAAACAGTACTGGGTTGGAGTAATGACTAAACCAGGGAAGATTTTGACTCCAAATACCAGGGTAATGAGGAGCAAGGGGGTTATCGAAGTAGGTTGGCAGCTGCATGGACGGTGCAACTGGATAGACTGATTTTGATTTGAATTTGAGGCCCAAAAACTGTTGGATTGACTTACCTGGTGAGGATGGCAAGGCTGAACTGGTGAACTGGGGACTTGTACGCATCGCAGTTGGGACACGGACAAATGACTCGGTATAGCCTGTTTACAATGTTATTTATCTGGACCATCCCGCTCAATTGTATTTTGCCTACCATCAAGATTTCGGATCGGTATAAGGTCATCAAACGATATTGGCTGGTTTCGAAAAGTAGCCTCTGATACATCCTTTGGGGTTGACGAAGCCCCCAAGCCTTGCGTGTCCTGTGACGAGCTTTGCGGCCCAGCAGGTAATGGGTTGGATTTTATATCCTCATCAGGAGGGTTATAATAGTGATACATATGTTGCAAAAAGTTCTTCGCTGTACATGAGCTTTGTTAATTGTCCCAAAATAAATCAACGCTTACAAGGACCATCACCGTTGAAAATATCACCGTAGATATTGGCAAATAATGTCAACTACAGCATATCATCGCCATGAGCACATGGCACACATGGCGCATGCCGCCCCTACGGGCCCCGTACATGCCGCCCATACACGCCGCCCACGTGTATCTGTGTGAACCTGCGTGTATCTGCGTGCACCTGCGTGTATCTGCGTGTACCTGCATGTACCTGCTTGTCAAGGCGCGTAAGAATGGGACATGGATAATATACTGGAGTGACATGGAAAACTCACTGCTCGAAAGTCATCACTTACATGCCTCTCTCTGTATCCTGTTAGTTCTTGTATTCAACTGAGAATGATTGAAGGTTTAGAAATATTGCTTTATTGTGGCATGACAGGAGATACAGATACAGAAAGAGTGAAGTAGAGGGTGTAACGTTCAAAGCAGAGTCCTGAATTATCTACATTTGCATTGGTTAGTATTGAATCCTTGTTGATCCAATGACACTTACTAGCAGCTTCTACCCACACTCTCTCATTGTTATCAGTACTTCCTAGCTTGGCCTAATTTGTTGAGCACGTTGATTTCCCTCTGTGAGCTCCAGGGGGAACCCCACAGTCATTGCAGTCATCTATGGTGCACAAGAAATGTTTCAGTCATATTCAGTGTACAGTTGCTATCCGTTTGTTGAAGTCGGAGATGAATAGAGGCAAGAAACAAACAGCGACAATGAAGGAATGGAAAGGAAAACCAACACAGTCCCATTGAGCCCTTAGACTTCTTTAAAATGGATCCGGACGCGCCGCGCCATATTGCAGGCCGTACCCAGCTTTGAGGTGGGCAGTACATTTTAAAGTCATCCTCGTCTACCCATGGAACAGTGATGGTGATGAGCGTAGAGCGCATAGGCATTGCAACGTGGAACATCGAACATTGAACACAATTCAATGAGGTAATTGTATAAAGAAGCCACATGTTGTCCTGTGTATATTACGGATTGAATACGCCGAGAAGAGCGAGTTTACCGTTTTTAAATTGGAGACAGCTAATTGGAGGATTGGGTGGAGCGAAGGAAATCGGAATAACCTTGAGTATATCAGGAGAGGATACAGCATTACAGAAATGTGTTTGCAACCCGAGTACAGAGAAAGTGTTTTAATGATTTCAATTTATAAGACTACAAATCTAGTTGGTGTATTTCGTGACTCGCGAGATGACGAGGAAAGGAGTTGTTCACGTCCTTCAATTCCCTCTCTCTTTTAGCATTATTACACGCATTATACACGTAGCCTCACGTATTCGCACGCTCGATCACGTCGATTTCTCACTGCCCATTGAACCCGTGGGATAATTTGTGAACTTCAGTTCTAACTTCCAGCCTCTGTTTTTGATCTCTTCAAGCCTGTATCGTTGTACTGTGTATAGATTTCGTCGAAACAAAACCATGGTCAGTCTTGAGTTTGAGCTTGAGCCAGCTTCCTTCCTTCCTTGAGTTTCTTCCGTATTCTGACTTTGCAAGTTTGCTCTATCATTGAATAGTTTTCCGAGTATCCGAGGGATTTATCGACCAGATTAGACCACATTTCCACGAGATAATTCTACCACCTGTGACTCGTTTTCTCCTGATTTTCACCAGTTTCTCATCTAATATATTGCCTGAATTTCGTCGATTCTCATTCGAATACCCACAACATGTCTGCTGTGACACAGACTCAAAACACAACATCAGGTCCACCACCACCAGGTGTCTATGTTCCCGCTGTGCTTTTCTTCCATCCTGGAAGCGAAGACATCGATGAAGAAGCATATAAAAAACATATTTTACGGTTAGCGGAGGTATGTATGAATGTCATACAAAGCCGCGCCCGAGCTCACAAGCCTATGCGCTTTCCTCCAAGGGCGGCGTAACCGGAATACTCGTCCAAGGCTCCAACGGTGAAGCTCAGCATCTCTCCCACGCAGAAAGATCCCGCACGATCGCCTTTGCGCGAAAAACCCTCGATGAAGCGGGATTCCAGCATGTGTTGATTATTGCAGGGACTGGAGCGCAGTCAGCGAGGGAGACAAAGGAATTGTGCGTGGAAGCAAAAGAAAGTGGAGCCGGTTGGGTGCTGGTGTTGACTCCATCGACGTGGGCACCGGCGATGGGAGCAGATAGTATATCGAGGTTCCATAGAGAGGTGAGCGCTTGAGATTGTTGACAGAACATATCGGATTATCAATTTCAATACAGGTTGCAGATGCCTCTCCCCTTCCATATATGATTTACAACTTCCCAACTGTAACCGCCGGGCTCGACCTTGACTCGGACCTTATTTCCTCACTCGCTACGCACCCCAACATTGTTGGCACCAAACTATCTTGCGGGAACGTCGGAAAAATCCAACGATTGTCCTCATCCTTCGACTACAGATCCTCCTTCGCCACATTTGCTGGGAAATCTGACGTTTTCTTACACACCCTCCTGTCTAGCGGCGCAGGCACCATCGCTGCCCTCGTCAATCTCGTACCAAAGATCCACGCGAAGGTGTTCAAATTGTTCCTGGAATACCAGAAGACCAAGGATGCGAAGGTGCTAGAAGAAGCTTTTACGCTACAGTCAAAGCTATCTGCAGCGGATTGGGCGGTGTCGAAGATCGGTGGTGTGGGTGGTGTCAAGGCGATTGTTGCGCAAGAGTTTGGGTACGGGAATGGAACGGTGAGAGGACCGTTGAAGGAGGCAAGTCTTAGTGCGCTTGTGCAGAGTGAGCAAGGAGCGAAATGGTGGAAGGCTGTCGAGGAGGTTATCAAGATCGAGAAGTTGTTGTAGAGTTGCTTGAGGTTAGCCGACTCGTTATTTGGGATCTAACTGTCGTCAAAGGCTACATTACCTTCCAATGAATCCAACTCTGCATGACGATTTCATTCTGATACCCAAAAAATGCATATGCGAAGATTCTGAAGATTCTATTGACATTAATTGTTGTCATAACATGCTGCAAATCGCATCAACCAAATTACAACGGAATGTAGTAGAGGATAAATTACGCATGATACGAAAACGGCGTGAATACGAAATCCTCGAACAAAAATTCTTCCAACCGAACCTAGAAATTGATTTGGTCCTGGCCGATACATGCGTAACGATGATTACATGATGACCCAGACGCGCGAGAAACGAAAAAAAAGGAAGAAGGAAGAAGGAGCATGGAATTGTTCACTATAACCCACCGGTGATATATTGTTATGTAGTGGTGTATCTGGAGTAGAGTATGTTCTCCTGTAATACAGAAAACGCGGCGATTGAGCGTTGTGAAACAGATGATGTTCAATTGAGTGGTTGTACTTCTCCCTCTTCTCCTCCGACCCACCACTACTCCTACTCCTTCTTCGCAAAATACCCATTATTCACCACAGTCGACTGTATGATCCCATACACCGACTCTCCGAGACCGAGATACGACTCGGCGGCGGATTTGGCGGTGGGGTTTGTAGTTAGTTGGTCGATGTCGAGGCTGTGGTGTGTGTGTGTGTGTGTGTGGTTGGGTATGTCGTTGTGAGAAGGAAAGTGGGGATGAGAGTGATTTGAAGAAAGAGTGACAAAGCGTTCAGCCAACTTCATACAACATAAAGGTATTTGCATAGAAAGAAAACAAACCTAAACCCGCTCGTCTTCTTCACCCCCGCAAGGACCGTAGACACCAAAACTGCATCGAATGCGTAGTGGAACAATCGTCCGAGAGCCATTGTGGGTCGATATATTGATGAGAACGCGTTACACGGGTGTATAGAGAAATACAGGAGGAACAAAAATGACTGCGCGGGCGGCGGTGGATGTCGATCACTGGATGGGGCGGAAGATATTACCACGGAGATTGTTCAATAGATGAGAGGTGAGAAGAAGATTATTACAAGAAAGACTACGTCGACCGGCCGGCTTGTTAGTCGAAAGTTGCCGTTCGTGCCGGCCTGACGTGTCTCAAAATCCCAAGTGCATGCAGCTTCTCTGCACTTCGCTCTGGATTTTGACCTTCTGGATAAGCCTCCTAATGCGTCAGCATGCCGACTGATTCCACCTTCAATAGTAAATAATAATGATTGATGATGATTGTTGTTGTTTGAAGACAGTGAAGATTTCAGACTGAGAAAGAAACCCATCAAAAGAAACTCATCAACACAGTAACAATCCCTGGTAGTATATCGGTTAGTACACGCGCCTGTCATTGTATTCGATCTTCCGCGCGAAAGCTGGGTTCGACTCCCAGCCAGGGAGTGCCGCGAAATTCGACGCCATCTTTTTTGTACGGGGATATTGAACTACGTACGATACTTCGAAGGGCTTTTAAGCTAAGCAAAGTAGCAAATAATGGAGTGAAATTCAGACTAGAGGCGTTTTTAAACAAGACTTGTTGATATTATTTGTCGCTGTTTTCTATCGACCCCGGCGCAAGACTTTCGGTTAACTAATATCGATGGGGACGACTACACCCAGTATCAGCCTAGCAGCCGACGTGGACACGATACCCGGAATAGACGAACCAACGCGTGTGGTTCTACGGAGACTACGAGGGCAAGGATTCGATGGGACAAATTTGTACGTAGACTTGCTGCTGATAATGCAAGGTAATGATTGAACGAACTGAATGAAAACAGGTCTTTACATCGACAGCAGCTCGCAGCTGTGTTAGTGTTACTTTATTCGGATAGCACGGGCTCAATCCAAGTGCTCCTCACCACACGATCTAAATCACTGCGGTCTCATCCTGGACAGACAGCGTTACCGGGAGGTAGAATTGACGAAGAGGATAGGGAGCCAAAGGTTTTATGGGGTGCTGTGAGTGATTGTCACTGAACACAACCGTGTTTATATATGGATGGATAGTTTAGGGAAGCATACGAGGAAGTCGGGTTACCCTTTCCTTCCAGTCTGATTATCGACAGTGACAATGACATCCCACATATACCGAACATCCACATCCTCTGTACACTCTCCCCACATATATCCCAATGGGGTATCATTGTCGTTCCAGTTGTCGCTTATCTCTCCGGACCAGTATCCTCCTCCGCGTCCTCACCACCATTGCATACCTATATCCTGACACCAACTCTAACACTCCAAGCAAACCCCACCGAAGTCGATCGAATATTCACACATCCCTTGGAATCAATCCTAGATCCTTCCTCCTCCGTCTCCATCAGAGATTTGGCGGAGAAAGGATCAGAGGATTGGCCGTACGATGAAGAGCTTTACGTACGTTACCTGTATAATACCGTTTTGTGCATATATCTCTGACTTCCACATCCATCTATGGCAGAACTACACCGACCGCGTTTATCCACAACTCGGCCCTAACCACAACAACAACACCGACACCACCGACAACATCCCCAGCTCCATTTATAGAATGCACCGCTTCCGCTCAGTAGCGTCACCCATAAAAGGATTGACTGCTGAGATTCTGGTATGTTGTTTTTACATTCCTTTTCCATTTGTTCGTTGCGGTCTTACTATCACTACTGTCACTCACGTACCTCTTCACTCCTACCTCCATCCGTCCTTCCTACCTCCACCTACCTCCCTGTATCCCTGACCTCCTACCCTCCTACTACCTCTATCCCTCTATCGATTCCTCACTTTATTCGATACCCTTCTATCTCTCTAGCTCCGCACAGCCTACATCGCCTATGCCCGTCCTCCCACCGCGCCGATTGAGCAATACGCTCCTGGGCAGGTGAGAGGCTTCAAGGATGCGTAGTGTATAGACTGTTTTCTGGTGGGGTTTTGGTGTTTGTGGGAAAGAGTGGGTGGAGTCAATGTATCTTTGGATGCATTAGATCTTTAAATGGAATGAGGACGGAGGACGGAAGATGGATAAAGGAGAAAGGAGAAAGGAGAAGGATGATGGGTTGTTGGTTTTGTTCCGTGTTGGTGGATTGAGAGGGGATGGGAGATGAAGGGAGTGAGGTAAGAGGTTATGTTATGAGTAGAATCTCTGAGGAAATGAGGGGATACAAGAGACGAGCAGAAACAATAGAGTATAACAGGATGCGTAGAAAGGGAACATGAGAGGATATGGAGATGAGAGTGTTTAAAGAAGAGGATATGGTACAATCTAGATGAGAGTGTTCAGACTATGAAAAGATATGATAGATGAGTGAGAGAAGAGAAGTTCATGAGATGATATGAGACGATACAAAGAATATAAGAGGATACAAGAGGATATAAGGATATACATGAATATAAGAGGACAAGAATAGAGAGGGACTTTCAGTTCCACAGTTTGAGGTGGTTTAAAGGGATTTCAAATGGTTTGTGAGAAATTTTGACAGGGTTGACATGGTTTGATAGGGTATAAGTAGGGGGAAAGAGGATATCAGGACACAGTTGTAGGAGAAGAATTCAAGAGGATATATTCATTGATATAGTCTACAAAGATTTGAGAAAACTTGAAACTTGAAAGATAAGATCATCCTGAGTTGATCCTGAGTCAGAATACTTATCTTATAATCCTCTCACACAGATACTATCCCTTTTTTTAATCAGTGGATATAGGTGTTTTCCTATGTCAATCTTAGTACAACCCAGTCCAGATAATGTAGTCACTATCAGTACATACTGGACAGTGAATTTATAGTGACTGTGGTACTTGTTCGAAAGTATCGATAATCTTTCGATGGCAAATAAAAATAGACGTGCACGCGCAAACAACTTTCGAGTAAGCGCGCCTTGTACATAGTACGGCTGGCTACCCATGATCGACTGCGTAACGTCTATGTATATGTACTATACAATTGTACCATTAACATTCTTCGAAGTCCGAACCTACCACCCACCCACAACCAACACCCAATCAACACATTATCTATCTATCTCTCGATTAAATCACGGCGTCCAAGTAGTGTTCTGTACATGCATCAACATTGATACTTAACTTCCAGGAAACGAGGAGGGGGATAATAGGATGACTTACAAGAGGCAAATCCCGAGAACTCCCCCCGACAGAAATCAAAAAGTCTCCATTCGGCACATACCACAACTGGTCAACAACAGACCACGAGCTGACGTCCTTGCGCCGAATTGGGAAGGTGACGACAGCAGAATCACCGGCAGGTAAATCTTTGATCTTGTCGAAACCGCGTAGTTGACGCACGGGTTGGTTGTCTCCTGGGATGGAGATGTACTTTTAAATGGAATGTGAAAAACAAAGAAAAAAACAAAAAAAAAAGGGATTTTCGACGTTAGCTAGCGCAAAACTTGTGTGGCAAATGAACGAACCAATTGAGCGACTTCACTCCCAGTAAGGTTCCCAGTGTTAGTGATGGTCGCGAACACAGTGAATATCACGTCGTAAAGCGAATTGGTGCCGTCCCATTCAGCGAATGGCTCCGCTGTTTCCATTACAGACGAGTAATCTTTCGCCCACCGACCGTGATCGACGATCAAGTTCGAGTATGTGAAGGTTGTGTAGGATAGACCGAATCCGAATTCTGAATGAGAGTAAGGCGAGACAAGACAGGAAAGTTTGAGTAATGATGATAAGGTAATAGAGAGTGGAGGGGTATGAATACGTTACCATATCGAGGAGTTATACCCATCTTGTCGAACCAGCGGTAATCGATGAATACACCTTCCGTAAAATTTGATTGAGGAGAGTATGCATCGGTGTATACAACACCGTTAGGCTACATACCACAATCAAACACCGTAGGAAAGGAAACCGAAGAAAAAAACTTACAACATAATCATCAATACTCTTCCCCCAAGTCCACGGAAGCTTCCCACTCGGCGCAACATCACCATACAAGACCGGAACCAGACTATTTCCAGCTTCTTGCCCAGGGAGATACGCAACGAGGATCGCCGTAACATTTGGGTTGTCCGCCCATTTTTCAATATCCACGACACCGGTGGTGTGTATCACGACGACGACGTTGGACGAATACGTGACGGCGAGATCCATGAGGTTGTCACCGTCGCCTCCGAGGGAAAAATCAGGCGCATCTGCACCTTCCTCGGAATATCGGTTGAGGAAGACAAAGGTAACGTCGGCGTCAGGGAGGAGGGCGGCGATTGCGTCTTCTGCGCCGGTGGTGGTGTTGCTGTTTGCGACGACTGCGGCGATCTAAACGGAAGAGGTTGAGTGATGGGTTTTTATTATTGAGGAGAAGAAGAGCTAATTAAGTTCAGTCATCGAACCTCGGCGTTATCTTCGATTGCCCTTTTCTGCAGCGCTTCGAGGGGAGTGATGGTGTATGGTGAAAGTGCCGACCCGCTTCCGCCTCCTGTTGTCAAGGTACCATTCTAAAACCATAGTAAAGTCAGTCAAGTCAATAATCAAAGCGATTATAAATAAAAGGCAAGCTACGATACGAGGAATAATGAGATAAAACATACAAGGTTGTCGATATCACAGGCACTGTTTGCCAAACCACAAGCATTGGGACCGAGCACGTTATAAGTAGCATCGTTGCCTTATGGACCAAATGAGTGAGTATATTTATGGAAACAAAGTGAAGTCCGAAGATTCAACGTACCCAATACTGCAATCCGCTGCGGGTGTTTCAAGGGTAGACTACCGGTGTTCTTCAGGAGAGTAACGCTCGCGCTTCCGATTTCCTTTATCAGCTCCGCGGTCCCTGGTTTCCGAACGTTTCGATACCCAGAAGTAGCATTCAAAGTAGGCGCTCCGATTGTGTTCTGTTTACCACCGACACGATATTGAGTACGATGAGATCGATAAATTCGAAGTGGTTAGTAAGTGGGTGCTCACATAAACAAAGGGTGGTGGTGGATTAGTATCTTGACCGAGGTAATAGTACCCAGTCAGGATGCGAACTGCTTTGTCTCGAACGAGATCTTCGCTGACTGTGCCGTTGTTGATCAATTCAACCAATGTTGCGCCCCAGAAATCTCCCAGCGCTCCCAGAAATCCTTTTCCAGGCATAGCCTAATCGTGAGAGTTTTGGCATACTTAGCACGACATAAAATACCGATTCCGACTAAACAACTCACCACATCCAAACCATTCTCTGCAGCCGGTACACTGTCCCATTGTCCTCCCCAGTCACTGACTACACCTCCCTGGAAGTTCAGTTCAGTTTTGAGGAGTTGATTAAGCCCTTTGGCGTTGCTACACGAATGAGTGTTGTTGATACGGTTATAGGAACACCTGTAGAAGGTTATGATTGATGAGTTAGGAAAAACTTGGGAGATATAGATATTCCGAATGAGATTCACATGATATGATTCGTTCCAGCCCGAACAGCTTCAGCAAATGACCACATGTATAGTTCGTGCATGGTCAAGTCGTCGACGTTGGAGGAAATTCTGTGAATAGCAACATATAGTTAGACACGATCGTGCCGGAAGGGTATGGATGAGACTCACGGCAACTGAATATCCGCTTGCGAAACTGTTGTTGTTGAATGTAATGAATATAACGAGCCATAAATTGGAGAGGGGAATTTACTCGCCTCCGTCGATGTCGATATAGAGATTTCTCGATGTTTCCTGTTCATATGCTATCCACTGGAACAAACATTATCAAGAACGGCTTGGCGAAAGGAACAGGAAATTGCTCATACGTGCTTTGAGACCGTGGCTACGCCAGCATCGGTCAAGCCTTTTACAGATAGGTAAGAAGCTTCGCCACAAGCATAAGGATCAGCAAAAGTCCCTTCCCAGCCTCTTCCGTTCCTTTGGATATTATGCTTCAGATCAGTGTGCGCTTTTTTTTTCGAAGATCATGACTTACAAAGGCGTACGACCAAGTGCTGGATTTGAATTAGACACCAAACACATTACAGAGTTTAAGCATGAACTTACGACCGCCAGTGACAGGTGCCAACTAGGTAGTGGTGAAAAAGTTACTACAAGGAGTACTACGAGTGGGAGAAAAACTCACTGCAAGATGCACGCCTTGATCATGGAACTCTTGTCCCATACCTCTAGCACGAGCATACATGAGCGTCCGGTCCCAAGTGGCAGCAACGGTAAGACCAGCTGGAAACTGAGAACTTCCATGCACACCACGAGGCCCGATAGGTCCGTCTTGAAGACAAAATTCGGGAATTCCAAGTCGAGTTACAGCACCCGTCACTCCTGAACACAAACCTATAACCCCTGAGGTGATCTGGGATTGCCCTCGTTGAGAATAATCATACGAATGATTTTCTCTGGACGCACGTTGGCTAATTCTTCCACGGTCATCTCAGTGACTGTCGCTTTCGCTTTTTTGAAAGCAGAAGCCCACGATTTGCCTCCATTAGCAAGCGCTGCGATAGAAAAAAAACTTTTGGTCAGACCTGGATCGATTAACATTAACCAGAGAAAACGTACGCGCTGGCCATTGAGTGCTGTTGGATTCATCTCCAGTAGAATTTAGGTCGCGACGAAAGATACTGCGTTCGGAGCCAAGCCCTAAGCCAGAAAAGTATGCGAGGGCAGGGGATACTGAGAAGAGAACCGCGAGGGAGAGTCTAGCTGGGAACATGATCAAACTCAACAGAAAAGTGAGAAGACAGCTTGAATGCTGGCTTTATAGTTTTTGGGGACATTGTCGGCGTGTAGGTAACTGCTGGTACCTGGGTTCAGAGTTCGTAACTCCTGAATTTCTTGCATATCGATTGCGGAGTGCTTGCGGAAGTCGGCTGACTCCTGCTGACTCTCAACCAAACTCAACCCCACCGATGCCTTCCAAGGCACCGATTCCTCCTCATACCCCTACTTTCTCTGGAGAGATCCGGAGAGATACGTCGGGTGCTCATTTGTCTCGGGGTCCGATGCCAGACGTTACACTTGGCCCCGATTCGACGGACCAGAAATCCGATTTCCAAGAAACAGCGGGAAACCTGGCTCATGAAAATCACACTCACGTGATGATCCCCATCACCGACGCCCGACTCGGACCTGCGCCCGACCACCCTTCGAAATTTGAAATCCCGACCGATACCCCGGATATTCACAAATTGTTAGGTCCCCCGACTCGAAACATTTGCGTATTGTGCGTATCTTTATTGAGCTTGGATGCTTAGCTTCCATATTGTATAGACTTGTATTTTTGGCTGGCTGAATTGCTAATAAACGATCTCTCTGGCGCGGTAGAAAGCGCACTTTTGTCATGCAGTTTTTTGACTTGGCCTTGTTGCGGAAAAACTCTCTTGGGGCTGAACTTACTCATCTGAGTAATCGCATCGTTGTTGAACTGACCTCATTCTCGAAAAGAAGCGCGCGCTTGAAAGTTGTCGCTATTAGTGATTACCGCTGATTACCGCCCATTTCGTTCCTTGTCCTCTAACTATGGCTTCAAGGACTCTTTAATGCCACTTCTTGAATACTTCACCATTTAAATGGCAGTACCGGAACCAATCCCTCGCGCTCATACGGCACTTGGCAGTCTTGCTATCGTAGTCGACTCTTCTGTGGCGCTTGCGGGGAATTGGCACACAATCCTCAAGTATCTTGGTTTATTTGTGCAGAGGTTAATACTGACGAATCATGGAGCTGGTGTACGTCGCAATCATCAAGTCCCCAAACTTCTTTCTCTCATATATGATTACAGTACCGCATTGCGTGGGTGACCTACGGGCCACCCGACAGTCTTTCCTCTTTACTGCTTTGTAAACGTTTTTTCGCTGAGATCGCGGAAGTCACAAATGTAATCAAGGCCCAGGATGAACTGTATCAGCTTGGTGTAGGAACTACGCACTCTGGAGGGACAAGAGGTATGGCGATGTTAGAGGGTTTAGTTGCTGCTGTCGAGGTACGCCATGTACGAGTGGCTCATTACCAGCTCATCCACTCATTTGTTTTCTCAGTTATTCGATACACTCATTTCTTTATCTGATATTCCCCGAAAGTCACCTTCGCACATTTTGCACATTACGGCGTCCTTCCCAGATAATGCCAAACACCCTCATGAAAATATGTCTTCACTGTTAGATGAAGTCACCTGGGAAACTTTGCCAGCGGAACTCAGTAAAGTTAGCGACTCGTCTCTTACCTTTGGATGCCATAACTCAACGCCATTGTGTAGCGCAATATCTTTCTAAGCTCTATCGTCCTCAATCCAAAGAACAATACGAAAATACCCGAACTCCATTCATCTGCAGCTTTAAACACTGCTCCAACATCATGGCTCCCTGTCGATGCACCGCACAAAGCATATGTCGCTTTGCTGAGCATCCCCCAGAAAGGTTAGTACTACGAATTTCGCGTTGCATAATTAATCAATTCTTCAATGTCCATTTAGGCGTCAAGCGTCCGGCGGACCAAATGAACGCCATAGAGCAGCCGCCAGAAAAACGATCAAATGTCTTCTCAGGATCTCCACCGCGCAACAATCCGAATCCGAACGTGAACGTGAACACAAATCCCCCACCGACAACGAATTCTGCTAAACCTCCTAGCTCGGGTACTCATAGTCAACCACAACCCAAGCCTTTAAACGCACCAACTCAACCACCAGCAGGTCAACCTGCCCAACCTGTACCACCCTCGAACCTCGCAAACCTTCCCCCGCCGAACTCTACCCAAAAGATCCCCTGGCCAGGCATCGGAAATTTGACTCCCAACGAACTCTTCCAGCGTCTTAGACATTTCGAGGACATGCGTCGTCGGACAGACGCCGTTTTGACGCAGGCTATAAACAGCGGAGATTCGAGCAAAGTGGAAATGGTCAAACAGCAAACTGCGCAATGGGAACCGATGTTCTTCAAGGTCAGGAATATGGTTTCGCATTATATAACTGCGTTGAGGAGGGCTGGAATGGCAGGACCGGGAGCACCGGGAGGAGCACCAGGACAAGTTCAGGCGTCGACTTCGACAGGTGTCGGTGCTCCAACAAATAATCTCAATCCCAATCCTGGGAATACCGATATCTCATCCCAGCCTCCGACAACACAATCCAATCCGCATCCAAATCCTCCGTCTTCTTCAAATGTCGCTTCGTCACCTGCCACGAAACCAAACGACAGTTTGATGCCAGTTAATTCTTCTATCACATCAGCAACCTCACCTGGTCTTAGTGCACCCGCCTTATCATCATCAACTCCTTCTTCAAAGTCACCTTCGAAACCTTCGCCGAAACCCTCTGCTATCAAACCCTCGCCGAAGCCTAAACCCAAAGGGTCCCCGATAAAAAACGCGGCTTCAACCGTTTCTACCGCTCCTTCTATCGGTGCGTCGTCTACCGCGGGTTCGAGTACATCGACCAATCCCGCTGTTGACGGATCCGGTCCCAACCTGGCATCGGGACTCCCAATCCCATCGAGCTTACCACCTGAAGCTGCGCTACAGATGCAGAAGCTTATGGAACAGGGTGGCAGAGGACATCCGAGGGATATGGCGATGGGTAGTATGGGCCAAGTGAGTCCGAACGTGACGGCGGCGGGTGTTGCGCCTCAGCCGTCGCCGCAAGGGATGCAGGGAATGATGCCAGGACAAGGGCAATCCGGACAGCAACCACAAGTGGGTGGAGTCGTTGGCCCTGCGGGAGTGGGAGCAATGAGTTCAGGTTCTGTATCCAACACACCTTCTACCAGTACAGGAGGGCAAAACGGTGGCATTCCAGCGTGGACTGGAGGATTATTCTACCCTGGTGAGCCAAATGGTACGAGAAAGGACTTTAGGATATCAGTTATGGCGATGAGTGCCAATCATTTGGAGTGGTAAGTCGTGGTCTTTTCTCATATTATGCTATCGAAGTCTTGCTTCATCGAAATTACTAATCATTTATTTCTCCTTATAGTCGCGCTCATACTTGGCCAATGGAAATGACCCTCACTCACACACGGGACCCTGTTGTCAGTCTCGCTGAATTTCAGATGTGGGCAAAGAAAACGAGACCGGTCGTTTGCACAATCAAGCCTCACGCTAGGAATCCGGATGCACGACAGAATGCTTTCAATGAGAATTACTTCAATGGAATACAGGCGCTGATCCGGCAATCGAAGACCGTGAGTTCGTCTCAGTCATACATGCTTTACTCTAATGTGTAACTTCTCTCTTTCTGGCGTTGTCATCGTTAGTACATTGTCTCTTCTTGGACTCTCCCTTCCGGTGCACAGACGAACAACGTCTTGTTCGCAATCGTACCTCCTCATGGATTCATCGGTGCCTTTTTCCCTGCGACTGGGATCCCTGAAATGCCTAAACCGATACCCGGTTCCACGATGCCCGGTGGCTTACTAGGTAGATTACCCGGAGGGGTTAGTGGAGAAAATATCGGAGCACCACCCGCAGGGGGTGCAGGAGGCGGAGGTCCCACGCCTGGAACAAATATCGGTCCACCCAACATTCTCGCCATATTACAATCATTCCGAGTACCTCCCGATTTAACAGCCAGGATACTACAAATGCCGCCAGAGCGTCAAATAATGGCCCTCAAGTCACTAGCGCAGACCAAGGCTCAGCTTCGCGGTCAGGGGCCAGGACAAGGAGGTGCTGCAAGTGGTAGTGGGCAGGCGGGTATAGCCGGGATGCATAAATCTGGAGGCTCGAATGTCAATATCACTGCTGCTGCCGCTGCGATGGCATTACGAATGCAGCAATCTGGTGGGATCGGAATCCCCCAGGGTATGCAAGGTAGCATGCAGGGCACATCAGGTTTGAATATGGCTGGAATTCAACGACAACTATCAGGACAGGATGGGAATAAGCCGAATCCCCAAGGCGCTGCGAATATAGCTGCGTTAATCAACGGAATGAGAGGGAATATGGGCGGAATGGGTGGAATGAATGCGGCAAACATGGGAGGTACAGCGGCAGGAAACATGTTCCAGCAGCAAATGGCACAAATGCAACAAATGCAACAGAATCGTTCCATTTTTGGAGGACCAGCTGGTACCGGTGCTGGGGGTGTAGGAGGAAAAAATTTGAGTCTGGATATGATACAGTCATTCATGCATCGCAATGGTCAGGAAGGGCAGGGTGGGGGACAAGGTGGATAGAGAAACCCGTTCGTTTTCGCGGGAACTTTTTCGTCATGCATTGTTCACTGTTATTCTTGGTTTTGTCCTCGGCTCAAAATCGCGTTTATATTATTGCAATCATCCTTGCTCGAATCACCACAGATCTAAATCCACAATTCTTACCTCGGTACAAACATCTTAGCTTCTGACTGAATCCACGAACCAATCAATCTCTCGAGAAGCACAACTTCTTATGACAAAGCCACGTATGACTTGGCTTCTAAGTTAACAAGCACTGACGATGTCGTTTGAAGGTCCCATCCCGTGCTATCCTGGCGTTAATCTTTCACTACGTCACGGGCCATAAATGTTGGGCGTAAAAAGAAACGGGAAATGTTATGGAAAACTTGAACTTTTGCAGTACATAGAGTGTATACAGGAGTAACCAGGTGCCCTGGGCACCTGGCAGAACAATCGGATTTCATGCTGGGCACGTAACCAGCACAATACATGAAAATCCACAAATTGGGATGTTCCCTTTCTAGTAGTAGCTCAATTGGCGCTTAATTGTGTATTCCTTTGTTACTGCGATTACATTGTATTCAATGCGCCTGGCCCAGTATGATCATCGTCTCCTCATTGTCAATGGTGATGTCTACTATTCATTGCATCTGTAAAATGAGACTGCTAGTGGCTTCACAAATTCACAGAAATCTCTTCCTTCTTGCAATGCATCTGCAAAATATCCCAATCGTGTTAATCCGTCGATCATTTGTGATCCTTCCTACCTTCTACTTCCTTGTCTTTCCTCTATATCATTGCCGAACCTTTAGGTAAGGCTTCTTACTAAAATCTTTCCGTTCATTTTGTAGGGGGGAAGTTGAGCTTGGCCATCTCCCACGGTCATGTGCTAGTAACAATTACATCATTATTACTTTGTGTTGGTGGCAAGAACATCATTCAAGGTATTGCTGCTGAATCTGCATTTGTATGGAGAATTTGAGTGATAGAAGCCCAGTTTTGGGAACAAAAAAATTGTGACTAGACTGAGTTTGCCAAATGGTGTTTTAGGCACATTGGTTCCCAAAACCTATGAAATACTCATGAAATACTCATAAAGATAAAGATTATGCAGTGTTAGCCACTGTAAATTTTTCCAGACACAAGGGCAAAGATCTAGTCCATTGAAATTGTGTCATCCTGAGCCCAATCACTCAAAGCTTTGAACTTTGTCTGCCAAACTCTGGAAATCTTTTGTCCAGCAATTCAAAAGCCATCTCCTGTCTTTGCCTTTACTTCACATAATGCCTAAGGCCATTCAATGAATGTAGCTTGCATAAACTTTAACAGTTGCCATTCAGTCCAAAGTGCATATGTGATACTTTCTTGTGTTTGCTCACTAAAAAGTTTACATATGTTATGGCCATTCAGATTAAAATGACATTTCTCTGAGTTAGAAGAATTGAGACCCAAGTTGAAGAGGATTAAGAATGTGGCAATGAAGACAGTGCAGGCTGCAAGAAGTGACTTGTCATGGTATCATAGCTTTCAGCTCAGTTCAAGTAGCTTCAACTTAGCTGTTCCATGTGATGAGTCTAGGTTATGAAGCTCCTAGTCTCTATCTCCATCTGCAAAACCTGCAACTCTGGTTAAGGGTCTGAAAGCAGTTGAGAGCAGATCTGAGGGCTATCTGCTCTAAGCCCATAGCCAAAAATCCAGGTTTTGCAGATGCTCTTCAGTTTTCATTTTCCATTCACCACTATTACACCACCTGTCCCAGTAGCTAATGGCTTCCAAGGGCAAGGCATAATCCTCATAGCAAGTTAGATTTTGCACAAAAGGCATCAGAAGAGGTGTATGTTTCTACTTCCCTGGAAATTTTTGTTTTTACTTATGATTCATCTACAAAGCCTGTATTTGGTTGAGGGTTTGAAAGCCGTCGAGAGCATTTCCCAGCAGTAAAAGCACTAGGATATACTCTCAGCCCATTTTGCAGATGTAGCAGATGAACAATTGAAAGTGTTCGGCACCTGCCACTTGCGGCCTTACCCCCAGTCATATATTCTCTTAAATTCATCTTGTTCCTCTTGGGCCTTGCATTGTGCACCTAAGCTTGTCATTTTCCCGAAACATCTGGTCCAAGCAGTTCATAGTGGCCAATATTTGATTAAAGTGGTTCTGATTGGCCATTGTCCATGCTCATCTAGCTTTATCGAGGTGAGTAGAAAGTCCTGTTTCTCTTCTGCCTGCTCTAATGCAATGTCTTCACAGACTTCTGAATCTCAAATTTCCGGATTTCAAGAGACCCAGATTTCAAGGAGTTTTTTCCACAGCTTTGCTTTGGACCCTTGTATCACCTTTCCTATCGAAGCAGGGATGGGAATTCCTCAACCTCTCGTAAATGAGTCAAACATAGCCTCTCATGAACTTTCTCCAAATGCCAATAAACGACACTGCACTTGTAGTATCCTCCCAAAATCATCTCCGCCAATCAATCCAACTTTATCTCCAGATAGCGGGAATGACACACTATCTATCTTTTCAGCTCTAAGCTCAGATGATATTAGTACTCTACAGGCTGAGCTTGATGAAGAAGATCTTGACCACGAGACTCATTCGATCCAATGTGCTTTGCAGGAGGCTATGCAAGCATCCAATTCCAAGAAAGACAATTATTCACGCCATGTTTCATGTTATGTGAGCTTCATTGAAGTGGAACGTGAACGTCGTTCTCAAGAGCATCCAAATCGGAAAAGTAATCTTACCACTGAGCCTATCACGGTTGCCAAGGGTGCACTGTTTCTTAACTTTGAGACTACACGACCAAAGGTATTCACTGATTTATTATTTGATTGACCCTGTTACTCATGCACATATACTCAGACTAAAGGTGGAACTGGAACTGTAGGAGCAGAATCCATCAGTCAAGCTATCAGTGCCCTCGAAAATCACCGATTCAACCATCAACATGAGAAGATTTATAAGAACTGCCTGTCAAGTCCATGCCTCGGGCCTCCATTCCGCCGCCCGGTATTCCGAAGGTCTACCTCTTATTGTAATCTCTCCTTATTGTTCTTTCTCATTACACATACCCTTTCATTCTAGTCCCTCCTTATTGTTTTTTACTCTACCCTGCAGGTACTACTCGTATAGCTCCTAGTAGTTAGTCTAGCACTCCGCACCGATGCGCCGATCCGTAGATATAAATACTGCCTGTACGCTACTGTAGTTCCTCAGTTTAATTATCAACTTAGATCTCCCTTCCCAACTTAGCTCTTCTCTAAGTCTTCAGGCTCAACGCCTTGAAGTACGTTCTACTCAACCTTAGGACTTAAACGTTCTTTGGTTCGCTCCTCGTCACCGGCGATACCGCCGCTCCGACTTGGCTGCTACTCTGCTCCTCCCTTCTATACTCTTGATCTCCAGGGACTAACGGCGTAACAGTGGTGTTGTTAATAACTTCACTACTGTCCCACTCGACCTCCCGCACTTAGACACCTTGTGGCCTCTGGCACGGTTACACGGTGTACATGATCTTAACACTGCCCTGAATCGCAAAAGAAGCTTTGAGAGGACTCCCGGATTAGTGCATTTGAAAAGTTCGCTCATCAAAATGAGCATCTTTGTGCTCTCAATGCAGAGAAGATGAAGATGAGTGGGCCACTCTCTGGTGGGTAGTTGATTTCTCCTCTCAAGATTCATTCTTATCCATTATTAGCAACATATACCCCTGCACAGTTGAGAAAACTCGCTATTTCATCACTGCAACCCACTCACAATACTCCAACATCAATGGCCCAGAGTTTATGTGATTGTGCAGTAATTCTTTTATGTACAGCCATGGCATTCCATGGAGACTCAGTCCGGTCACTGCAGCTATCAGATCTTGGGGTAGAAGATATGCCGCTTCCAGCTATAGCGCCAGGTGTTACTGTCAAGGTGAGTAAATATTTGATATTTAAGCCTAGGCTCAATATATCTTGCATAGATCCTCACTGTGATCCACGATAATGCCAAACATAACAAAGAAGGCCAACCAGAAACTCATGCAGCCTTGCGACACCTCTATCCAGAGATGTGTTGCATTGGTAGTTTGGCATTTTATTTCTTTGGTTTGTACCATATCCTCAAATGATCTCAGCCAAATTTCAAGCCAGATTTCGACGACCCTGATGCCGGTGAACTTGGGAGGCGCAAGTGGTGGCAGTACCTAGTTTCTTTTGGCAATAAAGGCCCTGACACACAGATGTCATATGATAGTAAGTCATACAATATCACCAATCCTGAATTCTTGAACATATTCCTGTGTTTAATAGGCCAGTGTCTCCGTACAAATGTGTTGTATGCTATGAATGACATTCATGTATCTTCGGTGACACATGGTGGTCAACACTATGTTCCGAAAACAGCTGGTGACAATCGTGCTTCTTTGGAAGGGCATAAGGCATTGGGAAAATGGAAAGAGGGACGTGGTGCATTTGAGAATGCATATGACCATCAGCATCCTCTGGATGGCATGTTAGGAGTGGCTATGTTTGATGCGCAGCGTCCAGATAGTTATACCTGTGCTAGGAACTGCCTCCAGCCTCCACCAACCCTTCTGGTGTCACTTTTTCCCTGGGTCGAAGAGGAGCAGCAGGCTCTTGCAGAGCGTCATTGACTTTGTGGGAAATGGGCTGAAGATTACAGCCTTGACCAATTTCTCAGTTTATTGCTTTATCTCTGTGTTGTTCTTCTCCAGGATGCCACCCTGATCTACGTTGAACATCCTGACAGTCACATATTCAAATATACACCTTTCGACTCCATGATCTTTTGTGATTGGGCTCAAACTGCAAAAACAACTGTTGAGGTGGCCGAGACTGAAGCTCGCAAAGCTTTCAAGAATATTCCAACAAATCTTGTTTCATCCCTCCATGGAGTTCTTGTCACAGAGCGGATTGAGTCTGAACGCTGCCATGAATTGCTCCGCCAGGAACTTCTATCTATTGATTCCACAACTAGCAAGACAAAGAATTGGCTGCAAAAATGGAAGCGTGAATCAGTATCGATAATAGGTGGTATGTTCATTCCGAGTTGCCATTATATTTGCAACTTACAAATGTTTATCCAGAAGCAATTCTGTTATCAGCCAATACAAATTCTCCCAACTTCCGGACCCTTGGTGCTGCTTCACTGTCCTACCCATTGTTAGGACCTGCACCTTCTTCACTATCAGCTCTACAGCATCACCCCGCATTGACCTCCATCGTCCAACCAACCTCCACTGCAGCTTCTTTTGCACCGCTTAATCCTGGAGTCCTCATTCAACCAAATTCTCCAAATGATTCTCTCAATTCAAATGAGCAGAGATCATGGACGGAACTGATACAGAGGTATGGAGAGGCTAAGCTTCACAAACATAAACCTTGGGAATGGAATAGTGAATGCAAGGAACATCTACCGTCCTACAGATATCAGAAACCGTCCACACTTTGTGAATACTGGGAGGAGCTGACAATAGGTTTGAATGGGTACATCTCGATACAGGAGTTGAACAATTGGTGGGAGGCCCACTGGCGACAGAATATCAGTAGATTGAAAACAGACAAGTGCCGGTATGATCGAGTTGAGCAGCTCATCAATACACTCAGGTCGCAGGACAACTGGACTATCAATCTTGTCTAGCATTTTCTAGATGACCGATTCCCTATCCCTACAGAGGAGGTTCCACATCTGAAAACAACAAGAAGCTTTATTACTTACATACAGAAGAAGGACAGTTTGGGAATGAATGATGTACTCACTGCTGCAAATTCTTATCCTTAGACTATCATAACAATGAATGTATACATAGTCTAAAAGCAATAAAAATTGAAGCTATATAGATTGTACACAAGAGACGAAAGAACACCATTATTACTGTATGAATTACAATGTTTACTGCTCTACATTATAACACTTCGAACACCTCATCTCAGCCTTTGTACCAGCAACTGGATGCATCTCCTCCCATGCACAAAGAAAGTCCATCAGTCCAACAGCACCGGTCTTTCCACTTGCAAGCTCAGTTGCTACTTCCGATAATTCATGACTCCCATGAGCCCCATACAGCTGAATAAGCTCATGCCCCTGTTCTGCAGCAGTGAGAGATGTTGTTCAAATACCAAGAGCATCTGCAATCAATTTCTTGGACTTGACATTATGCTAGATTCACATTTGTTAGCTTGGATTGTAAATATGAACTATGTAGCATACCATTATTGGACACACTTGACAAAAATGAGTGGCGGAGAAGGTCGCAGCAAATTCCCAATGTGCTGCTACTTGTTTGTATTGGAGCACACGGTGACGACCGGCCTTGAATGTTTTGTATCCAGGTAATTGTGATGCTTGGATAACCAGTTCATTGACCATTGCGGATTTTGGACCCCTCCTATTTCTTGATTCTGCAATTTCAAGTGGCTTGGAATTCGGATCATTGAGTAGTTGACTCATGTGCATACTAGCACTCGATGTGCAAGTCTAGGTGTAGTTGATATCTTTAGTAGAGTGAAAAAAAGAAGATGAATGAGACACACCAAAGTATTGGTCTGCAGTGGAACAGGAGCCAGCAAAGACTGGGACAGATGTCTACCTGAGATTGGATACGAGCGGAACGTTAGTGGAGCAAATGAAAGCATCACGAAGCACACATACTAGTGTAACATTTAGTTTCAATATCTTGGAGGGTGGAACAATGAGCACATCGGCGCTAGGAACCGTGGCATGAAAGTCCCCTTTCATGAGAATTTGGCCATAGTCTGGCTCATCAGGATCACAGAATGTGAGTTTGCCGACACCTTTCATACAATATCAATTGACAAACTGTGATAAATGGACAAATATATAACGTACCATCAAGAGCTGTATGCGTTTGTTGAAGGCTATCGTATATGTCACTGAATTTAACGTTGTATTCCTTCGGCCCGCATTTAGGCTCATCTACATAGGGCACTGTAATTACCTGGGAGTGACAGAGCCCTTGCTCTTGAAACCATGTATTGTTGATAAGTAGTTTGAGCTGCAATGAGGGAACACTAGATGAGCATTGATCACAACAAACACCGCTATTAAGCAAGCTTACAGTGACCGTGGAGCGTAGATATGGGGTCAGAAGAGTTTGAGTAATGTTGGGGTGCTTCAAAGTTTGTGCTAGGTGGATGTTTGAAGTTGGGGTTGGTGGGATTAGGACATGCTTTAGATCACTTGCTTTACTCAAGGTTTGAGAGGGGTTAAAGCTTGAATCGCGAACGGAAGAGGAAGTTGTTATTTGCGGAACAATGGATGAAGTGAGAAATTGCAAATATTCAATTCATGGTACTCACTGTCTGTCGAGAGCGATTCACACCTTGAACTGGACCAGATCCTACAACATCACTAGCAATTTGTGAACAAGATTTTTGAGAAGAAATAAGGTTGCCAATTGGGACAACGGTATTGAAACCATTACTTTTGCTGAGCAGATTTAGTTTCAATTCTTCAACCCAAACTCTTGAACGTTGAAAAGGACATTGAGTGGGCCACTTTGTAATTTGGTGCTCAACAAGTTTGATAAGATCTGCTTTGCTTAATTGACTTCGGGTGATGCCTGTCAAAAAAAACTAGATACTGAGAGTCATGAGGACCTACTTTAGTTCTGCCGCGACATAAGACCTCTCAATAGGAGTTTGCACTTGTGCTGGTGGTGACAATGATATGGTGAGATGCAAAGCAGAGTGATTCCGCATAATTTCAATCATTTGTTCTAACAGTTTTGAAAAAGGAGCCAAACAAGGTCCGGAAAAGTGCCAGTTTGAGAATGGAGTATTTTGAACCTGTCATGCCCTGGCTACACCCAGACCTGCCCCAGTACCAGCCATCACCTCCTATTTACCTCCCCGATCCCCAAACACCACCACGCACCTCCCCAACTATCACCATTCCCCTGACATACCTACCCAAATGTCCCGACTCTTACCCCGATATGCATACAACACCCTCCTAATAGCCAACCCCTTTAAGTACTAAATCTCGATTACCTTCCTCCCTAGATTAGCTGCCTCATGTTCCAGATATTCTCTTGTTCACTTCCTGTACCTACTTAAGTAGCACCGCAACGTCCAGAAGCCCCAGCTTAGTATATTTTGAACACACACCCTTTTGCATAGGTTCAGTCCCTGTCCCTTTGTACCTGCTAACCATACAGATTTCTCTTTACACTCTGTTTCTTTATCTCTGTTTCTCTCAACTCTTGTCTCTCGTATCTACGATCATCTCTATGATCCAATACACACTTTTACTTCACGTCTAAGCAATCCGAGTGAGTCTCCGAGCTCCCTCGAACAATACTAAAGCTCCCCAACGCCTAACGCCTTGGTGAGCTAACCTCTCCAAAACCTCCTTGAGCTCCCCACTTGTCCCACAAGTTCTGGGACCTCAATCTAGGTAATGTCGAACTATGTGCCGCTTCTCTGTTACTACCTCCAACACTCGAGGATGTCCACCTCTAACCCCCAGTTCCCGGGACCTCCCCTCCCAGGCGCCCACCTCCTTAGGAGCTTACACACTCAAGACCTATTCTCTCTACGACCTATTCAATCTTACGTTGACGTTTTAGCGAGTACAACTCCTCCTACGCAACGCTACTAGGTTTTGTACCTCCACTTCCTCTACCTATGCCGTAGGGACCTCCCTGGACCTTACAGGAACCCCTTCAAGGGTCACATCTCTCGATCCCAGCTACTACTAGGTCACTCCTGTCCTCGGTCGCGCTTTCCATAGCTCCCTTCGAGCTCCAGCCTGCTCCTAGCACGCTACAACATAAACTCTTCATACCAAAACCTACCTTAAGACCTAATCTGACCCAGGTCTTACAGAACCAAAAATTAACAATCAGGCTGCTTTAAGAGGAAAATTAACCAAAAGTGCACTTTCGGGAGCCAACAAGATACGTACTTTGTCCAGATTTCCATGTTTCGAGCCTCCGTAGTCCTTAGCATTGAAATTTTACCTCTTAGCAGTTTGTGATGACTTGTGAGCTCATTTTGGTAGCATTTAGGTTGAGAGAGAGAGAATTCCATTCTGATACAAAGGCTATGAAGACAAAATGAAAAAGTACATCGTGGAAGTACAGATTAAAAGGCGTGTTTGGCATGTTGCAAACAACCGATTGATATGAAAAACGTCCCGGATAAGCATTCAGCACCAATCGAGCAGTTCAAAAATGGCCGGCTGATCTCGAAAAAGTGCCGTTCCAAGTTCAGGTAACCAGTGCCTATGTGAGGTTGGTCGAAGTGCAGATTTTGGTGGGAGTTACCTCATGTGACAGGGTAACTGATGGAACAATCGCAAACTGTCAATGACCCATACACCCGTTATACATTTATGGATCAAAAATTGGACTTGATAATTTATAATTACGGAAATCTAATTGTCCGGTAAGCAAGGTGTTGCAGTGCACTTTTTGTCGCGACGAGGCAGGAAGCGGGAGGCGGGAAGTCCAAATATGCCAAGGAGCGACGGTGGCAGAGCGAAGAGGCACAGAAACAAGCACAAAGCACAGATAAAAGAAATAATGATCTCGAACAACAGTGGGATAGCGTCAGAGGCCAATCACACCAGTAATCAAAAGGGAATGTAGTTACCCAATGATCAAGTTAGATAGGTAGTATCTAAAAGGATACAAGTACTTGCCTAGTTGCCCAATGACCAAGAGGTCGAGATGGGGAACTAGGATCTGTCTACTGTCCTTTATATACTACTCTTGTCTAATGAGTAAGCGATTGTAAATAACGATGCGATATAGAACAAGAGTGAGGAATCAATATATACGAGTAATAATGAATCATAATGAACTAATCGATGAATAAGGATGAGTTGTATGGAAGCGTATGGAAACAAATGGAACTAGTGGGATGATTGTGTAATAAAGTACAATAAACATGTGAAAAGAGATTGATGGGAACACACCGCTGATGGCGCATCAAAGGGCACATCATGAGACTTCATGACACTTTTTCTTTCTCCCCTGACGGCTCTGGCATTTCAACAAGACGGCGCCGCAGCGCATCAATACCACCCTCCGCAGAGCTCAAATTTGATAGTACGTGATTCCGGGTGCTCACAAATCTCCGCAGAGACACAGTTTTCCGCTGACATACGCATTACCTCGTATTTGTTCAAACCTGGTGAGACCGGGGTTCAGCTCTTCCCTCTGCCTCACCAGGTCAGTTTTCTTTTTCCTTTTTCTCTTGCTGTACTCAATAAATATAGCAGATAGATCCTCTGTCATCTTGATACCTTTTTTCTGCAATAAAAGAATATTATTCCATCTATCAAATCATAACATGCCTGATGACCACAAATCGAACAGCCAAATGCAGATTTTGAGCAAAGATATCTCGACCGCTCTTCCACCGCTCCTACTGTCCCTCCACTTCCTCCTTCCATCCCAGCAGAGTATGCAGAGTTTGCAGATGTCTTCGACGAGATTGCTGTGCAGATTCGCTTCCTGAACACAGACCCTACGACCTGAAGATTGACCTGGAAGAGGGTGCTTCGCCGCCTCTCGGCCATATTTATCCATTGTCTGAAAAGGAGTTAGTCGCCCTTAAAGACTTTATTGACAAACAACTGGCTACTGGTGCCATCACCCCATCATCCTCTCCTCACGGCGCCCCGGTCCTGTTCGTCCCGAAGAAAGATGGCAAACTTCGCCTTTGCGTCGATTTCCATGGACTCAATTGTATTACCAAAAAGGACCGTTACCCACTCCCACTCATATCAGATCTTCTCGACGCTCCAAAAAGAGCTAAAATATATACCAAATTGGATCTCACTCACGCTTATCATCTCGTCAGAATCGCTGAAGGTGACGAATGGAAGACCACCTTTCGGACCCGTTACGGCTCCTACAAATGGAAGGTTATGCCGTTCGGCCTTACGAATGCCCCTGCGGCTTTCCAGCGGTCTGTTAATGACATCTTCTCTGACATGCTCGATGTTTGTGTCATCGTCTATTTGGACGATATTCTGATCTATTCTGATATGCCAGAAGAACACCAAGAACACGTCAAGGAGGTTCTTCGGTGACTTCGCCATCATCGGCTTTACGCCAATCCCGAGAAGTGCGAATTCAATATGGATACTGTTGAGTATTTAGGATATATTCTTTCTCCCGACGGATTAACTATGTCCAAGGAGAAAGTTCAGACAGTTCTAGAGTGGCTGGTTCCGAGGAAGGTTAAGGACATTCAGTCCTTCCTGGGTTTTGCAAACTTCTATCGTCGTTTTATTTATAATTACAGTGATATCGTTGTGCCAATGACTCGGCTTACCCGATAACGAGCTTGCCTCGTTTTTGTGTGAAAGAGAAAGGAAGGAATCTAATGGGCACT